CTCCTCTTCTATGTTAGAGAAGATAAGGATATTATCTAGGTAGTAAACTATAAAGATATTAAGGTATTTTCGAAGTATATTTATAATTATATATTAGAATACTATAGGTGTATTAGTTAATCCAAAAGGCATAACTAAGTATTTAAATAATTTGTATTTCGTTTAGAAGGCTATTTTCTATTTATTGCCTTCTTTAATCTAAATAAGGTTATAAGTAGATTTAAGGTTAAGTGCCATAAACTATTTCTTACCAAATAGGCAGTCTTTAAGTTTAGTAATAAGTAGTAGTAGTATCTTATCTTTTTCTATAATCTTATTAAGTTATTAGTAATTTACTATAAGTCTTAGCTTATTTAAGTTAGGTTTTAGTATAAATATAACTAGATATCCTACTAAGGATTTAAACAGTCTAATATATCCTTTTTATAGTATATTATTTAACTATTCTCTAAGTATATTAAGCTTATCTTAAGATAGGTTATAAATAAAAAAGAATTTTAGGTTCTTTCTATCTTTTAATATAATTTTAATATTATAGTTTATATATTAAGATAACTTAGTATTTAGTTCCTCTTAAAATAATTTCTTATAGATATAATACTCTAGTAATATATTTTTAAGTTATTTATTAGATTCCTTTGTAGTAATTTATTTTATCTATTTAATATCTTAGTCTAATTATTTAAATTATCCTTTAAGAGTTGCTATTATTTATCTAATGTATTTTATTTTGCCTTTATAGTATTTATATTATATTCCTTTTAGAATAGGTAATATCTTATTGCATTAATCTTTACTACTCTTATTAGTTAAAGCTTAAGATCTTATATTATTATTATTTAAATTATTTTTTTTATTTAAAGGGTAGTCTTTGCAGTTTACCTAGCTAGTTCTCTAGTTAATTTATATATTATAGTATTATAACTATAGAAATCTAAGTATTAAGTTATATTTTTATATTAGGATAATATTAAAGTTAATACCTTAGTTTTTTCTATTAATAAATACCTTAAGGTAATTAATCTCTCTGGTAATTCTTCTATTATTATAACTATAGGTACCTCCTTCTCTATCCTTTATAATATAAAGTTCCTTTTTATTTCTCTATAATAGCCTTAGCTTATTAACTATTTTAGGGAAAATAAAATTTATATTAGCTTTACTATCTATAAGTATATTTAGCTACTTATCCTTAATTCTAACTTTTAATTCTAGGCAGGTTTATTAACTTTCTTTTATAGTTATTCTTAGAGCTTTTTCTAGGAGTTTATTTTCTTTTACTTTTTTACCTATCTGCTGCTTTATTATAGATAGTATATGCCTTTTCCCTATAGGTAATCTATACTATATTTGCTTTTAGTGCAGTTAATATTATTAGGATATTCGTATTAGGTAGTAAGTTATTATTAATATATAGCTTTTATTTTTCTTACTTTATAGTCTAGGATAAGATTTGCTTTTTCTTTTTTAGTAAGAGGTCTTTCTTTTTCTTATTCTAATTCTTCTAAGCATTTTTATAGTTATTGCTTATCTAGCTGCCAAATAGTGTCTTATTTATCTTAAGATACTTCTTCTTCTTATTATATAATATTTTAATTAATTTAGTTAAGTTCCTGGTTAAGTGCTTTATTTTTAGTAATCTTAACTTCTTATTATACCTTTTGCCTTTATTATATAATATATTTAAAGTTCTAGATATATACTAGAGCTTATTCTTATATTTTAGTATAAGCCTTTAGTTTTACTATTTATAATTCTTTATATTTCTTTATAACTTAATATCTAATTATATTAATAATTATATATAGTTTTTATTTTTAATACTTATTAATTTATATTAGGAAGTAATTATTTATTATCTTATCTTACTAATACTATAGGCAGTAGTATTATATATATAATATCTATAATATCTACTTATAGTTTAAATAATTTAGGTATCTCCTTAGATCTTTTTTAACTTAAATATATTCTTCTGGTATTATAGGATCCTCTAGTATTTCTTTTATATATGCTTAGATATAAATATTATTATCCTATTTTATAATTATACATTCTCTTATAAGTTTTATATACTTCTGGTGTTTATTATTTTAGAAATAGGCTTTATATTTATTATATTATAATATAATTTTTATATTTTAGATTATTTTATTTTCCTTATATCTAATATATTTGGTATTAAATTCTCTTTAGATTTAGTAAAATTCTAGGTAGTTTAGGTTATTAATATATTAGTTTGGTTATTTTGGGGTAACTCTGATAGGGATTTTATTTACTGTTAAGTAGGTTCTTTAGTTATTTTTTATAGTATTTAATTTATTATCTGGGTTAAGGTTAACTTCTTTTTCTTTTTTAATTATAAAAATAGTTTTACTATTATTATTAGATAACTTATTTATTATTAGTATTAGTTCTTATTTTAGTTTAATTTTTATATTTTATTTTACTTTTAATCTTTATTATTTTTATTATTTACTTTCTTTCCTTTTAAACTTAGGGTCTTTTCATCTTTTTATATTATATACTCTTTTTCTTATCTGTTTTTTACTTTTGCTTTATTTATAAATATCTGCTATAAGAGCTATATATCCTAGGATAGGTTATTATTCTAGGTCTAGATATAGGTAGTACTTCTTAAGGGTTTTTTTTTTATTAAGAAATAGATCTTAGATATTAAGAGATAGATTAAAGTTTTTAATATATTTTATTAGTTTAGTTATATTATATTTATCTTTATAAGTTATATTAATAGTTCTAATTACTATTTGGGGTTCTTTATATTTCTTAATTATATTAATTTTCTTATTTTCTAGGATTAGTTTATATTTTTAGTTAGTCTTAATAGGGTTTTTATATTCTGGATTATAATATCCTTTCTTATTATAGTTTTAGTAAGTGATTTTAGACTTATTTTTCTTAGTTATTCTAATAGTTATTAGTCTAGAATTAGTATTATAAGAGGTATTATTATTTTATTTCCTTCCTTAATTGGTATTATAGCATGGTTTATTCCTTTGGTATCCTTAATTGCTTTAATTATAATAGATTCTCTATTAGAATTATATATTATTAATCTTAATAGCTTTATTAATATAGTTAACTAGTATCTTAGGTCTAGCTTCTTTATAGAGTTTTACTTAGATTATTTCTTTAAGCCTATTAAAGAAGAGTAATATAAGGGGTTCTTAGTTCTAGTCTAGTTTAGTAGCTAACTAAAGGAATTTAGTTTTATATTTTAATGCAGATTTAGTTTATTAAAGTACTTTGATTTTTCTTTCTGCTTGGCTTTTCTTATTAACTAATTTAAATGCTTATTATATAGCTTTCTTAAATTTAGTATAGTTATTATAAATTTAAAAGGTTTTAGGTAGTAGTTTATCTTTTAGTATAATAGTAATTTCTTTTAGTATAGGTTAAAACTATTACATAGTATTGCCTTTAAGATATCTTAATATATATATAACTCTATTATTATTATTAGCAAATTAGTTTAGAAAGTAGCTTATATAGGCTTAGCATTAGGTAAGAAAAGTAGCTAATTTGGCAAGGTTTTTATTAAACAGTTTAGGTATATTTAATTTAAGAATTTCTCCTATTTCTTTTCTACTAGCTGTAGTAGCAGTAAGATTATGCATTTCTTAAATAGCATTCTAGTAATTAGTTACCTACTAGGCCTAAAGTTCTATGGCTTTAGTAAGGGCCTGTCTAAGGTTATTTATTTTAGTAATTATATTAGTTATCTGCTGCCGAAGTTAGGTAATATTAGAGTTAGTGCTACTCTTAGAGTTATTATCTATGTCTTAATTATTATTAATAGGTGCTAGAGCAGTATAGGGTATAGCATATTACTAGGCAGGGTTAATATAGGCGGCTATTTGTATTTATATTACTTAGCATTACGCGGTATAGTCTAAATAAGAGCTATTAACATATAACAGGTTAAAGTCTAATTATATTAAACTAAGCCATACTAGGTTTATTATTAGCAGATTGCATAAAGTATATAACTAAGCTTATTAAAGTATTATATCTCTTAATAATAGATTTAATATATATTAGGCTTAATTAATATAAAGAAGTTTTATTAATAGCTGGTAAGCTAACTTTATAGAAGTAAAATAAGTATAAACTATATACTACTATTTGTAAGGTACTTATTAGTACTTCTATTAAGGACTAAGATATTAACCTATTAGTCCTAGACTGTTGCTGCAAAGCTTTGGTCTTGTCCTGACTAGTCGAATCTAATAGACTGAGAAGGATTTGCTTAGTCTACTTATAATTAGTGGAGTTTGTAGGGAATTTTACGGGGTACACGTGACGTAACCGCGAGGGTTATAATAATTTTATTATAATCCTATAATTAAAGTTTATAAATTTATAAGTTTTTACTAAGATTATATTATATCTTATAAGTAAACTAGAGTTTATTAATTACCTTAGATTTAGTTTATTAGCTGCCTTATATTATACTAGTATCCTTTTATTTCCTATTAAAATTAGTTTATTAGTTGCTAAATAACGCGAGGGATGCTGTTAGGGTCGCGATAACCTCCGTCATTTAAGAACTGGCCATATAAGACAAGTTCCCATCTTGGCCTTTGATCTAATTTTCTGGCTCCATTACACGTATGTTCTACCAAGAATCCCTGCTATCGCTATGCTGATAAAAATATAGTACCATCGACCGTCTGGTATCGATGTGGGAGGGCCTTCATGCTAACCCAAAGGACCCAGAGGCTTGGGTGACCACCAAGTCATCCGATTAGGGCAATTAGGTCATAGCCGAAGGTGATGACGAAGGCCTCAACACACCTCTGGCGCCATTCTACAAGGACACCAACAACTTCTGGACTTCAGATGATATTCATAAGACTGTCAAATTCGGCTATGCCTATCCTGAAACCAAGTCTTAGACCTTTAACAATCCGGAAGACTATCGCAAAGATATCTACAAGCAACTTGAGACCCTTTACCCGACGGGCTCACTCGCCACCATGATTACTGCAAGCAATGCTGGAGACCCTAAACCAGAGGAGACCCTTCGAACTCAGGCAAAGAAATTTGCTCGTATCACTGCTATCAATGAGCCTACCACCGCAATCACAGCTCTCTCTATTACTAAAGCTGTATCATCACTTGATGATAGACCTAAGGTGATAGACGCTCTTCCAGATGTTAAAGTGCCCAAGGTCAAAGTTCCAGAGGACCAATCGCTAGGCAAACTAGTCCCAGACAACAGCTACCTCGAATAGCTCGTCAACATCAAAGCCGTAAAGCATGCTCTTGGTGGTCAGTACCTTATACATATATTCTTAGGCCCTGTTCCACCCAAGGAATCTACCTGTCTATATGCCGTCTCTCCCAACCATGTTAGAACATTCTCTCCGCTGGGCCAAGACACCAAGACTTCTTGCGGTAAGTATAAGGTCAACCAGGCAGCCAACATGGAGGTTACGGGCCAGGTCCCTCTAACCATTGCACTTACTAAGCGCTACTTCGCCGATGAGTTAGAGAGTCTTTCTGAAGCCCATATCATTAAATACCTTTAGAAGAACCTCCACTGGGAAGTCATTGATAATTCGGGACAAAGACTCCGTGGCCATCGATCATCTGTTGATGGCCTGCTCGTCGGTGTTATCAGCAACAAGGTTACTCTTCCTGGGAACGGAAATGAATTTGCTTAGTACTCGCCAGATATCACTGTCTACCCAGAGATTACTACTAAGGCAGATGAAAGCGGTGGTCGTGCGGAGGGAACCGGTGTTACAGAGGATAACAAGTACTTTTAAGATTCTCTTACTATCACAATCAATAGTCGCGGTATGGTCAGAGTTTTCAAGCTTAAAATGAAATTTGGCTTTTAGGTGGATTTCTTATTCCTTAAGGCTATATTTACCCTAGAGCATTAAATATAACTTTTTGGCATTGAATTATATAACCTTTTATTATTATTATTTTACTTTCTTAGTATATGGGTGTTTAAAAAGTAGCCCTAATTATATTAATCTTTTCCATAAATACTTTATTATAATTAAAATCCTGTGTTTTATATGGCCTATAGCAGGAGTATTATAATTTACTATTCATTATCTATTTATTATCTTAAACTCTTTTAATTTAAGAAGTTATACCCTTGCTAATCTTAAATTAAAATGCCTATTTTACCTTTTTATAAGATAGCTTTATTATTATAAATAAACCTATTAGGATCCTGCCTGCGTGGTTAGGGAGCCCGGGACTGATGCATTAATAGAAAGCCTGGAAAAGGCCAGCAAGATTCTCGAACAGTTCCTCTCTACAGTTACGATACCTGAAGAAACATATCATGCTGCTGGTATTCTGACGGGGCATATATTGCCCTCGCTAGCATGGCGAAGAATGGAATGGCGGATGCTGCCATCATTTGCTTCAGTCGGATAAGTACGTGCTAAGCAAGCCCCAGGTTCGAGCGAGATTTTACACAGTTTAGGCGTGTACTTATGCTCGGCCTGTAGGGCTTTCTTTTAAAACTAGATTCATGGTAAGGGATGAAGGTGTATACACTTAATACTGTCTGGGTTTTAGGAAACGAATCTCGCTTGAGCTGGCAAATGTAAAGTACAATATAGGCTCTAAGAAACGTGGGACACAATTCAAGCAGTGAGTGGCACGGAATGGGCTTGACGAAACGAGGACGAAAATCGGGTGTTGTATACAAACAATAGTGACTACTGCCGTTTCGGCTACAAGCTGCTGTGTGTAATAAAGTGTATTGTGTTATAGCGCTGCGGGGTAGGAAGGGAAGTGGATGGATTGTATGTGCATATTACACTTTACCGGAAAGATCTCGGGTCACTTGCCTGAATTAGTCTACTGCATGACCTTTGTTCCAATCCAAGCTTTGTGATGCTCGGGGCTATGGCCATGTTGGTGGACACTAAAGCGGGATTTACAATCCGCGTGTAAGCCGCGGACTTTCTAATGACAACCCGGCAAGGGATTGCCATGTGCACGTCCCTGAGCCAAGAATAGCGGCTCACTAGCTTCCAAAGCAGTGATGGAGGGTAAATGTCACTCTGCAGAGGACTAAAAAGATTTCACCTTCTCAGCTGAAGCTAAATCGCTTCGTCCGAGGATTCACATGGCCTCGTCCGAGGATTCACATGGTTCAATGGAGGACTGGTCTGGGGTAGTAGACGATTGACATGAACCAAATTGTGTATTTAACTGTACTTGATACCCTTATCACTATGATGGAGTCACTAAGCAAAAGGTCTTTATATCAAGATCTTTGTGACGCTTGCATAAACCAACTTCTATGAGACGTTGGCTATCAGACTACTAAAGCCTAATCTTGCCAGTCATGTTTCCTCGTTTCATGCTGCTGTCAGTGGCGGCATTCTCCACTCTGGGTGTGTCTGCCCCCGTTGAGGAGCGACAGCAGCCTGTACTCCCCACTGAAGATTCTTTCTACAAGGCCCCTGATAACATCAATGACTACCCTCCTGGCGCCATCATCGACTATCGCAAACCACCGTCTCCCATTGCTGCATTTGGTGTGTCTCCTGTCAACTTGAAAGACACCTGGCAGATCTCCTACAGGACCAATGACAACTTTGGCAAGGCTCTCTCCACTGTCCTTACCGTCTTGGTCCCGTACAGGGCCGACTTTACAAAGGTCCTCTCATATCAGGTCGCTGAAGATGCTGCTTATGCCGGCTGTGCTCCGTCTTATGCCCTTCAATTCGCCTCTGCCACTGGCGGACCCCTTGGAACAATCGTCACTCAAGCAGAGCTTTTGCTGATTGAAGCAGCTCTTGAGATGGGATGGGTCGTCATTACTCCAGACCATGAAGGTCCTGACGCGGCTTATCTGGCAAACAAACTTGCCGGATATGCCACACTTGACGGAATCAGAGCTGCCATCAACTCTGCCAACTTCACTGGCATCTCGAACAACCCCACCATCGGAATGTGGGGATACTCTGGTGGCAGCATTGCGTCAGCTGCTGCGGCAGAGCTTCAGCAGTCCTACGCTCCAGAGCTTCGCATCGCCGGCGCTGCTCTTGGTGGTACTGTGCCCAACATCACATCTGTCATCAAGAGTATTAACCGGGGACCTTTGGCTGGTATCATCCCTCCCGGCATGATTGGGCTAGCCAAGCAATACCCGCTCCTCAAATTAGGACTTGATGCTGCTCTTAAGCCAGAGTACAAAGCCAAATTTGATGCTGTTGGAAATCAATGTTTTGTGGCTGATATTCTTTCGTTCTTCGAACAGGATGTAGTAGGAATGCTCAAAGACCCTGCTATCTTGACACAGGAACCCGCCAAAAGCATTTTAGACGAGAATGCTCTTGGTAAACACAGCCCCAGCATTCCTCTGTTTGTTTACAAGTCCATTCAGGATCAAGTCAGCCCCATCAAGGATACTGACGATCTTATCAAGTTCTACTGCTCTGGCGGTACTAAGGTTCAATATGACAGAGACTTGCTCTCGGAGCATGGTTCGCTCGCTATCATTGGAGCTGGAAAGGCTCTGGCGTGGTTGAAAGATATCATGAATGGCAGGAAAGGGCCAAGCCAGTGCAAGACCAGTAACGTCGTGTCTTCCCTCCTGGATCTGAGGGGTTCAATCACCCTCTCCGCTGCTTTGATTGAGGCCCTGGCTGACCTGGTTGGAAAGCCAGCTGGTCCTATCATTGGTTAGAAAGCGAGCCCAGGCAGGGTCTCACTCTAAGTCTTAGGTAGTCTACTACAGTACACGGCGTAAAGAGCAGTGTCTGACAAGTCTCGCAACTAGTACTCTTTACCTTCTTTCCAGATAGCATTCTTGACTTGACGGGGTCACCCATGAGATCCTGGCACGTGGCCAAAAGCGTCATAGTAAAATACACTGATTATGCCTTCACAAGTGCTAATCTTCTTCTACAGCTCAATTGTGCGCACTGCCTATGTAGGAAATGATTGTGAGAGTGAGTAATCCCGGCTATATCACCTGCCGAACAAGAACTTTTGAGCTTGAGATTTTAAGATCATTCAGGCCAATATCGACAAAACACGTGCCTTGTTACCAGTACTACCCCTGGAAGCTGCAGACTGCGTAGTCTTGGTTGCACATTAACATACCTCAGAACAGAGACTCCGTCGTACAAACGTGTTGTGCTCCTTATTGAGCTGAAGGAGCTGGGTGCCGTAGTTACAGAGTTTGTTATTTCAGAAAATGCCATCCTTGTATACAACAGCTGAAACTTAGTCACAAAAGGGATTAGTTGAAATTAACTGAGGGTTAGCGTTTTTGGGTAAAGTAAAAATAACACTACTTTCCCGGTTATGGGCTCCAAAATTACCACATCTACTCCACATCTTGCAACAGGGCAGCATGCACAGGGGTAGGTCGCTTATCCTTCTTGAGATAAATAGGTAAATAATTCTTACAGTCTCAATGGCTATGAGGTCTAGAAAGACTATCCATAGCCCCGTTGTAAGTTGCTGAGTTATATAAGGTACGAAGAGAATCTTGTTGCCGCATCCCAGGCCCAAATCGGTCATACCCGACCCTCGGGCACGTATTGTACCGTTGAGTGGTGTCATATTGAGACCATTCTCAGCCCGCAACCCCCTGCCTGATCGACGTACCTCATTCCCTCCCTGAAACCATCCTCCGAAGCTAGTGGCTATAAAGTTCATTTCGGATAGTGCGGGGTACAGTAGTGCAATTGCCATCACCACGCTAGAACAGGGCCATTGGGTCTGCTTCTGGTCATTTTTTGGACATATAATGCGGCTTAGTGTGCATTTAGGAAGTGAAGGATGACTCTCCATATTGCACTTTTGATAAACAAATTTTGCCTTGTTAGCAATTGATTGTCATTCATTTCTTCAGGTAACAATCATGGCTACATCACTTCAAACACCGCGACAAAGGAGGTATGCACATACATTCCTGTGTCCTTTGTACGATTGGTGGAATTAACAAATGCAGACCAACCAAAATTCGATCACTTCGAGCCTGCTTGGTAAGTGACCTCGCGTCACACTCATCTTGTACTGAATCTGACATATTCTTTGGACATGTCATTCAAGAAAGGTCCGATGTGATGCTCTGAGCAAAGGCATTCCCTGTACCAATTGCACTGCATTTAATATCAAGTGTCAAGTTCCAGGTATAGGGGAGCACCGAGTGAGGATTCTCGCCAGCCGTGGAAAAGGAGAGCACACTATGTATGAGTTCCAACGATCCGTTTCATGATCTCACGTGCTGACCAGGACTAGAGCACAGAGAGATTCCCCAAGTGATTGCCTCAGTACGCCTGCCTCAAGTACTGAGGCATATCAAATAACCTCTCAACAAGACGGAGTTGTGTCACTAACCAAATTCAATGTTCTGCCTATCACATCGGCAGGCCATGTTGTTTATATTGGCGAATCTGCGGGCTTTAACCTCCTCCTTCATGGAAGTCAAAGACCCATAGTGCATTTCCCTATGCCTCGGGATACACTCGTGCTGTCAATACCTCCTGGACTGGACCCTCTCGAAATACGGATCTTAAAACGAAGAAGGGCCTTTGTACTACCTCCGAAAAGGCTTTGCGACGACTTGATAGAGACTTACTTTGCTTGGGTTCACCCGATTGTACCCGTCATTAACCGCACAAAATTCATGTCACAATATCGAGATTCTAAAAATCCCCCCTCGATGCTCCTCACTCAGTGTATCTTACTGGCCGGCGCCCGAATCAGCACAAACTCACAATTAATGGTTGATGGATCAGCTTCAACTGCTGTTGCAACGTTTTATCGACGGGCAAAAGCCCTTTATGATGCCAACTATGAGCGCGACCGAATTACCTTGGTGCAATCAATGCTCTTAATGGGCTGGTACTGGGCTGGCCCTGATGACATATCCAAGAACATGTTTTATTGGAGCCAATCCGCAATCGCTGTTGCTCAAAATTTCGGTCTACATCGCAGCATGGAAAAATCGAGATTGTCAATAAGTGAAAAGAGACTGCGTAAGCGCATTTGGTGGACGCTATTTACTCGAGATCGCGCTTTAGCTGTTGGCCTGGGACAATCGGTATCCATTAACCTCGACGATTGCGATGTCGATATGATAGCCGATGATGACTTCATCGAGCATGATGGGGATGATATCGACGAATACCCGCCAGATCCTATTCACGTAGGATTTTTCATTCAGTACGTGAAGCTGTGTAAGCTGATAGGACTTGTCGTATCCAAATATTCCAACTTGTCCAGGCGTGGTCAAGACTGCGATGACATAAACTACATTGCTACAGCCCTATCCAAATGGAAGCGGGAGTGCCCCGTTACCATGCGCTGGGAGCGATCAAAGCACCATTTTTGGTCTGGGATACTATACTTGCACTACTTCAGCGCTCGTTGTCTGCTACATCGGGCAAGTTCCCCTCGTAACAGAACGGCTTTGCAGGATACAAAACAACCTTATGGGTCACGAGATGGTACTGTTCACGCAGCAAACATGATTACCTCGATTGTTGAAGCCCTCAGCGACAGACAACAGCTACGTCGTTGTCCTCCATTCATCGTCCACAGCCTCTTTTCAGCAATTGTTATACACTTACATGTGTCGAATACGCCGTGTCCGCCTATCGGTAGACTTGCTCGCCAACGAGTCAGCACTTGTTTGGAATCCATGAAAGATTTAGCACAAGTGTGGGCGGTAGGACGAACAGTGCTGACAATGATCGAAACGATTTCCGGCCTCAATAGCGGTGAGAAGCCGTCCCCTCCGAAAGGCGAAGTCTTTATCGATCTAGGATGTGCCGACGCTTCAGATCAGGCTTGTAGCCTCGATAATCGAAGCCCAGCCACAGACGTTAAAAATAAGACCCAAACACCCCAAGATTTGCCAAGTTGTTACGAAACACTGCCTTATCGCGAAGCATATAACCCAGATGTCATAGACTTCGATAAAGGACATTTCACCGTTCAAGGCTATCCTCCACACTCCGACCTCGGTGATCCTCCAGCGCAAATTGACTACAGCAGTCTATTACCAGATGCAAGTGTTCACTCAGGACTCGTACCTGTCACATTTTATGTTGAGGACACAGCTCAAATCTGCAACCCAATAACAGATACAATTATCCCTACATGGGATCAGTTTCAGATGGGTTGTCAACAAGACTATAGTATTTCAGTGCCTTGGAGTCTGGAGCTTGACTTTGAAGGTCTGACAGCACCAAGAATAGGTATAGTTAACCCAGAATCAGAATGTTATATAGAAAGTAATAGTATTATATATTAAAACAAACTCTGTTACATACTTACTAAGATAGCTTTAATAACTATAAAAATATATCCTAAGATAATATAAAAATAATAATACTAAGCTGTTTATTAATGATATATAATAGGGTTAGTTAAATAGTAAGGATAGTATATAATAATTTTAAGAGGATAAAATAGTTTATAAGCCTGGTAAAGTGAGACTAGGGGTATGTAGCGATGTAAAGGACTAAACTACTTAGGTAGTCTAAACATTAGGCAGAGCTGCATTGAAATAACTAGAGACAAATTATATATTTATAGATACTAATAGGGAGGACCCAACGTTTTTAACAGCTGTAATCACAGATACAGAGGGGAGAATTATACTAAACGCAAACAATACCATGACGTTTTTCATTACAGGGCCCAGGGAGATTATTGCTATAGATAATGGGTATCCAGCAGATTTCACCTCATTCATCTCAAAGAAAAGAAACGCCTTCAATGGGCTGGAACTTGCCATCACTTGCTCAAGGGTTAAGAGCAAAAGGGCTTTTGCCGTCAAGGCAGAGTGTCATAGTTTAGAGGCCGTTTTCATAAATATTAATCTGGAACAGGCGTAAGAGTTAGCTACAGAGATTTGCCAGCTAATATTAGTAAGGCTATACAATATAATAAGGAACTAGTCTATGGAGCTGTTAACCGGCATTAACACGTGCTGGAAGGGTAAAATTGAGGCTGGTAGTCGATAGCTTGTAGATTTTTAAAGTTCCCATATTCCAGTCTGCATCTTCTTTCCACTGACCTTTGCATGGTAGGGTGCCAATACCGGGAATGCTGATTTGAAAAAGATAGTTCCGTTTAATGAATTTTGAGAAATGTCCAGCACAAACCCTCCACTGCTGGGTTTATAATATTGATCCTTTGCCTTGAAAGAGGCGGGTTTATTCTTGCTAGCAAGCGTAGGGTCCGATGTATCAATTCTAACCGTTAACTGGTTCATGCGAAAATATTCATTCGCAAAGTCAATGGTTTTCAGACCCCCAAAAGTATAAACTTGACTGAAGAAGCCCACGAGGTACGAGTTGGTGACGTACCATAGGTCTCCATTTGTCGCAACCGGGGCGGGAGGAATCCCATACCGTCCAGTCGCGAGGATCACTTCCACTTGGTTCTGACTGCCAGGCCTGGCCTCCTTCATTGGGATAGGATCGGTGATGTAGATAGAGCCGATTGTTTGGAAGTCTTGCCAATTGGACATGTTTCGGCCGTCAATTGTGACAGCATATCGAGTATATTTGAGCTTCAGCTTCTTTGGTGAGATATTTGCCCTTTTTCCGGTGTTGGAGTTCCCATTACCGAAATCAGCAGAAGAGATATTAACAACAGGAACAGAGCCATCATTCTCAAAGATGGAGAGCCCCTTGATAGCTGCGGAGATAACCCAAGTCGAGTTGAGGAATACCAACAAGAAATAAGACAAGTGCATGATTGTCGTAGTTGTAAATTAATAGAAAGATGAAGACAAATAGAAATATGCAGTGTAGCATCAAGGAATGATAGGACAAGTAAAAGCCGCGACAGTCCAATTTATACCAGGTCTGCATGTATCAAAGGCATAGACCTTCTGACCAATATTCGGAATGATGGCGTTTTCAATTTACTTTTATGGCATATACTAGTCCTTTTACGCCATATCGTACGACTTATAACAGTAACTGTTATATATTACCTAGGTCAACTAAACAAGATCTAGAACGTGACTCGGAATGATGGCATTTTTACTTTACTTTTATAGTATATACTAGTCTCTTTGTATTCTGTTTGTCGACACGTAAGCAAGCTAAACCCTTATTTATCTAGGTTAACTCAGTTGCCCAGGATGCAGGATACGCACTAATCCAGATGCTCGCTGCGAATTCCCTGTGTGATTGAATAAGCAATCCCGTCAGAACCCAACCATTCAGCCACACCTAAAAATTGGAACCTTGAAATTCCCCAGAGCCCCGGATGAGGACGGAGTGGCGAAGCTAAACTACCTTCGAGACTTTGATATGGCCATTCAAAAGTAAGGATATTTAGTCAGCGATTGAGATCTAGAACAATTTATCAAGGTCATCTACTGATCTCATCCTTGGAAGTTGGTCAGACGCTGATGCTCCTGTCTTGGTTTTTGACGGACTTCACTAATCTCGTCTCCTAGCTCGATATCGACCACCAAATTGCCTTCGACCAACTACGCGTTGCGGAATGTGCCTGTTTCGATTTGTACGGCGAAAAGCATAACCCAACATACCAGAGTGGAGCTATTCAGATACGTTCAGCTTTGGGTTGGCGGCACCAACTGAACTTTGCATCTCTTTGAAAAGGGAGGAGATACTAAAAGGGCATCCTTGCTTTTTTCCCCTCAGTAAAACATTTATCGGGACAGGTTATCCCGTGCCTAAAGAGGAAACCCGGTGCTGATGTTAGTGATGTATTCCAAAGGAGCTTTGTTCAAAAGTGATAGCCCAGCTTTTGAGGAACTCTTTGAATTTATGGCTTCACTACTTACATGCCTTCAGATGTTTCGCAGATTCTTGCCTTGATTTGATTCTCCAAGCTCTTGTCGACGGTGATATGCTTAGAGATTCGCCATAAGTTCTGTTCGACATAAAGGCAAATGTCGTCTCGATGAAGAAGAGATTTGGAGAGAGGGACATCGACTAAACTTGTGCAAATTGTTAGGGATGTATTGAGAGGTTGCGAATAAAATGATTCCTGTTCGTTCATGTAGTCGCAAAACCTCATCTACCAAGTTCGCCTGATCGCTGTCCGATTCTGACCACTCATCTAATCCGTCAACTATAATAGACGCTCTGGAAAACGACCGGATCACCCTGATCCAGTCTTTGTTTCTCATGAGCTTCTGGCAAAGAGGGTTAGGGACGTTCGATAATGGCTAGGTGTAGCGATCGGAATAGCAGAGTCATATGGATTGCATAGATTGTCAGTCAGTACTTACCACAGAAGCTATCCAGGACTAAAGGTTGACGTTGATCAAAAACCAGATTTACAACGAGAGATGCGCAAAAAGCACGCTTTAGGAGAAGAATCTGGTGATCTATCTATATAAGTCTACATTAATCTGAGACTAAAGTTCTCTTACTAAGTAATCAGGGTTAGAGAGCGGCAGGCCTCTGCCTCCCTGGGCCTTCCCAGTAGGGTCAGAGATAATGATTGTGATGTTAAGCTTCTAAGCTTGTCAGATCTAGAATCCGATATCAATACACTGGAGGATCTCTCATTTAGCTCTTATAAGCCTGAACACAAGACATGCGCTATCGAAATGGCAAATTTGGCACGCATACGTAAGGGTTCTATAGTACATGTACTACGCGGAAATAAAAAGCAGAACTTTCTGACAAAAAGTAGTTGGCCAAGTCATCGATTTAGATTTTGCTCCCGGTAGAAAGTTTCTAACGCCTGAACGGCTACGAGAGGCAGGTAATGCGCTTCAAGAGTAGAAAGCACATCTTCCAAACGAAATAAATCAAGGCGTTAAGGACAGAACCGCATCAGTGTCGGGTCATCTTCTACACCTCGCATACAAGTATGTTATGCTCTGGCCATGGGGATGACACGAGCTGACAAATAGTTAGCCACTTGAGGGTTCTCATATATAGGCATAATTTCGTGAAGCAAGGACACTGTGGTAACACTGGGAACATTTCAGTAACAGCCGCTTCTAAAATAAGCAAGTTCGCCGAAGGCATGCTAACACAAGGAACGCTACGTTATGGTCAAATGCATTCGTACGTCAGAAACCACAGTCTTGTAAGAAGAGACGCTCGCTGACCAAGTATTAGAATCACGAGCTTGTTTTCTGCGCTATCCATTCATGCGATCAGCATCAGACGAGGCACAACCGTGCGGCGGCGAATTGCTGAAAGCCGTGTACAGATGCGTCTACTTGGTCTCCAGGAAATACAAAAGTATTGGAGGATCAACAACAACGTACTGGACCTATTTTTCCAATATGTCAATGTCTCAATCGCTCAGCGATAGAACGGAGTATCTCAAACCTCCAACGCGATTAACCCATTGCCACTTTCAAGTAACGAGGAACCTGAGGGCAGTCGGTGTAATATTGGCTCAGAAAGGATTTCATTTGACTTTCCCACCTCTTCCACACAGGTTCAGGATGGGTCAGTCGAGGAACAGTACATGAACATGTTGTACGGAGTTTGGGAATATGGCTACGGAACGGCAGATTCAGGGACGTTATTGCAAGCTCATGACTCGTTGCAGTTACAAGGTTTTGATATTCTAGGCAGATCGCTGTAAAGTATCAGCTTGTACGGTTAGACCAAAGCGGAAGAAGAATTCGTGTCTCGTGATGTTTTTTTCTGTTCGACTTAATGTGACATAGCCGGCGCTTTCGAGCTAGCAAGCAGGTCTAGATTGACAACGGTCGATAGGTACGACTTGATGGGGACTTAGTCTTTTTAGTAAACGAAGACACAGGGAAAACAAACATGATTTAGTTCAAGGAGCAGCCATGTGCTGACCATGCAACAGGACGCCTCCACAAGCCCACTCAATTCTTCGACAACCCAAACTGCCCATAATCGCATCAGCAGTTAGTAAGAGATTGCTATCTGTACCACCTTCCTGGTCCCTTGTATAATGCTAGTAGAGTGATGCGATGAATTAAACATGAGAGCAATCATGTAACCTCAGTGGGTAGGTCAATCCTTCAACATGCGGCATGATGTTACAGCTTGAACCCGTCCATTCCCATTTCCGCCAGAATTACATCGTTATGTTCGCCTAATTCAGGCACTGGGTCCATCCTGGCTTCGTCAGCCTCTGCGGTAGCAGGAGGAGTTAGTGCCAGTACACGACCATTTGGCGTGTCTACTTCAGTCCACTGACCTCGAGCGCGCAGTCGGGGGTGCTTCCGGACATCGTGCGTTGTGTTGACCGTTGCATTGGCGATAGATGCTTTTTTAAGCTATTTGAGAACATCTGCTGCGCCGAAAGATTTAAAAGCAGCACAAATGATGTCCCGGAGTTCATCACGGTTTTGTACTTATAGCGAGTTGTTTATGAACTGGGCATACTGGCTTAGTGCTAGATTTCCAAGTATGTCTCGGCAGAAGCTGATCTACTCTCTTTTATTCTGTATCTTTAGCATAACTGTTTCCCTATTTTGGGCAATGAATGGCCTGTAAGGATAGATTGCCGCGTGAGAGGCTCTGGTTTGCTTAGGATGAGGTGCCCTTTGGAATGTGTAATATAGCGGGAAGCTCATCTACTCCACCATACTTTTAACCATGGAGATGTCCACTCTGCAGCCTATGCCTATCTTTTGATGGTGTATTAATGCTGCTAAGATATTTATGTATATATATGTCCCTGCAGAGATGTTAGTAATTGAAATCCTGACCTTTGCTGCCTCGTCCTTGGTACTAGTGATAGAAAGGAGTCCGGCTTTACTCTGTATTAGCAAGTTATATGACTTCCTATCTCCATATGGACCAATATCTCTAAAGCCAGATATATTGCAGATAATTAGATGCTTATGTTTCTTCTTCGGAGCATCATAGGATAACCCTAGCCGGGCACTCGCTCCTGGAGCTAGTTTTCGAACTAACACGTCTGCGCGTTCCAGAAGCGCTGAGAGAGCCCTGAGATGTTTAGGATATTTTAGGTTAAGTGATAAGCTCTGCCTCGACTGGTTCGCCTAGATGAAGAGAGATGCAAGTCTGTCAACCTGGGCATCGTATAAGCGAGAAAAATCTCCTACTCCTGGCCCTTTGATCTTGATAACGCGTGCACCCAGGTCCATGAGTTGCTATGTGCAAAATGGGGCTGCGACGGCGTGCTTAAGAGAGACGACAGTGATACCATCAAGTGGCCTTGACCTGGACTTTGATGGCGGTGAATGCTTTCCAGCGTCCAGCTCCTCAAACATCGCTTTGCTCGAAAGAGCTGCATTGGTGGGACGTCATCCTTAAGGAACAGTCTCCAAGCTTGCAGGGAGCCCCGTTCGCTTCTTCTTTCACGACGCAAATAGGAAACATAAAGACCCCACTAAATCAATCTCTAGATTAAATCAAGTGCCAAAGTTACACGCAAAGTTTTACATAGATAGCTCCTATTCTAAATAGCCAGCAACTGAGACATAGATCTCATTAATAAATAAGATTTTAATTATTATACTCTCTAGACCTTAGCCAGTACCCCTATAAATAACATAACACTCAGCATTAAATACATATTAGGTAAAGATTGACTACTACTAAAGGACTTGGTGGACGTTTGTGCTGCTGGTATTGTTACTGTAGGACGTGTCTTAGCAGATAAGGTTGGTAGGTCGTCAACTTCTGTCAGAGTGGGTTTATCCTGTGCTGACTGTGATAAAGGTTAATGTTCTTAGACTTATAACGTGGTGTAGCGCTTCACTTACATGCTCTTTCCCTATAACTGACGCGAAGTTGTCACAGGTCCCGTACCCCCAAGCATTGGATGTTACGGCTTCTGTGGCTAGACATGAAACGTTCCCAATGTATTGACAAGTGTACGCCAACCGAAGCAATCGAGGTTGGCACTCGCAAGAACTCAATCTTGACGTGTCCATATCAGATGTATACGGTAGGCAATCGCTAAGAAGATTTCTGGCAGTTTGACAAGCCTTCTCTACGTCGACACAGAGCTCCTCTGGGTACTCAGTGTATGGCTTGGCTGAGGGCGTTGTCGGAGAAAAGGTAACATAGCTACCGCAGAGACTCTCCCAAAGCTCGATGCCTCTGTCAAATGTTCCTTCGAGCTGGTTACCGAGGAAGCAGAGCTGCAGCTCATTCTCACACCTATTATCGGGAAAGATCAGCATCAGCGATGATGGATATTATTGCGTTCGGCTGTAGGGGAAGCACTCACTTATACAAAGAATCGAGATACTCTTCGTTGCACAGGCATTCTTGCTTTCCTGGGCGATCTAATACAGTCGCGCACGCGTTTCCGGAGTTAAGAAAATCATTGCAAGCAGGGAATGATGTCACGTCAGACCCGGCCTCGCAAGTCCAGCTGGTGGAGATCGTTTGGGCGGCGCAACTCTGTAACAATGATCCTAGCAGAATGCAAGGCTTCATAGTCCCGTGTTACTCAACGGTACCTGGAAAGAAATATCAGAAGGGCTCCGTAGGTCCAATTGCTGCTAGGCGATACAATAAAACCAGATAAAAGTTGCAGCCGTATACAATAGTTGGTTAGAGACGATGCCACAAGTTGGGGTTTTATCCTCCCCCTCTCCAACCATCAGTAAGCATGTGAGTAATCAGTGAATCAGCTTTGTCTCTAGTCTTGAACTTTTATTCGGTGATGTAAGCTCCAAAATGGCAAGCTGAAAAAGTGATAAGCCATTATCACCTCCGGTAATGCAAGGTTGTAACACTCACACCATATGATTGGTTAATGGGTCGTCCTAGGTTCAGCCTCACCAATATTTCTAACCATTTTGGATTCACTTATTCGCTATGGCGTTTACCTGAGTTGCATTGAGAAACTCCACTAAGAATTGGCAAGCTTTTTGTATTTATAAGTATAAACGGCAGTACTTAAGGCAGACAAGTATACGAATGTTTCCTTAACCCTAAGACTAAACCTGTATTATCTTCTAACATGCGTTTCAGTACAATAAATCCACATTTTTTACAGTCCTTTCGGACTTCTGTAGGTCAATGTAAGTAATGTCTTTGCTGTTTCGTTCTTCAATTATTGGCACGAGGCAGTATAACAAGACATTACTTTCTCTGACATTACATCACAGTCCATGGAAGCATTATCGCGTCCTTAATCGGCATTATCAAAAAAATTTCAAAATCCATCAGTGGTAAATACAATGCATACAAGCAGAGAACCCCTCTTCAAAGGCCACCGCTGCTTCTCACAAACCAGGGCATGGCTCTTCAGCTCCTCTGTCAATCTGTGTTAATCACCACTATCTGTGCGCTATGGCATCAATCAAACACCAACAATGGGCTCGTTACTGTGGGGGACAGTCCTGACCCTTCATTCGACTCTAGGGGCTTTCATCCGCCCCCGATCCTCAGCTCTTCTATTGTCTGGGCCACTGTCCCGGCGTGGATAGTGTCGGCCTATTCCTCGCTGTGGTCTGCAATGCTTGATTCTCTCAAAAAGGTCTATCTTCTTTTAGAGCTTGAGAAAGAAAACCAAAAGCACCTACCGTGTGTTCAAATATTGGCACGGTTTTGGGAACGAGTCTCTCATCACCAATCCACTCAATCTCAGTCTACCCCACAAACAAAGCACTCTACAATTGGAAAGACTTTGTTGTTGGACTACGGGGAGTGGCCTGTCATAAATGGTATTAGAGCGGTTTTGGTAGGCCATGTTCTTTTGGGTTTCTGTCTCCTATTACGAGCAGCGCTGTGGACTGCAGGTGGTCTCACGGCGGCAATCTTCGCCACGACTTTGGTGCCTTCAGAAACGCCTGCCACACTCTACAGTACGCAATACTTTGACGAATATCTTGGCTGGGACGAGGGCAGAGGAGCTAGCAACTCTTCTATTACACCCGCTTTCGACATTGTGAGTGCAACGGTTTTAAGAAGCGGAGATGACTATCCTTGGACCACAGAGACACACTCTTTCTTACCATTTGTCCCAGTTCATAAGAACGCCCCTGGAAACTACACTTTCAAAACTGAGGCATATTCCTCTATAGTTAACTGTACTATTGCTACTGAAGATGACCTGGTCAAAATAGGAGGGATCAGTCTAGACCTCGAGGAGGGTGACGAATTGGACTCTGCTCAGCTTCGATTTGGCTTTCAGTCTGACGGCTGCAGCGTCAGCAAGTGGTTCACCATAACCAATAATACCCTGCAGTATGCGAGAACTTGGTCTGCCGACTGTGGTTTGAGTAGTGGTCGAGCAAGATTTGGAATGTTTTCGGGTGTCTTTAATGCTACCGAAAGGTTCCGTCTCTCTAGCTTGACTGTTATAACTTGTCAGCCTCTGGTATATAAGTCCAGTGTGACATTGGAAATGTCATTTCGCAATAACACCGCCAACCCTAAAGTTATCAGGTTTTCCGAAACAAGCAAGCAACAGATCTGGCCTTTTTTCCTTTTCAACTGGCTGCGAATTATCCCTCGATACTCTGTTTTCGATCCAACGGTGTACAATGACATGGATACCTTCTCTCGCCTCGTCATAGGACTGGCCTCCAGGGAACCGACGCTTAACACTTTACCCGAGAAACAACAGATCGCCAACTCCTTTGGAATTGTCTTCACTGCTCTTTTCTCAAACTTCGTGACGCTACAAGGCTATTCTAACGCACCAAAACGAGAAATCATCAGCACCCTGTCAAGGCTAAAGCTTCGGCTATTTGTCGTTAAGTCGGCTGCATTAGCTATAGTTGTTATCCTTGCCACCACATTTATTACTACTGTTATCCTGGCGATTTCTTTACACCGCAACCGACATATCATTAGCCCTTATATGGACCTCCTGCTAGGTACGGCAGTGCTGTTACGGAATGGAAACTCTTCCGGCCTTGAGAGCTTCTTGGACGATCTTGTAAACTCAGGTAATACGCTTAGCCCTGGGTTGAATAGCATTGATATTGTGAAGCTTGCCAAACGGCGGCCGGATTTGAAAGACTATATAGTATGGGCAGAGGGAACACCAAGAACCTTGCATATAAAGCGGCCATAAGATTGTATAATAGTCTATAATGTCTATAAACTACCTTGGATAATAACCAAAAAGCTTGCAGTGCAACAGTTAAACCACCGCTTGGCTTCCTACTGATTGCTAATATCCTAAATGCGCCTATTAGCCTCGCTCTTAAAATGTTACTTGTCTTCCTGCTGGATCTTATTCAAAAGTTTAACCTTGGGGACGTGGAGCGACTCCTGAAATTTCCAATCCAGTTATGCAAGTACACTTATTTCACCGCCTGCCGCAGCGGAATCCAAGTGCAAGGGGAAAGTTTAGGGTTAAGATTAATAAGAGGAAGAATTAAGAGGGCATAAAATAAAAATATAAATTATAATTAAGAGGTATTTATAAATATACTAAATTATATAGGTATAATACCTGTTTTAGAATTTTAATAGTTTTATAATAATATACTTAATTATATACTATTTTGCCTTTTATAATTTTACTTTAATTTCTTAAATTTCTCCTTAATAACTTATTTTTTTATTCCCTTTTATAGTTATTTTTTATTAAAATATATATTAAATTTATTCTTTTTATAAATAGCCCTAGGTATAATAACTAAAGTTATTTACTTTTATTTAATTAATAGCTTTACTAAGTAATTAATTTCTTACTTAACTTTTATATATATTATATTAATAAATTATAAACTTATTCTTCTAGGAAAGCCTTTTACTTATATTAAAACATATAAGCACTTAGTAAATATATAATTTCTTTGAATTATAAAAATTAAATTAATATTAATTAATATTATTTTAAAAACTAAAAGTAAAAATAAAAATAAAAATAAAAATAAAAAAAGATTTTAAGTTTTTTTTTATTAATTATCTTATTATAAGTTAATATTTAACTATTATAAGTTAATACAAAGGATTTAAACTTTAATCTTTTCTTTAAAAATAATTTCTTTTATATTTTTTTATAAATATTATTTATATTTTATTACCTAGCTTTTATTATTTAAATAATATTAAAGTATAAATAAGCTATTATAACTTTTAGGCTAATTAGAAATACTTATATTATAAAGCTATTTAATATTATAATAAGATTATACTTATAAAATAATATATGCCTTAACTATGCTATATTTAATTACTATTATCTAAGCAGAATGTGAAAACCAAATTCGGATTTATCTGGCGCCAACATCCATCAACTCCGTCCCGATACGGACATAGTATAATAGATCATGTCTAAGAAATCGAGCATGTCGCCGGATCAGGACGTGGCGAAAGCGTTAAGGCAGGTAAGCCGCCAGTAATGGAAATATCCGCGGAAATGTCTCCTGAGCTGAATGCAATGAATAACTTATTTAAAAGAACTTTAAATAGGTTATACAGCCAATAAGAGAAATAGTTATTTCCCGGGAGCCAGCAGACGGAAGACCTCCAGTTAGTAAAAGAAAAAGTTAAAATATTTCTTAAATTTACTCTTAATTCCACCGTACTTTACGTAATTCTTTTTTACTACCTATCAGCACGAAGCGTTTCTCTTTAACAGTCTTTAACGTCTTACGCCGTGGCTCAGGCCTAGACTCATTAATTGAGACATGGGCTTAGGCGGTATGAGCCTAGAACCTCACAAGCTTAAAAAGTGGCTTGTGAGCGGAAAACCAGTGCGTTTCCCTCAGCCGTTCAAAGAACCGTACAATGGTCTAGACTCTATGTACCAAATAGTCACAGTAAGCTTGCTAATCAAGGCAGAAGTTGGTTCCCTGTTACATGAAATCCCCACAGAAGAGGCTTAACTAAATCGGTCTACATGGCAGTAGGAATCTGTTCCTTATTCACCTTGGACTCCAGAAGGAGACTTTTCAGGGCATTGCAGTTGACAAGCTCATGCAATTGCTTGCTGCCATTATCAATCTTTTTGCCTTTCTATCGACGTTGTGCTTTGTCACCAGCCATGCCAAAGATCCAAGCAGTACGAAAAAGGGACTTTTAGGTGCCTTGATTGGGTCATTGACTCTTGATAAACTGTGGGCGAATTGTTTCTCCGCATCTGACAGAGTGCTACTATAACCGCTCTAGACTTGAAATTTAGCGTGGCCATTCATCCGATCACTAGTTGGCAAGGGAGCTGCGGCTGAAAGGCTCACGAGTAAAGAATCAAAGCGCCACCTGCCAGAGTTATTCGATTGTCATATTTATCACAGCGTGGGATCAGATCAATAACATGTGATGCGTCAACCTTAACTATAAATTCGGTAGCCCTCGCCCATGATCAGAGCCTTCAAACTCGTATCACCAGGCTTCCCATCAACACTCAACAATTATCACTGAACTTCGACTCCAATCAATATATATCATGATTTCCCCATTTCTTCTGCTATCTCTCCTTACCCTCAGTTGGGCTTCACCTGCTCCCCTTACTCCCCTCTCAATCTTTAACGACAATTCCATCAAAACCGTTAACCAGCCCGACTCTGGACTACTTAATTTCACCCTTCATTCCAGGGATACTCTTGAGAAGAGAGCCTTGACTCTAGCCTACCTGCTATGCGATGTCACTTTCAACGGCCGCAATAACGCAAACTGGCAACCTTTCCAAGTCAAGGGCGAGTTAATGCTCGTTCAGGGAATCCCTTCCTCTGGAACCACGAACGGCGCGAACCCATATGATGTAGTTATCTCAATTGGCACCCCTATTTCGAACCCGGTGGCCGGAAGCATCAGCTATGTCACTAATCGATATCTCAATCCGTTCATCAGCGGTCGTCGGGATCTGACACGTCTTGACTTTGCAAGAGTCTCTGCTACATCCAACACGGTAACAGTTAGTGTTGATACATCTCTTGCTGCTGCAAACCAGATTTCTGTTTTCAATGCACGGAGTGGATTTACTGCCAATATTTATAACCCGGCTGCTGGGGGCTTCAATCTGGTTTTTGGAAACAATGGTGCGATTTCGGGTAAGATTGGTATTACTGGAAGAGCACCTGTTTCTGGAGGCCAAGCACCATATCAGGCAATTATCAGTGGAAAGGTTAAGCAGAAAGGAACATTTACGCTTTAGACAGCTTGGTTATATTATAACTATGATTATATTATTTGAATAAGGAATAACAAGCTTGGGCTTATTGACAGCTTAGGTAACTAGTAGTTTATAGGATAATAAAGGATACTAAAAGGGCATCCTTGCTTAATTCTCCTTAGTACAACATTTATCGGAACAGGTTATCCCGTACCTAAACAGGAAAGCTTCCGGCTAATGCAAATTCGGAAACGCGTTGATTTTCCTACTTTTAATAAAATAGATAAATTCGCTTCCTGCTTTATTTTATATTACTTAAGGTGGCGATAGAGTCGCTTTGTTATTAGTGCTGGACGAGGCTGCGCAGATATCATAGCCACATGTCTCAACCTCAAATTGCGCCAATGAACGTCTCATCATACCAATCGCCCTCAGAACTTGCTGCCCAAGTGGCATCTCTTCCTCCACCACGGCAACTCCTCCTCTTTGGAGACTCTATCACACAGGGCGCCTCCTCACTGCAGAGCGAGCTGTCGAAACGGTACGTTCGCCGGCTCGATGTACTAAACCGGGGTTTTGGTGGGTACAACACAAACTCAGCTTTGACTGTCCTACCGTCGTTCTTCCCAGCAGTGGCACCTTCGAGGACTGTTCCTCGTGTCGCTGCTATGACGGTTCATTTTGGTGCCAACGACTCTTGTAGTCCAGGCGAGCCTCAGCACTGCGACCTCGACAGGTTCAAAACAAACGTCAGACGTATTTTGAACTGGGAGGGTGTTAGGCTTCACAAGACGAAAGTACTCCTTGTGACGCCCTCTCCCGTGGAAGAGTATCGGCTGCCACATGACGGAAAGGGCAGGGCAGACCGAGTGGCGATGTATGCAGACGCGATCCGGGATATTGGGAAGCAGGAAAATGTACCCGTCGTTGACCTTTGGACGGCAATGATGCGCACCGCTAATTGGAAAGGTGATGCTGTTGACGGCATATTGCCTGGGTCTTCAAGGACAGTCCCCAGCATGGAACTTGGGCGACTCTTCTACGATGGACTTCACTTGAACCAGGAAGGGTATGGAATCTACACGGAAGAGCTTTTACGTGTTCTTGAAGCGGAAGTTCCCGAATGTCGGATAGAAGGCACTGACGAGTGGTATCCCGAGTGGATTAGGTTTCATCCACCTGCAGCATCGAGGGTAGTCGAGGACGACTCCTGACTTGCTTGAAAAGAGGCTGCGAGATAGATAGATTACCGTTTACCATGCAACTGAATGTTGTTTATCTTGCAGAACTTTTACAGCTAATTTATGGTGTCTAAGGGTAATGTAAATAGTGAACAGAGAATACACAGTTAGGATACCATAATAAGAATGTTTATTTTCAAGGAACAAAACAACATACCACATCACATACTACAGGAGAGAATAGGGTAATAGATAAAACATATATACTGAAACTATTGCATATAAACTAAAATAAATATGTTGCATATGCTGCCGCAAGCCCAGTCCACAAGGAGTGCTGTATTCTGCTTTATTCTTTACTGCTGGTAAAGCCGTCGAGGTTGGTAATAACGTTGATCCACGATGCTGCAAAGAATTCGACCATCTAGAGATCATCCTAGTTTGATCGATGAGAGGAGGCTCGGCGACGGGCAGCAGTCGAGACAGCCTTTGTGCTTATGGCCTGAGCATGATCAATCACCACGTCCTGGTACTCTTGCGTGCCATAGAACATTGCGTAGTCATCGTAAGGGTTTGCACCACTTGGAAAGTTTGTCCCGAATTGCCAAAAACTATCATATGCAATGTCGCTGTCAATGATGGTTTGTTGCCACTGCTGCAGGACAGCCGTGCGGTTTGAGGTTGTGCTCTCAACACCATATTCTTCTAGAACGATAGGCTTGCCGTACTTGAGCGCCAGTGCTGCGTGGTCACGGATCCATTGGTTGCCCCACGGGTACGTGTAACCCCAGCCGATGGGGTACATATGAACAGTACCGTAGTCAAGTGTGGAAATCTTCAGATTGGCCTCAAAATCGATACCCTCGGAGCAGGAGTACGCATAACCGAGACTGGTGTCGTCCGAACAGAGCCAGCCTTCGTCGCCCAAGGACACACGATGTTTTGGGTCTAGAGATTTGATGAAACTGGATAGCTCTGTGGCCCAGCCAGTGATCACACTGGTATCGCAGTTCTGGCACCGTGGCTCGTTGCAGAGCTGCCAGGAGAAGATAGCTGGAGAGTCCTTGTAGCGATTGACGATGAAAGTTACATAGTCTCTGTAGGCCTTCTGAGCCTCTGCATGGGTCCAAAAGTTCTCGTGGGTGCATCCAAAGTAGGCACAGTAGGTGTTGATGCCACCCAGGTCATCCCAGTTATTCAGCATGGGTAGAACCAGCTGAATGCCGTGCTTCTCTGCGGCAGCAACAGCGGCGTCGAGGCGCGCGATGCCGTTGGTACCATTGTTGATCGTGATGGTCTTCTTGGTCGTGTCGAGGAACTGAAAGTAGACAGGCTGATCAGCACCCGTGTTGGTGTTGCCGAATGCCCAGACGCGAGTGACTTTCAGCCCACTGTCAGCGATCTGAGACATGGCTTGCTCGACATCGTCGTCTGACGTGAGGTGGCTCATCCACCAGGTGTTGGTGCCAGCGAAGTATTGATTCTTCCCGTCAATGTTGAAAACTGGTGCTACTTCTCTCTGCCTTGGCCGACCCTTGACAGCCGACGCCGCTGCAAGAGCAAACAGACTGAGCGAAGTAAATACTTTCATAGCTATCGAAGATGTAGGGTGCGTCTACAAAAGGCTTGTTGTTGGCAGGATAAACAAATTGGCTTGTAGTGAGCCGTGGGAGGTTATCTACTGTAAGATATGTAGTTATTTATACATCAGCCTCGCGGGACAATAATGGCTGTTGGTGTCTTCATGTAGAACAAGGGACTGAAACATGCCCCGGAGACAGTTTAATAAACTCGTCACCAAGGTCCGAACCAGAAGTGGTAATTCTTTTGCGCATCATCTTGGGGGTGATTGAATGAACCAAGTCGATCCCTGGGACCCGTTGGTCACTCTAATCGAGCCGGGTTCCCTGGCAATGGTGCTGTCACGGACTGATTAGAAGTGGATGCTAAGCTCCAGTGATCTGACACGCCGATAAATAATAACAACCGGGCACTTCGCATTATCTTATTATTATAATACTTGGGCAATATTAGATAGAATCTCCCTATCTTCCAAGATATTCCTCTATTATCTTTATACTTACGCATTTACCGTATAGCTAACATGTGGCATCGTTAAACTCTTCACTCTCGGTTGTATTATGTCCCTTGTGCTTAGAGCTCATTACCTGGTTTATCCCTGCTGGCCTGCCTCCTCGCATTTGATAATTCGATCATTCGATGTTTTATTGTGTGCTTTGGTCGATCATCCCCCGCGGGGAAGTGGAGCGATGCTTTTGAACTGGAGTTTTCGTACCCCAGGTCAACTAACTCATTCAAGCGCGGTTAGTCTTGTTCCGACCTCATTTAGGGTCGGTTCCCGCTTCCAACCGAGTCAGTTCGGCATGGTTATGCGGCAACATATGCCAGCCAAACAACCAATCCTGAATCGCAAAAGACATAGCAGCAGCCATGCTCGAGGATGACCATTGACCCCCCTCAACTTTACTTTTTTAGGCACGGGTAGCCTTGATCCGACCTCGCATCGAGAGTTGACTAATCCACTGGGCTCATTTAGGGTTGTCCCGTTCCCCGCATCTAACAAAGTCGATTCGGCATGGTTGTGCCGCGCAAAAAGACCATACTGACTTGCAAGACATCGCTATAGATATTTAAGTTGTTGCGATCCACAGCAGAATGGCTTTATTCTTCCTCCTTCTCCACCGTGTTCCTCTTCAGCGAGTTCCCTACCATAATGCAGAAGGAAGACGATAAAGTCCAGACCGTGGAGAGAGTCCCGGACTCGGCAGCCGCTGACCTGGCGACATCGAAGACAGCAAAAGTCCAAAATGTTGCTTATAGCGATGCCATCGCCAAGGATAACCTCTCTCCGCGGGCAACGTCCATCTTCAAACTCTATGCCATCATTGCTCTCGTCACGCTAAGTAAGAATCTTCACAACATGCACATACCCTACAACTAATGACCATCCATAGATAATTGCGGTAATGGTTTTGATGGAACTATCATGTCGTCCATTAATGCTATGGATCCTTTCCATAAATTCTTCGGCACTGAAATGCAAGGTTCTTCTATTGGAGCTGTCTTTGCGCTCTACAGCGTCGGAAACATCCTTGGCTGTCTTGTTGCCGCTCCCGCTGCCGACATCTTTGGACGAAAGTTCGGCATGATCACCGGGTCGATCTTTGTCATCATTGGTACGGTGATCCAAGCGGCGGCCCAGAATGTCGGGACATTCATGGCGGGGAGACTGTTCCTCGGTTTTGGCTGCACCATCGCAGTAACTGCGTCTCCTATCTACCTAGTTGAGATGGCCTACCCTTCTTGGCGCGGAACTCTGGCTGGTCTGTACAACGTAGGCGGCTGGTATATTGGATCACTTAGTAAGTTTCGGCTGCACAACTAGATTCGCTGGCCTTGAATTAACATGTTGCCAGCATCTACATGGACTGCCTATGGAACAGGCCGATTAACTTCCAACTGGTCCTGGAGGATCCCCATCATCATTCAGGTCGTCCCCGCAACTATCATCCTGTGCGGCGTATGGTTCATCCCGGAAAGTCCCAGATGGCTCATGAGTCACGGAAAGGAGGAGCAGGCACGAGCTGTGCTCATCAAGTATCACGGAGACGGCAACCCCGAATCAGCTGTCGTGAAACTGGAGCTCGACGAGATGCGTGCATCCATCGAATACCAAGCGGAAATCGAAGCAAGCCAAAAGTGGTGGGACTACCGCATGCTCTTCGACAACAAGGAGAACCTGCACCGATTTTACTTACTGTTCTTGGTCGCGATCTTCTCCCAGTTCATCGGTGGTTCGGTCATCACTTACTACATGCCCGTCATTCTAGAGAACGTTGGCATTACCAGCTCTTCTCAGCAGCTTCTACTCAACGGCGTCAATGTCATTTTCGGTTTCTTCAGCGGCGTTGCAGGTTCATTTTGCGTTGAGAAGTTTGGACGCAGGCCTCTGTTTCTTTGGGGTGAGTAAATCCGTCCGTCTCACATACAACCATGACTGACATTCCCCAGGCACATTCTTGACAGGTCTCGTCTATATCCCTATCAACGTCATCGCAGCCAAAGCCCACGGTCATGTTGACACATCAACCGGTTACGCCTTTATTGCAATGATTTTCTTGTATGGCATTTTCTGGTCTTTCTGCTGGACTCCTCTGCAGTCTTTATACCCCAGCGAGGTGCTACGCAATGACATTCGAGCCAAGGGTATGGCCGCTTCCGGCTTCTTCAGTGGTGTTTCGGGCTTCATCAACACGTATGCCACACCAGTCGCTCTTCAGAAAATTGGTTGGAAGACATACACCATTTTCCTTATTTTGCATTTTGTTGAGTGGGGAATGATGTATTTTGCTCTTGTCGAAACAAAGGGCCGGTCTCTCGAAGAAATCGACGAGATTTTCAAGAGCCCCAACCCGGTCAAAACATCCAAGCAGAAGCACGAAGTCTACATCAAGGAGGGTGCAGGCGTCACTGCCGACTTGGGCGCAAAGGAAGCCTGAGTGCATTTGTTGTTTAAGGGGACAAGATGAACACGTTGCATATGGCCGGGTATATTGCAAGTGATGGACTTTTATCGTGCTCTTTTCGATGCCAGAGCTGAGTTGTGGGGTTCTGATGTCGGCCTTTTGGTAGTGTTGAAAGTATGCCTGCTGGTGGATGGGATTGAGATTATTGAGCGTATTAATAGTGTTCTCGATATATTCATCATTACCATCGTATAACCCTGCTCCGCCCAGCAACATCGTCGAGTTTCTCCCGCCACGTCCGCAGCACGGCACGAGCCTCTCTCTGTCCTGTAAACGCAAATGTGATGTTAAATATGCGAAACATTGGGTCAACCTCCTCCTCCTCCTCTTTCTGCCCTTCCTTCCCTTCGCCTCCTGCAGTCCCAGCATCCAAGCCTTGCTCCAGCCAGTATTCACACACCGCCTCCTTCTCCCTGTCCATGATCGCCTCTGCGAGACTTGCAGAGATGAGACTGTCCCAGCCACCCTCCAGCCGCGGGTGCCTGAGCAGGGTCACAGCACGGCGGCGGGTTGACTGTCCGATACCACTGTGGGCGACGAGGAAGAGGTGCTGTGTATAGGATACCCGGCGGGTCTTCACAGGATCGAGGTTCATGATCTGCTCGGCGAGGTCGACTATAGACTTGTACAAGGCGGGGAGGTCATTTTGACGCTTGACCAAGTCATGTTCCTCGGGGTCCTGAATCAGGAGGAGGCGATTGGCGCTCTGGAAGAGGTGCAAGGGGAGTATGGCATGCGGCTCCCGTTTCATTGCGTCTACCTCGTGTTGGAAGATATTAATTGCTTTCCTTATTTCGTTGTAACATCGCGTATGTGCTTCCTGTCGCGCGACCAGCATTGACAGTCCTGCTGGTCCGGACTTGCCCGTCTGAAGATCCCCGAGCTGCTTGGCATGTTCTTGCGAGAATAGGATCAGTCCGCTGAAGAGAGACTCAGCAGCGCAGTAGGCTTGATTAATACTTTCTGGCATCGGGCGGTGCGAAGGCCGTGGTGCTGTATAGTAGCGCCATGTATTAAGTGTCTTGTTTTGCAAGAGCAGAGTCGGACTCTCAGTTATACCGCCATGGTCAAGTGCTTCTAACTGCAGCTCAAGGGTGACCAGAATGGACTGTATCGGTGCAATCGATACCGGAACTGACGAGATCCAGCTCTCCTCTTGGGCAACCTCCGGGAGCTGTTCCTGATTCAAGGTTGTCCTCCCTTTCGTGGCGAGACCCTTAAGTTCGCGGAGGAGATTGCATCCAGCCTGCAGATGTATCCGTGTCTGATCGTGAAGTCCTTTGATTGTGCATACATACGTAAAGATAGTGCTGACAATAAGCGCTCTCCACCGATCTGCATGTCTCGGCGACTTTGACTCGGTGAGACAACGAATGGCCGAATTAAACTGCTTCAGAGCGAACACGCTCCGCGATCCTTGGCTACGCTGTGCAAAGTCCTCGTGGGCAGAACCGAGGCTGACAACGGCGTGCCAGATGGCCGCGTCGGACATGCATACGCGCGGTACCTCGGCGAGCCAGAAGTCGGCGTAGAAAGCCCCAGCGAGGGATGGCGCCGTGATTTCTAGGAAGAAACGGTAGCTGCGCACCTCTTCGGGGCTCTGGCGTGGCAGGATGAGCTTGAGATCGGCAGTAGCGCTGTAGGAGTCGGAGGATTGAGGGGAAGGTGATGTGGAGGTTGACGATGAATAGGATGAGGATGGAGGAAGAGTGTACCCATCACATGTGCGGCCGGTGGAGGTACAGCGCAAACAGACAGGTTTGCCTTCGTCGCACTTTACTCTGCGAATCCTGGCAGAGTCAGTGCGTCAGTGTGCTAGACTATGAAGCAAGGGACGGATGCCATACCATCGACATGGTGGGCATGTCAGGCATCTAGACTGACCTGCAAGTGTGACAGCCCGTCTTAACCTTGGGGTGATATGCCCGCCGCAATCGACTTACGCCAGCTGTAGACGCTTTGGATGGGATGTCGACCATGGCGCGGGAGTCAACGAGCAAACGATCCTCTGTGCAGTCCTTTTCTTCTCTTTAACTCATCGTGTGCCGACTCGAACCATATATAGCGACCAGCTATTTACACCGAAGTATCCAAGATGAAATAGTTAGTTCGAAGGCATTTTTGCCAATGGGTCGCAGGCTCGCAGCCAGTACGGGAAATGGGGCAAGGATAAGACCCAAGCATGAGGTTCGGGTTATCGATTCCCCGACCCCAGGATAAGATGAGATAATCAGCACTAGCAGGGACAAAAAAGGGACCGTAAATTGCCATGACTCGAATTGAGCGACACAGCCAATCACAGCGCAAGTACAGTACAGACGCATGCTGATTGGTCTGTTTCTCAGTGGCGTAAGCATAACCATTTTGTGTACCGTATTCCACTACGAAATTCATCACGGCTACACGAGGCTAAGTGCCAGTCCCTTGAGCGAGCCGGCCACTCAGAGGGCTTGCTGAATACTCTGGAAGAGTATTTTGGCCAGATTATGTCTGTTGTTGCCTTGGCGTAATGGAGTTCCTATACACCTACACGCGCGTTCATTGACTTTTACCCACGCGTCTTGTTCTATAAAGTTGACGATGCTATCCTCTGTAAATTACTCTCTCTTCGTCTCTCATTCTCACACTGGCATTTCTTCGATTCCCATCATGAACTACCTTACTCTTGCCCTTTCTCTGGGCCTTGCTACCTTACCGCAGCAGGCCAATTCTCAAGAGACCCCATGCCCTCTCCTAGGTGCCATCTTTCCGCCCGTCCAGCATCCGCTCAAGTCCAGTGCTTTCTCGGACACCATTGCCCAGCTCAACGCCACCTTCAACGAGCTTGACCGTAATGGCACTCTCGAGGGGTTCAACACTACATTCTACATCCAGGCCTTCTCCGCTTCGGACACCCTCTTCCAGCACGGATACGTCCCTCCCTCCATGAAGGGTTTCTTGACCTCAGGGACTCTCAACGAGGATACTGTATTCCGCGTGGGTAGTGTTTCGAAGCTTCTTACAGTCTATACCCTGCTCGCCGAGGTTGGGATGAAGCGCATGAATGATCCCGTGACGAAGTGGGTGCCTGAGCTCGCCCATGAGGCCAGGAAGAACAAGGGCGATCCCACCCGCAAAGTACAGTGGGATGAGGTTACTATCGGGCAGCTCTCCGGGCATTTAGCAGGCATCAGCCGGAACTGTAAGTACCGCCCCAAGTAGAGGCACAGTCACCTCTTCTAATACTTGCATATAGTTGGGTTCTTCGATATGAGTTCCGTCATCGAATCTACTAACCAGAATCCCGAGTTATATGGTCTCCCCATCCTGGATAAAAAAGAGAAACCACGTTGCAGTGTCTCAGATCCATCTCTGAGACCCTGCTCTCGTAAAGGTATATATTCCTGACTCGCTTGTTTGGGCGCATTTGCTGATGTTTTGCGCACAGAGTTCTTCTGGGGCATTGCGGCTCAAAGCTTCTTCCCCATCACATCCACCGCAAACACCCCGGTGTACTCCAATGTCGCGTACCAAATACTCGCCTATGCTCTGGAGGGCATGACTAGAAAGCCATTCAAGAAGTCTTTTCAATCCTCCCTCCTCCATCCTCTCTCTATGAAGGGTACAAGCCTGGAGGCACCCGGGAGCAAGGAGAACGCCATGATCCCCGAGAATGAGCAGCTCTCGTGGTGGAACGTTACTACAGCAGATGGTAGCCCGTAAGTCCGCCCACCCGAATTTTGCATCTCACATGGCTAACCCTCCATAGCTATGGCGGCATGTTTTCCACAGCTGCAGACCTCACACGCCTCGGTCAATCTATCATCAACTCTTCTATACTCAGCCCCGCCGAAACCCGCTCCTGGATGAAGCCCATTACCCATACAGCGTATGTCCACATGTCCGTTGGTATGCCTTGGGAGATCCGGCGCACATACATCCCCCTCGGCCGCAGCGGAGCCCGGGTCGTTGATCTTTACACAAAGAACGGCGCCATCGGCCTTTACACAGCGATTTTTGTCCTTTCACCGGACCACGAGATTGGCTACGTAGCGCTAATCGCAGGAGCTAACCGTGCCTACCTGTTAAGCTACCTCCCTGACCTGCTCGCACAAACACTGCTGCCAGCCGCCGAGAACGCGGCCCGTGACACCGCCGTTAAGCGGTTTGCTGGCACCTTTAAGGGCCCCAAGAGTCAGCTGACAGTCACTATGGACGATACGCTCATGGTACGGAACTGGACCCGCGGCGACGTCGACGTGATAGCCACGCAAGCCGCGCTTACATGGCCGGGGTTGGATGTGACACCGGTGCTAAGGCTATACCCTATGGGATTGGAAGGAAATAAGAGAATGTCTTTCAGAGGTGCCTTCGAAGCTCTAGCCGTAGATGAATCAACAGCAGAGGCTGAGACGAACGCGACAGATGCGAACATTGGTCCTTTCAGTGGTGGGTGCCTGTCATGGGGAGGAGTCGACTCGCTGACCTATGGCAACATTGGGGTCGATGATTTCGAATTTGAGGTCGATGGGGATGGCAACGCCACTGGTCTTACACCAAGGGTGATGAGGGAAACTCTTGAGAAGGTTTGTTAATTTGCAGTTGGAACCTGTGGCTGAGAGCTTATATCATTACCCTGGGGGAAGCAAGAAAACTTGGGATCTTGATCCTAAGCGATGAGAATACTTAGGTAAGTCTAGTGTATTTTAGTAGACCTTTACACCAGTTAATGTTAACACCTTGCTTTAATATCAGAAGTTTTGACCCCCCAAGGTCATAAGACAGAACTCTATAACATAGCAATTAGATTTCAATACGCGGTTCCAGCGGAAAAGTAATTGTTAGAAGCCTAAATGCGAAGGCCTAAGCATAATCTATAATTAATTCAGACTTGTAAAAAGCCCAATCACAAAGTATGGCATCCGATCAGATAATATATGGTAACCCCGTGTCCTCACCTCGTGTCCTAAAGCTGGTTATTTTATATTTATAGTAAAACAGCCCTCCCCCATTCTGAACCAACAATATGTCGAATCTCAGCACAAACACCCTCTTTCCATCCTCTCATCACAAAGGTATTACGGCTAGAACTATTATCCAAGAAGCACCCATATGAGAACAACACGAGAGCCGCAGGTTCATGATTTTCAACAAGCCTCATAAAATCTTTTCCAACTAAGCAAATCCATTGTAATGATGCTCGATGTGCCGGGCACCACTCGGATGTCTGTGCCTTTTTTACCAGCCACTTCATCAGATCCAGAGCGTCCTGACAGATTTGCTTGGTGTTCGGATCCACTTCTTTCTCTAGAAATGTCAAAGAATTAAGCATGTGGAGGACGGGATCGAGGGGCCCATGGTCTAGTGGTTCGGCCTCAGTGACAAAGAGTATAAGCTCGTGACGATCTGGTCGTATAACGCCATATGTTTCTGCAATAGCCCTGACGCCCCTCGTGAGCCTGCAAGTAACGAGCAGGTCGCTCAGCATGGTAGGAGGCTCGTTTCTCACCCGTACAAGTTCTTTGACTGAGCCTTGGGCATAGGAGTTGATCATCATGAGAACTGAGGCAAGATGACAGACAGGGCCGTTGTTGATATTGGCTTTTGCTACCGCGTGTCTCATCATCCCAGCGGCGGCTTGAGAATACTTGAGTCCTAGGGAGGCGTAAATATCCCGTCGTATCCGATGTCCCGGCGCGTCTACTTGTGATTGATGGGCAGTATGTGCTTGTTCGAATGATGATATAGCCAGTACGAGGTTCAGGATAACTGGATGATCGAATGCGAGGTGAATGACTTCATGCTGCCAAAGGTCCTCTGACCCTCGTTGATGAACAATGGCCGTGTGAGCAACTTGGTGCCAGTGGCATAGCAGCTCTCTATCATGTGCAGCCAGGCCATCTGTAGGAGATGGCGCAATTCGTTGGAGATGAGTGATGTCAATATTTGATACCCGAGTCTTATTTTGTGGTGACTGCGTCCTGCTGCGCGATGACCTTTCTTGGGTTATGAGGCTACATGTCGAGCTACGGCGAACGCAGGCTGTACACGGAATTGCTTCGTCACACTACAATGACCGTAAGCGATCGTTCATCTTGTCCAGTCGATATCATCCATTACCTTGACTTTTCTCGTCTTGCACTGCAGGCAGCCAGTCCGTGTCTTCTTATAGGTCATTGCGACGAATTTAAATGGAATCAACAGGTGATTACAATGCACGGATAATGCTACTCTAATCTCCCGGGTCGGGCGGTGATAAGGGATCTGGCCCACAGCCCTCAACACCACTGTGGACCTCAATCACGCAATCACGCAATCCATCCCTCAGAACGCGTCTTCCACTAACCCCGTCTCGGCAACATACGTAGCCCAGTGCACAAGCATTTCTTCCAAAATCTCAGGCTTCTTCTTTGATAGATCATGTTGTTCAGCCGGGTCCTTCTCCACATCAAATAGCTCCCAATTGTCGCCGCCTTGCTTTGCCAACAAAACTGCCTTCCAATTTCCCCTGCGTATGGCACGATTGCCGAATAGCTCCCAACCATGTATATGATCCGCATCCTGGTGAACGGTTGGATATTCTGTAGGAGATGAGAGATGGCTGACCCATGACTTTCCTCGTGGAGTGACAACGTCTCGACCCCTGAATGTTTTGCCTGGATGCTGCACTTGTGCAAGATCGAGGATGGTGGGCAGTATGTCCATTACTGTTGTGAAAGTGTGAGAAATAGTCTCGGGAGCCGATGAGATTGGAGGGAAGTGTATAAGGCAAGGACAGCGAATACCGCCCTCGGTGGACCAGCCCTTGAACCCACGAGAAGGCGCAGTAGCGGCACATGCCCACCGGGAGCCATACCAGACATACGAGTCGTGTTTTCCAATATTCTCGAGACTGTTGTCGTAGTGTGCAGCTATGAGTTCACCAAGTGTTTTAAACGATGATAAGAGCTAAGTCTCACAGTCAGCATCTACTTCCACATTAAATGGATAGGGGTGACAAACAGGTGCAGCTTCCAGCGTAGATCCTTCTGCGCCGTTGTCGGACATGAACAAGATGAAAGTGTTGTCAAGCTCACCAGATGCTTCAAGTGCATCGACGACTCTCCCAATGTTCTGGTCAAGGAGGTCAACCATTGCTGCATAAACCTCCATCTTCCTCGCAGAAACAGCTCGCTCGTGATCAGTGAGGTCTTCCCACTTCACACCAGCTTCGAAGCCAACAGGAGGGGCCGCTTCGACATCGGATGGCACAAGACCCAGCTCTTTTAATTTGGCCAGCCTGTCTAGTCTGAGCTGGTCGGGGCCATTGTCGTATTTTCCGCCTGGGTCCATCAGTATGGAAGCTTGGTGGCGTGGAATAAGAGCTTACTGTATTTTTTTATAACATCTTGTGGCGCCTGCATTGGCCAATGTGGCGCCGTATAAGCCAAGTATGAAAAGAAGGGCTGCTCCTTTTCCTCTTTGGTTCTGTTGCTCAACATATCAAGCAACTTATCTGTAAAGAAGTTGGTAGAATAAAAGTCTCCAGGTAGGTCTTTCTTTCTATCCACCGGACTTTGGTTCTCCATCCAAAATCCATCGGAGGTCAAGAGCATAGTATCTTGGTCAGCCTCGAATTGCGGTTCGTAGTTGAAGTGGTTGCCACAACCAGGCAAGAAACCAAAACTCTTCTTGAAGCCTCTTGCACTCGGCGACACGTCAGGAGTCATCCCCAGATGCCACTTTCCAGACATGAGAGTCAAGTATCCTGCGTCAGAGAGAATCTCAGGCAGAGCAGCCACTTTCCAGTTGAGGTAGCCTTCGTAGCCAGGCTTGTCGACGTAGTCAGGATACTTTCCAGTAAGGTTCTTCTTCATCTCAGCAAATTCGGCCATCTGGCCAAGTCCAGCGATGTGATTGTCTGTCCCAGAAAGAAGCATTGCTCGCGTAGGTGAGCATGCCTGAGCGGTATGGAAGTTGGTCATGCGTATGCCATCTTTGGAGAGGCGGTCCAAGACAGGGGTGTCTATCTCGGAGCCATATGGTTTTACATCACTGAAGCCAAGGTCATCGGCGACGATGATAAGGAAATTGGGTCTTTTGGCAATAACCATGATTGCAGAGTAGAATGTAGGGGGGTTCGAGGGCGGAGAGGGACTGGGATCGACTCTATCATTAGATCAGAATAAGGAGGTATTTTATATCTGTAAGCAATCACACGTATTACTACGGGTATCACGGCCTGGCAGGGGTGCTCCGTTGAGACCGGTAAGCAGTCACTTTGAGATATTCGTCGGGGAGAAGGAAGCTGTTGGTTGTAAATGCAAAGCTCCATTACTGTCAGGACAACGCCCCCACTCACTAACTAACTCCAGCTTTTAGTGTGCCTCGGATGATGCTTCCATTGGTCCCAGATTTGATATTTCCAAGCACGCAAGATTCACATGTCGATGGCGTCTGACAGATCGAAGCTAGCCCTCATTCATGATAACGCTAAGCAAGCCAGAAAGACCGGGCTGTCGCTCGGATCATGGCCTCATTGGTTCGTTCGATTCGACAACGCAGCGACTTCCATTGTTGCAGGGTATTACAGATTGTTTTATTCAGCTACTTTGTGAGTTGACGAAGACGTATGTGCGATAGACTGGAAGTTGGAGTATTGCGAAATGCCGCATCATGATTGCGAGATGTAAAAGAGGCTGTTGCAAGAATTATTTATTATGTGGTCTCTGTCTTGTGCCATTAACGATTGTAGAATATTGTTGCTTCAACACTCAGAATTACCTTGTCCCTCCAATTGCACTCTCAGACATGATGATCGAAAAGGAATCACTTCCATCCACTGTGGATGGCTACAGTTCGGGTCGCGATAATGATTCCAATGGCCCTGAGCAGCGGATCCTAATTGATTGGTCCGAAGCCGAAGAACGTGCTCTCGTTCGCAAGCTGGATCTTCTTATCATGCCTCTGCTTATCGCCGGCTTCTTCGTTTTGCAGCTCGACCGGGGCAACATCGGCAACGCCCTCACAGACTTCTTCCTCCCTGAAGTGGGCATCACTCAATTCCAGTTCAACATTGGAAACCAGCTCCTCAGCCTGGGAATCGTACTGCTAGAACTGCCGAGCAACCTTGTCCTCTATCGCTTGGGTCCCCAGAAGTGGATCAGCTGCCAGATCTTTTGCTGGGGCTTGGTCGCCACATTTCAAGCGTTCATCAAAGGAAAAGGTGTTGGTGCATATTATGCTACTAGACTATTGCTCGGCCTTTTGGAAGCCGGCTTCATTCCTGCTGGCTTGTACACTCTGACGCAGTGGTACAAACGCAATGAGACCAGCAGACGCTTCACTGCCTTCTTCCTTGGCAACATGATTGCGTCGGCGGCAAGTGGTCTTATTGCCTACGGTATCCTCCAGATGAGAGGCATAGCAGGACTGTCTGGCTGGCAGTGGATGTTCCTTCTCGAGGGTATCATCACAATAGTGATCGGTGTTGTTTTCGCCTTTCTCATGCCAAATTCTCCTGCAAACCCGTCAAACATTTTTGGTCACTTGTACTTCACACCACAAGAAATCCACATCCTCACCAACCGTATTACCATCGACAATCCTACCCAAGGTCCAAGACACAAATATGTCAAGTGGGTTGACATCAAGTCCGCGTTTTCCAGGTGGTGTATTTACCCGCAGCTGACTGTATCCTTCTGCTGCATCGCCATTATCTCACCACTCGGAACATATCAACCGTCCATCATTGCAAGCTACGGCTATGATCGCCTTCAAGCAAACGCACTGTCCTCTGTTGGCGGTTGGATTGTCATCGTGCTAAATCTGTCGTTTGGATGGATTGCAGACAAAACTCAGAGGCGAGGGTTTCTGATTCTTCTCGCTACTGTTCTTAGTTTTGCATTCTGTCTCGCGACTAGACAATTGGCCGCAAGCACCAATCGCGATCTCAAATATGGCATCCTCACTTGTACCACGCTCTGGGGATCTGTCGCTCATCCTTTGAACGGTTCCTGGCTTGCCGTCAACATTCGAAATCCTGCAGAACGGTCCATCACGATGGCTCTCCTTATCATGACTGCCAACGCGGCTGGTTTGGCGGGTGCTCAGATTTTCCAAGCACATGATGCGCCACTGTATAGGACAGGGTTTACGGTCATTCTCACACTGGCATCCATTGCCTTGGTATTTGCGATTGTGTCCAATGGGCAGTATCTATGGCTTAACAAGAAACTTGCGGCTAAGGGGCGGTTAGAAGAGGAACAAGTTGAAGCGGCAGGCGAAGGAGATAGATGGCGGTTCTCGCTTTAAGGCGCCTCTGTATGTATTTGAAAGGCCCATGTTAGAGTTAATTACAAAAGGTTCTTAGATGCCTTCAGCATTTCTGGTAAAAGTGAGGCCGGGGCTTCATAGACATTATTTAACAATGCTAAACATTCATCTGCACAAAGAGAGTTTAAAGATATTCAGAGACAAAAGCCTATCTCCGGTTGTTATTATCTAACTAGGATGTCCATTGAATGATATTATAATATCTGCCAAAGAACTAAAGCCTATGGACACTACTATTTCTGGTCCAACGACGGAATGTCTTGCCGTAGTAGTAGAATACAACACCAAACAGACACCAGAGGAAAACCAAGCTTCCATTGGTCATGATAGGTGGGATAAATCTGCAAGAATCAGTAACAGTCAGATTTAGAAATTGGTAGATAACTTACCCAGCCTTCATGCTCCAAGGCGTAATGAATTTACTAAATCCATAACCCCAAACATTTTTATTGACTGTGATACTGACAAATAAGCTGCCAGCAACAGGCTTGTAACTGTCAACAGCATACGTGCTTGAAATGCTGGGGAGGGCTGCAACTTGGATGCCGGCGCAAGAATATCCGATAAGCACAATGACCTCCCATGGCCAATGGTTCTCATATCCAACCGAGACGATGATGTTGCCAAGGTACATAATAAGAACAAATGGGATCATGGCAACCAATCTCATTTCTGGCTCACGAATACCGTTATTCCTTGCAGTGAGCTTGGCAGCCACCCAGTCCGACAGAGGACCACCAGTTGCCAGGCCGATCAAAGCTCCAGCAAAGATAGCAAAATTGGTGAAGCCGATGGTCTGAGTAGAGAAGTTGTAAGGTGGCGCGGCAAGTACTTGGCTTTGGGTTAGATTGATGGTGAGGAAAGAAGAGCAGCTCCAAGAGACAACGAAGCTGGCAAATTGAACGATGGGAAATGCGAACAGCTTCCAAGGGATCCATAGGTCCAAAAGGATAGCCTTGAAAGGATGCGGGTTGGGTTGGAAGAACCGGAACTGCCACTTTGCAGGCTTTCCTCGCCCGAGATATGGATCTCTTGCAGCCGTCTCGCTTGTCGATAGATCGGCAAATCCTTCCGGGGTTGCTCCCTCTTTTTCGGTGCTGGTGGCGTGCTCTGTTATACCATCACTATTAGGTCTGGAGGCCTCGGCGTGGCTCGCATTGGCCGAACCCTCGATCTTCTCGTTCGCTCTGGCTTCCTCAATGATCTCATTGGGATGGGGGCGGTGCCACCTAATTTTTGTTAGTTGGGGCTCGGCATGTTCATGAAAAAACAAACTTAGTCTCTGGGAATAAGAAGATGATATAAATCACCACAACTGCACCCAGGGCAACGTTGAACCACCAGAAGTTGCGCCAGCCAACATTGAGAGCCATGGAACCGCCGATGATGGGACCAATCATCAATGATCCCATGTAGACGACCCAGTACAGGGTGTTCCACTTGCCTCTGTCATGCAAAAAGAAGATATCTAACAAGCAATTAGATGTGTATACCTTAACATGTTTAGTGTGATGGCCTACCAGCAATGACGGCAGGTTGGATTGACTCTGCAGGACCAGCGCCAATACCATTCAGTCTGTATCACAGTCAGAAAGTGTTCTGTCAACCTTGCTCCTGAAAACATACACACAAGCTCCCATGAAACTGCCATAAGTCTGCGCACGAGCTCTCCAAATCATAGAGGCCAGGCAGATTAAGTTAGACGCAATGTATACCGGTCGCCTGCCAAATGAAGTGCTCAATGGAACCCTATCAACAGTTCTTAGTGATGTCCTGACTTGTAAGAGGCTTTCTCGGCTCGGGGCCACGAGCGTACCATATGAAGTTACTGAAACCTAGAACCAAGATACACACTCCGGTGAACTGCACAGCATCTGCTAGACTGCAGTGAAACGCTTCAATGTAGTCTGGAAACATGGGTGCAAGAGACAATGGCCCAAAGCCTTGGAAGAATGAGGTCATACTGGCCCCAGTGATGGCTAACATTTTCCAGGTGAGTGACCAGTTGAGAGGATCAGCAGGGTCGTCTGAGGGTTGCGGAATAAGGACACGATTAGAACCCGAGCGATCCTTGACAAAATGGTGCGAAGCAACATCTCTCATGATCTCTGTGCCAGGGAGAATCTCAGTATGGAGCTCCGCCTCAATGGCATGGATCTCCTGCAATTACCATTAGCATGCAAGCTGCGATGAGCTTTTGTAAATGATATACCTCGTTATTAGAATTCATCTCCATGGTGATACCACTTTCCTCGTTCTTTCACTGCTATGTCGATGAAGTATTAAACAGCAATCAGACTTCCCGACATGCTGTATTTAACATCTACTCACATATATGCAAGGCTTGCATATTAAATAAGGAAGCAATGTAACTGCCGATGCTTTTACCGAATTTCAGAGCTACCTTTCCCCTCACGACTCACCTTGTATATAGAGAGGTGAGCTAGAAATCTCCCATTTAAGATAACCTTGGCTATAGTAAGCCAACCAGGTGTAATCAGCTCCTGATATTGGGTGGCCTATGATGCCGGTAATCCGTGTGAGGGAGGGCTTCTCCCCGCACCCTGGCTCCCCATGGGGAAATATGGGTAATGCCCACCAATCGTGGGGAGACTCCAACTCCTCCCGCATGGTCTCGACCCTCACATTGGCTACTGGCGTGCCACCCGGCAAATCGGCATAATAGTGCAATTGCTGGCGCATGGTTTAGTAAATGATCGGTCATTAAGCGAAAGGGTTAGCACCAGTAGTGCTGTTGTTGGGGAATTTGCTGGTATGGCAGCGTTCCTCTGCGTAGTGTTGACGAGCAATTTTAATTTCACACCCCGATCCGAACAACACTGCTCCTGAGTGGCCACTGAAACGAGGAGTAGCTAAGCCAGTGCATTCTCAATCAAAGGCTAACAAGATTGATTGGTATTTGAGTAGGTGGCGGGAAGATCGGCATACTCACCTGGGTCATCACAGGCCACCAAGTTTTATAGGCCAACACCTTTAATAATAAGCATGTCACCTTCTCATGCGGCGAGTCTCGATGTGGTATCTACTCCGCTTCTCTTCTTGCAGATGGAGCGATTCGTTTTCATTTAAGCAGAAGGACTGTGGTGCTCCACTTATAGTTATTCTACACCAGATGCAGCACATCATGCATGATATAAGAGGCTCAGGAATTCTTAACAAGCGCGCTATGTAAAACAAGCTTATCGATGTTATTCTTCAACAATAGCTTTCCTCAACAGACCTAAATATACACTCATTCATCGACTCATTTAACTTCTCAACGGTTTGGGTCTTCGTCGTCAAGGCTGTGCCAGTGGCACAGTCAACTAATGACGCCTGTTCCATTGCCTTTCTTCTACCCGTCTGGACTTGTGTAAAGTCAGGAATACTTTCGCCTTTGTTTCTTCATGTCATTTATAACACGGATTTTGTCACTGCTCTCGGTTCCTTGCCATCGATCGGATGAAGGCCTTATCCTGTTTAAGTCTCCCTCTAAGGTCAAAGGTGGATCCAGAAGTAGTTGTCAACCTTTGGCCTTTTATTTTCTGATCTGTTACTTGTCTTAAACTTTTTCTCTGTCTGGCTTGTTGTTTTCGTCGTGGTGGGCTACTCTACATTCAATGTAGAGATGGAATAGCACTTACCAAACAGCTCTCATATGAGAATCCATCTTGCCTCCAAGCTCAAGATATGTTACAACTAGCTCTCTGATTCCTTGCGGAGTAGTCAACTTGAAGAATTAGCAGCGCAAAGCCTTGCTATATATTGGTCTTGGCACTGCTGGTTTCATCAAGCCTTTAGTATTCCGGGTCTAGATAACTTACAGCAAGCTAAACATCGTTCAGCAAACTCTCCTCCCACTTCCTTTGGGTATAACAGCAGGTGAAATAAGCCAGTCTTAGTCGTGTTTTTGTCTTCCAGTAATCCCGAATGGCCAGATCGATTATCTTAGATGGTATTATATATTGCAATATTGTTGTCTCCTTTCTGTAGACGATGCTGTTGGTTTTGAGTCGACTTTTAAACTCGTCTTCTATGTCAACCGGTCCATTACAGACAATAATCAATGTTTAGGAGAAGGGAGAGGGCATGCCTCTGGTGATGTCTGTTATTTACAATGATCAACAACATAACAAGTGCCAGGGATAGTATCTGCCATTGTGACGTTTAAGTAGCTGGTCTTTATCATACCCAACTATACTAAAATCTTTACTGCAGATAATCTTTAACATTGTGTTGTGGTAAATCTTAGATGTCAAATTCTCCATTTACTTCTCGTGACGCGATTTCTCTTCCAATGAGTAATATTCCAACTTTCCAGTTGCTAACAGTGGCTCAGCCAAGCCTCAGTTCAACAAGTTATATTCTCTATTTAGCAAGCTATAGAAATTAACTCAAAAGGTCCTATTATCAATTTAACACTGTTACAGCTCATCAGCCAGTATTTCAGTAAGGCTCTTATACATTCCTGGCATTTGTGTTTTGAACTTCAGGTCTAGGTTAGCTGGAAATAACCCTTGCTTTTCTGTTATTCCCATTATACCACTAATCTTCCGATAAGAGGGGAAGCGGGTCTGGGGAGCTCGGACCGAGGCGCCGGCTGATGTGCGCGGCTAATGAGGGAGGATATTTAGCCTCAGGCATCTTTAATTTTCTCCTATCCGTCATCAAACAAGGACAACTTCACACTTCTCAACTGTCTTTATCGTATCTAGCCTCACACCCACTTGCGCCCTGGAAACTCAACAGAGACAAGTCGCGCCACGCCAACAAAATGTCATCTCTAACGTATACGCCAAATGGCAAATCTACAATCGACGCCAAGGCGCTGTTGGGTGTATGCTTTGAGTACTTTGTATCTTTGTAGATAATGCTGACATGTCCAACATAGGCATACCTCAAACAATTACAGTCAAAGCCACTGAGGACGAAGATGCTCACTCAAGGGTCTTTGTCAGCCTTGACGGAGATTATAGCATCGTGGTTTGCCTATGGGCTCCCTGGCTACGGCCCAACAATTACTGCCCGTGTCCCCCAAATGGCGTTTTATGGTGCGTGTATCGCGGCACCACTGACCCACTTTCTCAACACGACTCTACAACGAAGTCTCCCAGGACGAGTAGTCTTGCAAAACCTCATCACTATGCTCTTGGTATGTAGATTATCTTGTCGCCACCAATAACTGTCAGCTACTTACCTGACCTATTACAGTTCTTCCCCATTCAAAATACTGTCTATCTTGCATCAATGGCCGTCATTGCTGGCGCGCGTACAACTGAACAGGCTCGAGCTGCAGTTCGCGCCGGTTTGGTGCCCATGACAAAAGCTATGTGCGCCATGCACCCAGTCTTGATCACAATTGCAACCTTGTTCGTACCAAAAGAGGCATGGGCTCCTTTCTTCAGCTTGGTTGGGTTCTGTCTTGGAACTTTCTTCAACACCATGGCTAAGAAGAGGAGAGTTGCCGCCGCCGCCGCTTCCAAGAAGGAATCTTAGACCATTACTCCGGTATAGAAATAGTTTTGTGTTACTGAGGACTTCATCGCTTCTTGCGTTATGCTGGCATTTAGAATATAATAAGCGTCATTTAGCATCCATGACGCTTTTCTTTCTATAGCAACACTTGATGACTATTGCTGTGATAGGACTTTCCTCTTTGACCTTCCCGAGAGGGTTTTGAACATGCGATTTAGATCTTGAGTAAACATCGCCTGTCACATTGTGTAGAACAGGCATTCTCCCCATTTCACATTTCAAGTGTAGCCATGGTTCCTGGTGTGACTTGCGATGGGGACAAGCCTCTTGGTCGATATTGAGGTGGCATGTCCGTGTGAACAAAAGACGAATCTCTACCTAAAGGAATTGCAGGCCGTAGGTCGATTGGTTGTTGAAACCTTTGAGAAGAAGCAGGCTGGGGTCAGGCTTGCTTGGTCTTCACTCTTCAGAGACCCACCACGACTACGACAGCACAAAGTTAGAGAGCAAGCCACCAATAAGCAGCCATTTGGATTCCTTTCACGACCTCACCGACTTCTTATGGCTGAGATTGCATTTGACTTATTGGAAAAGCCTCATGAGAGAGACGCAGCGAAAATGAACTATATCGAATATATCGCTGATCCTCATCGCCAGTGTGCAATTGTCGCACACCGTGGATTATGGAATGAAGCTCCTGAGAACAGCTTGCTTTCCATCCGGCGCGCCATGGAAGCTGGCTACAATGTTGTCGAGATAGACGTACGCCGTACCGCTGATGGCGAATTCGTACTACTACACGATAGTACCCTGGATCGGATGGCAGGGATCGATATGAAGCTAGAAGAGTTGACTCTGGAAGAACTGATATCGCTTTCACTGAGAAACCGTGATGGAGGCCCAGATAATCCATTCACCAGGGAAAAGGTGCCCAGCTTACGTGACGTCTTTGAACTCACCCGCAATAAGATTTTCATCCACCTCGATATCAAGCATCGTCATGTCATCCCAGAAGTGCTGGACTATGCACAGAAGATGGGTATCGAAAAGCAAGTGGATTTCTGGGCTGATCTAAAGACGGAACTTGATCTAGCCTGGATCAAAGCCAATATCACCACGCATAACGTTCCATCCATCGCACACACCCATCTCGAGCATGATGACTGGCGAGAACAGGCCAAGCTTGCTCTTGAGCTGAAGCCCCTAATCTGCGAAGCCTCGTTTCGGAACCTCTCGCAGGTCGATGCCATGAAGCAGCAATTCCACGATGCCGGAATCACGCTCTGGGTCAATACTCTCGATAGTGTCGCCTCTCCAGGCTTTACTGACAGCGCTGCATTGGAGGACCCTGACAAAGTTTGGGGACGGCTGCTCCGGGCTGGCTTCTCCGCGATTCAGACGGATGAGATGGCGGCACTGCGGTCTTTTCTCAACGCGCTTGATTGAGGAGCAGCTCAGACAGAAACACGGCATAGTCCGAAGAACAGGAGGTGTTAGGGCCTGCTTTCTTGACGATCTTGTCACAGCAGCGCTGCATTTTGGGTTTCTGCCTCACCACCGACAGCTTCCAGCAGCAATAGTACATATTGCTACAAACAATACACATCATTATAAGCTTCAGAGCAGCGCTGAAGCTGACCTAATGAGCTGTGCGTGGCATGCACTGTGATTCGATATGTTGGGATCCTCAAGTAGAGTGTTTGCTGTTATTCCACGATCCTATTAAATTTGTTCTAATATTATCTCTGATTATTAGGTAAAACACGAAAAGGAGCAAATTACCACAGGCACTAAATACCAGATAAAGATATAATGTGGTCATGCTTTCTCGAAGGACTGGTTCCTACCTAGTTTTGCCATCTACCTCCCACTGGATGGCTCAGCATGAGGTTCCCTTATCATTGTAAACAGCTTAATTGCATCCCCGTCATCATCGCAGATCATTTCCTTCTGGAACTTGAACCCTAGACGTCCGTAGATGGCTACGTTGGGGAAGTCACGGCTTGACTCTAAGTAGCATCTTATGTCCTTGGCATCGGCTTCTTCTGTGACAGCCTTCATCAATTTTGCCCCGACACCTTTGCCTTGAGCCTCGGGGACAACAACCATGATGTTCAGAAAGAAGTAGCCCCGGGGGTCTGTCCAGAGAGTCGACTGGGCACTGGCCTGGGCATCTTTCCAGATATAATATCGCTGGTCTTGGTCAGAAACCTCTTGTGTTCGATAAGATCTCGGGCAACATACCTTGACATTTAATCCTCCACGGCCGTACCACATATTCATGCGTACTTGTCCAAAGTATAGCTTCCAGCTCTCGAACCAGTCACTCCATGTTGGAGGCTGATCTGCGGGTTGGGGACGCAACCACATCGCTACGCCCAGCACTTTATCACTGTTTCCTTCTTTGGCAACGTGAAAGATTCCATTGCGCATTCCCCACCTCATTCGAATGGCAAGAGATTCAAAGTTCCGCTGGCGGTCGAACTTGCATAAGCGTCAGCATTAGAAACATTGGCAAAAGCTTCCATCGCGGATGTTCTTCACTCACTTTCGCTTGGTCATAAACCCATACGTTATAAGGATCTCCAACAAAGGCTTGCCTGCCGAGTCAGCAGCTACATAGCTAACAGACATCTTTCACACTTACTGTACTGCTTCTACTGCTCCTGGAATGTCTGCCTCGGTGAGGTCGGTGATATAAACCCCCATTTTGAGAATGAATTAGTAGTGAACTGTAAGGGGTATTGGTAGATTTGCGAAACGTAGTAATATCCTTTTTACTAGGATCGAAAAGTCTACCGTAGAAGAAATGTGCTCTGTATGAAATAGGATCGAGAATGAGTAGTACTTGGTTCCCCGGTTTCGCATGAACTTTGCCGGATTTAACTCATACGAGACTAACAATGAGATTGAGGTAGGGATGACTTATTACCCCTCACAATGCTTCTTCAGATGGAAGCTATTTTGTGGCTTATCTCGGATTAAGCTTAGTTGGAAATTCATGGCTTGTTGAAGGTGGGGAGATGCTTGGCGCCGCCAATCGCATTCCGTTGTCGTTATCTACCTCGCATACACTTACCAAACACAGTAAGTCGCAGCGTCGGCACAATTTCAACTCGGACTTAGACAAGCAGGCAGTGGTACCTTGGTACCTTGTCCTCAGCTGGTGCAGTCACTTCCACGTCCTAGCTTGGACATTGTCCAGCGTGATATAGAAAGAGAGATTACTCACTTTTCACTTAGCTAGACGCAGAACAGCAGCAGACATGTCGACCGATAAGACACAGATTGAAAGCCAAATTAGACCTGGTTCGGACGACGAGCTGAACTTGTATCTCAGTATGCCCTATGACCTGGAACACAAGCTCACTTACTGACGGGAATTCAGACCCAGCTACAGCCCGATTTCTGAAAAGTGTGTCAAAGGCAATCCTTCAAGACCCGGGACTACCCAGGCCAAATCCAACGGTGTCAGCTTGGCAGGTTCCTCCTCATCCGTCTCTGGCCTCGATACAGTCGAGGGATCTTGCAGAGTTTACTGATTTTGCGGTGGTTGGCTCCGGCATTACTGGTTGTAGTGTCACAAAGGCACTCCTCGAACACCCATCTACAGCTAACTCACGTGTAACGGTGCTTGAGGCCCGCACTCTTGTCAGTGGAGCAACAGGACGCAATGGGGGACATCTTGTCACAGCATCTGGGCATACATTCGGTCCCCTGGCTAAACAGCATGGAACTGAAGCGGCAAGGGAGATCACTCGCTTTAGCATCATGAATATTGAGCACTTGATGAAACTGGTCAGAGAATTCGATTCTGCTTTGCAAGAAGAGTGCCAGATACGAGATGTCCTGAAAGTCATGGCTGTTGGAGACGACGAGACATGGGCTTCTGCGAAGAGCTCGGTTCTGGGTTTCCAGGACAAAGTTCCAGAGCACAGCGCTTATCACCGTATAATTGAAAGAGGCCAGGTTCCAGAGGTATGCTCCAAGTTCATGCGGTAATGAAGTTACAGCAAGTCTGACATATTACAGAGATGGAATATCAAGAATGCATCTGGGGCTGTTGAACATGAAGCTGGTGCAATTTGGCCCTATCGACTGCTCACTGGTATCTACCAACGCCTGTTGGACAAGTACTCTGATCGACTGAATATCGAGACAAACACGCCAGTCACTCGCGTTGACTTCTCTCAGGGATTACATCCCTACGCCATCACTACCCCAAGGGGGAGCATCCGAGCGAAAAAAGTCATCCATTGTACGAATGGGCACGCGGCGCACTTGCTGCCCAACTTAGCTGGAGGCCTTTATCCATTCCGAGGAACAATGTCAGTTCAGAAGCCGGGACCGTTGTTTCCAAAATACAAAGGAACAAGATCTTGGAGCTTGTCTCACAAGCCAATCCTGGATGCCGAAACTGGCTTCTTCGACACTGGCCTCTATTATTTGCAGCAAAATGCTCTGACACAGAGGATTTGGATCGGAAATGAGTCAGCTTATATGAAAGACATCCTGACTGCAGATGATACTTATGTTCCTAAAGAAGCGAGGCAGGCACTTTCTAATGTTTTACCAAAATTGTTTCTAGATGGCTGGGGATCGGAGACCGTTTCGGAGATCGAGGCTATCTGGTCAGGCATTCAAGGACACACAGCAGATGGACTTCCTATAGTAGGCAAGATACCCGAGTCTTTGACGGGCACTGTTGGCGACGATGGACAGTGGATAGCTGCTGGATTCAACGGTTATGGCATGGACAAGTGCTGGCTGACGGGTGAGGCGTTGGTAAAAATGATACTTGGAGAGGATGTCAGCGAGTGGTTTCCTCGGGCATTCCTCGTCACGGAAGAACGTCTCCAGACCAAGCTCACAGCTGATCAAACGTTGCTCAAGTTTGCAAAGATCGCTCTACCCGGCGGTGCCAAGGAGGGAAAGCTGTAGAATGTTGGACAGTGAAATATAATTGTCTATAGCAACATGAACTCCCTCGACATGACTTTCAACCACCAACTACACTACCCCATCATTGTGCCCAGTTTCTTCTCGTATGCAATATCCAACCAGTAAGCATCCTCCTGTCCTTCATCTATCGCTGACCAAACTTGATTGATGAGCTCCAAAATGACTTGGCTCTTTCGCAAGGGCAAGATGTGTGTATATGCTGATAGCCGGGAGCTCACAAACTTCCGGGCACGGGCCACTTCGATAGAGACACTATCAATGCTCAGCATGCCAGTATCTGTAATAGAGACATCAGACCCTTGAAGACTGTGAGAATTCTGTCTGAGTTCACCAGATATGGCAACCATAACAAACGGCTGAGCACTGCGGGTCCTTGACTCAAACGGAATCTCTTCCAAAATACCAAGGATATGCAGAGCAAATTGTGTCAGCCATAGCTGTCTCTCCTGTTTTGTTGGCACTTGATGTGCTGGTAAAGGCCGTAGAATGTGATCCTTGTTCCAAGGTGAGTATCGTTCGTTCAAAAGATCGGGAAAGACGCGGTAGAGCTGCAACAGCCCTGTACATCTATACGCTTCATCCATAAGCTCCAAATGCTTCAGTGGTGTCTTCGGGTCGCCAGGGTTCTTGGTCTGGACTGCGCTTGGCACTTGGTGTGCCAGAAACATGCGTTCCAGCCGTCTGCCCTCACGCAATGCAGTTCTGAACACGTCAAGATCGCTTTCAGTCATGAACTTCATGGTGGACATGTGTTTCCGGTATTGAAATATGAGTATCCCCGTATCTGTCAGTGCGCGAACCATATCCTGCGAGATACCAGAGTAAGGATGTGGTTCGATTGGTTTCGTCAAGTTTGGTGGTCCAACCCGTTCCTCTCGACGGTACTCTCCTAGCTCGTTCTTATCCGTGAGATAGACCAGAAGCATGGCCCAATAATCCATGGTATCTCTGAAGAAGGACATCTCCGAAATGTCATTATTCTCAGTTGCAATTTCATCCAGTATGCTTTGGCTTGCTCGAAAGGTCTCGGTTGCAAGATTGTGAGGGCTCAACCAGCTCGAGGTATGGCCTAGAAGCATGGATGCAAGCAGCATTACTTGCTTCTCCACTTCTTGAGGTCTATTGTTCACGAGATGAAGTGCCTGTGAACGTTCCTCACGAGCAACTCGTAGCAGGTGCGGGAAGTCCTTTGACAAGCATGCTGCAGCCATGCTCTGAATTGTATGATAGAGCACCCCGGAAGACTGCCACATTTTCTCAATGATATTGCGCATAACATTGAGTTCACTATCCCAGGAACAGTAAAGAGTGATGACATCGCGAAAAAAATATTCAGATAAAGTGGTTGGCATGTTGGACAAGCGAAGATGCGGGTCAGGGTATGGATGCCGGACCTGGATAAGGGACTGTTCTCCGCGTGACGGAGCCTCAAATTGAAACGGTGGGCTTCTTGCAGTATTGTCGAGGAACTGGCCAATTACTCCCATTGGTTCGATAATGTTGAATGTTGATCCTGGATCTTCTGGAAGAGTCCAAATTGTCATGTTCTCGTCAGGTGAATCTATAATATTATCGTTGATGCGCGCCGACGACTCGCCCCCCAGGAGGTCTTGTGATATGTTGTCGATGTTGAATATGTCAGCTGGCATGACGAAGTCCAGCTGAGATGGAGAATCGAGCCATCCGTTCATCTGGTGGAAGCCTTCGGCTACTGAACTGGAAGTGACGTTCATACGACTTTTTGCCTTCCTTTGTCGCAAAGGGCTCTCGATAATATTTGGTCGTGTCTGGTGCTTTTGTGACCAACGCACATTGAGTGCATATCCTGGGCAATCATATTTTTGGTCCTCACAACGAGCACAAGCGGGCTTTCGCTCATCGCATTTAACCTCTCGAGACGTGAGTAGATAGGCACAAGTTTCTCTGGCTGTACTTACCTTTCTTGCTTTGCATCTGAGGCATCCATTGCGAGACTTTGAATGTGAAGCTTTGATTGATTGTTGCATAGTCACTGTGGATAAGTCAGGCAGTAACGTAGTTTAATTGCATCTGGCAGTTCGTTCAGTTGGAAATGGACGGGAGAGAATGTGACAAGGGCAAGGGGTTACAAGCAGAAGTTTGTGGATTCCCCCGCTTTTTACGATAAGTCAACAACTAGTGAGTAGCTAGTGACTAACCAGGTCCAGACTCAGATCATCTGACTTAGCGCCTCCATGAGACGTGTTTTGGACCCGTATCTAACTCAGTATCTCATGGAGACACTACAAACTTTCAATTGATTGACATAAACCTAGTTCAATTGAGAATCACTACCAGAGGCCGTCATACCGGATTGTTCAATGTCGGTGATCAAACTGTCAAAAATAAGGCTGCATAAATACATTTGCAATTATAGGTTACTACCATTAAGCATTATCTACTCCGTCCCATTTCTCAGGCATTCCAAATCTCTTTAACCTCGTAATTCTTCTTAGCATAGAAGAACCAAAAGCACATAGACAACAGAGCAATACCGACCAAAACCGGTGAGGCATAGTTCATCTGCACAGCCGTAACAGGCGTGTAGTAAGGGAAACAATAAAAAACAAGAGCTACCATTGTCCATGACAGCATGACAATATTGGCAATCAATCCGAGCTTGGGGTACCAGAACGGGCCATGCTGAAAGTTGCTGCGTCCCTGAAGAAGAACTAATACAACGGGAACACTGTAGCTAATGTATTGGAGCAACAGACCCGTCGAGATCAGAGAGTTAAAGGCGAGATCCGACCCAAGGTAAAGACAGCCGAAGAGGGCAGTTCCAGAGGCAGACCAGATCAACGACCAGATGGGTGTATGAAAAGGAGCAGGTGCAAGTTTGCTGAGATGACGATGCAATGGAAAGCCACCTTCGCGGCTGATGGTCCAAGCAAGGCGGGACTGCCATGTCTGGATCGACCAAACCGCCCCAGCTGTCGTGATAAGAACGGGAATCCACAAGCCGACAGCAGCTGCTTTGCTCTTGGTAATCATGTAGAATAGAGAAAGAGCTGAGTTATCTGCGGCTCCATCTATAGTTGGTACGTTGATCAGAACCGAGGTCACAACCAAGAGCCCGGACCCAAATCCGACAACGATAGTCCACATCAAAGCTTTGGGAATATCGGTGCTGGGCGAAGGCATTTCTTCAGCCAAGTGGGTAGCAACGTCGAGGCATGAGAAACTCCAGTTGGCCCCATTCATCCCGATGATAAAGGCAATTCCTTTTGGCCATCCTGAGATATTAACCGAGGTTGTGAAATAGTCTTTCGCTGAAGCATGGCTATCGGACATGGCAAACAGCGTGATGAAGATGACACCAATCGTCATGCAGCTAAAGAGGAGCATGATCTTCGAAATTCTGGGGAGGGCATGTTCAAAACTGGCGCAAATGACAGTCAAGATATTCAAGAGTTGAAACCCAACAAATCCCATCCAACGCTTATACACAAAGTTGGGATTCAGCAGAGAGATGATGGCGCAAAAACCGGTAGGTACTGAGAGACATGCCGAAGCACCTGTTGCAACCGCAGCAAGCCAACTGACAACAGCGATCGTGTATGACAGAAAGCGACGATATCGAGGCGGGGATAAGCGATTGACCCAGATATACTGTCCACCGGGATGAGGCATGGCCGATGCGAGTTCTGCCAAAGTTGTAGCTGTTGCAAGACCAACACCTGCCATGACGAGGAACCCCCAGAAGAAGAGAGGTGATCCACCCATTGGAAGAGTACTTCCAAGGACGAGAAGGAGTCCGACGGCGGTGTTGGTTGTGCCATAGCCGATGCCGAGGGCAGATAATGTCGTGAACGGCTTCAGTGTCTGGACGGTCACGCCGCCAGGAGAAATTGATCCGCATTCGACGGCATCGCCGTCTGTCTTGGCAGGCATTTCCGAGACCTCTTTGGTATCTTGTGACTTAAGACTCGGCTGATTTGTTTTGCGGTGCATAATGAATAGGATGATGGTAGTACAGGAGGGTGAATAAGAATTTGTCTCAAGAGGCAAATTGATACGTGGGGAAAGTCATACGAGTTATATAACTTGACCCGCGTCGTGCATGATAACGGTTTGGTAGGGGTTTTGGTGACTTATACCAACTTGTTCCCCGCGTTTGACATGATAGGCGAAGTCGATATCTCAATGGAGTGCGGAAGCGTTGTCATGTGGTACAGGATAAGCTTAACCCAGATTGGGAATCGTGTTATGAGGTGAACCGCTAGCCCAACTAAGGAAGGATTATGCGAGGACGAATCATATTCACCGTTCGCTCATGTTTACAATCATCACCAGCGTTGATACAGTTTCCGACACTATCATCCTTTCCGAAGTTGGCTCCTCAGGCCGTCTAAACGAAGAGATCCATGCGATTGACTATCACCACTGCAGCTTTTTATTACCACCGTCGCTGCAACCACCTTCCTTCACCATATCGGATCTTCCCCAGTCATAAATGCCGCCGCGGTCGAGGAAAGAACTTTTATCCCAGACAACCTGACCCATTGCTTTCTCAACGCCGACCTTCAAGATTGATTCGCTCTTTGTCATCATGCCCTCACCCTTGTCCAAAAAGCACATGTATTCCTCCAGAAGCAAGTAGCTGCTTGCATAGCATTTGTGTTTTCTGGCACGTAGCATGGAAGATGTTTATGCCGGTCGCAGAATGTCTTCCATTGTTTGTCGGTCACGAGGAAGGTCCTCGCGTCTCGCCGGCGACCAGCAAACACTGGACCACTTTCCATCGAAAGGGCGTGAGTCTCTCAATCTCAGCCGACATGTCTTTATTATAAAATAGTAGTTGAGTATTAGTAGTTTAGCCCCCTTATTTATATCTTAGACCTACTTTTATATATATACCCTTGTATACCAATTAATGTATATTAGAAATCCTAAATAGTAATTTAGGCTAAACTACTACTAGCCTCTAGGTTAGGCTAAAAGCAAGATTATAATAGTAATAAATATTAAAAATAAATCCCTACTACTACTATTCTCTATTAGAAAACAAACTATCCTCAGTCCTTGTAGTTATACTATCCCTATCTAACTCTGCATGTTTATCAGTCTTATTGTCAGCTGCCCCTCTGTTGCTTTCCTGAAATGTATGTGGATCATCAAAAGGGCCCTTGACCATGAAGTATAACACTTCACAAGACATGGCTCTATTAAAGGCCCTGACGGCGTGTCTTGCAGTCTAGAGGTTTCGAACAGTATCGCAGCCAGTGATAAGTTCAAAATAGTGCGCTGCGTTATTGAAATCCTTTAAATATAAACTAAAAATCATTAAGTTAAATACAGCAATATAAACATAGATATAGTAGTACTTACGTATGACCCGGAGAGCCTTCACCTTGACTATCGTCAATTACAAACATTCCGTCTGTCCAGAAGCATTGCACATTCTGAACCCCAGATGCACTCTGTTTAAAGAGGTTGCAATATTGATCAAGATGCGCATCATTTCGGGGGCTCGTAATAAGCTGCACTCGATATCTTCTCAAGGCAGCTTCACTCCAGTTGGATATCCATTGGAGGGTCAACTTGCAATTGGCGCGCTTGACTAGGATAATATTTAGTACTAAACGGCCTCTATCTTGGATAAAATGGGGGAAATACCTTCAGCAGTATCAACAGAAGCAGGAACAGCTGCAGCAAGAGCAGGAACAGTGGCAGCAAGAGTAAGGATTGAGAACTTCATCTTGATACAGCTGAATAAGAAAGTTGAATGAATACTGAATATGCTTGTGAGTTAGGTATAGAGTTGGAGCATTCTTGGAGGCAATGCTTTCAATTTATAATTACTCCTAGTTACTTGGGCTAGGTTTAAATCCAATGGCCTCCAGCGCTGGGCGCGAAGTATCATGGTAGAAATGAGGTTTCTGGATCAAGGCGACAGTCTGGCGTATTCTGCGGTGTTACTATCGGGCCTTTTGATCAGGTACCCGGACTTCCTATTTTGAAATATATGGAGAATAAGGCAAGACTACTCCAATAAATTATCCACTTTGACAGGCTCACTAAACTACACCGCAATAAATTGTGGTTCTGCCCTTGCATTAATTCGGTAATGAATCAGCTCTAGGATTGGGTTTTGCTAACAAATATGCCAATATAGTTAGTTGTTTTTGCTCTTTCAAAAAAGAATCCTTCTATCCACTTTTGAAAAGGACCCCTTCGATCCCTAGCCTATACTCTATATGGTATTGCAACTGCCTATCGAAATAAATACTACGTCTTTGCGGCCCATAAAAGGAATACAGTCATGCGACTGTGCTCGGCCCTTGACTGAAGGATTCTCGCTTTACTAGACGGACCGACTGATTAGCTGCAAAAGATAGTAGCCTGGATGTAATGCTACGAATTATGAATGAGTTAGGGCAAATTACAAGAAGCCTATCGTTGCGAACAAATATCTCAGACTATAAAGTTGAGCCCTGATTCCGCACGATACGCTTCTTCTGTCTTTACTCTATTCCAATTCATCAAGCATCCAGCACCCTCACTCAACCTCAATCAAGATGAAATTTACTCTCCTTACCCAGGCTGCTCTAGCCATCTCCTCCATTACTGGAGCTGTGGCTAATCCTACTCCTGATATTTCTATTGGTACGGTGCCCAGTCTTGAAGATATTTATATATTAACTATATATCAGGTTCTGCAATCGACAAACGGGCAGACTGTTCATTGACAGTCCATTATACCAAAGTCTGGGTTGAGTCCGGTTTGGATAGATATCGAATGTGGCTTATCACTGCCCCTCGCAATGATAAACATCTCCAACTTTACTGCGAGGCAGGGTATCATGCGCTCTATCTTACAAACGTCCAATGCTTCTGGGGGGATGATGGGAAATACTACATTGATGCGAGCGTGGCTCGAGGTCCTGCAGGACACAAGTATGTATACCTGATTCTGATGTGGTTTCTTTTCTAACTTATAATCTCTAGGACCATTCAAGACACACATTCGGCGATGTGTGACGACTATGAAAGGCTCACCGGATGTGGAACAAACAGAGAGTTTTAGTGGGACCTAGTACTTAGGAAGCTTGTTTAGATTCTGGCAGGCATATTAAACTTTGAATCCTGAACATTAATAACATAATTGCATGGGAGGGGAGCAGAAGAATGATAAAAGAGAGAAACCTAGAGCAACTAGTATATCTTTAGATATGTAAATTTAAGAATATAGTAGCAATTATATATTACACTTAATTATATCAACGCCTTGGGCTTCATTAACTTCAGGGTACATAGGAGGTATCTAAAGAGATATTGGGCAAATTTCGTATTCTAACCATTTATGCCCTTATGAGTTATAATGACTACCCTGAAGAAACTAAACTAGCGGCTCCTACGGGGAATATCGGTATAATCTCCAATCCCAGTAAAAGTCTTAGGCACCACCTATCTTCAGGCTCAATCACACTACACATCTATTGTAGGCAGTCCTTGAACCAAGATCTTCAATTGATACATCGCCTCATTACTCTTAAATATCAAGAGTGTGCCAAATAATGATATAAAATCACCGTACATTATCCCCTCAACAGGATGAACAAACTATAACAAGCGCCGTAATTTGATGGCCATTAAGATAAACACAGAATCAGTACTTTCGGCTCTCCTGCCAATAAAAACTCAATCTATTGCAGGATCGATCCGCTGTCCTCACTTCAAAATTAATTATCACAGGTGCTAAGTGAACTCTTATTATATGCCGCGATTATACTATGACAAATGGCTATCCGAGATGAAGTTGACATACTCTCGATGTATATCAAAGCAGCTGTTGTATTGACTGTGGTACGTTCACTATTATCTCGAGATTCGCATCACAAAGCAAAGGCGTCAAGAAGAAGCAGAAATTGGATGCAATATAGATTATCTAAAGCTGAAGCGAGCAAAAATAACTGGAGAGGATAAGACAACTTGGAAGAGGAAGGAAAGACGGATTCATAATTAACAGAGGCCATAGCTGATGACTTATGCGTTAATGTTATCCATCTTGGAGCTGAAGACCGGAGAGAAGTAAATATATAAGGTCAAACTGCTTTAAGAATTTCGGCTTTTTGCTTGTACTTGGAGAGATCATGAACAAAACAGATAACCAACTAAAAGCAGGACCGAGGTTCCCGAACGATGGCCTCAAGGTGATATTGGATTATTCCTCCAAACTGGTTACCGTCAATATCTCCTATATCTTAACGCAAAATAAATACACCTGTAAGAGAAGGGCAAAAAGCTGCAACTAGAGACGCAATTTCATATCAATATAGTTGTAGAGTCAAGAAGACAGAAAAAAACCTGGTAGGCGTCCAGGGTCCAGGCGATCTAGAAGTCGAGAAGCTTATATATAAGGTTGCCATAATCTACAGGTTTCTTAAAACATAGTACTCCATAAGTTTACAACAGACACAGCGCTCAATCAAAAAGTCAAACAAGATAAATTCAGGGCTGCAAAAGAATCATAAAAAACAAAAGAGCAATACATACAGACTTGAGCTCCGTCCAGTCGTCCTTCCCATACTTTGAGTGCTCCTTGCCCTCTCCGCTCTGCTTCCACCCGCCAAACGGCATGTCCAACGACAACGTCGGACTCGTATAATTAACCCCCACGTTGCCTGCCTCGAACTTCTTTGCCACCGTGATGAGGGCAGGGCCGAGTTTCTGCGTAACCATGACGACAGGGGCGTTCCAGGGAGTGATGGTGGCGCAGACGCCATAAGGTTGGCGGAAGGTGAGGTTCACGAATCCAGGCGTGTGGAGGGATGTATCTCCTTGGGTTTCGGTAGATCGGCCTGCAAAGTAACGCAGTTACACAACGGACAACGAATTCGTGACTACCCCTTGCCAAAAATCACGCCAACCCCCTGTAAAGTAGGGTAAATTAGATTAATTATATAACAATTGATTTAGGACTATATGATTAGCTTCGCCCACATCTGATAGCTGATGCCCGCAGTAGTTAGAATCTTGTTAAAACAACAAACGTTGAGAAAGGTTCAAAGCCACTATGACCGCACTCTGCCTTGGTCTGACATCCAGCAATACCATTAGCTTTGCTCCAAATTGCCAAAGAGGAGTTTTATCTTGTAGTCTAGGATTGATCCACTGGCAAAGCTCAAGGATAAGCTATAGTACTAAGAAAAGCTATAACAGGCGCTTCGCGAGCGACGTTTCACTAGAGAACTCACCACGCTGGTCAAAAAAAATAAAAAAATGATATAAGCCGAAACAATACATAATACAGTGGCAATATGGCTCAACTTTTCGTCATGTCATTGTCTAGCTTGATATCTAATTTCGGCCTTTACTCGATTCAGAACATTTTTGCCAAGACCTGGGCCGTTAATGGAGTCCTCATTTTATAATAGTCAGACTCTCGTATAATGTGATAAAGGCCGATGGACAGATGTGTTGGTTTTGCAAATTTGCCTAGCTTTGGCATCCTAAATAGGTTACTGAATTCAGGACCAAGGGTCTAAAGCGTTCAGCTCGCCCACTTTTGTTGGTTGTGTATATCCACTGCTCCTCTTGGTTAAATGTCATGTTACCGAGTCTATTGGTTAGTTTAGGCCAGTTACTTACAGCCAAATCCATCTTAAATTAGATATAAGACGTCAATCCAAAAAACGAAGCGCGTTTACACTTTCTGCCATCATCTCAAGCGTGGCTAATATGCCTTTGCATATTCATCATTTACACGCCAATTCTGGTTTGGCTTGGATATCATTTAAACATCACCAGTTATTTTGTAGGCTACAGAATACATTTTGAGAATAAAATAGGCCAAACCCCACGGCCGCCCGAGGCCCCAGCTTGTCTTTCTGATGTATATACGACAAAGCCCAACGATACTTGTGACTCATTGGCTCTCAAGTACAGCATCTCTTCTGCAGAAATCTTTATTAACAACCCTGACATTTTCGACTGCTACGACATGGTCGAAGACGTGTCGGTCTGTTTACCATTTCAATGCAACACCTACAAGGTCAAAGAGAACGACACCTGCATCTCTGTGGCCGACTCCTTAGGTCTTCGCCCAAGAGATATCGTCACTCTCAATCCCTGGATCGATGATGATTGCCATAATTTCCCGTCGGGCATAATAACACTTGGTAGAATCATTTGCACTACGCCATCTGACGGCCAGTACAATCACACTGTTAACAACACGGAATCAGACCCGGCATACTCCAAGTATGCTGACGAGGTTGTTCCACTACCTAAGGACGCCATTCTAGCTGAAAACACAACTAAAGAGTGTGGGCGTTGGTATACAATTCAGAAGGAAGATGACTGTGTTCAGGTTCTGGGCCAACATTATATAAGTCTTTCTCTCTTTACAGCTACCAACCCGTCGATATCTCCAGGCAACTGTACCACGAGTCTTATCCCAGGACAAACCTACTGTGTCGGCCCAACCAAAAAAGCTCTCCGGAAACCATTTACCCCTCCTCCATATTGGCGCCTCGGATGCTATTCCAGTGGGATAGATCCAACCACATCTACCCGTGTTTTAATACTTGATAAATTGAGCCACGTCAAACCCATGTCTATTCTTGCTTGTCAAGCCTACTGTCTCTCACAGTCGTTGCCCCTTTTCGGTCTACAAAATGGCGACTCTTGTCTATGTGACGATCGCCTGCGTAGAGATAGTCGGCGTGTACACCGTTGGTCCTGCAAATCTCGCTGCAGCGGCGGTCCAAAACTTTGTGGCCGTGAGCAAGACGCTATTGAAGTCTTTAGTTCTTACAAAGAAACAGCTGTCGAGTACACTAGTATCGGATGCTTCGTGAGCAAGGAGGAGCGCGTTATACCGGGCAATGACTATATCACTTGGGAAAATATAACTCTGGAAGAGTGCGCAAGCTTCTGTACTGTTGGCGTCGAGACTGACTACTTTGCTCTCCAAGAAGACAATCTCTGCGTTTGCGGCAATGAATTGAATCCAAGGGCTACAAAGGTGAGTATAGAGGAGTGTAATTTAGAATGTACGGGTGAGAATAGGGATACTTGTGGTGGAAAAGATAGAGTAAAGGTTTACACCACGAACTCTAACCGTGTAATATCTTAATTCAGCAAAGACACATATCTGTTTTTTCTTTTCATAAAGTATTATACAGGTTTGTCCTTTTTTTAATATTTATTTTATTTTTAGAAAAGCGTGAATGCCAGATATACATAATGCATTAACCCAATACCAACAAATGAAGCGCACAACACGAAGGCATTGTGAATCAAGAAGTATGTTTCCGCTCACATGATCTGCGTTGAACAAGAGCAACAGCAGTATCTTCTAATCCAAGGTTTATCGCTGCATGGAGAGCTCTTGTATAAGCCAAATCGCCACAACCTTGGTCTAAGACCCCACTCAGCTCGTTTATGGCCATCAATAGAACCAGTTAATGGTAGGTTACCGCTCTTACGCCACCAAATATCTTCTAACCTCTCTCGTTCATTTTGGCATAACCAGCTTTATGCGCGTGATTACCCGCGCCTGAAGCTTCACCTCGGCCCTCGCTCAGACCCTCTCATTGGCATTGAGATACTGGACAGGAGCTGTAACTGGAGCTTCACTGAGCAATTCCGTTGAAATACCCCGGCCACCATTACAGAGGAGACTTATAGAGCGCGAGAGGTAGTCCTACAATTAAATATCGATATTTACAGTGCTGTAGCTATTATGGGATTTTTTATCCTTACTATTTTTCTCAAGGCTACTACTTTTAATCTAAGGTAAATAGACTCTATCTAAGATAAAGGAATAACTTAAACAAGAGTAGCGATAAATGTATGCAGTGGGAGCCCTGCTTATACACTTATTATGGACTATTGGGTCCTTAAGTTAAAATTTACTCTTCTGATGATTGGAGCTATTAAGATCATGTTGAGAGGCGCATTATATATATCTGGCTTTGCAGCAACATGCTTATATAAACTATTTAAACTTCCCCCTACTTGGCTCCACTTGGTCTTTTGCACCGTATGGGCCGCGCGTATATTCCTCTCCGTCTGTCTAGAGATGTGGATGATTTACATTTGAATAGTGATAAAAATTAGTCTTTGTCTTTTAATTGGTGTGCTTAGCGCTTGCTGAAGGTGAGAGATTACCCCTCTTGTTTTACGTGTCTCGGCCTCAGCGCCCGGACCTAAAGGGGAAAGGATTAAGGTAGTGTCTATTTTCCAGGCAACACGTATCAGATCATGAAGATTTCCTTTATACTTATTCTCAAAACCTCGATACGCGAAGTAACAACTAGCAAATTTAATAATAAGGTATACCTCTCTTTATAGTAATTAATATTTTATCTTACGAATAATCTTTCGATATAAGCAGCTTCTCTTTTAGTTCTATTCCTGCTCAGAAGAGTATGAATTCAAACGATAAATATATTCAAATGCTACATACTAATAAAAGAGAAAAGGCGCTACTACCGCAAAACCTGGTATATGGGACAAGCCAGTACCTACCATCCCCTTTAAAAATCACCTAGCTTACAGAAATAGTAAGCATTTCAGAACGCTTACATTTCATCCGGACTGCAAAGATTACAGCCTTAAGGAACATAGGCTCGAGGACTATAAGAACAACAAGGGTCGTAATGCTGTGTAAAGTGCTAATTTTAATGGCAGGAGTTCTTTTACGCCTGACTTAGAACTTTTAATTAAAAAGATATTAGTAGACAGGAACCAAATAGAACTGCATGTTAACTATTAGTATGGCTAACTATAGCTAACTATGGCTAATTCAAACAGACTCTAAGACAGAAGAGTGGAAATTCAAGTCAGAATGAAAACAACGCCACCGAGCTAGAATAGAAAACAGTTATTTAAAAAATAGATTCTTCATATGAATTTAGTCTTATATTATTTACTTTATATAAAAGGAATTTATTACTTAATAATTCAGGGATCTTATAAATAACTTATATTTTAGGACTATTAACCTGCTATATTTAGATGATTTATTAAGTGGTTATATTATAGAAGCTATTAAGGTTTCTTAGCAGTACTAAATCCTAATATTAATATATAATACTGGGTTCTTGGTAGTAAGCTTTTATATATTGAGTTTTAGAATTAAATAATGCATTATCTTTATAACTAGTATATAAAACTAGCATTTAGACGACTAATAACCTGTAGTAATATGCAGCATATATAGGGCAATACTTTATTAGGTTTAAAATTAAGAAAGCTTTTTCTGAACTTTATTATAGAATAATTTAGCAGTTTAATTCAATTGCTTAGCTCTTTTATAGACTGGGATATAATTCTTTAAAGCCAGTCTGATATTTGGATTTTGCTATTAGATAAATTTAGGCAGAGTATATTTTTACCGAGCCGTATAGAAATTATTATTAAATATCTGGATTATTTAATTATTAAACATATTATTAAATTAAGCTGGAGGTAATAATTTAAATATATAATATTATAACCCCTATTTATATTAATAATATATTAATGTTTAGCTAGGTTTAAGCTATAACTAAGGTAATTTATCATAATAATCTTAAATTAATAAAGCTTTATTTACTAAGAGGTAATAAAGATTTAAATTATGTTAAATTTTAAAAATACTTAAATATATCTTTTAAGGATAACTTATAAACTTTTTTTTAAAAGAAAAAGGAAAAGAAAAGAAAATAGGTATGTGCCTTAACAAGGTGACTGATCGCATGTTGTTTAACCGTGCAAAGGTACTAAGTCAAACAGCGAGCCAGTCATACGTGGTTATGGGGGGCTCTACCTATGAAGGTCTAGATTCAAGCTGGATATCTTCAAGTGGAGCCAGTGGCTTCTCTGGCCTACTAATCAACATACAGTAGTCATGTATCATCTCTGTTGTGGCCTACAGGAGCTTGGTACGATGTGTTGAGTAATGGCTGGCTGAAAACAGGGGGTCAGAGTGCAAGTCACTCAACCTTCGGTCAGCCAGGTGGTGCAACCACCTCGGACAAGGGCGTCGGGGATGATGTGTCTGCACTCCCGAAGGAGTGTTAAACTATCCCTTATTTTTATAGTAAATCTGATCCTGTGGATTCTCTAGATAGTAGATGCACCCCTATAAGAAGGGGGTTGCGAGAAGGCTTTGCCATTTTTAAGTAACTTTATCGATATACATCCTTTGGCGCCTTTAGCTTTGACAAAGGGATAGGTTTCAAGAACATCTGACATATCTAACCATAGATAAGTATAGGATACTTTTGGATACTTTTCTTCCTAAAACAGACTCCAGGTAGTCAGGACCCCACTGTGCTGACAGGGATGATGTGATTGTGGTATGATGTAAGGATTAATGAATAAGTAGTGGGATTCCCTTGATTTTAAAACAGTGGCGTCCAATTAGGCTTATTTATAACTCCAGCTGAACTTGCAATTACATATCATTTCTCAAAAAGCACAGTATAGCACGCATCAAGTCAGACAGACAGCGTGCTGGTAAGGCGTTGTTGCCTGGAGTTCCGTAATGTCTCGGAGGTAAGAAGACTCTTGCCAAGACAAATTTCATGGGCTAGATCATATTCTTAACATCCTTTATAGTAACCACAGCACTAATTCTGCTGGCCTTGTCGACATTGTTCAAGTGTGCTTAGGTCGGAAAGTATGGCATGAGATTTATGCAAAATTATCCACAGTTGCCTTGGGTTCTGATTACGATGGCTATTGTCATTCTGCAGCCGCCACAAGACTAACATTTTCACACAGTATCAGGCCCGAAATCACATGTCACATTCAAAGCAGGGCGTGGCTGGCTGACTGGAATGTACAATCAGTTCAGCTCTCGGCTCTATACCATCATGTTCTCTAACAAGTCCACAATTTGCAACAGGCGCTTCCCTTTTCTACTATAAATCCCCCTATATCTCTCGATGCCTCTTTAGCATCTTTCACCACTACATTCACGTCACTGTATCCTGTCACACAATTCCAATTTGTAACAATGGGTATTGAAGCCTACGGTGTTTGGAGGGCAAAGCCTATCCGATACACCTTTGAGAATAGATTCGATGATCCACATACACCACATCTCTCTCTCTACTTCAAAGACAATAAGGGTGGAGAAGGCCGCGCTGCTGTCAACATCAAGTCGGGGAATCGCGAAGAGTCCCGGCTCGCCTACTGGACAGTTTCTGACTTCACCCACGATATCACAAGGAAGTTAGCCAGTCTGAACAATGGCTTCCATCTCCTCTCCGACTCATCCGAGCAGAAGCTCGATGGACTTGCACTAGACTACATCCGCAGCAACCTCTTCAGTCGCGGCAATGGTCGAGTCCTCGACCATGACATTGATGGCGCAGACAACGACATCCTCGATCAGTTGAGGCCAATTGTCGAAAGGGCCATCGCAGCTGAGGCTGTAGTTTATATCTATGGCTCTCGATTCAGTGATGGCAAGGGTATACATAATATACATATGAACCAGGGCAATTCAGGACGCTGGGAAAGAGACAATGGTGTATTCCAAGATGGCGCTCTAATCTTTGAGTTCGAAGACCACTGGGAGGCTGTTTTCATTGGCTTTGCCTCCCAGGCTGTCCACACTCGAGATGGCCCCGAACGCGCTGGCTATCCATTGCCCGACGAAGGCTTTTTGACATGGGCGACCTTTCTTGCACCTGAGCGCCCAGATACAGACAAAAAGGATGATGACGTTGCAGACTCGCCCGTGTTCATCGCCGAGGCTCTTGTCAATCCACCTGGTCCAGACCAGCAGCCAGGAACCCCCCCAGAGACGATTACCCTTAAGAACAGAACACAGAATGAAATTGACCTGGGTGGATGGAAGATTCGTATCAAGACTGGGGCGACTCAGATTCTACCTTCTGGGATTCGTATCGACCCCAATGGCACCATGAAGATTGTAACGACTGTTCCGCTTTCTAACCAAGGCGGTATCATCACTCTTCTCAATGCACAAGGGCTGAAAGTACATGGGGTCAGCTACACAAAGACTCAGGCAAATGGCGCTGTTGTTTCTTTTTAACAGTTGTCGAGTTAGGTCAGTCCAATATTCCACTTTGAGTGCTATTCTCTGTGTCAGCGGGCTTATTTGTCTTGGCCTCGTGAAATGGCTATATCTGAATGATGGACAGAATGTAATAGTAGCAGATCTATTTAATACAAATAGAGACCAATTTGTATAAAAAGTGATTCGTCAGTGTCTGGAACTTGTAACCTTCTTGCGGCCTGGATGAATTAAAAATATCAGAACCAACGGAACTGCCTCTTTCGAGCGACTTGCCTCATCTCTGCTTGATCTTGATCGATTCTGAGTTATGTTAATAGTCAAGATGACTGCTTCAAATCCTGGTTTGGGAAAGATGCTTCAAGTGTCAAGGTTCCTTGAACCCCCATGATTTGATCAACATCCTTGCCGATGGTGATCTCGATGGCTTGCACCGCCTAGTCTGGTGACTTTCTGCAATACATTTCGCCTGTTGCACAAAGAGCTTTGGCTTCTCGTCTGATGATGAAGTTACATTCGCCAGCGTCATTTTTAATTTGCAATGCAAAAAGAGTAACGCCACCAGTACCTTTATGCGAACAGTTAATCCAGAGCGAAGAGCGGTCAGTGCATTCCAGGCTGTCAAAGCAGCACCCGCAGGACAAAGGCCTCCTCCTCAAAAGATAGGTAGTCAGGAATTTTGACCACATCGGTCTTGAGAAAGATAAAGAAGCCGCCTTGGAGGCCCTCAAAGCTAGGTCAAGCCAACCTCATGGTCCAGCAATGTGGTTCTGAGTGAAGTTGGTGAGCATGCGGACTGACTTTCACTCTGTTACACCTTCTCCAACAATGCCTGTACAGAAACGTCACTTTGTTTGCGAAATACTTCTGAGGGATAAACTAGCACCATCACTACAGGGACTACAACCTGGGGCGGGTACCGATAGCCAGGATACCATCTCTCCAGTTCAAAGTTACAGCCTTGATCCGTACGAGAATCCGGCCAAACTTCGGAGATTCTTTTGGAGTGTCGAGATCCATCTGTAGGGGACGAGTAAATGCCAGTTGATGGAGGGCATCGACGCCAGGCTGTAAAGGATCATTAACTGGTTACTGGGTCACGATGCAATGTTTTTGTGGCTTCAGCGGTATTCATTTCTGATCACTAGTACCCTCTCGCCAAGTGATTGACCATCTATCACATGAATATCGACTCTAAATGCGAATCCCGACGAATTTTCTTCGTCCCCCAAATCCATCGACTGTGTTTTCCTGCTCGATGTGATCTCTGTTCGTCTTGACGTTGCCTTTGCTGACCCATGGCTGGTTTACTGCGATCATTATGATTCTGTGGTAAGATATTAGTGGTAATATTATCAACGTCTAGAGGCATTAATGAAGAACTTACCTGCAAAGGTGAATTTCTACTGGGAGACCCCATTGCCAGACTCGCCGTCCTGATCGTGGTTCTTGGACTTCTTGATTTCCTCAAGTTCCTTGATTTTAGCCGTGAGGTCTTCCTCAGAGACCCGCCAGAATGCGGTGACTATCTCCAAGGTTGCCTCGACGTGCTGGCGCCGCCTGATTTCCAAGGCGACTTGGGCTTGAAGTTCCTCATTCTCCAAGGCCAGGCGCGCATTGTCGTCCCTCATGTTGTCATTCAAGTCGTTAACGAATTTATTCACGCCACATCTGATAAGCAAGGTATATACCCTTCTGCAGCTCAGTGAGCTGGAATATAGTTCACAGACCGTTTTAAGAAACAAACGACTCTGCAAGTCCAAGTTTCATTGAGAAAGCCGTCTTTTTATATATGCTCCTTACGCCGCACCAAACTCGTGTTGTAAAGGGCACCAAGAAATACTTTCCGTGCCCGAATGAGAGAATCAATGATCCTATTCCCGGAAATATACGTTCGCGTCGCAAGACATACAGCCCTGGTGCAGGAGACCAGTGCACTACCTGAGCGGTTGCGCATTCAGATGTCATGACTTACCCATAGCCAATTTTCCAGGGCACCTTCTATTGTCCTCAGAGAATGTTGAGACCAGCAACGACACGACTGCACTTCAAACTCCGGCCCTTCGCTCCTGCGCAACACTTCACTTCCGCTGCCATGCATTGGCTTATGGTTAAATGTATAAGGCAGACACTCTAGTTGGCGCAGGTAGCTAATAATAACTGGGGATTCAATCCTGTCACCTTTCTAAGCTGTTCCCTATGAGCTGGAGACCGTCCCTATAGAGGAAGAATATCGGAAGCGTGGTATTTTGGTATCCGTAGGTTCTCGATCGCCCTTGGTTCAATGAGATATACTGACCGATGTCTGCAGGTCGATGTCAATGGAACGAAAGATGAGAACATCGAGGCTCTGACCAAAGCACTTCAGCAGTGTAAAAGTTGGCAAAAGACCATTGAGACATAACCAATAACAGACGCGTCCAGTCTCAGCGTTGAGATCTTTCTACAAGGTGGTCAGCATTCTTGGGACCAATAAGTGTTGCACCACTACACAGCTGCTTAGGATGTGATTGAAGCATCGGGAGGGTACACCCAGTAGCAGTCAAATAGGATCAGCAATAGTCAAGCGGTCTGAGTAATCATTCTCATTTTGGCGCCAACTAGTGTTGCCAAGAGTCAATAAATCGTTGCTGGTCGGCGATCAATCGTGACTTCAATCGATCTAACTTCAGCCGCGTCAATCAATTACTGCATTTATAACAGTTAAACAAGGATATTCAGCTGCTTAGTGCTTACTGCATCCCAGTTTAGTTGCGCGTGCTGACATGGCTTTTTATCACGGCCCCACAGATCGACAAAACCTGAGATCTTCAATTAGGGAGTCAAAATAGCCAGTGGGAAATCTCCCCAGATTTGTGACAAGAGTACCCAATTATTATTGTCGCTTAGGATTCATGTCTTTCCTGCCCCTACTACCGCCGACCAGTAGCACGGTTACCAAATCAACAGTCCTAGTTGAAGAAGAAGCGAGACATTGCAATCTCTCGGGCCGTGCGTGGCGTTACTAGTGACCAGTACTGCCAAGGGTTTAAGCTGTCATCTCCCCCCATGACTTAAATCAATTTCTGAACTCTTCTTCTTCTCACCAACTCAAGTCATCTTCAACGATCAACCATGAAGCCCTATTTGCTCGCGATCTCTCTTCTTGTCAGCAATTGTTTCGCTGTTACTCCCGAAGCAGTCTATGGAGGCGGCTTCGACCACAACAAGAATGACACAATTAAGCTGAATATTGCCAACGGAGGTGCTGGCCAAAGCGGCTTGATCAAGGGTAAAGCCACCCCGCCAATGATTTAAACTATGCTAATTGCAGATGGCCAGAGCTTGCGAATGCATATATCAAAAAGCGCGTTGCAGACGGTGAGAAGCCATTCCAGGTGGCATGGATCAAAAGTGATACCTTTTACAGCATCCAATATCTCAAGACGGGCGACGCGGACATTGGAATCACTTACAACCCAGCTGCGGAAGAGATTGCGATCAAACAAGGCATCGCCAAGAGTCCAAGCTACTACGCTTTCCGAGATCACTTCCTTCTCGTCGGGCCCAAAGAAAATCCCGCGAATATCTCCAAAAGTGATGACATAATGACCACGTTTGCGAATCTCCACGAAGCAGCTGAAGGCCCTGCTACCGAGCCTCCTGTTCGGTTCTTGAGCCGTTACGACAAGTCTGCTACCAACATCAAGGAGACTCTGCTATGGGCCGGCATTGGACAGGTTCCTTGGGCAACTGCCTACTCAACATGGTATCACCAGTACATCGCTTTCCCGATCCAAGCTCTCACAGCGGCAATTATCCTCCAAGAGTACACCATCACCGACCGTGGGACTATACTGTCCCTTGATGCAGAGCTCAGGAATCAGACTGTTGTTTACAAAGCGGGCAGTGATAAGGCGGATGACCCGTTGCTGAACCCCGCTCATGCATTGGTTGGTGAAAAGGCACCGAATGGTAAAGAAGCAGCCGAGTTTATCAAGTGGCTGGTCAGCGACAAAGGCCAGGACGTTATTGCAGGCTTCAAGAAGGATGGGCAGGTACTGTACTCCAAAGCACCAAAGGGACAAGACTGAAAAGGAATAAGTGTCCTTGGACGTCTCTTGTACCGTGCACCAGATTCATAGCAAAGCTACTTCTCAGTACATTATGTTATTACTCGTATACGATTATCTTGCTTATCTTTAAGGATACTACAGTAGTTTCCCCACGTCCTGTAGCTCTCCAGGTAAGTGTGATTGCTGGGGTTGAGTAGCCAGCTCAATCTCATCGTCCATGACACCCCATTCCGCATAAGCCTGCGATGCAGTCCTCGACTTGGATCCTTTCATGTTGGAAGAGTGACTTGAGCTTGACTGCTTCGAGCTGAATCCTTGGCTCGTCGTGTTTGTATGTGTTCTCGATCTCATGATCAATTTCTTCAGGCCGGGAAGACAGACAACGACAACTGCAGTCGCCATTTCGGCCATGCAGAGTGCATCTTTGGCGCAGTTAGTAGTTATCAAAAGTGTCAAAGTGTATACCTACTACCAGATGGGTAATCAAGCTGATAGTCCGCTGCATTGCTTATGATAAAGCGGGCAAGACTGACTGACATCGTGATTGCACCAAGAGAAAAGACGCCGACAAGGCCGAGTTTCTGCTCAGTCCGTAACGTCAGATGTTTGAGAATGAGGAATGGAAAACAGAACACCGAGTACTTGTCAGTATACTCTTGTCTCTCGTAAGAATCTTGAGCACAAGAATTAACTTACATATCAGATCTGTCGAGAAGTTCAAGCACCACTGAGCCAGAAAGTTGGGCAGGGAGTTCCATGCGGAGTTCAGTTGGTTCTCAACAGACCTGGCGGGGTTAACCGAAAATTTCAATACAATCAATTGGATTCTGGCAGTCTTACCAATTGTCTGATATGGGTCTCGCTATTAGAGTGTTGATTAGGATAGATGTTGTCATGCAAGAAATCAGGTATGTCGTGATTATGTATAGTGTTGCTCTCAAGGATTGGAAAACATCTGGTATAAGATACCAATAGAAGGCGAGGATAGAGAGTTTCGGCCAGTAAATTCCTGTATCAAAGAAGTATTCGGCTACCCAGACTGTCTAGAATCGGGGTTGAATGAGCTTATACCATCGAAAGCTTTCAAATTTACTCACCTTTTGGTAGTCGACACTCGGAATAAGAAGATCTGGGCCAGCCGGGGGATGATGAACGAGGATAAGCATGGACACTGTCGAAGTTATAAACCATCCCAAAGCGAAGATCCAGCCAATGCATGCAAAGTACTCAGAGAGAGTGAGCTTCTTTCTTTCATAGTAAAGTCTAGTCCAGCATCGAAGAATAACTGTAAAGAGTGCCAATCCTAATAACACTGCTTGGATGGCCTGTTAAGACGTCAGTATAAGTTGCTGAGCCACAAGAGAGATAGGTACATTGAACACACTATTCCGACTGATATGAGCATTTTGCTTCTTTGCTAAAGCCAGTCGCGTTTAGAAATCAGTCATTACCGTGCTTCTAGAGGATGGAACAAACCAAGATGAATCATGTCTGGGCACGAGGGCTGGCCCAGAAATACAATCTCATCTACGCGTCAAAGATTTTGTGGCGGCCGTCACTGTGTCCAGAAGACCTGATGCCAAATGCAAACACATTCCAGGCGCAAAAGTTGGTCACTAATAAGATTGAGTGGCGTTCGTCACCGAACACGATGTTGGAGGCTTGAAAATGTCTTGAAGAACCCGAACTTTGCGCAAAATCATGACTCGAACTGGCACGGGAATAGATATGCAATACGGGGGATCTCATTTTAGATCAGATCTATAACTGTAAGATATCTTTGAGCAATTGAAGACGAATTGTTGACCGAAGTGTTATTGCCTTGACACGGTCTAACTGGATGCAGCTTGCAGAGGCCAGGGTAATCGGATTCGCGGCTCAAGATGATCGACGGTTAAATGCAGTGGCGTAGCGCCATCGTTCCTCGCTCACGGTGCCCGTCACCACTTCACCTGCCCTGTAGATAGGCATTTGAAATGGTTCTAGATTCAAGGTATCATCCCCACAACGTGTTATAATAGCGCTCTATCAGATGCAGAGAATCAATTTACCTACAGTTTATTAAGAGATAATAACCTAATCAATTCACCTTAAACTCCCCTTTTTCATATTACTTATATATCACTTACTGGTGAGTTTGCGGCGCGGTCTCTACTGCTTAACCTTAGCTGACAGTGGAATCGCAGTGGATGATTTAAGCGTGCTGCGGGGATCGATGAAAGAGTGGTCTTTGAAGTGGGCTGCAGGGAGAAGATTGGGGCCAACTGAACAGCAGGTAAGGCTCTCCAGCTGGCTTATGTGTAGCTGTAATTGAGACAGCTGACTATGATGATATTGACTTAATGAAGCTTTGCCTCCTGAGGGGTAGTGAATATTTAAATGATATTAGACTTTAGATATGCTTAAATATATCTTTTAAGGCTAACTTATAAATAGAAAAAATAAATATTAAAAAATAATAAAAAATAAGTATTTCTCTTATTAGTTATATAACCTATTTAGAGTTCTTTTATATAATTTATTTTTTATATTTAGCTTAAGAGATGTTTTTTTTTAAGTACTTTTATTAATAATAGCTTACGTATCTTAGTATTATATTTTAATTTAAGAATATATTTAAATTCTTTAATATAATTTATTATATTATTTTTATATTCTAATAACTCTAATTAATACTAATATTAGATAAATCTAAAATTTGATTTTTATATTCTATTTAAATAATAGTATTAAACTATAATATAGTTAAGGTATTTTATTTTAACTACCTATTATAAAATAATATAAAGACCAGAGGGATTAAGGCTGTATTACTTATATAGAGGTCTGACTTTATATATAAGATAATTAACTTTAATACAGCCTAGGTGCCTAGTATTTCTCTTAGTATAATAGAAATTAACACCTGCCTAAATTTAAATCTTCTTACATGGCTACCACAAAGCATGTTAACGCCTTGTGAACAACACCCTGTAACATTTTATAATCAGCTGGACATAAGCCAAGACTTGCTACGAGTCTGGAATCTAATTTTGTCTTACTACAGAGAGCCTTACAAGGCTCATTGAGCAGCCAAGGCTCTCGCTGCTGCCAAGACCAAGAGTTCCAAAATGTGGCACTCATGCCTTTCAGCTCTGGGCGCCAACCCAGTGGGAATAGGGATCGCTTATTTTAAGCAATATTTGCTGGAATGGAATTTGGCCAACGCTTCTCGGGTACATCGGGTTCGAGGGTCAAAAAGAACTGCCTGATCTTTACTTCATGGTCTGTATATAACCTGTATATTAATCAGAGTAGAGATCCTTCCTACTGAACACAGACAAAGTTGTATAATTCCTCCCAACCCTACCCTTTACCAAAGTATGGCGTTCGAAATATATACTGGATCTTGGACAGATTGGTCCCGTGGTTCAGTTCTTGGTGCTACCATTACGCTGTCATCTAGGGACGCTAGTCTCCTTCTCGCCTTTATCGCAGCCTTTGTTACAGTTATCGCAGTGAGACTCTGGGTTATCATCTGCTTCACCGTCCACCAAATCCTATCTACCAACGGAAAGCATGACGGACTTTACTACCAACGACAAGTCATTCTGCGCAATACGAAATCTGCACCAGCTGCTGCGTGGCTATTTCTGCAACAAGCTTGGTACTGGCGTGGTATCGCAATATCAGCAGTTACCAGAACAATCCCTTGGGCTTTATTCTGTGTTTGCTATTTCCTGGGTTTTGCTGTCCTTGCAGTCTTTTCGTCGCAGATATCAGACAGCTTCCGAATTTCGACTACTCCGCAGTCCCAATTGCGGGATACAAATGCCCCTAGAGAACCTTGGAAAACCCACTTTTGATAACTTCCGAGCGTCTACCTACGCCAAGGAATGTTATCAAAACACAAACTCTGTATTATGCAACAGCTTATCTGTGTCCGACCTGCCACGAACCAATGCATCCGTTGATTGCCCTTTTGACAAAAGCATATGCCTGAGCACGCCTTCGTTCAAAATGCAGACGGATATGCTTGATTCTCATCGCCATTTTGGATTTAACGACAAAGAAAAGAATAGAATCCGCTACAAGAGGGAAACTGTGTGTTCGCCATTAGTCACCGATGGCTCCCCTAGTTTTATACAGTATGTTAGGGGCCAAGAAGCCAGAACACTAGGTTGGGAAGACGGCGTGTTGATAAAGTATTTGTACGGCAAGCTTAATGGCGGACGAATTAACCAAACACTGCTATACAACACTCTTTCTGGCAATGCCCTGACTGGCTATACTACCTGGGGCTATTACTACCCTTCTCAAGACGCCTGGCGACCGGTGGGTGAGCTCTTAGTGCCAGACACTGATCTCTCGCTAATTCTCATCGCCCCGAACTCAATTGTAGACCTTGAACGTAACATTGATCCAGTATTTGAAGCCACAGGGATTTTGAACGCTTCTGGATCCATAGGCTATACGCCTAATCGATGGGTAAGCCCGATAGCTTGCATTGACCAACATCAGCTCTGCAATCCAACCAATGCTAAGTGTACACGGCTGGTTGGTAGTCACGGAATCCTTGAAAGCGCAATGGATGATGATTTGGATTTCAACCGTGTGCAGAAAGTCACAATCCAGCGCCTCACGCTGTTTCTTCAGTCATCGACCTTCTATCATACAATCTTCACGCGGACGCAGAGCTTTCTCCGTGCTCAGGAGAAAGTAAGTGGGATTATTAGCCAGGGCCTGCCGTCGAATCAATGGGAGGTCGAAATGGCTGCTTTATTTGATGATACCCTCGCCAATATGCAGTATCAGATGATGGAGTATGCCGCTGGGTCTCCAAGATCTAATGCAGTGAGTGTTGTTAAGCCATGGACCAATTCCTCGGACAGTGATAGGGATGCTGCTGTTTGGGAATCCATGTGCGACAACCAGAGGACTAGAGACAGTCAGGGAACTCTAAACTTCTCCATCCTTGGGCTGTCTCTGTTATTCGGGCTGGGTTTATACATTATCCTGGTTTCGTTTGTTCTCGAGCTCCTCTTGGCATGGGCTCAGAAGAAACTGGGAAGAGGGTTATACAGAGCCAAGCGTTGGGAGCGAGATGGTACTCTACAGCAGATGAGATTGCTGTATGAGATCCAAGGTGCAGGCGTATGGAAGGGAACGACTGAGGACTTTCCTCGGACAACCTCAGGAGATTTGTTTGAGCACGATGAGGAGTTCAACCAAGCCAGAAGTGTTTGAGCGCGACAAAGATTTTGACTACGTAAGAATTTGGCTGATGAATTGTTACATATTTATCTCATATTGGTATTAATTACATCTATTGACTGAAAGCGGTCCCGATATTCGCGGCTTGTGGCTGAATGGCCACTTTTGCTATACGAGTCAGCCTGTAGGAATTTGTACATAACAATTTTGCTTTGCAATCGCGTTACTCTGTGTCTAATTCTCTACCATTTAATCCAAACCTTATTCTCTTTATTTATTCACACCTTTTGGGCATTTCATTTATTTCAATTCGCCATCCATCGGTCGTCGATCTTAATCGGAACAATGTTCCACTTGCCAACAGAATGGACAGAGCCCATGCCGCCCCGAGAGATTGACACCAGTTACTGGGCTTTGGCGTTCCCTGGTTTTGCTCTAAGCGCCCTTGGTCCTGATATGTCATTTGCAGCCGCATCGATGTTCATCACACCCAATGTTCCGAAGACACACCAAGGCCCTCTTTATCACTGCTCAGAACCTATCAACAGCCATTCTGACTGCTGTCGGTTACATGATTGGGGATATAGTAACTGGATTAGACGGCGGAAGTCTGGACCACAATGCCTTGCACGCAATATGGTGGTTGAGTCTAGCCACTGCCCTTGTTGGTGCCTTAATCTGCCTAGTCTTCGTTAGGGTACCCGGAAGCGAAGAGAAGGAGCATGGGAGCTAAAGTCTGATTGATTTCGATACGGGCTTGATTCGCCTACCTAGGTCTTGTCAGAATTGTGGATTTGAGCTTCATCTGGCCCGCAATATAATATATAAGTCAGTATACAGCTTTTGAAACCCATCCATTGCATTGGCATTAATAGTTTCGAGTTCCTCGTAGACCCGCTGTAGTCCTTTCTTTAACTACCTTCGTGAATTACCCTGAAGATCTAGCATATTTAAATTCTTTATTCAAGCCGATAACAACAGTCTTAATATTTATCTATTTATTACTTAATGCATATACTGAGTGGCACCATAACTGTTACTTAGGCATCATAGTAGAAGCCACTGGTTGTAATGCTTCTGAGAGGCTGTGGCTTTGCAGAAACACGCGTTGAGAGGTCTTTGAGTTGAATAACGTGTCGCAGTTAACTCACAAGGCGTTGGGATTGCAAATTGAAAAGGATCACAAACATACCATTTTCGGGCATAGAGACTTTCACGCGACAACCACGTATCTTATAATTTCAAGGTTATAAGTTTCATTGTAGCTTAGAAGCGACAGCTGTCTATGCGTCAAAGATCTTGAAAGCTTATCATCTCAATCCTTGCTAATGAGATGATTGAAAAATTCTCCAAGGAAGTACCCAGACCTCTTAGCATACCTCGTCTTATCCTCAGCCTCGAAATCGATCCACGTTGCCCCAAACCTATCTGAGAAACCAGCAGCCCATTCCCAGTTATCTGTAAATGTCCATCCAAAGTACGACTTGATCACAACACCTTCCCGTGATGCCTTGGCGACTTCTGTGAGGTAGCTCTTGTAAAAGTCAACCCTGAAGGGATCTTCCAAAACATCATCAGGACCATTTGGCTTCCAGTCATGTTCACCCTGTGCCGTGGTACCATTCTCAGTAATGTAGATTGGTATGCCATATCGATTCCAGATCCATCGCAGCAACTTGGCCCAGCCCCAGGGAGTTGTTCGCAGCCAGTATGTGTCGCTCATAGGTCCTCGCCATTCTCCTTTCTTATTCTCATCAAGCTTTTCGACGTTGCCCAAATGGTCATTAATATCAGCAGGTCCGTCACGATGACGGACGTAGAAAGCTGAGTAAGAGTTCATGCCATAAAACTCGGAACTTCCAAGTACAAGCTTGCTTTCTTCTGGTGTAAATCTGGGAAGACGGTCACCCAGCTGTGCACGCATGGACTCTGGGTAATCTCCTGTCTTGTACAAAGGGTCGCCAAACCAGGCGATTTCGAACTCTCTTGCTCGTTCCGCTGCTTCTTGGTCTAGCGGATCATCGACATCCCAGGGCTCAGACCAATTGCCATGGAGGGTAATCATGATTTTGCCTTTTTGGGTGGGTTTAAACTCGCGCTTATACATGTCGGCAACGTATGAATGCGACACAAGTTCCGTGTGACTGACAATGAAGGGTTCTGTGCTGCTGTCCCCTTCTTCATTGCGGTCACGAAAACTGGATCGGCCTGGAGCGTGTACTCCGGCGGCATAACCAGCAAGGGAATAGACGCCAGGCTCATTGTATGTGATCCAGTTCTTGACACGGTCCCCGAAGCGCTCAAAACATACCCGGGCATAACGAACAAAGTCAGGAGTGTATGCATCTTTGTTGAGCATGCCACCGTAACGATCTTCCAAAGCCTGAGGGATGTCCCAGTGAAAGAGCGTGACGAATGGAGTGATGTTGTTTGCAAGAAGCTCGTCGATCAAGCGATTGTAGTATGATATACCCTCCTCATTGACAGGGTCATCCTTCCCGCCCATAGGGATGATTCGCGACCATGAAAGTGAGAACCGATAACCTGTGACTTTGTACTTGCGAAGCCACTCCACATCAGTCTTGTAAAGATCATAAGACTTCACAGCATCGTCACCAGTGCTGTCATCTTTGACCTTGCCTGGAGTATGCGCGAAGGTATCCCATATCGAAACACCTTTGCCGTCCTTGTTCCATGCGCCTTCAACTTGGGCTGCCGCTGTGGCAAAACCCCAGATAAAGTCACGAGGTAAGGCACCTCTGATGGACTCGTCAAATTGCTGAGAACCCATTTCCAGTGATGCTGTTGCCACTACTGAAGAAAAGGAAGATGGGCGAGCTAAGGTGAAGGGTTGACACAAGTGAACATGCAGCACTCGCAAGTAACAGCCATCTGCACTGAGAGGGGAAGCTGCATGGTTGGGGCGGAGAGGCGATATTACCCACGAATCAGCATGCTTGTCCCTCGCATGTTGGGAGCACCCAATGAGTCACCTCACTTGACGAACTTGATTCAAGTCACTGAACTGATGCAAGTTCGGGTTGTGGGAGAGATCTGCGAGAGCATCCGTTGCTATCTTCTATCTTCTGTCGCATGCAAACGCAAAGTGCTGTTTCTACCGGCCCGCCTACCCATTTATCCACTGCGCAGATCACCCGCTAGCTCTGCATATACTTAGCTACAGCTGGAAAGGGAAGGAGAATATTTGGAATGCATGCTACTACATTTGATCTGCATTCGCGTGACAAATCGTCCGTGGTGGGTATACGCGTATCAATTGACAGTTACTCGGAAAGCGGTTGGGCACCAATTGTTGACTGTTGCGACGTGATAAGCCAAACGTTAAATTGCGGGAATATTCTTGACTGATACATACGACTGTCCTGTTTCAAAGCGACTATAACTAAGCTACCGTGGGATTGTTACGAGCCCGCCTCTTTTCCTCCTTGATTGAAGCCCATTTAGCGTCTGCAATCTTGACACTCAGCTTGGTGGGGTTAGTATTCTTGGTTTCAAAAATGTGGTCAATCTCTTCCAGATTGAGCTTTCCAGTCTCGGGGAAGATGAAGTAAGCCACGATAAGCTGGATGACGTTGTAGGCAATGTAGACGGCCCAAATCTTGTATCCGACTTTCTGGATCCCAACTGAAATGCCGTAATTGTGGACGACGCCGGCAGCACCCTTTCAATGTCAGTTTTTGCAAGAATAATCTTTTGTCAGCAGCATACCTGGAACATCGTGTATAGTGCCATTCCCTTTGCTCTCAAAGGCAGAGACAATAGTTCAACCGGGTACAAGTTGTGCATCGTCGCTATAAAAGACGCGCTGCAGACTTGGAAACAGTAGATCCAGACAACTGTAAGATAAGACAGGTACCTGTCTCCTTGCACATTGACTCGCCAACTTGTAATTGTGACAGCGGTTTGCGCAATGATGATACATATTAAGCCCACAAAGATCAGAGTTCGTCGGCGGAAATATTCGATAATGTATGCACCAAAGAGAGTGAACACAAAGTAAGTGGCAGTCAGACCTAGTGTGATGCCCAAAACATCGAGCTTCTTGGTAATGCCGATTGTTTGGAGCGCTGGGTCCATATAGAGTCCAATGATGCCGCCACCTATGACGAGTCAGAGAGAAGTACAATATGAGTTGGCGTTTAAAGCTTACCATTCCACTGTTGGAAGATCGAATAGAGGAGAAGGACAAAGGTTCGAAAGCCGACAGCCTTGGTAAAGAAGACTCTAAAGTCCCACACAGCACGGAATCCAACCGCAGAAGTCTCAATGGACTCATCAATCTGAGCTATCATGGTGTCGACGAATGGGTGGTTAGGATCTTCCGAGGAAGTAAAGTACTTCGAAATCATGGTGCGAGCCTTTTCTCTCTGACCCTTCATGATCATGTATCGTGGTGATTCGGGGCAGAACCAGTAGATAGTGACGCACACAAAGAAAGGAAAGATGGCTTGGATAAGAAACGCCACTCTCCAGCTCCAGTTACTTTCCCAGTGAGTAAATCCCATCATGATACCGACGATGGCAAGAGAGCCAACCTGGAAGAAGGCACCAAAGATTCCAACGATGCTGATCAACGTGTTATTGAGTAGTTCAGAGGCTGACATGGGAGAGGGACTCACTGTCCACGGATATGAGGGGGTGCAACTTCTGCGATGTACTGCGAGCTCGTGCAAAGCGCGGTACCAAAGCCAAGGACAAAGCGGCCAAACATAAAGACCTTGACATTCGGGGCAAAGCACTGAATGAGAGAAGCAACAATAGTGAGAAAACAGCCGAGAAAGTTGACGCTGCGACGACCAATCTTATCCGCAACACTGAGGAATGGAGCGCCGCAAAAGTTGCCGATGGTCATGAGAGCGTTGATGACACCGAGTGTCGAGCCGCTGTTTGCGAAACCGAAGTAGTCATGCCAATAGGTGTTGGAGTTGATGCTGCTGATAACACCCCAGTCGATACCATATCTACGCAAGTGTCAGCTCATCATCATCAAAGGTTCAATGAGTCAACAGCCTTACGCAGCTTGATTGAAGCCCATGGTCACCATGATGAGAAAGATGCGAAAGCCAGCTTTGGACTTGAGAGACAAAGCTTCCCGAGACTTGGTGATCAGATGGTCTTCGGTGATTCGCGCTGTGACGATCTCTTCGACAGCGACACCCGACTTGTTTGCATCAGCTTGGACATCTTGGTAAATGTTATGGCGCTCGAAAGAGGCTCTTCGTGCCTGGATAGGCATATTGATATCCTGTATGATCGTGCTGATGTCTTATAAAGTCAAAAATACAGCAACCTCAAGTGGTGCGTTTTACTGTTGGGCCTCAGGTCGTCTTTATATCATATGCAAAGAATGCTTTCAGTGCAGCCATTGCTGAGTGTATAGCCTTGACCTAGTTAGTGCAATTATTCCACGTTGAGTGCGGCACGAGAGCCATCGGCAAAGCGATTGAGTATTGGCTAGATCCTAGAAACTGCGGATCACACCACTTCTAGACTATCCTTCCTCTCTATGTGGGTTCTGATCACGGCCCAATGCTGCATGTACGTGATAGCTGCAGTCTGTGCGATGTCGGCTAAAATGCCTCCAGTTTTTAAACCACTCTCAACTCTGGGGCATGTGGGTACATCGTCAACTTAAATAATAATCCCTCCAATAGCATCGCCGAGCCCGCCGTTACCCCATGGGCCGTTCATCCGTCCGCATGGGTTTGTGGGGTTGACCATCCTCTTCGGGTCTAATCCATCATCAATCGGCCCTGTTCGGCAAACAAAAAACATGAGAGATTCATCAACTTCCCCTCATCAATTAGCCTAGCATCATCATCCCATGCGCCTTTTCCACCATCAAGCGCCATGAATCCGTCGCGGCAAAACGGCGCGCATATCCAGTCATCCACCATGGACGAAGGCGAGTCAAGTGACACAGACAAAGGCATGCTCTTGCATTATGCCGCCCCCGCATCTTCGTGGTCTGAGGCTCTTCCAATTGGCAACGGGCGGCTGGGAGCTATGGTCTACGGGCGAACGTCGACCGAGCTGCTCCAACTCAACGAGGACTCTGTTTGGTATGGCGGCCCGCAGGACAGAACACCTCGAGATGCGCACAGTCATTTAGCGACGCTCAGGCAACTGATCAGAGATGAGAAGCACAAGGATGCAGAAGATCTCGTCAAAGAGGCCTTCTTTGCTACGCCATCGAGCATGAGACACTACGAGCCACTGGGTCAATGCAAGATTGAGTTTAATCACGACGAGAGTGAGGTGACCGATTACACACGATATCTCGACCTAAACACTTCCCAAGTCACAACACGTTACAAATGCGATGGTATATCTTATCGCCGCGATATAATTGCCAGCTTTCCAGATAGTGTACTCGCCGTCCAAGTCCAAGCATCTGAAAAGAGCCGTTTCGTTGTGCGGTTGAATCGACAGAGCGAGAATGAGGGAGAGACCAACGAGTATCTCGACAGCATCTTCGCGCAAGACTCACGGATTATTCTCAACGCAACACCTGGTGGTGCAAACAGTAACTGCCTGTCTCTCGTTCTTGGAGCTTCCTGCGAACCTAGCGATGGGACTATCAAGGCGGTTGGAAATTGCCTGATTGTCAATGCGACAAAATGTGTTATCGCCATTGGGGCGCATACCACGTTCAGAAAAGAGGACCCCGAAAGGTCGGCTCTTTTGAACGTTGATGATGCTCTTCGGAAGCCATGGGATGTTCTCGTTCGCCGCCATCGATCCGATTATACCAACCTCTTTGGCCGAATGTCCCTTCGGTTATTCCCTGACGCGAACCATTTACCAACGAACAAAAGAATCGCCAGCAACAGAGACCCTGGCTTAGTGGCGCTTTATCACAACTACGGACGATACCTACTCATTTCTTCAAGTCGAAACTCTGACAAAGCTCTACCGGCAACGTTACAAGGGATATGGAATCCTGCCTTTTCACCGCCTTGGGGATCCAAGTTTACCATCAACATTAACCTCCAAATGAACTACTGGCCAGCCATCCCATGCAGTCTCATCCAGTGTGCTATACCACTGATTAACCTTCTCGAACGCATGGCGGAAAGAGGCAAAAAAACAGCAAAGATGATGTACAACTGCAAAGGATGGTGCGCGCACCATAACACTGACATATGGGCTGACACGGATCCTCAAGATCGCTGGATGCCTGCTACTATCTGGCCGCTTGGAGGGGCCTGGCTGTGTACCGATGTCGTCAGAATGCTCATATATCAGTACGAGCCCACGCTTCATTGTCGCATTGCTCCTGTCCTAGAAGGCTGTGTTCAATTCCTTCTTGACTTTCTTATTCCATCTTCTTGCGGCAGATACTTGGTTACCAACCCATCTTTGTCCCCGGAAAACAGCTTCGTGTCCCAGTCAGGAGAGACAGGCATCTTCTGTGAAGGGTCTGTAATCGATATGACAATTGTGCGCATTGCGTTTGAGAGTTTCCTCTGGAGCATCAGTATCCTCGATCCAGATCATCCCCGGAGGAAGGATGTTATCGCAGCCCTCGATAAGCTACCGCCCATGTCGCTGAATAAAGATGGACTGATACAAGAATGGGGCTTGAAGAACCATAAAGAAGCTGAACCCGGACATCGCCATGTATCTCATCTCTTTGGGCTATATCCCGATGACTCTATCAGCATGGACTCGTCGCCGCTCCTGATCAAGGCTGCGAAGAAGGTTCTTGCGAGGAGAGCAGAGCACGGAGGAGGTCATACAGGCTGGAGTAGGGCATGGCTACTGAATCTTCACGCACGTCTCCGAGACTCCGAGGGTTGCGAAAACCACATGGATCTGTTGTTGAAAACATCGACATTACCAAACATGCTGGATAATCATCCTCCATTCCAGATTGACGGTAACTTTGGCGGATGCGCTGGGATCTTGGAGTGTCTGGTCCAATCTACGCTACGATCCGAACCATCGAGGCAGGTCGTTGTGATACATCTACTTCCGAGTTTACCGTCGTCTTGGGCAGGTGGCAAGTTGACTCATGTCAGAGCTATGGGAGGATGGCTTGTTTCTCTCGAGTGGAAGGAAGGCAAGTTAATAGAGCCGCTGCGAGTTGAAGCTACTGTGATTCAGGCTCCAGACGCACTCGTCGTGTTTCCTAATGGGGAAAAGGTTTATGTGTCAAGTAAGAAAGTTGGCCCACAAAGTATATGGCACAAATAATGTGTCTTAATATTGAAGACAAGAGATTTAATTTAATGCCACCTGTCTTTCATATCCTTGACCAAGCAGGATCTCAAACATTCCTTTTTCTTAAACCGTGAATTCTCACTCCAAACCCAGCGCTTAAACAACGTAGTTGAACACAATAGCCCTCTCCAATCCAAATATCCCCTGGACAATAGAACACGACATGTCCATCACTTCATCTTGTATCCCAACTTGTCAAGTCAGAGCCATGACTGAGGTCTCAGACAAGAATGTACTGATGTCTTCTCGGTGAGGCGAGGCAACGTCGAACCTCGACTAAAGGTATCAGCATATTGAACTCGTAATTTATTCTGAAAGCCTTCATACCAATTTAACGCCAGGAATTTCCTTGGAAGGACTCGTAAGAGCCATTGATGCCACGCCTGCTCGTGTCACTGCCCTGGCTGGCTGTTTGCCTGGACTTTCCCTTCCGGAAGCCGTTGCTTGCCCCGAAAAACGATTGATCCCAAGCCTTGTTGGCAGACTTCGGTCCGGCAGACCTCGGGCTGATCGTCCCATCCCACTGCATCTGGGTGGCTGTCGGTTTCCTACTATAATTCGGTGTCCTGAAAGTCGGTGCAGACCTCATAGGCGCCGTTGCAGAGGGCCGCCCCTTGCGTCGCTTGCTACGTCCAAAACAGCACATGTTGGCAGATGTAGCTTTTGTATAAGATGATTGAGATGAGTGGGTGTATGGGAGGGACAGTGCAATTATTTGTTGGTGAGGAAAAGGAAAGACGAGAGATAATCTGGGGAGACGCGTGTATTATAAAAGAGGCAACAGTAATCCTCTTTTAACTTTTAGAACTTAAATTTCTTTCTGTGGACTTCTTTTGAATTCACCAGAAGGATCTCAATTTCTTTCTTGTGTTCCAGGTAGTATATACATGACCTCCGCTGCGGTTTTCATAAATACGTAGCTGTACGACAACTTACTGAACTTGAAGCACCATCGCGCCTTTACCTCAAAAACTGTCCTGCTTCTTCCAACACCATTACAATCCCACCATCTTAGCACGACTTCGGCCAATTTTATCCTCCGCTCCCATATCAACTCAACGGCTCTGTGTCTTCACTTTCGACTAGCTCTCTAGGTCGATCTATTTCAAAGAATTCTTACTAAACTGATTCTTTAAGTCCATTAAAGAAGTAAGATATCAGCGCGTCTGGGCTTCGGGTAACTTGGAAACAAGCTAAGGGAATTTCACACCATAGTCTAAGCTGATATGTTTTATTAGAGGGTTTTTATTTCCGTTTCTGCATTGTCTTTCTCGTTAATTCAGTATTGAACACTCCCAGCTTCCTCTTTTACAACATTATCGCAAACTTATTGAGGCTCCACCCCACACCAACGATGACACTTCACACGCTGTATACTTAGGTGACAGCCCCAAAGGGCATGCGTAATGACCTTGAAGAAAATAGTGATGAATTATGACGAAGCAGACCTGCACTGTCAAGCGTCGCACCATTTTAGGACTAGCCTACTTACTCTGCGCTTAGTATAATCATAACCCTATCCTAATCCTAAACCTTGCGAGAGGCAAATGGTTAAAGAGAGCTTAAGTTGGCCAGGCTACCCTGCGATATGTCTAACATAAGGTAGGTGGCACAGAAACGGTGCGGTACTTTAAAGTAGGGTTAAGGGAGCGAATTAAAGTGCTCATTCTGTAAGCAAATCTCCTAGGCAGTGAACGTCCTAAAGTAATGACAGGAATCCGGGGTTTTACCCAAACTGTTGAATTACTAGTGTAGGTGTTGTGGCCTCCTGATACGAAGCAAAAGGATATGCATGCAGACCAGCCTAAGTCACAGGGTGGCCGGGTTGCAAATCATGTTGTTGTCCCGGACCCACATAGTCAACGGCAGCGGCAACCACAATTGTGACCGGAAGAGGTATGTATTAATTGACACCGTCTGATCACTACTGTGGCTCCTCGGCCCCACGGGGAGTTGCCGAGTCGGCAAAAAGTTCGACAAGCTCGTCCATATGACGGTGTACCGCCATCTTGTAGCTGTCCGAGGGAATTTTCCTGTCTCGGAGACAGGGATCTGCACCGGCCTTATACAGCAGCTTTGCGGCTTCCAAATTCCCCCGCCACACGGCCACAAACAACGGCGTTGACAAGTAGCGCCCACCTCTCTTGTTGATGTCAATGGAGTTTCCCGGCCGCAGAAGAATCTTTAATATCTGCACCATGTTGTAGGAGGCGGCGTAGTACAAAGGCTCAGTCCGGTGAACCGTATCCAGATCCAGCGTTTTCAGGAGAAGCTGCACCCACGTCCCAAACGTGCCCGAGTTGGGGTTTCCTTTGGTGTTGAAGAAGGCGAGAATGTCATTCTCATCCTCCGACTGCAAGTCGAATCGCTCGGAATGGATCGGCCACATCTGCGAGGCGTAGTAGAGAAGTGGGTAATCGATGAAGCGAGCGTTAAGCTGGTCTTCGGTAGATACAGGTCCCGAAGCGAAATCATTTAGGCTCAGATATGTAAGGCACTTGCGCATGATCTTTCGATGAGCTGAAGCCGTATCAACGGCAAATTCTGAAACCATCTTGGACTCTCGAATCCAGTCAGACAGAAGAAAGGTTCGAATCGAGTCGTGGGCCAGTGTCAGTTCATCGTAGCTAGAGTAGATCAGACCCTGGCATACTTCGAGGAGCACGACCGGGTCAGCGAGTCTAGCATCGTTATCCAGGAAGGTATCGTCCTCACACAGAATCACGGCTTCAGCCAGCTCACGTAGACGCAGAGGACGAAGGGAGAAGCAGAGCCATGTGAGAGCCTCGTGCGCGATCCCCCTATCTTCGGCCGGGATTCGAAAAAGCATCGCGGCGTACATCTCGTTAAGCGTGGTGGGGATGTCGTGGAGCACAGCCTTCATGTCTCTCACCGTGCGATAGCGGCTGAGTTGGTCCATGCAGACCTTGGCCCATCGAAACCTGGTTCGTTTGCTTAGTTACCAGCTGCAGCACAAGTCTGTTGAGGGAAACCATACACGCCGTGTGACGATGTGACTATGTGATGTTTAACCTCTCTCTGACTGGTCGGATTCAAAGATTTAAAGCGGCATTCGGTCAGAAGCCGCTGGTAGACATATGTCTCAATGTCCGAATTCACGACCCTCTCGCTCATTCTCTTTAAGAAAATCAAATCCTGGCCCTGAACAGGCTCACGTGTGCTTGTGACCAAAACCCGCAACTTGGCGTTCTGCTTGCACAGCGATATGAGCGTCTTGACGACTTCATCGCTGTGTGGCGTCTCGTTGAGGGCATCGATCATGAGGTAAAAACGGTCGAATCTTTTAAGCACAAACTGCATTCCCTCCTGGATTTCATGGACTGTCATGTTGTTTTGTGGTATTAGCATTGTGCCGGTTTTCCTCATTTGTTGGAAATACCCTCCTACTTCGGAATGGGTGGTTGCAACCTGTGCGAATATGGATCCGAAGATGTTACGGGTCAGTTGCGAGGCGGCAACGTCCAAGGAGCAGCAATGGAAGCCCACAGCCATGCGAGTCGCCTCATGGTTTCCGCAACGAAGCTACAGCTCATCGAGGATGCTGAAGAACAGAATTGTCTTTCCTGACCCCGCTATGAGAGACCGTCAGTACCTTCTCTCGGAAATTCAGGTTATGTGAGTCGGCTTACGCACATTTTCCAGTAATCCAGAAGAGCGGCTGCTTTGAGGGGCCGCTGCTATCCCGCCACGCAGTCAAGTTCCTGTCCCAAATCCACTGGCAAGTCCCGCTCGCTCGGTCCTTGCGGGCTCGCGTGAGTTCTTCGGCAGAGTTGACTGGGGCTAGCCATTTGACGACCTCTTCCACCTCTTTCAGCATGGTGTCTGTCTTACGAGAAGTAATGTCGTCTTGAATAGCCGAAGAGAGGCGCTGGACTTCGGCGTACAAGGATGTTAAGGATTCCTTCGAGTCATACAAGATGACCATAGTGAACCAAGTTTTTGATCTCTCCAGTGTTGAAAGATACTTGGCAACGTCACTAGAATGGAAAGGCCAGGCGAGAATCGTGATGGTGTGGTCGAATCCCGACGGAGCAAGACCGAGCTTTTTCTGCATGGACAACAGAGTGTCTCGTATTAGGCGTAGCATGTCCTGGACCTGTTCATTTCGAAGCAGCCTTAAGTCGGACTGACTTTGGTTGTCAAAATATTCCAAGGCAACCTTGAGAGCGGACAACTCCGTCGTTAGTTTCAAAATCTCGTCCTTAGCCGACTTCACAGCTGATATGTATTTATATAGCCTGCGGACGACATCGCCAATGGCCCCAGCCACCTCCAAGGCTGCAACGGCCTCGGCCATCAGGGGCAGGCCTCGATGAGGGCTTGCTGCGTTTTATCGATATCGATGGGCGACGATTGGAAGTCCTGCTGGTTCTTAGTCTGCTGGACTCGACGACGGAGACCTAATCAATACGCCTGGTCCACCAGAGGATGTAGGCGCGCAGATTTAGGAGCTGGGTCAGGCAGAGCCTAAACTGGTACCAGCCTTACTGAACAATGTATCAAGGGTTTGGTGAGAGGATCCGTTACCGACGAGATTCTTCAACTCAGGAGTGGAATGTATGCGGCAACGGGTGAAACTGTGGATGGATGGCGATATAAGCCCAACTGGCCCAGGTTGTCCGCCGCACTGGCAGATTCAGGTCGCGGGACGGATTAAAAAGAAGACTGTAACATGACCATGCTTGAGCAGCTGGGTTCATAGTAATACTTCTATTAGCCAGACTCTGTGTTCAGCCCGAGGCCGCTGTGGCTTACCAGTCGTGGAGTATCTTCCTTAGGATTACGCGTGGACGGATACTCGCCAATGGTCAAGGAGGGCAATGTCCGCACTGCAAGTTCCTGTTGTGTTGCAGCTCGAAATAGAACAATTCATAGTGACGCAATTATTTAAGACTAATATAGTTATGTCTGGATCTTCTTAGGAGAAAGCGCCGTGGCTTAGGATCTACCATCCACCACCCCTCTTTCGCCACCACCCCTCTTTCGCCAGGCAAAATAAAAAAAGCTCCACCAAAACTCACCGACTTTACTTACACAAAATTTAACCAAATTAACAGAAATACATAAAATTATTCATTTAATAAGTCATAAGTATATTTAATTATTATACTCTGGCTTCTTTTTTACCTTCTGCTGTAACTGCCTGGTTAGTTAGTAGGGTATATTTCCTTATTAACTTTGATAACTAAGCCAGCCTCCTATTCTAACTCTTACTAACTTAAAGAGATAAATTCTACCCTAATAGGCATATAATAAGTCGCCCCTTCTAGTATAGACTCTTAACCAGCTAGAGTCTCTCTAAGAGTCATATAACGTTTATTAGTATTCAGCACCGCCTTCCTCTTCTTCCCTCTCTTTAGCCGAGCTAATTCTTCCTTTAGGCTGGCAATTCTCATAGTATATACTGCTACTATCTGCTAGTAAGCTCTAAAGCCCTATGCTATCATATTATATAGTCTCTGCGTCTTTGGTGTTTTATTTAACCTAAGATCACGAATTTAACGGCTTATCTGTAGCGTATCGTCCGAGCCAAGATACGGCCTTGGTTCAGGAGTATTGTTGGATTACGCAGGGATGCTGAGTGCAGTTGATAATTGATTAGTACCGTTGACTCCTTGCAGTCGAAGGGCCTTTGCGGCCTTATATCTTCGACTGATTCATTCTAGGACTTGAGTCCTAGAGTCCTAAATAACAGTTCTACGATTTGGAGTTTTAGGATGTTAAACTTTAACTTTAATCTTAAACCTTAATCCTGAAGTTGAGGGGGAACCATCAATTCTTCCAACAAGGAGTCACTATTGGGCTGCCGTTTGGCCCATCAGGTTGGATTTCAGGGTGGCGTAACGCCTAGTAACTAATGACCAAATCAACTCTCCTAGAGTTGATTTTAGTGACCCACTTTAAACCTAGTAAGGTTGATTATTGCCAGGGCGTAGAGTTGATTTGACTTTGTCCCATATACAGGAATAGTAGTGCCGGTCAGAACAGGGGTTTACCTCAGAACGCGACCCGTCCTGTCGCGTAAAGTGCTATAGGGGTAAGTTCTGTGTGGTGAGTATAAGCTGTCCGCCTCAGCCACAGGTCTCAATTGCAAATAAAACTCCGGGATCACTATTTAGACATTCTACGAAAGTGCCTGACCAATGGTGCGGTTTCATGCGAATTCCCCCCGGGCCCCGGAGGTCAAGGTAATCGCTATTGATACGAACAAAACAACCGTCTAGTCGGACAAGTATATAGTTTGAGTAATGGAGTTGCGTCGCTCATAAATTCATCCAATTAAACTAAGTTAAAAATAAACTCAGATAACATGTGTCTTATCAAGGGGATTTGCCCAGCATCCGCCCAACCACAACGATTCTCATGACCGTCTCGGCACTCTCCCTCGTCAATTTCTCCGCTTCCAAAACCGCATCGTCCAGACTCATTGGACGCTGAATAATACATGTAAAAGCATCAATCCCGATATCATAGTTCACTCTAGCGCCCTGCCCAATCGTACCAGCGATGGCAATCACTGGAAGTCCATGTTTCTTTGCGAGCCTGGCAACTTCTGCAGGGATCTTACCCCTCGGAGTTTGATCGTCAATGCCCCCCTCCGCAGTGAGTACAAGATCGCAGTCGTCAAATATACTGTGCAGATTGATGTACTGCATAATGACCTCGTATCTGGGCCTGAGTGTAGCTCCTACCAAGCGCAAGCCTGTTCCAAGGCCTCCCGAAGCACCGCCTCCGGGAGCAAGCCGTACGTTCTTGTCACAAAGAATGCCAGTAGCGACGTCTGCCAACTTTTCCATGGCAAAACTGAGGCGAGCGGCCTGCTCTGGCGTTGATCCTTTCTGGGGACCAAAGACATTTGCCACTCCGTCTGGTCCGCAAAGCACGTTATGCCAATTCACGGCAACGTCAATTTTGGCTTTGAAGACACGTTTATCGACTCCAGAAAGGTCAATGGAACCAAGGTCCAAGAGTGATTCGCCACCTCTAGCCAAAGGTAAAACACGCCCTTGGACATCAAGCAGTCTTGCACCTAGGGCTTGAAGCATCCCCGCACCACCATCGCACGTCCCAGAGTCACCGCATCCAACCAGAATGCGGGTGGCTCCAGCATCAAGCGCAGCAAGGATGAGTTGGCCAACGCCAAATGTTGTTGTCTTGCCTGGATTGCGACTACTGGGCGGGACTAAGCTCAGGCCAGCAGCAGCAGCCATTTCAAGGACGGCCGTGGTTGGCTCATCCTCGTTGCGACCGAGCAGACCAAAGAATGACGTGATCTGAACTCCTACAGGTCCGACCACAGGGACTCGATGCAATGAACCACTTGTTACTGTGACAATGGCCTGGGTGAAACCTTCTCCTCCATCGACCAACGGGACCTTGCGGACCGAGGCATTAGGTTCAACGGCGAGGATCCCCGCTTCAATACAGTCTGCAGCCTCACTGGGCTGGAGGCTACCCTTGAAGCCAGATGGACAGACAAGGACTCTCATATTTGGTGTAGCGACAGTAGAGCCCATTGTCATTCTATTCGTGTCAAAGGACTTGAGTGCGTAGTTGTAGAGAATTGAAGAATTGGGGTCAATGTTGTATAAACGATCGGCTTGTTGCAGCGAATGGAAGCTTTCCAGCTAAAGTTCTTTAAAGCGAATGTGAAGATGAGGCTGTTGATTGTTCTGAATCGCTTCTTTCTCTGCCTGGATACGGCATCATTATATATTTCAATGCTTCACTATCTATCGCCATGTTTCGGGTCTCATTTATGCCCATTGACCGCATCTCGTTTAGTGAATGATCCCTTCTTCTCACTCAGCCTCGACGAGAAAGATGCACTAGCCTGTATCACAGAAGAATCATGCCCCAGAATAGCAACAGGTCGTCTGCCACTCTATCTCGAAACGAATGTTAGCTCGGAATCTACTTCTCTGGAATGCGCTTGCGTCACGCGATCACCCAAGCCACTGGGCATAAATAGAATGCATTGAGAGGGCGAAATTCCTCGAGACATCAATCAGGCGAGTCGAGATAAGGGACGCGTCATTCATCGCAGGGCTGAGGAGATCATCACTGGGCAGCTCGCTAATGACTTTGGCATGTCGGGGTGTGGAGGACAATGGAAGCAGTTACAGGGATAAAATTTAAGCTTAATTCAAGGTCTCGTGGCTTGACTGGGCAATGCTGAGTCGAAACGTCATCAAGGTTGCGTGCTAACGGCGCCGTCATTGCTTGGCCCTTATCTAAGGTCCGTGAATCACTGCTTCTACCAATCAACGAGAGACACACCATGCGCGAAAGGCATATTTATAGAAAACCACTGGAGCAGATCTTCGGCTGCGGGAAGCTCACAGAAGCTTATTTTCCGCTGGCGAGTTCGCACGATATGCTTTGAAGATATGGCATGTGAGCCCTGGGGTGAAAGCGAGAAGTCAATATTGCAGAGACTGTCGATTGGAACCCGCGCACAAATTGCACTTCAGGGCTAGGGCTCTTTGAAAACCTGGGAACCAAAGGCAATCAACTCGGTATCTTAAAATGTTCCGACACCCATGGCGTGATGATGCGCGATGTGATCTCCGCCTTTAGGTCTTGGCGATGCTGCTTGAGCAAATGAGATGGCCGCAACCCAACCAAGCTAAGTTGAAACGAAACTTCTAAGCCACCCTAATGACGACCATGGGCATTCAACAGCTGAAACCAGTGTCATTCACTGTAATCACTCAACTAGCGATACGAGCAATTCCCGTCTGGAAATACACCAGCCACCATAGGGTCTTAGACAGTAGCCTCAGCAGTGACGCATTCAGGCTGTGTAGTCATGACAGTCTTTTCCTGCCATCGCGTCGGCAAGATGATGTGGAGTGGCGTGGTTTTGGCGAGTTGTTCTTTTCACTTATGCAGGCTGCGCCTTTATCTTTGGGCAACTTAGCGCTGGTTGCCAAACATGGTCAAGATACAGCTTTCTTGAGTAGGACAATTGTAAATTGTGAACATATATTTGAGCATCTCAGCACTTCTATGATAGGATCCAACGCATCACAGTCCATTCGCTTACTCATTCTCTCGTTTTGTCGCTACTGTTTGCACTCTATACTGTCCCCCCAACGCGGCTTCCGTTTATTTGTCAATCAGACCTCTCGTTACTCTCCCCCAAGTCATGAGCAAGAGTAATACTCCTTCGCTCTCAAGAGCTGGCTCTCGTTCCTCTCTTTGGAGATCCTGGAGCCCCATGCTCGAAGACTTGGCCAACTACGAGAAGTCGCGTCAGAATTACCCCTGGCTGATACGTGACCATGGTCAAGATGCAAGTTATGACTCGAACCCTTCGAGTCGCCCAAGGCCACTGGCGTCTCTTGCGGAAGACCCTGATGTCGTGAGCCAGTCAGACCAATCTAGAAAATCGTCTGAAGATTTGGAGCGTCATCCAGCCCCTGAGCCTCTTCTCTTGCCTCAAGATGAGGACCCGAACCTGGTAAGTTGGCCTCTCTCTCAACCATGCTTTTGCCAATCACCCATTTCCCTAGTCCTGCACCATTTGGCCAGTATGATCATTGACGCATGGTCAGGTAACCTGGGATGGTCCCCACGATCCCTCCAATCCACACAATTGGACCAAACGCAAGAAATGGCTCTCGACAATTCTTGTCTCCTGCTTCACATTCATCTCCCCAGTCTCTTCAACCATGCTGGCACCAGCCTTGCCGGATTTGGCCAAACAGTTCAAGATCTCATCTGACTTTGAGACGTACCTTCTCATGTCCATCTTTCTCTTGGCTTATGCAATTGGTCCCTTTTTGCTCGCTCCCTTGTCGGAGATGTTTGGAAGAGTTGTTGTTCTTCAGTCTGCAAACATGTTCTATCTGATCTTCAACACTGTATGTGGGTTCTCGAAGACCAAAGAGCAGATGCTCATCTTTCGCTTCTTGAGCGGTCTTGGTGGGAGTGCACCCCAGGCGGTATGAGCCCGAATAATATTTTGCCAATCTCTATTTATTAACCCTTGAGCTTAGCTTGGAGGCGGCGTGCTGAGCGACTGTTGGAGAAAGGAGGAACGCGGAACTGCGACCGCCATCTACAGTCTTGCCCCATTCTTGGGGCCTGCTGTCGGGCCCATAGGTAAAGCATCTGAACTCCCAACAATACCTTCAGGCTGACGATCTTCAAGCTGCTGGCTACCTTACCCAGCACCTGAACTGGCGCTGGATATTTTGGGTGGTCTCCATAGCCGATGCTGTGGTTCAGATCCTTGCGTTCCTGTTCTTGCAAGAGACTTACCCACCCAAGATTCTTAAGGTCAAGGCCAGAAAGCTTCGCAAGATAACTGGCAACAGGCTTCTTCATACCGAGTTTGAACAGAGAGATCGATCATTCTTTTCTTTACTCTTGACCAACTTGAAGAGACCATTCAAGATGCTCTTTACGCAGCCTGCTATACAAATTACGGCTCTATACAGAGCATATTTGTATGGCCTCATGTATCTTGTGTGAGTGTACAAGGTTGATACCAAACACAGTGCCACCAATTAACACGCCGGAAGTTTTGCATCCTTTCCCATGGTTTGGGAACAACAATACAACCAAGAACCCGGTCGCGCCAGTTTGAACTATGTCTCTCTTGGTATTGGATTTGTCATCGGGCTTCAGGTGTCTGGTCCCCTGATTGATAAGGTACTTAACCTCCGCTCATCCTATAATCTTACACTAACACTCCAAGGTTTATGCAATGCTCAAGACTCGGTATAACCATCCTGGGCGACCCGAATTTCGCGTACCCCTGATGTTCCCAACCGCGCTTGTCACGCCCGCGGGTCTCGTTCTATACGGCGTCTCCGCACACCTGAAACTCCACTGGATCGTCCCAAATGTCGGAACAGCAATCTTTTCTGCGGGACTAATTCTGTCGTTCCAATGTGCTCAAACGTACATCATTGACTCGTATGAGCGATATGCCGCCAGCGCGACTGGCGCAGCAGCTTTTGTCCGTACCATGGCTGGTTTTAGCTTTCCTTTGTTTGCGCCTGCTATGTATAAGCGTCTTGGGATTGCGTGGGGAAATGGTTTGCTTGCGGGTACAGCCATGTTGATCTGTCTTGTGGCGCCGATTGTGCTTTGGCGTCATGGGGAGTGGATTCGAAGGAAGAGTCCCTACTGCGCAGGATAGAGTCACCAAGTCGTCGCGATTCTGAGAACCTAAAGTATCTTTCACCTTGATGAAATCTAGATACGTGAATGTCTTGACGACACTATCCCGGGTGGCTCACTAAGAGTATAAGGCTACTGCATAGCACAGCCAGGGGCGCGGAATAGCGGCTAACACAAGTTCTCGATGGTGGGTCTTGCTGCGGGGAGTGTCGGCATAGCGGAAAACGTCAGAATTTAATATCCTACTGCACCTGTCTTTGACCCATGTACATGCTTTGGCTATAAAAGAAGAATGTGTTGTTGGGGTGTTTCGAGGGCTGCGTAGCCCTGCCTTGCCCATTTAAGTGAAGGCAATAGTATCTATTGTCTCAGTCATGGCGATAATAACTAACAGTTGCTGCGCCGAGGAGATGAGCAATAGAGTACACGCAAAGCACCCTCACGCATCGCTCACTGATGCGCGACTCCAGACTCGAGCATCGTCATTGCTGGTCACACACGTGAACAAGGTTGAGTTGGACGATGACCTTGTCAGCATAGACCAATATGTGCTGACTGACCTTGCACACGCCGTCATGCTCACGCGCACCGGCATCTTCGACGCCCACCATGGTCAAAACATGGTCAAGACTCTGCTGAGCCTACGAGCCGGCGATACGGCTTCGATGCTCGCCTCAAAGCCAGAATTGGGCACTCTCGGCCTTCAGATTGAAAACTACCTGGAGCACGAACTGGGCCCGCGCGGTCGCGACATCCAACGCGCCCGAAGCCGTATCGATCAAAAGGCCACAAACTGGCGCCTCATCAACCGTGCAAGTCTCACAGAGGTGATTCAAGGGCTGGTTGCATTGGATTCCCAGATCCTAGAGACTGCGGAGCGCTACGCCGGCGCTCTGATGCCCGGCTACACTCACTTGCAGCATTCTCAACCTACAACCATCGATCATTACCTCAACGCTCATTATTGGGCCGTATCGCGCAACCTGTCCCGACTCTTCGAAGCATACGACCGACTGAACCTAAGTCCACTCGGAGGCGCTGCCTATAGCGGCACCTCGTGGCCCATCGATCGCACTGCCACAGCTCACTACCTCGGCTTTGACCGCCCCGTCTACAATGCCCGTGATGCCGGCTTTGCTGCGCTCGACATGGGTGCCGAGCTCGCAGGCGTGCTTGCCGCTACGCTCTCCGGCATTAGCCGTCTAGCCTCCGACCTCAACTACTGGTCCTCCAGCGAAGTAGGGTTGGTGCGGATTCACTCCTCTTTGTGTGGCACATCGAGCATGATGCCCCAGAAGCGTAACCCCATGGTCCTCGAGCGTATCCGGGGACTTGCCGGCTCAGCTGTTGGCTGGTCTGCCAGCCAGCTCGGGGTCATGCACACGGCCACTTCAACCGATGTCGATCAGTCTTATATCCATAATCTTCTTCCCAGCCAATGTTTCGAGACGGCTGGGGCCATTTCTTTGTTACGCGAGGTCATTGCTACTGTCGAGTTTGATCTACCTGCTATGCAAAAGTCATCCGGCCAACATTGGTCCACTGCCAGCGCTGTCGCGGATTCTCTCGTTGCCTCCCATGGAATGAGTTTCCGCCATGCTCACGAGAGCGTGGCGCAGCTTGTTGCTTCACATGAGCGAGCCGGTGTTTGCTCTAGTAATCTGCGCGCCGATCTCATCACGGACCCGGCCTTGAAAGAGTACTCAGACTCCCAAATTCAAGAAATCCTAGATCCTAAGAGCTTTGTGGCATCAAGGATCAGTTCAGGTGGAACTTCCATCGAAGCTCGAGATCAGCTCGCGACCATTGCTAAGACTGATCTACTAGAAATGGAGAATAGACTTCAGCATCGCCTTGACAATGTTGAAAGGGGACTTAAGCAACTTCTTCAAGATGCACACTCAATTGCTGCACATTCGCCATAAGAGGCGCCGGCTTTGCAGATATTTACGTTTTACATAATTAATGTCATTTATCATTGTTCCCAGCCTGAGACTATAGCATAATTCCTTCTATTTAATTATTTGCTAATGTGTTATGACGGAATGTATAAGTAGATAGTATGATTATTATTAGTTTTGTAATTTCTGGCTAATGTTAAAGATTCCCTTCTCCTAGTTAAACCACTAAAAAATGCATTACTATTTCCTCTGTTGCTGAATGTCGCCATTTTGCTAATACCTTATAAATACAGCGCACTGAGACTAACCTATGGCAAGTAGCTTGAATAGCCATATATAAGATTTTGAGAGGGCCTATACGTAAACCTGGACTATATTATAGTATCCTCCAGTATTTAAAGAGTCATTATTACTATTATAAAAGTACTAATATGCAATTTCTCCAAGTTGTAGTATAGTTATTAGTTAAATACAATTATGCTATCTAGCAAGCCACCCGTCGAGGCGACTTCTTGATTCCATCAGATTCACACCCGTCCTACCCTGTCAACCGTAACCTGCCACGACCATAGATTTGTGCTACTGCTCAACTCAGAGCCTACACTAGAGTAATTTACTCTGAAATTACCTTTCTCTCTTCAACGCACACATCGTCAACCTCTTGTTTCTCCCAATCCCTTGGCGAAACCTTTTCAAGTTTCTCGAACAAGTTGGCCAATTCCTCAAGAGACTTGCCCTTGGTCTCGGGGAATAGGACCCAGACAAGAGCGATGAGAGCGGCGTCAAGAATACAGTATACTATGTAGTATCTCCATCCAATCTTGGCCATGGCGATAGGATTGCAGAATTGGCCGATGATTTGTGACGCATTGGTAACAATCAAGGTATAAGCCACGCCCCAGCTTCGCCATTCGTAGGTAAAAAGTTCGGTTGGGTAGCTGTAGAGAAGTGGTGTCAAGGCGATATCGTAATGGAAATAGAAAATAAAGAGCATTGGGATAACAGCATAGCCATAACTTGAACGTCCAGTGACGTCGAATCGAGCGTTGAGGATGGTCCAGATCTAATGAGCATTGGTTAGCGTTCTCCAATCGCACTGAGGCCTGGAATAAGCTTTACGTACGGTGTACGACAATGTCATTCCCACAGCAGACCATTGGAACAGGCGGCGGCGACCGAGAACATCAACAAGCATGGCTCCGCAGCCTACTGTGGCAAGTAGATTAAAGATTTGTAGGCCGCCGTTGATGAGCGATTGGTGCGTAGCATTGGTGATACCAATGGCGTTGAGAACCAAGACGAGGTAGTACGACACTACAGTATTCCCGGACCACTGCGCAGCAATGGCCACAATCGTGGAGATGAGAAGTCGGCGGCGGTTTGCTGGACTCGAGACCATCTTTCCTAAGCTTGGTCGTTTCTCGGAATTGTTCGCGGTGCGCACGGCGTCTCGGATCTGAGCAACCTCAAGCTCGACCAGCGGAGAGCTTTCATCCCCTGCTGCATGATGCTTGGTGAGTATTGCGCGGGCTTCGTCGTCTCGACCCTTTGCAATGAGGTACCTGAATTGGAAAACGATTGGTCAGTCGCTGTTGATTTATAACGGAGAGCCGATTGAAGTGCCATATATGGAAAAGGACTCACCTGGGTGACTCAGGGAGAAAGTAAGAACAGGCCAGCTGGAGTAGTGGAGCAGCTCCTTGGAGGAGCGTTGGAATTCTCCAGCTCCAAGCCCCAGTCATTCTAAGGGTGCCAAAAGTGATCCAGGCTGCGGCAATAGCACCAACGAACTGCATACATTAGTCCATGTTATGTGCTTTTCAAATTAAGGGTAGTTTCCGTACGTACATAGAAGCAATGATACAATGCCGTGAGCTTTCCGCGGTGAGGTGGATATGCCATCTCTGCAAGCAAGATGGGGCTTGGTTGGGACATGACACCACACCCAAATCCTAGGAAGAAGCGCGAGAAGATTAACACGCCCAAGTTATTCGAAGCAGTCTGGATAGCAGCATCGACGACCGTGATAGCGAAAGAGAGCATAAGAGCTGTTTTTCGCCCGAATCTGTTGGAGAAAGGTGCGACAAAGAGGAATCCGATGATTTTGCCTGCCGGGAGCATAGCGTTGATGGCGCCCAGGGTAGCTTTCTCGGGGTGATGATAGTACGACTTCCAGTTTGGATTGATCTGCAGCGCATTCATCATAGCACCTACGCACACATGAGTACTCGTTCTCTTCGGTTTGCGACAAGAATGCTGAAGACAGTGCCTACTCACCATCATAACCAACAGTGGCAGCTGACAAGCAGCAAATTCCCAACAAGGCATTCAATCTAAGTAGATGCGCTTGTTTCCACCATGGTCTATCAGTGTTGGGAAGAGCCTGGAGGAGAGTACCTCGTCAGTTCTGCTGGCCGATTGCCATAAACTCAAGGAAGAGACATTATGCTGGGCAATCATGTTACATGATATCAAGTACATAGAAACATACCGCGGCGATTTGTGCACCAACCAGGATAGCGTTGTCAGCCAACCGTTGCTCGGCCGTTTTCTCGGTGCGATTAAACAAGCCCATGATGACGGTTCTCCAAAAGGATGGATCAAGTTTCGGTGGAATCTGTCAATGAGTGTGAGAGCTGAATTTTTGTTGAAGAAATCCGGGGAGATAGCAGCGCTTTATGCAAAACCACTCCGACGTCGGCTAACCTCCAGGAATCCAGATACCCCGGAAATTGGAGCATGAAGACATGTTGAAGGTGAGTAGAACGTAGCCACGGGATTCCCATCTAGTGTGAGGAGGGAGGCCGAGCACAGGAGCCAGGAGCAAGAAAAATGAAGTATGTCATATCAACCAATCACGTTGCTTGCCACTACTCCCCGCTACCTCTCATCTAGATCCCGGTTGAGTGGTGTTGCCGCACTTCCCTGCCGCTTTTCCAGATTTGTTCATAACCACCTGAGCCAGCAAAAGCCCTGATTCCAAGCTGAACAGTGGCACTGAGACCGTACTGAGTCAGTTGGTCCAGTGACTGAACTTAGGTAATGCGCCAGTATGGACACTCACTTGTACGAGTCTTGATGTGAAGCGAAAATTCAAACTTCTCATATTATTCCCCATTTGAGTTGAGTCAAGAGCTAAACACGGCCATTTGTCGACCGTGTTTGCCAATCCTTTTTATGAATGCAAGAACGGATGCACTTCAAGATGTTTTTGTGTCTAGCGGCAGAACGACTTTGAAATGGAATATATGGTGATTAATTGACGGCGTCTTGGCTGCGCTGAAAAGCGAACAGGTCGATAATACATTTACCGTTGGAGATAAATTACAAATTATATTCATTTAAAGCTGTTGTAGGCCATTGCGACACCCAGATTGAACTAACATGTTTAATTTAATTTATCAGTAACTCATGGGAGTTCCTTCTTCCATGGTTCCCGAAGACGATGCAGATAAGGCTAGAATCACATCTGTATAAGATTTACAAGATGGAAACTCCCAGGACCAGTAATCCAAAGTTGCTAGTGTTTTTGAGATCCCACCGTACCAACCATCAGGCATGGTAAAATGTGGTATTGTTGAGGCTCCGAGCAGTAAACTGGCGATGCGAAGCTGATTCCGAAGCTGCAGCCATAGACCGTGGTGGCGGTGGCTCGCTTGGCTGTGTTGGAGGTATTTCAAGCCGTTTTCTAGACCTTTCTTTGCCAGAGCTTGTACAGCGGGACTGTAAGAAGGTTCATGAATAGCAGTGAAGACGAAAGGTCTGTGCATCAGTTCGAGAACTCGGTAATAGCGTCCGCGGCTATATTGCTGCCATTCAGTGCTTGCTGGTTCTGGTACGTCGTAGAATCTGATTGCTTCGGGAAGGAGTTGTCGAAAGGTCTCAACTTGACTCTCGAACTCAGCGACGATGGGCACGAGATCTTCAATCCTTTGGCCCTGCTGATAGCGGATCTTGGAATCGATGTACTTGGTGACTATCTCGGCAACCTGATCTGTAATGCGCCGAAGAGCTATCTCAGACAACAAGAAGAACCAACTATCTTCTTCAGACGAAGCCCACTTGTTGGACTTATCCCTTGTTATTTGTTGTGGTGGAGGATAAGAATCTTGAGATGGGGGGTCTCTTAGAGCGGGAATCCCGAGGGGCATTTCTGCAAGTATTTCACTGGTTCTGTCAGTTGCGAGAAGAGTTTTAAATCAATGACCAATATGCAAACCTTTCTGATTTAGAACATGTCCAAAATAGGCTGGAGATGAGTTGGGAAGCGCCTCCCACCGAATACTGGCTGCTGTAGTATTGTGAGTAATTGGTCCAAGAGGTCGTAGCAATGAAGGGCGGCAAACTTGGTAGAAAGGAGGATTTGAAGCGATGACCCTGCTGCATGGAACAAGCGCAAAGCCTGCACAGGTCTGATCAGATACATATGATAGATGCTGGGTCGATGACAAGTCTTAGTTATAGTCGCATCGCGTACTCGACAAGTGATCTGACTCACCCAGCAAGACACAAACACTGAATGGAAAGTGTATCAACCCTTGAAATGGCAGCACCCAGTCTCTTCTCAGAAGCAGTGAAGTAGCAATGTCCCAGCTTTAGACGTTCCAGCCGAGATGGTGTTTGAAAGGAGCTTACCGGGCTTTGGCCCATATCGAGTGGATTGAACTCGTCCGCTACGGCCCCCAGTGCACATATCAACAACACCAATCCAGTCTCGAGATTGAACTGGGGTCCATTTTCATAATACTGGTGGCAGTATTCTTCAACTTCCTGGCGGCTGAGTATGGGGTTCTTGATGTTGACTCTTTGGAAGAAAGAGTCAACGAGTTGTTGTATGTCTGACTTGTCTGTGGAAATATTGACCGAACCAGAACCGGACGTCAAAGACAAGTGGGCACCTGGGGCATCAGTCTGACGTACGGCATCGTCAAGATACGTAAAGACTTCTTGACTGTTCGAGTCAAAGAACTTGAAGCGCGGCAGAGAGGACAGAACTTTGTCGAATATAGGCCATTGGAGCAGTCTATCGGTGTTGGATCCTCGACTCGCTTCCAAGTTCAGGCTTGGCACGATGGGTTCAGTGTCCGGGCCGAGGTCATTTTGGAGAGTATGTGCATCGGCAGGTGAGTTTTGTTGCTCTTGGTGACTGGAAATAGCTGCTGCAGTAGGGAAATCAAAAGACGTCGAAGGTTGGATACCTCTGACTAAACCCTCAATCACGGATAATTGTTCGAGAATTTGCAGTGATGCGGGATCGAATGATGAAGCATCTTGTCTGGTATACTCGCACCGAGCTCCAATCCGTTCACAGGAGGAACAAACTGGTCGCAAGTTATCGCTTTAAAGAAATGTAAGTAAAAGGATCAACCATGTCACTACTGTAACAAGCCGTGCATTGGTGCTACCGAGGCCGGGGGTGGGGGGACTGCACCATTTGCGCTTTCGTTCACGACATGTCAAACATGCTGCGACAGCTCGTTGCCGGGGATACCCCGTCTTTAATATGTTGCGTCGAGTTCCTTTATCCATAGGATGGCAAAGGCGAGATGTTGAATGTGTGAAAAGTTAAACAGTCATCGGATCAGAACAAGCTAGTTGTTGTTCCCCGCAATCTCCACAAACACCAATTAGATTAAATCTTTATTTAATCCAAACGCCAAGGGCCTGGCTTACATGTCCATAGCTTATATGTAGTAGTATTAGAATTAATACATTATTTAATCTTAACAATTTATTAACTTTAAATATTTTTCAGACTATATTAATTACTACTTAGGTTTACTTCATGTTATTATTAGCCTTAAATTATAAGTAAGGGCATATATTATAATAATTATAGGTCTAGCTACATAGCTATAATTCTTTATTTACATATTTATATACTTGATATCTCTTTTTGCTGTAGGTTGTCTAAAGCTTTCCTGCAGTCTTAGAAGTGGACTTTGCAAGAGGTATCACTGAACAAATCTGCGTGCAGGAAGCGAGAAGTTGTCCCCTTTCATCGAGGATCTCAATGTTCATATCAAACCTCCCACCATGTAGTCTCTTCATTGTGGTTCGAGTGAGAAGCCACTCCTGTGGAGTAATTTCAGAACGGAACATAATGTTCAGAGCGGTGGTGGGTATACCCCAGCTGCTGGCGGCTTCCATGCCATCCTCGACGTAGTTGAGGAAGATTGGAGGAACCTATAATATAAAATAGGTTAGCTCTGGTCACAACACAGTCGACATGTAGCGGTTACCAGGTCCGCCAGTACAGGCAAGTGCTCGAGTCCGAACTTTTCGTCATTGTCCAATTTCACCCACTGATATCTGGTATTCTGCCCTCCGAACCTTTCACTCCACAGCGGCGCATTCTCGCCACTGGGTGTGTACATCCTTACCGTCGACGCGGGGGGATTCATGTAGTAGTAACTGGCATCTGACCATCGGGTACAATCCTTCGTCCTATCTGGTAATGGCCAGACTGAAGGTTGTATGTTGGTGACGTGACCCTCGTCTTTCAACGTACCAAGCCTTACTATAGCAATAGCGCAGACCTTGTGTTCATGGATCTCCACCGATTTAAGTGTGGCTTCAACCGTCGAAGTGCGTTTACCTATGTTCAGAGTTTCAAGAGCAATCTCGAATTGGCCCTGAGGTAATGGTTCGAGATACTCCACGGATGTATTAAGAGGCTCCATGTTCCCTAGGCTCCCGTGCTGGTCATGATGATATTGTTGCGCTGTCATCATCAGAACTGTGGCACAATACCCGCCATGGGCTGCCAATCGCCGTCCGCCTAGAAGTCAAACATTAAATACATGTTTTGTATTGATGTATGGCGAATAACGCACCATTGCCGCACCAGTCCGGTGGGACACTGCCACTATATCTCTGTCCATCGGAGTCTGCAACTGGACTCGTTTTGATCGCATCAGGCAGTGGGGTTCTAGGGAATTTGTAAGGTCTCCATGTTGGAGTAACGTCTGGGTGGGAATTGGGCAGATGTGAGTTTGACATGACTGCAGTGTTGGAGTGTCAAGCAACCGGAAAGAATTGTGCTATTGGAAGAAGATCGGGCCTCGACCTTACTCTTGCGCGATAGTTTGATAACTAGAAAGAACATACAATATAAATGAAAAGCCCATTTCTATCGGCGTGCGGTATTTATTTAGATCGCTTCGGGCGGCGACTACTCAAGCCTCGGCAAAGACATATGTTTTAAGAGTTCCGACTGTTCCGCCGGTTCTAAATACCCCGACCTTAGCATTAACTCAAATGGCGCGAAATACAACTCTATGATAACGCGGTGGTAAGGGGATAATAGAGTTCGGTGATTACTGAGAATTTAATTTGTGTTTAGTAATCATGGTCTATCTAGCGCCATTCTTATTATAAATAAAGCCGGCGTGCTTGTCGTTGCTGTTTAGATTCTAGGAAGCACCCTCACCCGCTGAGACTAAGACCGCTGCACCAAACATTAGGGATCGGTAGCAATAATTCTGCTCATTTGCAGTTTAATTGTGACAAGGGCAGTGCCCACAGGCGGCTGCTCAATATATCTGGCGACGGCAATAGCGCAGGGGATCCGAGGTAAATATATGCATTAAAGTTGTCCTCGAAGGCGAGGCGCCGAGCACATCGCTTGGCCATATGGTGGACATGACAATATCGTTGATAGGGCCTTGCCTTTTTGGAGAAGACAGAACAGGTTGCCGTCGAGATGGTGGAGCAGGATCGTATTGCGGGATATGGTAGAAGATCTCTCCAGCTATTTCTGCGCCAGTAACAGCAGCTCTGGTAAAACTTCTTTGGCCTGAATAAAATTATTTTTCTAAACGAACTGGACATACACAAAATAAATACACAAAGGAATAACAAACAGGTCCTTAGCAGTGGTCTACGAATCACTACAACAAGATCAAGCCGCCTCGTGTGTATTGAAACAGTATGGTCAATCGTGGGAACATGGAGGCATACAAGACAAAGGTTTCAAGTGTTGAGAAGCTGGTGCCTCCACCAAGCTGAGTATGTCTCTCAGTCTCTGTCGTTTCAGCTATGAGAAACTGGCCCATTTGATCACGTCACCAAGATTTTAGTCGCGAGATCCGGCGCCGCATGTCTGACTGCGTCAGCCAGAAGACAATATCTTCAGATTGACACCCTTTTATAAACTGGGAGGAAGGACTTGGTGTTCTAGTGGTGGGTAACAGGTTCCTTGCAATATAAGGCTTAAATTGATCAATCTGGACGACGGTATTTCAATGAATCTGAAGGCTACTATGACGCTGGCGGGGACATGTCGGCAAGAAGTAGAGAAATTCATTCCATTCATTCCCGTATCATTATTGATTCCAGTCATCGTAGAAATTAGATGCTGGCCACCTCCTGCCAGCCTTCGCATCGAAATATTCCATCAGGTCGCAATCCTTATTCAAAGATTCACGTCTCGGTGGCCTTGCTAGACATATTGGCGCAGATGAGAACCAACTGTAGGAAACAGTTGACTAATTCAACAAGAGTGCCTCGAATGGCTTTGTTCGTGATTTTCGACGCGGCCTCAATCCATATAACAAAGTTTTTAGCGATGTAAGCCATGGCCGAATCACAAGTTGGGCACCATCAAGAAAGGACCTTTCTACGCAGTTGAGATACACCCCAGCAATACTGGGACCATAGGCGGTCTCGTCACTGATGAGCGCGCGAGGGTTATGAATAAACAAGGTCAATGACGGTTGGAAATCCGGGGGATCTCCTACTCTTCAATGTTTAGCCTCTTTATCTGAAAATATCGCACTGGAGATGTTTGAAGTGAACGTGATTGGCAGTAGCAAATATGCTCAATGGGGGCGGCGGGATCGGAGGTCGGGCAACTATGCAGGCCAATTAAAATACTTTATTCTCTACTCCATCAGCACTTGATTAATAACTCTCATACGCGAATCCTCGCGCTACCTTGTTGGAATTGCCTTATTCTGTTGTAAATACGAAATAACCCCTCTGTTAATACTTACTTGAAAAAACTCTCAAGGTGTTTTGTTGAAGATTTGCGTGATATAATAATAAGATTAGATTTTTCACCTGTTAAGATTGTTGTATATGTTATAGACGACGCTGATGGTTATTTAAATAGTAGCGAAATCCCTGGTGCAATGCGGCTTTGTTTAAAAAATATTGTATTGGCTTTAAGCTTAATACGAGCTCGTCTAGATAATCTCGCGCCTCACTAACTCGATCAGATGGCTGGTCGCATTCCATGCAGTAATTTTAAATGATCAACAAAATTTTGTTTTAGTCAGCTGGTTAGTCATCAATGCGGTTAATGAACAAGACCCAGAAGCCGAACGCATATAATTCCCAAGGAATTTTACCAACGCAAATTCAGTACATGTTGGTGATGAGGCTATTAATGCAGTAAGCTGATCATGCATGCACTTAAGATCCTCAGCCACGCAGGAATCACCCATAAAGGTGCTCACTGGCTAAAAATACGACTAAAAGTTAGTGGTGTGATGTAACGCTACACCCATGAGGCTACACACGGGGTCAACTGTTAGGCTCGGAAGTCGGTCAATCACCTTCTTTTCTCCAATTCTAGAACGAGCAGGTTACCCTAACGGTAGAAGTCAATTGTAATACGAACTACGGATATAACATGTAACATCGACTCAAAACCACGCTCTAGTCTAAGAGAGAGTCATGGTCACGTTGAACTTGTGAAAAATACCCTATAGTTACAGCTCGTGCGCGAGATTCCGGGTACACAGTCAGTGCACAAATGGTTCCACCCTCGGCTTTAAATTACGGCAAGTTTTCAGTGTCTGCCGGACCCGACGGTGTCTCAGGGCCCAGCCTCCCCCGCCTCGGCGTCCACGATGACGTCCAGACCCGCTCGAGCTGCCACTTTTTCAAGATTTGGTAGTCCCGTAATGGCTTGGCTCGGCACGGCAATTCTGTTGAGCTTTCTGGTTTGTGTATCGTCTGGTTCCTTCTGGAAATGAGGAAATGAGTCCATGATAATGTTGGATGAAGTGCATGAACAGAGAAGTCCGTGTTTTTACAGCGCCTGCACGTTTAAGCGGTCAGTCTCACTCATACCAACAACGCGGTGAGACCGCCTGTTTATTAGACCTGTTCCTCAAAGATGCACAAATGTCGTCACTGTTCCTCTCTGTGCATGCAGTACACGGCTGAGGCTGCGCAAAATTCACCGATCTACCTAATCACAGAGTCAGGAACAAATGACATACCCGTCCTTGTGAATCATGCTGTGACCATTACGTCGAAATGTCCGATCGCAGAATCCCCTTACCTCTCAACAAAGAAGCATAATCCCAATCCAGCACTAGCGGGGCGGACGATGCACGGGTAGGGCCATGATCAGCCCCTGGCTCATCTAATAATAACCCACCCGCCCTGTGAATACGAGCTAAGCATAATTCTTAATGCAAAAACCCATGCGATAATAACATGACGCACAGGGCAGTCGGATGTTTCGGCATGCAGTCCACTGCAGCATTGGGCTAGATTTCCGGTCGACAAACTTGCATTTGTTGATCTTGACAACCCCGCAGAAATCACGAGGCCAGAGTTTCTCCGGACAAGACGATGGATCATACTTCGTATAGGTGATATTAGGGCGCAGCTAGTGCAAAGTACTTCGTATCCTATTCGAGAAGCCCAGAGGTCAGATCCCGATTCTCACATAATATAAAGGCATATATTTACCCAGCTCCTGTTTACTCTAATCATCTCATCTCATCTCATCATTCACCTCAGTCTTCTACATCACAACCCCTCACATAAAACCTTTTCATACCCAACTCTAAACCGTCAACATGAAGTTCGCTGCTTTCACCGCTCTCGCCGCCGTCTTCGGCTCTGCTGCTGCTGCCAACAAGGCCAATGTCATCAACGACTGCACCAACACCATCTACGTCCAGTCCTTCCCCTACGGTGGCGGTGCTCCCGGTCCCTTGACCACCGTCAAGCCCGGCCAGCGATTCTCTGAGGATCTTCGTGCCTCTGGTTCTACCATCAAGATCGCCACCACCCGAACTCTCACCAAGCCTCTCTTCTTCGGCTACTCTTCCGAGTCTCAGCCCAACAACGTCTACTGTAGGTCTTCTCCTCTTCTGCCTTGACTAAATGACACCAACTAACATTCCTCTTCAGACGAGTTGAGCACTGAGTTCGGCAACCCCTTCGCTGACAAGCACAACATCTTGAGCCCCGGTGAGGGTTGCGAGAAGTTCGACTGCAAGCCCAACGATGCCAAGTGCTACAGCACCCCCAGCATGAAGAAGGTCTACGGTTGCCCCAGCCCCGTCAACCTGTACGCCAAGGTCTGCGCCAAGTAAATTGGTAGCCTTGTCATCAGCTTTGCTTCCAGTGGCATTTAATAAGACCATATCAACGGCTGACGCCTTGGTTTCATGGATCAACTCACTGGGTTAATACTTCTTCGTTACATACATTATTAAGCGGCTTCGGAGTCCTTTAGATAGAGTACTTCCTATAAATCGGAAGACCAATACATATTATCTTCAATCACTTCAATCATTGTGACATTAGATTGTCCTTTCATCGCTATCAACTGTTATCTTGTACACACGTAGCCATAATGTACCAGTAATACTTGCTCGACTGCTTAGTAATTGGTTATGTAGAATAAAAGCCGTAGCCCATCTTTGTGGAATAATGCCTGTGGCATGAGAGAAACTGCTGACTACTTCAAGTCTCGTTATGCCGGATTGCCTGCGCCTCCCAGTTAGTTACAACATGATCATCTGGATAGTCTGACTTAGCTGACACTCTCCACTCCATTGGCCTTGGCAAAGTGATAACTTCGTTTGGTGCACTTCGGGCGCTAGACATATATTTTCCGAGGTTCAGTTGGGGAAGGTGTCCGATTAGCTGAATGAGATATAAGCAGCGGCATCACGACTAGAAAAAGACAAGTTCCAATTGACGGTGTCAAGAAGGAACGGCTTTAAGATGTTGCATAAAGCTGTGCTCTCTAGGATGGAGTATATACAAAATTAATGCTAAGATGCTCCCTGTTTGGCAAGAAACCATCTAAACATGGCCCGAGAGTGGAGACTAACCGTCAGTTCTGTGAGTTCATGAATGAAGACAGCATCTTTCAGCTAGGGCATTGTCCAATCAGGGCTATAGCTGAGTATAACAAAGATCTTGATATCATTGTGACATGAGTGGGGGTGAATATACAGTCGACTCGGCCTCGTACAACCTTTAATGCCCTCATCAAGTCATAACAATGAAAGGCACAATAACCGCCATGTCAACATACTGACCTGAGCTCGTAGGGCTTGCGCCAACATACGCACTTATTGGATAGCATGATGTTGTCATTCCTGCGCCTGCAAGCATTGTCAATTATGCTTTATATGGAAGCTGTCGATAATCTGGAGACTTGTGATGATAACAAAGCTGCAGATCAATTGATCTTGACTGATCTACAGTTACAAACGAGCTCTTTATGACCATGCTCAGAACTGGCAGAAGACGAGGTCTTCGTCAATTGTCTCACCAGGTAATCAGTACACGCCCGATACGATGACGGAGCAAGATGAGACATTTGGAGCTGAGTTCTGTAGTTGAAAGCTTATCGCAGCGCACCTTGGATATTTATACCATTGCGGAGAATGGCCGATCTCGGGATGTTATCGCTCGACAGAAATTTACCATACCACTCTGCTGTTGATGGAAGCAGACCGACGGCAGATCCTCATTGCGATTACCCCTCAACACCAAAAGCTTACTTTGATGCAGATAAATCCGTGTTTGGATTAATGTAACGGCGGTGTCAAGCAATGGGCCGCCATGGAAGTCAGCTGGTGACTTCTGAGCTGTCAGTCGTCGGCAGGCTATCGTTTATTGGCATAGCGGCGGGTGATACTCCAGGAAGCGATGCATATTTATGTAACATTAAAATTCTAGAAAAGGTCCAGAACACAAAACACCACGTTTGTTATCTAGAAGAAATCGAAATGCCGTGCCACGGACGCGCGCTGTTGGTTGAAATCATAGATAGCAGAACCCCCGCAACCGGCTGCGATTTACCGATGCCGATCAAGGTTGCGTCACGATACGGGGACCGAAACATCGGGGCACGGACACAAAAGTCCGGTATCTCTGAGCGGAATGCGGAGGTCGAAAGATGCGGGGTGCGATAACCTAGAACGCGATAGGAAATTGTAATACAAGTACCGCTGATGGCTTCAACCAGCTGATGCGTCGCTGCCACGTTGGACCGGGGACATATCGATACAAGAGGGGAATGTGACCCGGGGTTGACGGCGTAGAACCGTTCAAGGGCGGAAGAAACTCCATGGCCCACTTGATCTGCGCCCAATCCCGTCAATGACATTTGTCGATGAGACTAGAGCAGATGTCCTTATCACCGATCACATGACCGGGTGCTTAGCGGGATGCCCGTTTATCTTGCAATCATTCTATCATTGTTTGGGCGAAAGTGGCGTTGACCATGGGAACATAATGTCGGCCGGTCTAGATCAATGACACACTTAGTAAATATATAGATTGACATGTCCCCCCCAGCAGTAGACAGATTGATCGGTAAACATCCATCACTCCAAGGTACTCTGACCTCCAGCAACATGTTGACTCTCGGTACACTCATCTTCTTCGCCATAGCGGCTGCTATCGCCCTCATCGCAAAGAAGTCACTATCTAAACCACAAAAGGAAAACCTTATCTCAAGAGCCATCCCCGCCGCTCCACCCCTCACTCAACCCCTCCCCTCAACATGGTACAAGTCAGACGACATCTACGAACTTGAGCGAAGAGCCATCTTCTCAAAGAAATGGATCCTGCTCACTCACAAGATGCGATTCGACCAGACTGGAGCCTGGGTTCGATACGCTGAAGCTGGTTTCGACTTCTTCCTCATCCGAAATGCAGAGGGCACCATCAGGGGCTTTCACAACATCTGCCGTCATCGTGCTTTTCCCGTCGTTGTCAAGGATAATGGCCAGAACAACGTCTTGTCCTGCAAGTACCATGGTTGGTCTTACGGTATGAACGGTCAGCTTGCCAAGGCGCCTCTGTATCAGGATCTCCCCGGATTTGATCGCTCCAAGAACGGTCTCTTCCCTCTTCACACTCACGTCGATGCCAAGGGCTTTGTCTGGATCAACATGGACGCCAAGGCCGTGCCTGAGAACCCATGGAGCGAGGACCTCAGCCAATCAGCGAACCACGGATCTTTCAACTTTGATGACTACAAGTTTGACCACGTCAAGCAAGACTCGAGCAGCTTCAACTGGAAGACTCTGGCCGACAAATCTTGCACTGGTAGTAACATTGATGACTTTGAGAACGCCGCTGAGAAGAAATCTGTTGTCAACGACTTCTTCTTCCCCAACGCCTCCATGACCATCTCGTAAGTTCTCTACCAGCCAAATTGTGACGAGCAAAGACTAACCAGTTCAGTCCTCACTTCTTCTTCCTCTTGCGATGTGTCCCTACATCAGCCACCAAGTCCCAACTACAGTATGAAGTCTACCGACACAAGAGTGCCAGCGAGTCCGACTTCAAGAAGGTCGAAGAGATTCTCCAGCAAACAGCCAGCGAACAAGAAGCCCCCGCCGAGAAGAACCTCCGCGCCGGTGTCCTCGTTGACCAGACCCCTCTTCAGTTCCAGAACCAAGTGTATCAACTAGTCGAGCACCACCGCAAGCTCGAGGGTGTAGCTGGCCGTGAGATTCGACCTGCTCAGCAGATTCTGGACAAGTCTGCTACCAAGACTGAGCAAGATGAGAGCCTTTACTCTTCTTGCTCTGGTCTCTCATGTGGTAAAATAGCCAAGGACCTTTCTTGGTAATCGGGGAGTTTGTAAAATAGAATCGGCGTATAGATGGAGTGGTTTTAGCATAAAGTTACAGACGGTATAGAGGGAAGATCTATATGGACAGCGTCTAGTAATTGGGTTTTTCGTTTAATAGCATAGTTACGATGATAATGCATAGCTCATTGGATGTTCAATCTTCTCCGAAACGTTTCATCATGTCCAAGTATATAATACGACCATATATGAAAGTGGACTGAAGGGACTTGGGAAGCATCATTAGGTCTCATAACATCTTCCCTCAAGTATAGGATGAGCCTCAGGCATCTGTGGCATATCGTTCCCATAGTGGCACTTGTCTCTCTTTTTGAGGCAGTCCACCCGCTTGTTGCAAGTAGTAACAACCTACACGATCTAATTTATGAGCAAGGTTTGTTATTTGCATTTGGACCTATCGTCGAGATCTGAAACTCACCACATAGGACATAGACGAGCGATCCCGCCTCGCGGTCTAAGGACAAACAGTCTGATGCTTATCTAAGTGGTCTTGTCCAGTACAAATCCCTTGCAAGCCCAGCACGCAATAACAAGATCCTTCTTCTCCGTTTGTGTCTCTCCCGAAAACTCCAGCTTATCATCTTTCTCAACAGCAACAACAGTGCCATACTCATCAATCCACTCTGCCACCTTGGGTGAGTTCTCCTGCACCGTCAACAAAAGCTTCTTCTTCCAATCATCAGAGTCACGGTATCCACGCTTATGCATGAGAGCCTGCATCCTGTCCTCTTCCGCCTTGGTCAAGGCGCGCTTAATAGGAACCATGTGGTAGAACTTGCATGACCTGCCAGACTTCTCCATCACGATGCTTCCTTGAATAGTTCCTCTCTTCTGGCCTCTGATAACAATGAGCGGCGTGGGACCAAGACCAGCGGCGAAACTGAAGGGGATGTTCATCTTTTCGCCAGAGTAAAGTGTCAAATCATCATCGTATCTGATGAAAGCGTCGTTTCCTGTAGCCTCACCAAGGCGACGAACTTCACTTGGTAGAAGGCGGCATATTTGTAACTGCCACGGATTACCGGCTTGGGTATTGCGATTGGAGATGTGATAAGTTGGCGTGGCTGGGCTGGCTTCTGTTTCGTACACGTAGCGGCCCTGGATGTTGAATGATTGCTTGGTGGGAGAAATGGATACCTGGGAGAAGAAAGGCGCCTCTAGTCGGAGTGATAATGCATTACGGGGAGCTTCGCCAGAAGAACTAGACTCGACGAGACTGGTTTGACTCATTTTGCAGGAGTTGTCTTATAGAATAACTTAAGTAAGTTGCGAGATGAAGAGATGAATAAATAGACTTGGCTTGGATGAACAGACGTTAACGTTTTATAGCTATAATAAGCCCAGAATACGAAAACGTTTGAGTGTTGCACTGTAGCCAGGCGTCGGAGATATCTTACCACGCTGACTCGAGCCACTGAACAAACAGCTATCCGCTTCAGGCAGGACAATTCGCTCAGCTCGAGAAATGCCTCAAGCCGACAGTAATCGCACATAATTCGAAACAACCTGCGCCATTAAAGTGAGAAGACTCAATTGGCCAGCGCGGATGCGACGGCAATAAAATCATCCTTCGCGACCTCTCCTCCAGTCCGGACCTTCAATTGCCAAGACCTCGCTTGCATTCTCGGGACCGAAGCCAAGCCGTAGAGTGCGGAAAAGAAGGTGACATCAAGGCTTTGCTGGATGACATTTTGGAGACTAAAGAGCAGAATTTTAGTATCTTGGTTAAATAATTGCAAGAGGACAAAAGCAAATGCGTCACACCTGTAAACATCATTTAGCCTCACAACCATAAAACAAGGTATTTGTCTAGAATGGAGATAACCTCCCTTCTAGAAGACCTTATGAGGCGTCAGAAGCCTAGATGTGTTTTAGCCTCACTAATTAGCCCTGATATGGTCTAATCCCATCCAGGATATGACATGGAGTGCCTGGGGAGGCAAGAAAACTTGGGACCTCGACCCTAAGAGACAAAAAGACCTAGGTAAATTAGCATAAGCTTAGGAGGCTCTTTGATGAGTTTATTCTGGCATTCTATATCCACGCCTGGACTTTTCTTGCTCCCTGAGGGAGTGCACCATACATCAGCGCGAGTACATGGTGGGGTTTATTTGTTACAGGGTATAAGAAGCTGACAAAGATTGGATTCCTCTCCAACTTACCTCGACGGGGGAAATTTGTCAATTCACGAACGCTGAATATTCCAATATCTAGCCACCTTCTGTTACTATGTGCTTTGTTGACCTCGTCCCTCGTCGGGACAGACAAGCAGAGTATTTGGAATATGCCAATTTCACTTACATACGAATTCCGCTCGCAATCAGAGGAAGTACCGCTGAATTATTCTTTCAAGTGGTATATAAAAACGTCAAACCTCATCAACTCGCTTAAGGCATATCTGGAACTAACTATTACTCCGTTTAAACCGCGAAAAGAACCCTTTCTTCTTCTCCTTTTTGTCCTCTTTCTCATCCTCATGCCTCTCCATCTCCCTTTCGGTATCGAGTTGATTGGTATTCTGGTTCATGACATCCTGTGCCAGGTTGACTGTATCCGATCTACCTGGATGCATCGGTTGCTGCGTTCCTGGCTCTACCCCAGGTTCTCCTCCTTGTTCAATCTGATGTTGTTGCTGATCCTCTGGCTTCTCTTCACCCTCAAACAGGTCCTTTATCTTGCCGGGTCCAAAGACTCTCTCGTAGACAGCCAGGGTAGTACCGAACTCTTTATTCACGCCAACCTTAATGGCGTCGAGGAGCTGGAGGACGTACGTCTGGCAATTGTTCGTTATGAGGTTGTAAGTGGGCTGCCTCTCCCTGATGCTTTGGATCACTGATTCGCCTATTGCCCTAGTATCAGCATGCCATCCCTCAAGAGCTGGATGGGGTCAACCCAGAGACTTATACTCACCAGCTCGCCTTAACGCATCATCATTGAAGCGCGTCTCTCCAACTGGAAATGTCCGCCACTCGTCTCGCTCAATCTTTGCATTTGTGTAGATCACATCAAAGTTCTCGTCCTGTTCCACATGAGCTCCAATCTCATTTCGAGGGCCTGATGCTCAAACTCACCATCCATAGCTGATGAGCATAGTCACCGACAAGAACAGCCCAATGCTGCGTTGGATCAGGATATTTGTTGATCTTCTCCGTGATCATCTTCCCCAGTCCCGTCTCTTCCGCAAACCACTTTCCGGCAAATCCGCCGACAGGATGCCATCCAACCTCCACGGGGCGACGTGGTCCATCGACGACAGGCTGAGTTACAGGGACGACATTGGGCTGACTTCCGAGACCCACTGCATGCTTCAATGCTATTTCACCTTTATTCAAGTTCTTTTTCCTACAAGAGAAAACGTCAGCGGTCGAACTAGGGTCTAGCGGGAAGGATCGCGGAGCAGATCGAGGTGCTGCTGACGAATAAATGACGCATACAGAAAGTCTCCCACTATATCCCTCTTGCGCTCTTTCTCCTTCTCTTCGTCCGAGCCACCCATAACTCCAGAATTGGTTAGTCACTTGCAAGCGAGAGTAAAGAATTGCCAAGAGACCTGGGATTTCCTGAGTTTTAGAGAGTCTAGATAGGCAAAATTTGTGAGGCCTCGCGCGTCAGCAAGACCTGATTCACGTGAGGCTGTGCATTCACTTGGCGGTTCTCCAATGGCAGCAAATTTCCGACGCAGCCAATCACAGACGCGGAGGTGATTCAATAGCTCAATAATTTTAGGCCTTGGCTGCTGTTGCCCAGCGTTGATAGGCCAGTATTAAAATGGCTGGGTCAACACTAGAGCCGGGAAGTTATGTCTATGAAGAAGTAACTCTTTGTTTAATTGTTTATAAGCAATAGATACACTGGCAATCACAGGTTGTAGCAGAATTTGGCCAGATCCATTATCTAGAGTGTAGAAAATTGTGGTCCCTTAGAGTCTTTGAGATCTAGTGCAGTTTCTCAAGAACTGCTCAACTGCGTCCCAGTCGTTCGAGTCAAGCTCATGAAGATTGAAGCATCCAGATGCTGCGACAGACCGAAGAGCATCTAATTCCGTCTCGTCACTCACCAGATTAACGGCGAAACCAGAACGCCCGGCTTTGCCTGCGCGACTGACTTGACGAATGTACCGGTATGGGTCGGAATCCGGTATATCATAGTTAATGACCATGGAGCTAGAGGGAAGATCAAGGCCCCGGGTCTTGTAGTCTTTTGTAATAAGAACCTTGGCTTGTCCAGTCTCGAACTTTTCCAATAGCTCTTCCATCTCGCTGTCATCAGTTGCCTTGAACAAGTTCGTTATGGCGTGGCCTTCTTCTGCTAGTACACGCTGTATCTGATGCGCAGAAGACCTCATCTGTAAGTCGATGAGTCATTTGTACCCGGTGAAAAACAGAGATGGATCACTTGCCTGGACAAATATGATCAACATACTTATCTGCACGACACCAGGAAGCTTGCAAATAATGTCAAGCTTCTCCTGCTCCCCGCTACATCTGAATAACAGGTGAACGATCTTGTTGGCATTCAGCTCTACCGCCTTCACCTCATGCTTCTCCCAAGTATTGGACCGGATCATATCATTTACAAACTCTGAGGCCTGCTTTGATAGATCGGAAAAAAATAGAAATTGAGTGGTTTTCGGCGACTTTCTGGCGACTCGAATGCATAGCTGTCTCAATGCTGGAATATCCACAACGTGGTCGACGTCGTCCACGAGAAAGAACCTCACCTGAGACGTGTCGACCAGACGACGACGAATGTAGTCGAAAAGCCTACCAGGTGTAGCAACAATAACATTTGCCTCAAGCTTTGCGGTTGGCTTGCTTGACGCAGTGACGGTCTCCACAACAAGACCATCGCAGGATCTGCCTATCTCATTGATATAGTTCTCCGTCTGGTGTACCAGTAATCGAGTTGATACTATCACCAATGCTTGAGGCTGAGTGGTCGAACTGTAGTCTATGCGCGACAGGAGAGCAATTGCCAGTGCTGTGGTTCTACCAGTTCCTGGAGGGTAACTCGCGATTACGTTACGAGGAGGATACGATATGAAGGCAGAAAGTACTGATTCTTGCACCTTGGTGGGCCATTGATAATTGAGATATCGGACACCTCGTAAAACAGGCTCTGGCCTTCCGAGACAAGGCGTTAGAAGACGTGAAAGCGGGTCACATGGTGCACAACTCACAGGCTGAGATTTGTAAAAGGCGTCCGGGAATAAAGATTACCTTGAACCTCCTGGATGTCTGCGATGTGGAGGTCCTCCACAGCTGAGCCTGTGAGACCCGGGGCTTCTTCTGCATTAGGGTGGCCGAAATCCTTGATCAAAGAGTTTTGAACAGTTGTTTCGTCAGCTTGAAGTTGGCTCCCCTGGCTCGACGTAAACACCGGTTGTCTTAAATTATTAGCAATGTGATGGACCGACCGTATCGTCAAATGCCAAGACTTACCTTGTCGTATCAGTTGTACTTGTCGTGACACTCTGTGTCCCTTCCACGCCGTCATCAAGATCGTCCTGGCCATATTCCTCTGAAGTGCGGGGCGTTTCGACGCCAGAGGTATCTGGGAACCAAACACCTTGCGAATCAAACTTTTCGATCGCTATTTTGTAGAGACGCTTAATATTCGCAACCACGATCTTCAAGTTGTACTGGTCTCTGTCAGTAGTGCCAAACTTGCAAAGTTCTCTGTGACTAGCGTTGAGTTCTACGATCTTCGCAATATCACCAGGCAGCCCAAGACTAGCGCACTCGCGGGAGACCACCTGAAGCAAGAGCATGTGAGCACATACCAACCAATCTGGTTAAGATAACCTACGGTATCAGATGACCCCCAGAAGGAGACAATGTTGTACTCGAGTACTTGATGTTTCCATGATTCGAGCTCAGAGAAGATGGTAGCAGTCTGCAGAGATTTGACAACATCATCTTCTGTTCTAAGCCCCAAGTCTTTGGCAATCAATACCGCCGTTTCACCAAGTTTCTGAGCAACGTTATCTTGTGGTGTTCCAAAGAATACGAGGCCGGCGGTAGCGTCCTTAATGGCGATGTAGCCTGGGTTGCTATGGGCGTTGATAAGAGCTTGCTTGATCAACAAGCCCCCCAAGTTATGACCGAGTAGTAAGATTGGCCTTTCAAGATCATCTCCTCTCTCATTGCTTATGACTTCAAGAAGATTATCGGCCTTGCTGCGAAAATCGTCAAGACCCCGGCCGTACGTAGGCGTTGCATCATATTGGTATAAAAAGATACGAGAGTCGGGAATATGTGCTGGGAGATCTTGCTGAAGCCATAGACGTCCATTCTGACCTGATGGAGTTCTCCACGTGTCGAATGCGTGTTTCGTCTCGCCCTTTGCGGGAGAACCTAGGCCATGAACAGCGATAATGCTAACACGATTAGTTTGGTTGACATTACCAGGTCGATTACATACTCTATCTTAGCAGGAGGAGCATGACCTGGGGCCGACTTTGGGTCTGGGTAAAGTTGCCGAAGTGGCTATTCGCTCACATGTTAGTAACAGTATATTACTTCAAAAAGCGGTCATACCATGATGTGAACATCTGTGCTACAGGATGTACCAACGGTTTATGTTTTATCTTGGCCCAAGTTCTAATCTTGGAAAGAAGCTGAGAGATATCTTTGCTAAGTGCGTGTTGCGTAAGCGCCAGCCTCGTGCGGCTGATATTGCATGGCATGTCCCAGCCAATCATCTCAGATGATGGAAAGACATGCATATTTACTTAATCCCTCAGATGGGCTACACATTTTCAACCCTGTTAGCTGCAGAGCAACAGGCCGCAAATGCACGAGCCCCAGACTTTCAGCCAGTGTAGAAGCTACCACTCCTACCTTCGGTTAAGCGCCTAAAAGCAACGAATAAAGAAACCCACCTTGTCTATTACTTCTCATCCGTGAGTGGGGCTTTGTCAGGGTGTTATCCTTGCGGTTTAGATTAGAATAAGTATGAAGTCTATTTTGCAAAAACGGAGGGCGCTTTCTCAACAGGTTTCAGGGTGAGTGAAGTTAAACAGAGCTGACTTCGATGTTTTGTTTACACCTAAATTTAGTCTCGTAAGCAGAGAAGGCCGAAATAGATCAATGGACACGTGTTAGTAAAGCAATATTCAGGCATTTTTGATATTGGCAATTGTAGGGTATCTTACTTACTTTATATGCATCTCTAACCTCTTGTTTAGCCCATTACTAATTCGGACCAAGGTTTTTAATAACCTAAATGCCTATGTCAGCAACCAGGGACTCATTCTGGTGATTAAATTAGTTAATAAATAGATTATTAAAGCAATATTAAAATCGGTTATTAAGATAATAAAGGTATAATTCAAAGTTATCGTTGACCTAATAGAGCATATTAATATATATACTCTTTGCACAGTTTTGCCCAGAAGCTGCCGCAGCTGGTCTAAGTAAGGCGCAGTAACTGGCGGAGTTACAGCTATCTGGCCAGGCTTGAGCTTATATTTCCTAGACACCTTGCTTAACCTATGGAGCTTTAATTGATTGTCTTAGAATATATCTTATATATTAAATCCTAGCAAGCTGAAGTGTAATACCGATGCTGCTATTACTCGTAACTAATCTTGGCTGTGTACCTTGGGTCATAATGCATTGCCCAATATCCATCCCAGATCAATTTTGTGATAGGTCCAACCTCTCCCTTGGACTCGCCATCGAGCTTTGTAATTGGCATAATGCCACCAGCCGTAGTGCACATAAAGATCTCATCAGCTACATACGCCAGGCTAGCAGGAACATCGTCGAGATGGATCGGAATTTTAGCCTTCTCGGCGACGTCGAACACTGATTTCCGCGTAATACCTTCTAAAACACCCTTCTTTGCGGTATAAAGAGCTCCATCTTTAACGAAGATAATGTTATACCCTGCCCCCTCGGTGATGTTGCCATCACCATCAGTCAGGAATGGGTATTGTGAGCCGCGATCCTGAGCTTCCAAGAGACCTCTGATCAAGTCACCCCATTGCAAGTTCTTAACAGTTGGGTCAATTGCTCCCGGCGGAATCCGACGAACAGTGCGGGTGACGACGGCTTCTCCGCCAACTGGCTGCATTTGATAGGGCATCACCCAGATGTAGGGCATGACTAGAATGTAGATGAAATTACTCTCCGGCGTATCGTTGGTCGGCAGGGGTTCTCGGATAAAACGGAAGCCGCGAGTGACAATGAATGATCTGAACATAGGCGTCCTGGATGCCGCTCTTTGAGATCAAGTTTATAGTGGCTTGTTCAATCTCATTTCGGGACATCGGGGGCTTGAGCCTCAGCTTAGTACAGCTCCTCTCCAGCCGGTCAAGGTGGTCATTGAAGCGAAAGAGCTTTCCATCCCACACAGCTGGGACATCGTAGGTGAGATCGCTATGGAGGAAACCTTGGTCAAGGATAGGAATCTTTGCGTCTAAGAGAGGTGTGATCTGGCCCTCGATAAGAGCGGCACCGTGGGCAAGTGGGTTCTTCAACCCGTCTTCAACAAGTTTAGCCTGACGTTCCTCAAAGCCTTTGAAGATTTCCTGCATGGTCGCCATCATTAAAAGATGTAGGTAGTGAGATGCTGATAGAACTTGATAAGGTAGAAGCTTTGCTATTGAATAAAAGTTGACGTTGGTAAACTGCTCAAGCTCTGAAGTAGGAAATACGCAGTGTTTTATACTTGTTAACCTTATTATAGTTGATTGAATACAAACGTTATTAACATCATGCTCTGCCTACGGCGTCCGCGGTGTCCGCCGCGATTCGTGATAGCTCCGTCGGCCTTTGTCGACAATGATAATCACCAACAAGATCTCAAACGTTACATATAGAGGGGTTGATAAACACAGTTTACTCTAGAGGTTCGGTAAATGGCATTGAAACCCACTGGGTATACATGGTCGCCTAGAGACCATTTATGTGGTTGCATTAGTTACATGTCTAGCCGCACTTTTTCTTATCTATCCGCGCTACCTCTTATCTATGCGCCGTTCAAAGTGCGGGGTAAAAATTGTACTTGTGCTTGATTTAGCAAGTACCTGCTTGCTGTAACTAGGAGGCTGCATCTCAGCTTTCATATTCGGGTTGTTACTATGTCTCTGAATGAAAATAGTTAGCGGCACTTTGGCGTTTACTGAAATCAAAGTATTTAGTTAAATTCAATAATACTATATAACCCTTTGTCATGAAGCTCACTTGGTTGATTGCTGTGTGTAATAACTCTGACAACGGCTTGCCAATACTGTCCCCTCCCAATTCGCAATAGAGACAGCTACCAGTTTACGACTGTTCGCTTAGACGACCCAAGACTTGAGGAAAGTATGGACCCACAGAGTAGTGATAAAGCCACCAAGGAGTCGCCCCGAGACCCAAGCGTCAGGATCGTGGACACAGTCCCTGAATTTGTGCTTACGAAACAAAAACTGGGTTTCCCCAGCCTGATAGCCCTGAGCTTCAACATCTGCAACAGTTGGGCCGGGGTTACCTCAAGCATGCAAATTGCCCTGCTCCAAGGCGGTCCTTTTGCACTCTTATATGGCTTCTTCGTCACGACCAGCCTATATCTCTGCATCGCTTTGTCGGCAGCAGAGCTCATCAGTGTCTATCCTACTCCTGGTGGTCAATACCACTTTTCATCCATCCTCGCACCGAGGAAATTTACAAAGAGCATATCATATGTCTGCGGCTTCATATCAGTGATCAACTGGGAAATTATTGGAGCAGCAGTTACTATAATCCCTTGTATGCAGATATTAGCACTTTGGCAGTATTACCATCCTTCTTTTCAAGCAAAGCCATGGCACCAGTTTGTCATCTACGAAGCCTTCGGGCTTTTTGTTTCTCTGTATAACAATTTGATTCTCCCTAAAGCTCTCTGGACGCACAATCTTGGTTGTAAGTTTCTATAGCCTTCTTTTATCTAACATCTTAAACCTAACTCATTTACAGTCATTCTCAACCTAACTATATTTGTAGTTGTCACTGTCCTGCTCATTGTTCGGCCTTTCAATAAAGCACCAGATGTGTTTGTATGGAACACTTTTATCAACCTCACCGGCTGGTCTGATGGCGTATGCTTCCTGACAAGTCTTGTTACTACTTGCTTCGGATTCACCGGCCTTGATGCTTGCCTACATTTGACAGAAGATGTTAGCTCACCGAAGAGGGTGGTCCCAAGGTCAATCGTCCTCACCGTAGTCATCGGATTTATCACTACAATGCCGTACATCGTCGTCTTGCTCTATGGTATCGTCGATATGAACGCAACATTGGCAATCCAAGGGTGAGTAACTGACCCTCCATGATATCTGGTACTCGGAACCTAGTGGAGGCTAACGTATTCAATAGCTACCTTCCTTTCGAGATGTACAAGATGATATGGAGATCAGACGCAGCCGCTATCGCCATCATCACCTCCAGTATATTTCTAACATTTTTTATCCTCAATGCTATTATGCAGACTTCTTCTCGTATGACCTGGGCGTTCGCTTGTGACAATGGGATTGTGTTCTCGAGAGTATTTAAGAGAATGCATCAAAACCTGGCGGTTCCCCTTCAACGCAGCAGTCCTGAACTGGGTGGTCCTATCTCTTTGTGGTCTCTTATTCTTAGTTTCGAAAATAGGTAAGCATTGATTCAGTATTTTGGATGTATCCTGTTATTGTATACTAATCTTCGAAAAGCATTTAATGCTCTATTAGGATCTATGATTGTCCTTCAGCTACTATCATTTATTATACCTCTAGTATTGCTTATCTGTAGACGTCGAGGCACCCGGTACTTACCACAAGACAAGGCATTCCGTCTCCCAATGATATTAGGCTGGGTCGTGAATGTATATGCTATAATTGTCGGGTCGACCTTGTCAGTCTTTTTCCTCCTACCGCCCTTCCGACCATTGACTACACAAAACATGAGTCAGTACATCCCCTTGCGTATCGTTCAGATTGCTAACACTGATAGACTATACCTGTGTCATTCTTGGTGTCGGTGCAGTACTCTGTTTAGCAAATTGGTTCCTCCATGCAAGACAGCATTATCACGGGCCTCAAATTGTTTTCCATGAATAAGAGGGTGTATTGAGTCGCTGGGCCTTTGTAAACTCTGCTGCTTCTTGTTCATACCCTAGTCTGAGACTGATAGCTGTGACAAATATCGGAGGCAGGTTTCCGGTGGAGCATGCACAGCAGGTACGAGTGGGAGAAGAAAGACAATCTCACGGACATCAATTCTGAACAACTTTAACATCGATCTATATAATAGAGAATGTAGTATCACTTTGCGATATTGTAAGATAAAGACCATAAGGTCCATATATCAGAGGATCAGCGTTACCCCAAAGTCGATGGAGTAAACCAATAGTCCTTGTAACATGGTTCATACGATATTTAGATTCTCGCAAAGCCTTTGCAAGATATTCTTGCTGCTGTATTTGGATAGAACAAGAACCAGAAATGACAATAGGCCACAGCAGTATTGCCGACCATTGAGAGTAGTGTAAATCGAGTCCTAAGTCTAGGATGTCATCGACATAACTCTGAAGTTGGCAGACAATCTTTGGATTTACTACGGATGACCCTTGCATGGATGCGATCAGGTATATCTCGATACCCAGCTGAAAGATCTTGGTAACTTTGTTCAGGTCACGTTTGCAGTCATCGGTTGGGAATGGCGAAACCAGATCCTTTTGAGAGAGATTCCAGTCTTTGAGGCATCGCTCCAGTTGAGTGTGTAACTCAACGCAAGCAATTGAGGGTTCGATGATTCCGGACTGTTGCTCGATCAGCCGATCACGAAATAGCAGTGATATCTGCGGTATCAGCGAAAAGAGATCATGGAGGCCAGCGAACATGATCCCAAACGTGCTGTAGCTAGCCAGGCTGCTGGGGGAGGTGATAAAAGAGTCAAGGGAGAACTGGCGCTCTTGAAGCAGGCCGTACGGAGTGAGGCAGTTCACGAAGGTGAGATAGGCGTATAGCTCGAGGCCAAGACCATAAAGAGTCTCTGAATCAGATCCCAAGGGTTCTGTCGGCTGGCGGCTTTCTATCTCAGCAATTATCTCTCGGCTCGCACCAAGATGGCGAAACATTGCTCCGTCTGTTTCTCCAGAATCAGCAATCAGTTCAGTGCATGGCGAGGGTGATAATCCAACACCAACCTCGAAGTGACACAACATCACCAAGACAAGCAGCAACCGGGCTAGCTTGTTCACACAGGAACCTTTATGGTCCGAGACCTCGATGACGAGTTGATGAATTAACATGCTGTAATGACCTAGGGTTGCCTCACCAATAGGCCCGGAGGACATGTTCCCAAAGTTCATATGTGCTCCACTAATGACCAACACACCGTGCATTACCATGTCATCCACTGAAGCGATGGGAATGATTTCCGAGAGAAACGGGTTCCCCTTGAGGGGCATGGGAAGCATGGAAGCCGTGGTTGTGATGTAATGCTGTAAGAGAAGAAGAGATTCTCTTTTGAGAGTACATGATCGCCTCGAATCCAAGAAAGAACCAGAGGGCTCATTCCAAATGCTAGTTGTGTGGGCAACTTCAGATGATGGTGGCGACGGACCATCTGTACCGGGTGACGGCCCCTCATCTGTGCTGGCTATGGGATCCTTGGGCAGAGGCGGAGGCGGAGCCGTGATAGCTTTCTCGTTCATGTCTTGTGGCCAAGCGCAGTGGAGATTATTCCGACTGCAGCCGCGGCATTGTGGTTTCTCCTCGCTGCACTTCTTCTTTCGATGTCGGCAGTTAAGACAGCCGGTTCTAGACCGCTTGAATTGTCTTGACTTTCCGATGTAGGGCCTCGCCGTGCCATGGCCAATATTAGCCGACTGTGTCATCATGATGCTGGTCCAGCGCGAAGATAGGGAAGCCGTGATGTATACTGCGGGCGTCGTCGTACGATCAGCGGGTAACCACGAAATGGAAAGCGGAACTGTTGTTGCAACGAAAGCGCGGCAAGACCTGGTGTATTTTATCTAGCCGCTCATGCAGCACGTTTTAGAGTTTACAGGATGCGGGGTTTCGTATCATGCCGCTTTACCTGATTAGGTATATGTACTCCAGGTATAATTGCTGTATTGAGATAGCACAAAACCTCCCGCGGACCCCGAGATCCAACGCCGCGATTGTAATTGAACGAACATCCGAGGCTAGTGCAGGTGGATAGAGGGCACGTTGCTTGCTGTTCGCGTCACCATCTTGGCCCTCAGAGCTAACTGAGCTGGGGAAACGTATATAAGTGTTGGGTGTTCTCTTGCGACTCCTGATGACTCATTCCAAAACGTTCGTTCGTAGCTTCGGCATTGATAGTGTTAGCGGAGGTATTTCATTCCCAGTTACTTCTCAGTCATAACTAGCTGCCCAAAACCTACAGCAGTCAAAAGGCCAATAGCCACCTCTGATCGATTCCACTTACTCGAATTCCGTCATGTTAGGCCAGGATGGACCAGGGCCAGGGCCCGGTCCGCAACACAGGAGGGTAATCATTATTGGAGGAGGGTTCGGGGGCGTTGCTATGGCCTGCCAACTGAAAACAAAGCTGCGCTGTACCGACTTCTGTGTGCTGGAACGCCAGTCGGGCATAGGAGGCACCTGGTGGATCAACACCTACCCGGGTATAGCCTGTGACATGTACGTCTCTTCTCATTAGTTAACTGTTGGGTACTTCAGACTTTCTGACAACTTTACCAGCCCTTCGCCGTTCTATTCATTCTCATTCGCCCAGAACCCGGACTGGTCGGCCTTTTTCGCGCCAGGTCGGGAAATCGGACAATATATCGAGAAAGTTGTCGATGATTTTGAACTAAGAGACAATATTCACTTGAGTATGGAAGTGGTTTCGTGCAAATGGAACCCCAAAGTCCGCCTTTGGGAGGTCACCTTTCGCCACCTGCTACATGGCGTCGGTGATCTCTCTGCCACGGACCGAAAGCATATTGAAGATACGGAAGGGCCATCGTTTGTTTACTCGAGCGAGACAACGTGGACGTGCTCAGTCCTCGTCAGCGCCGTTGGAGGTCTCGTAGAGCCTGCTCCCTGGCCTACCAACGTTCCCGGCAAGGATAAGTTTCAAGGAGATATTATACATTCAGCAAGGTGGGACTCAAGAGTTGACTTCCATGGTAAGAACGTTGTCGTTGTGGGAACCGGTTGCAGCGCCGCTCAGCTTGTCCCTCGGTTGCTCTCGAGCGATTATGGGGCCAGCCATGTTACGCAGCTCATGAGAGAGCCCCCCTGGGTGCTGCCTCGCATAACGCCTCCATTCGGTGACAGCTTTTACAAAAGATGGAGCCCATTTCTCTGCAAATATGTGCCAGGCTACATGCGGATTTTGAGAGCACTTGTAGCCTTGGCCACTGAACTTGACTTTGGGCTATTTGGCGCAGAGCGCTGGAGTGAGAGGAAGAGGGACAATCTTCAGAGACAACTTCTCAAACATATGAGGGAAACGGTCCCTCCCAAAGTAAGTCATTATGGCCCATTCGTAAATTTCTTGTTGACAAAAGTGTATCAGTATCATGACATATTGACACCTCACTACTCGATCGGCTGCAAGCGACGCATCTATGACACAGCCTGGTTCCCTTGTCTACACGACTCCCGAATGGAGCTTACAACTCTGGCGATGGAAAGTGTTGATATAAAAGGCGTGAATCTAGGTCTAGGCCCAAAAACCCATTCGGCAGAAAAGCACCTAGCGGTTGCCCGCAGCATTCCTGCTGACATCATCGTTCTTGCCAATGGATTTGCCGTCAATCGGTGGTTCCATCCTCTCGAAGTCGTAGGGAGCAAGGGAACGACCCTACAAGAGGAGTTTGATGAACGAGGAGGCCCACAGCTATATCGCGGAACCGCCCTTGACGGGTTCCCCAATATGTTTGTGCTCTTTGGCCCCAACAGCTTTACTGGGCATAGTAGTGTCGTGCTCGGGCTCGAAAACCAAGTGACGCAGGCTGTCAAGCTGATGCGTCCCATCCTTTCTGGCGAAGCTCAAAAGGTAGAGGTCACGAGGTCTGCGGTTGACAAGTACAATGCAAAGGTTCAGTCGGACTTGAAGAAAATGGTATGGAACGGCGGTGGTTGCCACAACTGGTATGTGGGTGCTGACGGTCGCAACTCCATGTCATACCCGTGAGTGAACCCAACAAGCAATATGTTGCCGCGCCCCTGACTAATTTACACGCTAGATACTCCATGGCATACCAAACCTTTCGTTTCATGTTTCCCACGTGGTCAGACTGGGAAGTTAGTTGGGTTGAGAAACGCCAAAGCATTCGGTGGCCTGGCCTCTTTTGTGCTTCCTTGGTCGTGGCTCTAAGTGTAGCTACATTTTCGAGATGGTCGTCTGTAGCATTACGGTGAAGTTCCGGACAGAGTTGATATGCTCTAGTTTCAACATTGCAGCACAAAAAGACGTGGCTTAGAGAACACGAAGATAAGTTTGGAATAGTATCCAGTCAGAGTGCCGTTGGACAAGAGCAGCTTCGACGCAGGCAATGGAGGTTCAAACTGAATTTTGTGATACACAGGTGTTGAGCTGACAGAATCACCTTCTTGCTGGTGAAGGTGAGACCGGAAAAGGTTTCCACCCTGCAGGTACCTGAGGAAGATTGGGTAACCTTTGTGACGTTTCGACGCAAATGCAGCGGCAAGGAACAGCAAATTAGTTCAGGGAATGATCTATCTTGGTATTTAGATTGGCTCGTTCACACTAGACGATACGTGCAATTGTGAATCGACACGCCTGACTGCGCTTTCTTTGCCAAGCGAGACCTCGAGAACGATGCATTTTGTGAATTCTGGAGCGGAACTTTTGCAATCCAGGGTTATTAGTAACATATAAAATAAACTACTTTTACAATCTCCTTACAGAGACCTTGGCTGTTATAATAGCTATTCCTCCTCTTGGTAATAACTATTTCTCCAGTAAAAACTCTCTAAGGATAGTATATAATTCAGGTCTATATATTACCTATATTAATAAAATAATACTTAAAAGGTAAATGAAGGAATGTTAACATCGCTAATTACCCAGGTCTTGCCACCATCGCTCGTAGTCATCTCGCCACCAGTAACACCCTCACCCTTTCCAAAGGTCTGGATGTAGTTGGGATCGGCAGTGTCAAGAATGATCTTGGTGTCAACCCACTCTGAGTATTCTGTTAGTATGTAGTCACGCTCGGGTTGTTTCACGCCACTTACGGTGAGCACCAATGGTTCCGCAGTCCGAGGCACCGCACTCAACTGAGCTGCCAAAGCCCATGGCTTCGTGGCCCTTAGAGGTAGAGAGAGTAGAGACTTGCTTGCCGTTGATAGAGACGTACTGGACGTACTCCTGAGTTGAAGCATCATACTTGTCTGTCGTATGTGGTCAGTTAAGTCATCCCAGTGCCGAGGTCAAGCGCTTCATACAGTGCATGGTGACTCGATCACCCTTCTTGGCGGGAGTCTGGTGCTCATCTTGGACAGGCAGCTGAGAGTTGTCTCCGGTCTTGGTGAGAGTGTAAGCAAAGATGCTCCACTCGTCGGACTGCCAGTTGTCTGCAATAGACTGGATCAGGTCGCCCTTGTCAGTGCCCATTCCAACCCAAAGAGACGCAACACCAGTAGAGCCCTGGGGGACATCGGGAAGGACAAGAGTTGAAGTGGCTTCACGGATCCAGGAACCAGAGCCAACGGGACCAGTGCTGAAGGCAGGGCCCATAGCGGCGTTGACAGTGGCGACGGCGACGGCCGCAAGGACGGAAAGAATCTGGTTGGAAGAAGGCATTTTGAGAGTCTGTTATTCGATTGAATAGATCAATTTGTGATGGTGACTGGTTTGCTTGGCATCTCAGTATCTTTATATTCAAATCCAAGACATACAGTAAACAAACATTTATTGTAATTGGCGGACAAATGTCCGAGATCGACGCCGAGTTCGTTGATCAATGCACATTCAATGGTTGGTGGAGATAATATCCGAAACAAACTAGACAACCATGACTTGTTGTTTCGGAGTGGACCAGATTAGGCGAACTGGAACAGCTCGGTGCGCGGATAGAAACAACAGCGATTCGTCCTTACTATATAATACGAACAAACCCCAACCGTCCGAGGTGACTAGCGTTGACGTACGCGGTAATAGAAGCGGTTTGTGTCGCATATGGGTAATTAATTACACACATGGACGCTCCATCTCAGAATGCACGCCCTTCAGGTTATGTCCACAACGTACCACAATGCTCGAAGTGTTGGGGACTTCCGCCCCCTTAGGATTATTAATTCTGGTACAGGAATTTCTGGGAGGTATTCTGGTATTATGGTACTAGAAGGCCTATGAAATGCTGATTTCAAGACATATGAAAGGAATGAAGGACTAGGAGAAACCTGGTTTCAAAACCGCTGCCTTGGCTGTGCTTGTGATGTTCCTCGTAAGTATTCTACCAATGACTAAAACTATGCTGTGGTAAGGTAAGGCGCGTGATGCAAGGATGAGCGGTCAGGTCTATCAACTCAGAATAATCCTCTCAAAAATACACTACAAGCAGCATACCAACTGCCCACTCAACAGCTTCGTAACTTCAATAGCACTTATCCAATTCTCCATTTCTGAGGAAGGCATAACGATTGCCATGGTCGTGGGTCCGGGAGGAGTCCACCCATCGAGGGCTTTCAAAATGTCTAGAAAATGTAACCTGCATGGAGCCTGGCCAGATGACCATAACTCTCTCATCCACTGTGCCTTGCTTATAACAGATGCGACAACTTCCAGACCAAACCATGCAAAGCGTGTATGTATCGATATGCTCTATCAGGTCAACCACGGCTTCTGATTGCACCTGCATCGTCTTGGTGGCCTGATAGTGCATTTTGGATAAGGCTTTAATGATGTATTTGCCAAGCGACTCAATGACTATACTCGGGCTCCCATTGCGAACGTAGGTTTCTGATCTTATATAAAACGTTGATCTGAATAAATGAATAGGCTGGAAGGGAGGCTATAGTTGCATATAAAATAGTTTTGATAGCCCGGAATTACCCACGTTAAACGAAAACCTTAAGTAAGCTTAAGGTCAACATCGGTTGTTTCCATAATAACTAGTCCGGGAGACCAAGCTCTTGGGGTGTTGCTTCCATGAGCTGGAGACTGTTAATTTATCAACCTATATATGGTTGTTTAGTTATTGCACGACCCTTATGCCATTGACCCAACCACTACCAGCTGTTTGAGCTTATTCCTTAAACAAATATGGCAGGGGAAATATATCACATGAATAATACTCGCGGCTTCAAAACCTGATTTTAGCGGCGCAGCTTGATATCCTTCAACTGTGCCACACCAACCTAGGCTCAATGCAGCAGGTAGAACCTGTCCTTTTGATTCCAGTCAGTATTATGGCCTTAAAGGAGATACCTAATTGGACATACAAAGCACGGTAGGGCAGTCAATGCGCCACTTTGCATTCTAAAATCCAGCGTAATTTGGAAATTCCAATACTTAACTAGACATTCAGCCAGTGTTTTCATATCTGATTTTATCAATATAAATAATCTGGCTTTATTTCACTATATTGGAACACTGCTTCCCCCAGAAACCTCCAGAGCCTTCCAACAAGATGCCCACTGTAACATCGGTCACTCAGGCCAAGATAACCAATTTTGGGCCACTAACAACAACCTATACGGCGCCAGCATCATGTGCCACAGCAACAAACCACCTTTACTTGGCTGATTATAGCGACAAGCCCGAATATCTCTGGGCTTACCCTACCTGCACAATGCAGCTGTATGGGAAATGCATACCGTCCGGAGATCAATACGATCATCTCATCACAGCAACATATGCCAAGACCCTTGACATTGGCTTTTATCATTATTACTCACCGGGCCTATATTGCCCTTCTAACTGGACAACCGCTGGGAAATATGTCAAAGGAAATGGAGGCACTGCACAGATATCGGGGGATCTAACCAAGACGGAATCAGGAATCGTGCCGGCCAGGTGGGAGCCAGGTCGGCCATTCCCTACAGATCCGACAAGTGTTTGGAAACAGGTCTTGGAACCATCAGAGACACTAGCTGTTTGTTGCCCAAGGTAAGCTTCCGAATGCCTTTGAGGGGTAACGTGTCGCTAATGGATTTAGCGACTACACGCTTGACTTTAATGGAAACTGCTACTCAGTACTTGGTCCAATGTCTTCGTACGGATACACAGAGATATGCGGGTTTCTAAAACCGACCAGCGTGGTACCCATGACAAGCATGAGAGGAGACTTTCCTGTTGAAATCTATACACAACCTATTCCTCTAGCAACATTTACACGGGACTTGCAGACAGGAGAATTGAAGGGAGACGACATTGTTGTAACAAGGGTTCCAGCAGTGGCGCTTATTCATCAGGAATCGGATTTCACCAAAGCTAGTAAAGAAGATGGTACTAAAGAGAACTCGGCACAGAGTATGAATGAGAGCAGTTGCGCTATGCTCCTGTTCGTAATGGCGATGATTATAACACTTGTAATATCCGGGTAGCAAGAGTATAACTGAGAATAGGATTATTTCATTATTCTATATGTCGCGGTATGGAATGTAAGAGGTCTGCATCTGCACCAGAGCAAAAGGCCTATGATGCTTCTTGATACCTTCCTCACTCTGCTACGGAACAAATACCGTGGACCATGGTTGTGTTGTCAAACTATTGTATACGTTTGCACGCCGGCGGGATAAATATTGGTATTTCAAGGGCTGGTCGCGGGTTTTAATGAAACCAATTATCGCAACCGTCAAAATCACATTTCGGGAAGAGATGATCTAATTGCCAGTATAAGCCATTGAGAGAATATGGAAGGGACTTCAGAAACGCGGGAGTTGATAGGAATATTAAGTGCGATGGAGACGAAACCTATTGTGAGGCATAATCGCTGTTTTTGAACGATAGAAGACGAAGACAAGCAAAGCCGTTCGGCCTGCATCTGGCTGTTTGAGGATCAGGATAGCATATATTCTCTTATTGGGCGCGTAGCGGTTGATCAACAACAGCTACTCATGACCGCTGACTGCTATTTACTTTCTAACTATGTACACGCGAAATATTTCTCTGAATCGTAAAGGCATTCTTTTGATGCCTTAACTGTCCCAATCTGCTAAAAGTCTAGATAGTACCAAAGCCAGCGCTGGACGAGAGACCGGTAATACTGGAGTAAGCGGCAGCAGAAGCAACGTTCTTGCCGCTGAAGTTGGTCAGGAAATCGGTGTCGCTGCCTGAAAGTGTGCCAGAGCTTCCAAAGCCGTTGACTTGGCATACATGGCCGAGGTAAGATGAGCAGACGGCGTTGGCAGCGGTGCTGGGGCTCGAGAAGAGCTTACCAGCAAAGCTCGATGCCTCGAGTGGTGTAGCCACATTCTGGAAGATGTTGCCTTCAGCGACGACCTGGCCGCCAGCACCGATTTCGAAGGCGTGTCCGGCGTTATCGTACCAGTAGTTGTTGACGGCGTGGAGAAGGGTGTTTCCGCCGACCTTGGGGGCACGACCAGAGGTCTTATAAATGTAGTTGTTCTTGAAAGTAACGGTCTATTTAAATTAGCATCTTGTTAGACGGGAGAAAGGGAACGGTACGTACATCAGCAGAGCCTGTAAAATAAAGGCCCCAGTAGTGGTAGCCGTTGCATGTGGCAGACCAAGATGTAGCACCATCGAGCTTGTGGTTTGAGATAGTCACTCGGTTGCTTGGATTATTGCCGAGAACAATGTGTTGCCGGCCGATAAGTGACGTAGTAACATGGTCAATCCAAACAAGATCCGTGTTATCAAGGGCAATAGCATCGCCGCCCCAGACGTACTGAGGGTTAAGGTTTGTGATTTGAATGTTCTGGATGATGACATTCTTCGCACCCTTTGCAATATAAAGGCCCTTGCCCTTGATAATGCCCTTGCTTCCTACACCAACGAGACTTTTATTCGACCCAACGAGAATGGGGTTCAATGCAGCATTGTCATACTTGACACTGACCTGTGATAAGTTTGAGAGGTTAAAAAGGCTTCAGACCCAAGAGAAAAATAACTTGGCACTGACCTTAGGCGCGTTAGGCTGGTAATTGGTGCACCAGTCGTCTTTATTAATGGCAAGCTGACAGGCTGAAGCTGTGCCATATGGAGCGCAGCCAGTCGCGGTGGTCGTGCCTTCAGTTCCGGTGAAGTCAAAGGTTCGGTCCAAAATGATAACTCGGGCGGAGGAGTCGCCGAGATAAGACACGAGCTGGGCAGTTGTCGTAGGGGTAACAGCAGCGGCTGAGCCGCCACCTGTGACGCCTTTGGCAAAGCCTTCGGCGGCGCCTGTGACGCCAGCAGCTCGAACAAAGGCCGCAAGTGCGGGTGCGAAAAGTATTTCAAGTCTCATGGTGTGATGAAGAACGAAGCAATGAACTGGTTGAGAAATGATAGCCAAATATTCATATTGATCTGGATATTCATTAGCTTTTATATGAACCATTTGACATGGATGACGGATCACGGCATGTGGCTTACAACCACTACCGGACTAAAACCACTAAGCTTGTTGGCATGTAGATAGTTCCATAATCGTGGTTCAGGCCCTCCGCTGCTAGCTTCGGCGTAATACCTTGAGCAAGGCTAGATCGGAACATGCCAGCTCCGCATTTCCATTCTCGAACACTTCTATCCGTCACTCTATATACAGCAGATTGTCGAGGAGTGAGCTAGATGACAAGCTTACAATGTTAGACTGGAGTTGCTAAGTTAGTGTATTCGGTTATTGGTGCATAATTAGTTAGACATCTCCGAGCCAGTCAAGGACCACTTAACCTGTCAACGGGACTAAGGAAAAGGCGAGAGCATCTAGCCTTAAATGCAGCTTTATCTAAAGTTCAATAGTTTATTAACTATTTAGAAAAGTTGGTCTTCTTTTCAGCTGGCGATACATTAATATTTCAGTGCATATTCGAGTGACACCTAACTCTGTCTTGAATCCAACTTCTTCAGACGCGTTCACGAAGCCTCTACTAACTCCGAGATTGACTATCGGATAAGTCTCTTACGCTAGTTATCACGGCACACATATCCGACACATCCCACTTCCCGTGGTCATAAGACATTGTGCCAATATTTCCACCACTGGACGGTTGATAAGTTGCAGGTTGCGCCATGTAACCCTTTTTCCACGTTACGTAATTTTAAAGCCAACCTCCAAGTTTCTTATTCCCGTCTATTACCGACCAACCGATTTAGATGAAACACTCAGATGGATTCTCATATCCGAGGCTTTAATCTAAAATTACAGATAAAAGACTGGCCCAAGGATCACAGTTCAATAAGACCCTGCCTCAGCAGGGTGGCAACGAGTTGAGCCAGCGCATGGAGAGTAGGGTAAAAAGCAATAGGGGAACGTAGACACAAGTACATCAAGGGATATCGAGGAGAAAGTAATAGGGATAATATAAGAACACGAGTGAATGACTCATTATAATATAATTGAATTATTGAAAGAAAATATAAGGGAAAGTGAATAAGTAAAATTTCTTGCAATTAATACTAGAATCCTTAGCAATAACTCTTGGTTGTGGCTTTGGTAATCACTCCAGCCCTGATCAAGTCAACATAACTCCAGTAATCCCTCTGGATACCTTGTCCATCCACAGGCGTAGTAGAGTAAGACACAGCTGTCCAAAAAGCGCCACCAGCGACATACTTCTGCCACGCATAGCGCTGAGTATCAAAGATCGTCTTGCGATTAGGTACCGATAGTGTGTTGTTGTACATAGTCTGCAAGGACCATTCACCGACAAACACGGGGAACTTGGTCTCCTCAGCGAGATACTTTGCTTGTCCGCACACAGCAGGCGCCACATACTGAGAATAGGTCCCCGACGCGGCAAAGTAGTATACGTGCGAGTCGATGACGAGGTTGCGCTTCTTGTCGAACAGTGGAGACCAGAAGGCCGCGCCCTTGAAGTTATCTTGGAGCATGACTGGGATACGCTTGTCAACGGCTTCGACGCGCTGGAAAACACCGTTCATGTATGTGAGAATCCAGTTGGTCGCTTTGTCGGAGAGACCAGCTGCCGATCCAAAACCAGCCAAGTTATCACTGGCTTCGTTTAGAGGGGCGATCGTGAAGGCGTTCTTGTGGCCGCTTGCTTTAACGAAGTCGAGGACCTTGTCAACAGCCTTGAAGCTCCAAGCCAGATTGGTAGAATTATAGAACCAGCCATCATGCCCAAAAGCTTCGCCAATGTCGAGGTTGTTGATACCACCAGGTAAAGAGTGAAGGCCGATAATGATATGCATGTTATACCGTTCAATGGCATATTGAGTAATCCTGCGTAGATGTTCCTGCTGTTTGCCATGATAGAAAGCAGATCCAGGGACCTTGACCCAGGCGGCATAGGTGGTAGTGATGCGAAGGGTATTGACCCCGACCTTGGCAAGTGTATCAATGGTGGAAGTATTCAGAAAAGATTCGTAGCGCTTCTCCAAGATTGGACCACATTGTTTTCCAAGAGCCTGGCACAAGCCCCATTCATCGATTGTAGCAGCGGCCTTGGTGCCGAGAGAACTCCACCAGACGGGGTCGTGGGTCTTTTCCTTTGCAAGCCAGGCGCCCAGATTGACACCATTGGCCTTGAAAGTCTTCCAATTGATGAATTTACCGCTTTCGCATCCCTTGGGGAAGTTAAGCGCGTGCTCATATCGTTGATTGTGGGGTTTGACATGAGGAATGCTGAAGGGACATTGCTTCTGATACTTGGCAACCTTGCCATGTTGAGCCGCACTTGTTACAGAGTAATCAGGCTGTGGCGCCGCGATAGCGGTCGAGAACAGCAGAGCTGTAGAGAAAAATGAAGAAAGGTGCATGACGACGGAGGGTAGCTTGTTGATATGTTGCTGTTGCTCGAGACCCGACTAACTGGTTTTTGGCGAGACGATATCAGCTGTATTTCGCCATTCTTATATCTAGAGACTTACAGATAGAGACCTCAGTTATCGATCAGTGTTCCCGGAAAATCCGAAATAAGATAAATTGCTATCCACACAAGAGTAGAGGCAAGTTCAACGGTCAACTTGACTAATATCGGGAGGTATCCACAATTTGCCGTTTTTAACGAGCAGACCGTGACCGGCGTCAATAGTCTCAGCAATAGTTCACAGCTAGTCATATTTCACTAAACAAGCAGATAAAAAAGTCTTCAACAGCATCTATTAATACATAATTACAGTATTGCAATTGGCCCGGATTTTCCGGTTGAGCCCATATCATCAGTAATCGATCAAAGCATATCGCCATCCAGTCCTCGTAGCGCGATTGAGTGTTTTTTTTTACCGAGAGGCTGGTTCGCCACTGAATATCCATGACGCAGCTGTCGAATGGTGCATCGCGCATACATGCTTTTCTGACTTCATTCTGCTTTTGATGTAACTGGAGTACATTTTAGCAAGGGACTTCAAGGTTAAAGCACCTAAGTTGAGGTTATTCTAAAAGACTGTTGAGTATTAATCTGCTATTAATTGATAATGAAGGCTCATCTTGAACACTCTAGACTAAGATATAATAAGGCTCCTTTTCTCTTCCTTCTTTATAAATATGAATGTACATGTGTGTTGGGGGGTAAGGGACAGCTTAGCTATTTAAAGTTGTATAAAGATAGTATTAAGGAAATACATTAAAATCCACATATGGTAATTATCAGACCCATAACACTTCCTTCAGAATGACCCAACTCGCACTTACAAGTTCGCGCGGAATCCTCTTACGGGAGCACCGTTCAGACCCCCCTCCTTGGGTTTGTCTCCCAGCGGCAGCTCAGGATAGACCTCGCTAACCAACCCGATAATCTGAGGAGCCTGCAAGGATATATTTAATGCCCCATTCTTCACTTCCATATGCTAACTAGCGCTCTTATCATCCATCTTAACTCTTTAAAACAAAAGGTTAGCATCCAGATAGACAGGCAACAATACTTTATTCCTTACTTCGCTCCCGCACCTCCACCAAAACCCCAGCATCCAAAGCTTACTTCCACGCTACTATCAGTCTGTAATACGTTTAGAACTTGCTTCGCGGCTGACTCGTCGTTCTTAAATGACAAGTTTGCATCTGCAGCGACAGTAAAAGCCATCAGGTACGCGGGAAACTTTCCGTAGTTGGTCCGCACGTATTTTCCGAATTCGTTGTCACCAGATTCCACCCATTACTTGATGGCTTTAGCGCCAGGGCTCAGAAACGTGCCGGCCGGTATGTCGATGTCAAAGTCCTGGAACAGCTCGGCGTGTAACCATGATCGCACCACCATGGCAGAGAATGAGCCGCTGACGGTGGAACTCGACATGAAGTCAGATACCTCCTTGTTGCTCTTGGAGAAGCTAGATTCTACCTTGACTGAAGCGAACCGTGTCTGGGCTTCGGCGTGGAAGGCTCCCGAGATGCCGTGCTCTTCCTGTTTGTGATCGGTTGTCTGAGAGCTCACAGTGAAATCGATTCGAGTCCCTACATCAGCTCCTGAGTCACCGTCTCCGGCGCTGGCGCTTGTATCTAGTTTGGTCTTGATAACTGAGAATCCTTCTTCCTTGCTGCCTTCCACCCCCGTGATTATGTCCGGAGGGTTGTTCCCGGGTAAACGGCCTTCCAGCCGCTGAATCTCCGAGTCCAAAGGAGTCATACGCCCCTTGATCGACGTGCGCGAATTGGCTGCTCCACTAGCTGAAAGTTGGGCTGTACTCACGTCTGTTCGTGCTGTTTTCAAAGCTAGCTTTGCGTCGAGGACCTCCTGCTTCTTCGCTATGAGGTTTTTGACTGGAAGCTGCGGGCCGGGGACGAAGGAACGCTCAGCAGCGTACATCTTCTCCAGGGCGGTCTTCAACCTGTCCTCAGCTTTTTGCAACGGGTTTTCGGGTAGTGTCGAATTCGTGATCTTCTTGACTTCCTCTAATATCTTTTCGTCTTCCAGCGCAGCGATCTTTCATTGCGCCTTCTTGATTGCCAAGCCATCTTTTGGGTCCTTTGCATTCGTTACCAGTCCATCGCCTCGATACTGGATCATGTGGCCGGCCGTCTTCACGATGCTTGCTGCCTCTTTGGCCACTGTTCTTATTGAGGGCAAGAATTTCGGCGCATTGGCCCTGTATGGCGTTAGAAGCGTCAGCGCAAAGATCAATAACGTGACCGGTAGAAGCCCGACTTCAGGCAACGAGTCCAGGACCACACAGGATCGTGCTGTTACCCTAGAAGATGAGATACCTGATCCCGTCCCCAAGGAGCATCAAGTTAGGTGGTGGGAGTGGTCCAGTATTACTCTCTTGCCGTGCATCGTGGCCATGGTAGCATTCAAGTATTTGTATGGAATATCGCCGGCTTTGATCTTACTCAATGCATTCTTGGGACTTATCTGGGCCTTGGTCATCATTCAGGTCTTTGGAGCCAGTGGTATCAATCCTGTCGGGACTGTCGCTAAAGGATCACAATTTATCACTGGTGGCATTGCACGAAACCCTGCCGACAAAGCCATTTCGGCGACTGGGTCAAAGACTGTTCTCGTTGGAGCAACGTTGTCTTCGTGTGCTGCGAGTCAAGCAGGTGAACTCTGCCAAGATTTCAGAACCGGCTTCCTTCTAGGCACTCCAGCAAGGGCTCAGTGGCATGCACAAGTGCTAGGTACTCTGGTTGCTGTGTTCCTGACGCCAGCCATTTTCATCCTGTTCGCCAAGTATCACAGATGCCACGGCAACTCAGTGCCAGTTTGCTCTGCCCTCGGTCACGACGTGGCGAGTGGTCACCGAAGCTATCCTGGCACCTCAATTTCCCATTTCCCACTCCAGTTGGATCTTCAGCATGGTTTTCTCCGTGCTGGGTGTTGCTATTGTGATGCTGAAGCGATTTATACCACAAAAGCCAAACTTGAAGCAGTACCACGTTTGGATCCCCAATATGCCTCTGGTGGGACTGGCAATGACTATTGCTTCTTCTCAAACGGTTCTCACCCCCGCTATCGGGTCAGCGTTTGCAGCGACATGGGGCAAATTTTGGCCCAAGTTCCACGAGAGACTTTTATATCCTATTGCATCAGGCGGAATCGCTGGCGAGGGTGTTGGCTATGTCGTCTTGAGTATTCTCCAGATCGCTGGCGTGGGGGGCGACAAATATGGCACTATGCTTGGATCCTATGGAGGAGCTTGTTAATTCACCTCTTCACAGTTTGGTTGTTTTCGTTGTTTGGCTTCTTGCGATTTGAGTTTTGCATGTTGATGTTTATAAGATTAGGGCTATTATGATGGTGACTTTTCGCATACTAGTCGCTTAATAATACCGCTTATAGTAAATTTTGCCGCTTTTTAAAAGCTATCTTAGTAGAGGCCAATGCGAGATTATAAGAAATAGCATCTGTGATCTTTATTTGTTTTATGTTTTGCCACAATTTTACAAACTCTTATAGTATATCAAAAATACCAACAATGACCCCTCGATTTACTCCCGTCACGGCGCCGAATGCACCTGCCCCGTTACCGCAATTCTCAGCTGCTGTTACATACAACGGATTAGTATATTGTTCTGGGAATATTGGAATCAAGCCTGGTCAGGGCCTCGTCGTTGTTGAAGGAACCGTCAAAGACAGGGCTGTCAGTACTGCCTTAAGTGATGTAGGGGCCAGCGTTGACGCATAAGTTCAGATCCAAGCGCTTTCCAATATCAAGAACATTCTCGAAGCCGCCGGCAGTTCTATTGAAAATGTTATCAAGATGAATATCTATCTTACCAATATGGACAATTTCACACTCCTCAATGAAGCTTATGATATGTTTTTCACCCAAGACATTAAACCGGTGAGCACGAGTCTACAATATGGGCTCAACTTGGGTTGTAACTGAAGCTGACTTACTATGAAGGCTAGAACCTGTGTAGCTGTCTACCAGTTGCCACTGGGAACTGATGTTGAGATTGAGTGCACCGCATACCTGAATTAGTGCAGAGTGCGCCGTCAGAGAGTTTTCTTTAGCTATTACAAATATAAAGTTACACACAAGCGCTCCTCCCCCGATAACCGTCAGCACACTTTAGCTGCCAGTTATCACAACTAACCCCTAAACGAGTGCTATCCAGAATAACTGGCAAGTACAATCCTTGTAGGCGATGTCCATCCAGCTGGGTGTCGTGTAGTGGTTACGATTTCCCTTTTTGGGTTGCAAGAGCGCGACACGCCACCAAGACTCTTACCCCCCTCCCCTGGACGCCAGAAATTGACTCAAGTAGAGCGAGAAAGGGCCTATGGACCGGGGTCTTTGTGGGAGCTTGATATTTTATCTGAGCAAACTTCTGCTAACATGACCTCCGAAGTTATTGCTCAGGTAATTCAAGTCATCCACTCCGTTAGTTGACTTGATATTACTAAGTCAATAGATTAATTAATGAATACCTTTTTTTCAGCTGACATGCAGACAGGAATATACTTATTAAAACACGGACATGATAGTTGGCCTCGGCAGATTTCTGTTACAGGATATTGGGAGTTCCATAAAGAACAAACAAGCTGAATTGGTGGCAAGAAATTTACAGGATAGCGAGGTGGCAAAAACACTCCAACATAGCAGCTTGAAGCCCGAATGAAATCATAGAATCTCGGTTATAAAGATTGAGCAGAAAATAAATCCCGACATAGACATAACATTGGTATAGAATAAAATATATCAACCGGCAACCCTACTTGTAAGACTCTCTCTTAGGTGGCCAGATCATTTGACCCGTGGGTGACTTGACAAGCATTCCACCCTTCCAAACGTACTTAATATTTTTCTCGCTATCAAACAGATGGATGTTCTCTAGAGGATCCTCGTCAAGTGCAATGAGATCAGCATCCCATCCAACACGCACCAGGCCTTTCTGGGGTGTCAAGCGTCCCAGCGTCTCGGCCGAGTTGATAGTTCCAGCATCGATGGCCTGGAGAGGCGTGAGGCCAGCCTTGACGGCTAATGCAACTTCATGGCCGTTCTGACCATGGACAGTTAGGGATGTTGGGCCTGAGCCGGCGATGTCAGTGCCAAGAGCAATCTTGACGCCGTGACGCACAGCTGTCCTGTACGCCTCGAGATGAACCTTGGCGATTCCGACCATCTTTTCAGCTGTTTCGGGATTGAGGGAGTCGAGTTGCTTCAAGTTTGCCTCAAGGACGTATCTCGTGCTGATAAAGGTGGTGTTATGCTTGACCATCAACTCGGCAGCTTCGTCGTCTAGATAACTCCCATGCTCAATTGTGTGGGCGCCTGCTTTGACGGCTGCCATAATGCCTGCTTTTCCGTGCGCGTGAGCCGCAACAGCACGGTTATGTAGGGATGCCTCCTCTATCATAACAGCAAGCTCAGCATCCGAGTATTGCCTACAATGTGGATCATCCGTTCGGCTCAAGACACCACCAGTGGTGACAATCTTGATGCAGCTTGCTCCCCTTCGAATTTGCTGGCGAACAGCGCGGCGGCATTCATCTACTCCATCGGCAATGGCAAGTATAGAAACTCCTGGCCAAAAGTCCTGAGTTCCGCCGCCACCTCCTCCCTGACGGGAGTAAACATAGTCGGCGGGTAAGGTACAGGCATCACAGCTACCTGAAGTGATACCGATAGCAGCACCAGCGCCAAAAATGTTGGGCCCAAGGATAAGGCCTTTCTCTACCAAGGGGGCTACCTCTGTCGCATACGAGCCGACGTCTCGCACCGAGGTGAAGCCTGCCATGAGGGTCTCGTGCATATTGCGGGTGATGGCAGCACCCAACGTGACGGGATGAGTCAGGACCATGGCAGGAAAGTCAACATCAATAAGCCCAGCGAAATGGGTATGGCAGTCCCAAAGACCTGGCATCGGGTAGCCTACTTGGACCCGAGGCGCAGATTCAAGCACCTTGGGCAGCTGCGTCTGAGGTCCAACATAAGTTATCTTACCAGTTTCGACACACACACCCACAGCTACATTGTGGAGAGGCTCAGAACGTCCGGGGATAAGGCGCTTGGCGAAGATGCAGACTAGAGATAGTTTATCGTCCACAGTCAGGCCAGCAAAGTTTGGGGGCATAACATGCGAATGCTGGGATACTGGGCTTGAATGTGGGGTATCGACTGAGGTCCAGTCCTCAGCAGTGGTGTCCAATGGTGGGAAGTTGCTGTATGGGGTAGAGTGGTAGTGATATACAGACGATGGACGGTTGCCATGTTGCAGCTCAGGAGTCTTGTAGGCAAGATGAGGCTGCATGGTGTCCTGGGTGTTGCTGCTGCTGTTATTATTGTTGTTGCTGTTGTCCTTTAAGGAAACGATCATTGCAGGGTTACTAAACGGTGAACAAATAACTTGTTAAGTAGTTGATAGAAACTTATCGTAATCAAGAGGGTGTTTGCTTGTAGGATGCTAAAGGTTGAACTAAGTAACCATCAATTGTTTGCCTCCGGTTCCCTTGTACTATTACCGCACCGTAGAATATCTGCATTGAGTCGCGGTCTCGTTGGTCCGATTAGGCAGTTTATCCTCCGAGATACTGAAGGCGCTTGTTTGTAGGATACTGTAGGTTGAACCAATCAATCGTTACAGTAATTGTCTGCATCCTTCGTACTGTACAGTAAGAAGTCTAACTAACCCTCGAGTGGAGTTGCGGTCCCGTTGACCCGATCAGGCAATTCGTTCCACCTATCCAATCCTTCGAGACATTAAACCCAGCCACCAAATCCACTCCAGATTAGCCATGCAGTGCAGGTACTGTAGGGTATTTTCCTGGCTCTGCCTAAGTTACTTTAAACCATCAATATCTCTTTGTGAGATAAATCCAGGCAACACATCAGAGAACTTGGCTCTGACTACTGCCCTGTACTTAATGTGTCCAAAGCCTGTCCAATACGTTGGATTGCCAGTTCGACGACTGTTGAATCTTGCGAATAAACAAGGCGGAAACTTCCAGGCCGCTCGCATCCGGCAAACTGTGCAGCGAAAACTATTAGCAATTGCTTGAGATTTAGCTTGCCAAAATTATTTTTCTGACCTGTCCTGGATTCAAAAAAACTCCATTATCAATTAGCATTCGACAGAGTTGGATTTCAGGGCTCCCCATCCTTCCTGCCTCAAAGTTGTAAACCCAGCGGCTGAGGTCAATAAAGACGAACAAACCCGCATCAGCTCGCTGAAATGGGATTTTGTACTTATTCAGAGCCGTGGTCGTTCTTCGATATGCCTCCGTAAGCCTTGAGCAGTAGTTATCGAGGTAGTCTTGAATCACATCTAACTGCTGTAAGAAGCGTGTGACAAACCTGTCCGATGCCACGGTGAGCCAAGTGAACCATCTATGCACAAAGAAGAGGATAAAGTAAATAAAGAGTCCATATGCGTGCTTCGTTGTGCGTAGTGGGTGAAGTACTTACGCAGCTTGTGAGGCGGCGGCCTTGATGACTGGGTTTCTGGTGACGAGGAATCCCATTCGAAGACCACCCATGTTGAAGTCTTTGCTCATGCCGTAGAGGCAGTGTACATTTTGTTGGCTACTGGTAGATAAGATGCTAGTGAAGGGTGTAATATCGGCGTCGGCGTCGTCGTCGTCGTTGTTATTGTTGTCTGTCAGGGTAGACATAGCATAGATCTCATCGACTACGAGATGCATCCTTTTCCCAACGCACCATGAGGTCAGACCCTCGAGCGTCTGGGGGGAATAGCATCGGCCTTGGGGATTCGTGGGGTTGCAGAGAAATAGAACGCGACACTCTATTCCTCGATCTTCGAGGGCTGAGCAAGAGGCTATGTCCAAGGCTCTAATCAGTTCAGATAGACCGTTGGAGCCAAAGGGATCGGACAGGTCAACTGTAGAAACGGGGATGGTGGTGAGCCCAGCTCGTACTGTCATGTTATAGTTAAGCATGAAGAAATTCGGAGTCAGGTACAAGACACCTTGACCAGGATCGCACAAGGTCCACGCTACCATGTCCATGAGTGATGTCACGCCGTTAGCTGCTAAGATATGCCCGGCATGGACAGGCTCAGAGGGGCTGAAGAAGCGGTTAAAGTAGCCAGCAGCAGCCTCGAGAAGATCCTGAGACCCAGTAAGCGGACCATATGACAAGCACTCAGACATAGACAATGGCTCTTTCTCAGAATATGTAGCCATCCAATCTGTCATGAGTGAATTAAGAGCCCCGGAAAGATTAATCATGCCGTTCGGGCGCAAGATGGGGTGGTATTGAGGCTTGAGTTTAACCTCCTCCATCAGTTTCCCTACAGGGTCTTGGTGAAGAGCGGCCCGAGCTCGAGATGAAGGCATCAATTCGGTTGACATGGCTCTAGAGTCTAGAAGGAGAGATATAAGGCGATAAATTAGGATAGATAGATGAACTCCTGAGTTCAGGATGTTCTTTATGTGTGTCGAAAATCCGCCCAGAGTGCCAGGTATTTATTCTTGTGTTGACTGCACTAAAGTTGGATTCATCGTGGCCCAGTTTCGGCTTGTATGAGTGGAATTGTGGTACTGTGCGGATAATTTTCAGGCTTATCTGTTCCGCGATGGCTTGGTGCGGCTTATTATTTAGCGAGTGACCCCAATACGATAACGCAGCCAAGAACCACTTAGCTTAGCCCAATGCTAACAGGGTCTCGGTTAAAAGATGAGCTGAGCTTCTCTTGTCCTCGTACTTGCCCCGCATTCATCATTCAAATTAATTATTCATAACATTGCTCGATTTATAACTTTTGAACATGGTCAGGCTGTATTCTCACGCTCCAGCACCCGCACGGGTGAATAAGACGGATATTACACGGAGCAGAAATGGATGCGCCCGATGTCGCAGCAAGAGGAGAAAGGTCAGTCAATTGTAAATCCATGTATCTTGCCTTGGCATATACAAGCACTGGCTGACTCTGAGGTGACAAGACAGTGTGATGAGAAAAGGCCCTTCTGCAGCCGCTGCGTATCAGCCGGAATCGACTGTGAATATACCTCGATGGCCCTTAAATTCCGAGAGGCCACACAATGGGCCGCCGATAAAGTCGACCATCGCATCGCAAGCGTTTCATCTAAAGGCCGGCGTTGTTCAAGACAAGTCCGAAGCTCTCCTCCAAACGGAACGCCTCCCACGCATGTACATCCACAACAACCTTCTCTGGCAGTCGATACGTCGTGTAATGAGCAGTCTCAGTCTCACTCTCCGCCTCTACAAACTGCCTCACGTCTGACAGAGCAACAATGTGACAATACGATCATGGCTGCGACTGATTCCACGACGAACAATAATAGCGGTGCTTGGGAGCCTGTCTTGTACAATCAGAGCCTCGAGCTAGGTAATTCGGATGCCAACACCGATTATTTTGACTTCGACATGGGAATGGTCCAGTTGGGTTGTCCGGACAGTGATTTCATTAACGATCTTGTCGGGATCCAGTTCAACATGGACGATATAAGTATGGCGCAACTTCCATGGGAGCCCCCAATATCCCAACCTGAACAACCATTGAGAGAACCGCAGACGGAGGAGAGTCGAGAAAAGAGAGCTGTCACTGCCACCGCAACTCTGCCTCAAGTTCAACAAATAACGCCAGGTCTCGCTATAGACCAACATTCAACTCCCTCGCCATCGCCCATGATCAACCAGTGTCAACTACCATCACCAGATGATTCTCAGACCTGCCATTCAGCTGCCAGTATAGGTTCAATCCATCTATCCCGGCCAACACAGCCATCGACTATCAAGATCGTACATGGCGATAGACTCTACCTGGCCCACTTCAGAATCACTATCGTCAAGGCGTTTCCAGTGCAGCCTACCTATCTATGGAGCTTGGTTCTGAAGTGTAAGCCGCTATACTGCGCCGCACTAGCCCTTGCAGCAGCGAATCTCGCTAATCTTCATGGGAGGCATTCCAACGACGGCACCTGGATCCCTATGCCTACACATTTCAACAAAGCAACTGTGTTTCTCGAGCAGAGTAAGGCCTCGTTGGAATCTAGCTCAGCGGCGTCACCGCCATTACAGGCTCGTCTGATTACCATGTTCTTAATGGAATACTATGAACTAGAGTGTGGTTCCATCAGCAGCGTATGGCAGACGCTGTCCGTGCTCGATAATGCTTTCCTGACGCAACAGGACATTATCTTGTCGTTACCTGAATCAGATATTCTCTTCCAATGGTGGTTGCATCTTAGATCCTTCGCCACTTGGCCCCGAGTTCCGTATCACGTTTGCGTCGCCGAGCATCCCACAGGATCACTAATTAGGAGCTTGGAGACAAGATTCTTGACAGCTTCCCAAATGATCAACGTCGTAGGTACAAAAGCCGAACATATATGGTGGAGAATCCTAATTGTTAAATGTTTTGGCAATTCTGGCGAGACCACACCTCAAGTACTGAACACGTTCAAAGACTGGTTTGCAATCCTGAAAGGGAACCTCGTTGAGCATGGAGATCAGATCCCTGTAACGTTTATGGATGACACTGAAACTCACGACGAGCTCAAGGAGCTCAGAACAACCCTGTTGAGTTGCGTACCCCCTGAGGATTTCCATTCAGATTTACTGGCGGAGTGTCAAGGCCAGGACACGGACAGTTCATACAACCTCGAACCTTTGGTCCTTTCTAGTCATGGTCGGGCAATGGAGATGGCTGAATATGCATTTGCGCAGATACTGTGCGATTCTGGCCTACTCAGAAGATTATTAGATCCTACAACGAACAACAAGCGACAATTTCCCAAGCAAGAGTCAATGGTCGCCGAAAAGCACCATTCTTGGGCGAGACTGATAGCGCGTATTGCGCTCGGCCTGGACTTATCCAGATGTGCCAAGGAAAACAACTTCCGGAGAGGCATACTCCATTTTTTGTTTTGCGCTGGCCTCATGATACCAGGCAGTTTGTCGTATGACCTGATTGAGCACATTGTTAAGGGACTGATGGATACGCATGCTAAATCAGAGGGACCGTTTTATCCCTTGCACGGTTTCATGCCTTTTATACAGACCATTAGACAAGAGTCGAGAAAAGGGCGCACTATCTTCCTGGCTTGTATGACGCATGATGAGTGGGCGTCAAAGGACAGCTTATTCTCCACTGCTGCGGGAGCGCACATGATAGCATTTGGCCGTGAAGATAATGGCCAATATTTCGGCGATCTGGTACCTATTGCTGAGGTGCCAACTCTACAACTTTAAGATTTGGAAACTGTGGATTGTTTTAATTGCTAAATGACAATGTGGGCATGCAAAGAGTTGTGTGAATAAATCCTGGACTGTGCCGAGAGCCACTCACTAATACATCATTGCGGCTTTATAATATTTACAAAGTTCCTTGGCTATCCATAAGCTGTTTGATCTGCATTGCCTGAAGTCCCAAGCCAAGTTCTTAGCACGGCACCCACTGCTTCAGGCTGGTGATAGGGTGCGAAATGCCCAGCTTCATCAATGGCATACAGCGCTAGACGTTCTGTCCCTTTCCAAAACCCGCCCCGTTTCACATCCCAACCTTGGACATCCGACGTGATGTCTCCTTTTCGAATATACCAGTCTTGGTAACCCTGGCTTCGGTAGCGTGCCTGGCCATGCCAAGGCTGCTCATCCAACATTCGCATTTGACCAGGTGTATTACTAGATCCAAGGTCAGGCCATTTTGAAGACATACAAAGTAAAGATGTACAGAATATGGACTCACATGATAATATCATTATTTCCATTAATCACCAAAATTCGAATATTGGTATTGTCGAGGAGCCAAGTCATTTCTCGTGTAACTGGCAAGAAGAGACTCTTTGCGCGTTGCCAACGCATCCCGGTATCGAAATCGATGAGCTCGAATGGGGAGTAAGGCTGTCCAAGCTGCTCTTGAACCCAAGGTTGATTGAAGAATTTCCAAGAGCGCCCATGAGCGAAGTTTGAGCATAGGGGAGGACTCTCGCAGGTATGGCGGTCTGCATCACTCTACGTTAGGAGTCATTTATCATTACAACAGAAGGTTCTCAACCCTCAAATAGAGAAGGGTTTGACCTACCATCATAAGGATCCCATCCTCCAGGAACAACTCCACTGAGGAAATGCTCACCCACTGTTTCCTCACATGCTTGAAATGCTCGCCCGCATACTAGCAGATCATAAGATTCGCGGCAGTAACTGCCTAGCAGTTCACAAGAAGGGACAGCGGCGGCCATATCCGCACAGGCCGACTCATTCATCAGAGGCGCCTTGCGGCCGTCTAGGGCCCAGTCAGTACAGAAGAAGTCATAATACCCTACACTTTGACGTGATGCGTCCACGTAACCATCTATAATCACGATAGAGGAAATGTTAATAAGTGACGTCTGGCCTTCAAGGGAAGCCATATAGTGCGCATAACCAAGAACATAGTGGCCGCCCATCGATTCACCGGCCAAGTTCCAAGAGCGACCGGACAGATTGGGAAAAACGTTTGTCGATAGGTGCGACAGGAAAGAGTAAACATCGCGGGCGCCTTGTTGTATGGTGACGGCAATATCGTCGCGATCAGTTATATGTGAGAATCCCACACCAATTGGTTGACTAGGAGTGTAAGGCAGTGATCTGATCCGTCTCGTGAATGGGAAAGGCATACTCGATATAAACAACATTGGCTCGGTCTGTGAAAGAGAATCTGCTGCGACTTGTAGAGTTGCCATCAGCGTTGACGACGCAAGGGCCGCTTCCCATAGTTAAGCCCAATTCTCCTGTTGCACCCGGTCCACTAGCCGAGAGTAGAAACATCCGTTAGTGACAGTCTCTTAATCAATCAAAACATTATTGCAGCTCTTCATAGCTTACCCGCTCATCCAGAGGACCAAAGGATCCGTCTCGGGGTCACGACGGCTTTCAAAGAACCCTACAACGTCAGTGTAAGCAGAGTCTCTGGAGAAGAGAATATGCATTTACAAAAGAACATGGACTTGTCAGCAGTGATGTTGACGGTCCCGGTCCAGAAACGAGAGCCTGCATCGCAGAGCCCATCTGTTTGCTCGCGAATGGTGAAAGTGGGATAGCTGAGAGGCTTCTGTTCACCGAGAGGCTTTTGTTGATGGCATTCAACATAACCTGTTGCGGCAGCCAGGCAGAGCAGTAGCCATCCCATTCTCCACAAGAGATACATTTGAAAAATTGGTTCGATAAGTATATAGATGACTGCCGTAACGCGTTGAATTGCAGATTGAGGCCATGCAAAACAGGAGGTAAACCACGATATTTCAGCTCGTTCTGCACCAATTGATGGATCATCCGCATTGGCCCCATCCGATACCTCGGGATGCGCACCAAGGCACCCGTTATGGTCTAGTCAATCTCATGGACCCATCTATCAACAAGCGAGGGCCAGGATCGGACCATCATTGATAATCTCTCTTTATGACATCCTCACATGTACAATAAATAACAGTGCTTTGGCTTCCCTTGGACGAGATTTTAATCGACTATACACTCATCCAATCTAACAATGAAGTACACATTCTTCACCATTCTTTGGTGTGTCGTCGCACCGGTTAATGGAGCACTTCACGCCTCTGCTCGCGCAGCCAACAAGTTCTTTTCTGGTCATTCTGGAGTGCCAGATTTCACGTTACGCCTGGGTTCCGACACGGCGAGAGTGTGCAATAGTTCTACTCCGGGCACATCAGGGTTTATCGAGACCAAAACGGACGAGTCATCTATCTTCTTCTGGGCTTATGAGAGCAAAAATGATCCCAAGAGAGATCCGGTCATTCTCTGGATGACCGGGTACGTATATGCACTCATTCTTTTGTGTTCTTCACACATTCCTTCCTAAAACTAACTGATATCTTGCCTTGCAGGGGCCCAGGTGGATCTTCAGCAGGTTATGGAAATTTGATGGAACTGGGACCGTGTCGCATTGCTCCTGAAGGTGGTTTCACTGTCGAGAATGAGTTTGGCTGGAACGCCAATGCGACGCTTCTTTTCGTTGAGTTCGTACACCTTCCATTTCATATAGAGCATCTTGTCTTGGAAGTACTGACACACAGTCAAGCCAGCCCATCACTGTAGGCTACTCCCATGGGGCGCATATGCCGGTTGATTTGGTTGAATCCTCCAAGATCATGGACCAGTTTCTCCGCCAATTCTTCGTCGCGTACCCCGAGCTTGCAGGTCTAGACTTTTACATCGCAGGCGAGTCCTATGGCGGATCGTGGGTTCCCGCTCTGGCGAATACCATCTTGAAGACGCAAGCGAGTCTAGATAAACCCAGACAGAGTCTGCAGGCACAGCCACCAAGGTATCAGTTTCTCACAGGTCCCTCAAGCAACATCCCTACCAAGCCCAAGATCAACCTCAAAGGTATAATGGTAGGGAACGGTCTTGTTCGTCTCTCGGTGCAGAATAGAGGTAGTTTCATGACCGTATGCTCGGGGCCAGATAGTCTCTTCAACGCATCGCAATGCGAAGAGTGGGCTCCACGAGCCATGTGGTGCGAGAACAATCTCGGCATTTGCGAGAGTAAGGGAATGACTTCTCAGGTTTGCAAAGACGCACAAGACAATTGCACCGCCATAGCCGACGTTGTCATTAACCAGATGGGCAGAAACCCATATGACTACAGGCAACATTGCAAAGGCCTTGATGGATGCTTTCCAGAAATGGCACACATAGACGAGTACCTGAATCGTCACGACATCAAGGAGGCTCTCGGAGTGCCGCAACATGTGAACTACACAGGCCTGTCGTATCCCGTCTTGGAACAATGGGAGAAGAATGGTGATTTATGGCGACGGAGCGATAATTATGTCAATTTCCTCCTGGAAGCGGTGAGTGGGCTTGTTGTGACACTCGTATCTTCAACTGAACACACTACTAACAGACAGCCATACAGAACATCCGCGTTCTAATCTACGTCGGCGATAAGGACTTGTACTCAAACGCTGCCGGTATGCGACTACTTGTTGACCACGGCTTGAGCTGGCACGGGCAACCATTGATGCGCCTGAGGGAGCTGACCCCTTGGTACGAGGGAGCCAATGTGGCTGGTCGATGGAAGTCGTATGAACCTCTTACCTTTGCTGAGATTGCCGAGGCCGGGCATTTGGCGCCATTTGACAAGTCTCGAGAGTCGCTGACGCTGATCAACTCGTGGATACAAGGGAACATACCTACCAAGTGATATATGTAGACAGATAGACGCTCGATATTATTTTTACATGGCCCAGCAAAGACAGAACGTCGTGACTGGGGCCTCCTTTTGGACTCATCATTTTCGCTGCAGTATTGGGATGTTTGGGATTGCGTGCTAATTGACTAGGACATAGGTAGTATTTGGTAAGACAATGCTGCTGTTTATTCTCCTAGGTCCATATGCTACTACTATAAGTAAAGCCTTTCTTTTTCGAGTTTTGTTCAAAGCCATATTAATATCTGTACGTGATCTTTTCTATTTACTTACTAACGTCTGCCGAGTAGGTATAGTAACCGAACTATCAAGCGATCCCCACATCCAAGTACACAATGCAGTAAGCTTATGGTCACTAGCTAGCTTGCAGAAGGCCTTATACGTCTGGTCACGTAATGTAGAGGCCAGCTGCGTGAGAACAAGGATAGATCGTTTACGCGACTACTGCGACTCGGGGGATGGGGGTTGGCATACGGAAGTTGGGTGCCTCCACGAGCAGCCACTAGCTGCCAGTAATGAAAATACCATCATCTAGATAAGACCATTCCATCCTTGCCACCCGCAAGAAGCTCCGAGCTGGGCATAACAGAACAGATTGGCCCCGCCATTGCAGTGTCTAGGGTGCGCAATCGCTGACCCCATTAGGTTAGCTCGTCTCGGTGCATCTCCTGCACTAGCCTCGACGAGCTAGACTTTGCGCTACTGGCATTCGGTATCATACCCATTGCAGCAATTATCTTATCTATCAGGCTCTCGGTACGTACTTTTGCCGATGCGTAACGAGCGGGTACCCTAGCCTAAGTTGGCTGGGTTGGTTCTGGGAATGAATGGCTTAAATCATTTACTGTAGTGTAAGTACCTTGTGAGATTGGCACGTAACAGCCCGTCTCATTATCCTGAAGCCCTAAGCTTTTACCTCACTTTACTTGCTTGTACTGGAGATAGGGGCATTTTCTTGTTCAGTCATTTGAATCCTCATTCGTGTATTATTTTGTCTATTGGCGACCAAGATGAAGCTCACATGGATCCTAGAGTAAGAGACGCCGCAAACTTTATATCAGCTTCACATACTCAGTCGTATTGATTCTTCATAGGTCAATTTTCATTGCATGCGTTGCCCTGTACGTCTTTTCTAGCCTGTATTCGGTTTTCTCATCGAGTCGCGAATCGATACGATACAGCCACTGCTGGAGTCGAGCCCGAGTAGGAGCCCTTGTAAGTTCACTTGTGTTTGCTGATCCGCGTGTTTTGGCTTTTTTAACTTATATTCCAGTTTGCAAATATTGGTCTCATATTTGTCGGTGCCCTTGGGTGCCTAAAAGATACTGAACATGTGAGGAAAGAACTTGACCTGGCATCCGCCAATGTCACTGCGATTTGTCTCATATTTGGCTCAGTCGTTTCTATCTCGTGGACCATCATTTCTCAACCTTGTGTATCACAGGCTGTCTACGAGTTAGTATCGTGGATCATATGGACTCTTTTGTTTACTTTGTCTTCCCCTTACTATTGGGCTTACGGGGTTATTTCAGCCTTGTACCTTCTTTCGCTGATTATGAGCCTTGCACTCCCATGGCCGTCCTCGTCCAAGGACGCCAGGCATCCTCTTTCCAACAGTCGCTTTATTCCATCCCTAACGGTGTCATGGCTGGATCATCTTATCACTCTCGCTGCTTCGGGAACCTTGTCAAGCGACGATGCTTGGCCGATCGATTCAAGACTGTCTGTCAGGAGTGTCCTGGCTCGACGCGGGCTTCAGCCTGACCAGTTACGGCAAAGTCTATCAGCTGGATTGGTATGGGTCCTTCTGCGTGAATTTCGCTCCCCTATGTGCCTAAGTGCAATATTCGGTATCATCAACGTCGCAACGGCATTGGCTCAACCATTTCTTCTTCGGTCACTGCTGCAGAACAGAGACATGTTTTCGGTAGCTGGGTTGTTTGCAGCAACTGTCGCATCTGGAACGACAGAAGCTCACTTGAAGCTTCAACTAAGCAAAATTGGTGTACAGTTTCGTTCGGCCATGACTGCCTTGATTGCCGACAGATGCATTTCTAGCACCAATATTGATATTCATGCTCAGAAAGCCGATCCTACACTTCTCATCGAAGTTGACACCACTAAGGTCTATGAGCTAGTTGAGCAGTTCCATCTTCTCTGGATGATTCCACTACAGGCTGGCATCAGCATAGTGGCCTTGGTGCTTCTGCTTGGCTGGCAAAGTGTCTTTGCTGGATTTCTATCGCCGGCCATATTCTTGCCTCTCATCTCATATACAACATCCAGCATGTCTACCCACATGGCCCTTGTCATGCAAGCCAAGGATGCTACAGTGTCTCTCGTCACGCAGGTCCTCAAACAAGTCAAGCAAGTCAAGCTTAACTCTTTGGAGAATATCTTTGAGCGAAAGATTGCCGACAGGCGAGCGGAGGAGATGGAGAGAACGAAGGTCATAGCCCTCCTCAACGGCGTCATTGTCTTTCTGGTCTACAATCTTCCACCAGCACTGATTTCTATTGCATTTGGTGTAGCTGTGTTTCTAGGCCATTCCCTATCGAGCAACGTGGTTTTCCCAGCCCTCGCATTCTCCTCCAACATCACACGGGCAATCTCACTTCTTCCTCATCTGGTTATACTGTACCAGTCTGCACAGATTTCATTCGGGCGCATCAAGACCTTTTTGCTCATTGACCCGAGCCCAGAGAGGCTGGCTCCCTCTCCAACATCCTTATCCTCAACCTCAATCACTAATCCCAAGGGGAAACTCGTATTCTCAATGAGACACTGTGACATTTACCTCCCAACAGCACAAGGCGGGTTTCAGCCCATCATTCGAGACTGCAACATCGAGGCGACTTCCAATTGCCTTCTTGTCATATCTGGAAGCGTTGGGTGTGGCAAAACAACATTAATTCGTTCCATTATTGGAGACATAATGCCAACTCGTGGCCAATTCTCAGTTCATGGGAGAATTGCATACGCGCCCCAGAAGCCTTACCTCACGAGCGGTACAATCAGGGATAATATCCTCTTCGGCCTTCCATTCGATCCCTCTTACTACCAACGAGTCCTTGAAGCGGTGTCACTCAGCTCGGATTTGTCCAGGCTGCCCCAAGGTGACGAGACCCCCATGGGAGGTACAGGCGCGACTCTCTCAGGTGGACAGAAGAGTCGTGTTGGCCTTGCAAGAGCAATCTATGCACGAAGAGAAGTCATCGTTCTTGACGATCCTTTGGCTGCATTGGATGCTCAAGTGCAGTCGCACATTATTGCTCAGGTTCTTGGTCCTGACGGTATTCTCAAAGACTCATTACGCATTACGACAACATCGTCAGCAGCCCTCATGTCTATTGCCGACAAGCAATACAACATTTGCGATGGCACGGTAGCGCGCACTGCGTCACCTGCACACACTCAAACCACTCAAACCCTGAACGTGCTAGCTACACACCCCAAGGAAATACATGGGTCTCAGCGGCAGCCGCCATTGGTGGCTAACTATGGTTCTATCAAGTCCAACACCTCCATGCAAATTACTCCTTGCGATTCGGATATTGATCAAGAAAGCGCGCCTTTACTCCAGAAGGCACCTTTAAAGGTACAATGCCCGGATATGGGGTCGGACCCAGTCGCCTTGGGAACCTACCTGAGGTTCCTCAACCTAGCCAAGTACGGGGGCTGGCTGTGGGTCATGCTTACCGCTGCCTTGTCCAAGTTGTTTGATATCCTGGCCGTATACTATCTGAAACTATCGAGCGAGGATTTCGAGAGCCAAGGGCATTCTACAAAGCTTTTCTATTACTCTATATGTGCCCTTATCGGAGGCTCGCTGTCAATGCTATTTGTTCTTATTGCATTTTATGTCTGCATCATCCCAACATCGCTATCGATTCACGCCCAATTGACAAAGGGGGTCCTTGAGGCCAAGTTCTCTTTTTTCGATACGCACAGCCTTGGGCAGATCCTCAACCGCTTCACCAACGACATCAACAAGATTGATACATCGGTCAATGGCAGTTTTATCTCCCTATCTGCACTCTGTATCACAACCTCATCATCTCTTTTTGTCATGATCAGCGTGACTCCCTTGAGTCTCTTGTATCTCGTTCCCACAGCCGTTGTTTACTTCATGATTCAGTCGCATTACTTACATGCTTGCCGACAACTGCGTCGTTTGGACAACCTGGCTCGAGCTCCAGTCCTGAACCAAGCTGCTGAAATTAGACTGGGTGCGCAAGTGATAGTGACGTTTAATCAAGTGGACACCTTCAGAGAGCGCGTCAGGGACGTGATTGATGACCACATCCGAGTTTGGGCCCCTTACGTGATGTTGAATCCGTGGTTAACCCTCCGACTGCAGCTGCTTTCCAGGTAAGCTCAGCTTTTCATCAGAGAGCTCTTCTTTTGCTAAGAGTGATACAGCGTCCTCCAGCTTTTATCGGCTTCGCTTCTTCTCTGGCTCAATACTTCCTCAAGTACACTAGGCTTGGCCATGAACTTCCTCATTCAGATCACAAGTAACCTCAACAGTTTTGTACAGATGCGTGCCACATTAGAGGCAGACATCACCTCTGCTGAGAGAGTGTGGTCTTACGCTGCCAATGTTCCAGAGAGCCAGCCAACCGAAGAGCAACGGCCAGCGCCATCTTGGCCAGATATGCCAGTCATCAACTTCGAATCCTATTCGGCCTCGTACGCTCCTGGTGGCGTTCCTTGCCTGCGTGATCTGAGCTTTTCTATAGCCGCGGGCGAACACGTTGCTGTCGTCGGGCGTACAGGGGCTGGCAAATCCTCCCTCAGTCTAGCTCTGCTCCGTGCCCTAGAGCAGGGGGATTCTTACAATGGCCGCATCACTATCGATGGACTGGATATCTCGAAAGTATGCCTGGCAGACCTCCGTAATCGGATTACCTTCCTGCCACAAGAGCCTTTTGTATTTGCAGGCACAATTAGACATAACCTCGACTTCGCGGGAACTGAAACTGATGAGAGACTGCAGGAGGCATTGAGCGCATGTCAAATGAGCCGATTCTTCAACCTTGAACCTGCACAAAACCTTCTCGATTACCCAGTATCGGACTTAGGGTGAGTGGCATAGTCTTTGGTGAGTTTCATGAGATCAAGTATATAGTAACAGCCATTCGAAATCTAGGTCGAATCTCTCGAGTGGACAGATACAGCTCCTAGCTCTCTCCCGAGCTCTTGTGGCTAAGGGCAATAACATCCTCATTATGGATGAAGGTACATCTCCCTCTACACTGCAGGCCAATATGTCGGTTGTTTGTAAGATACTGATTCCTGTTCATAGCCACCGCTGCAATGGATAGTTTAACGACTGCAGTTATCCACGATGTTATACAGAAATTCTTTAAGGACTACACTGTAATTGCAATTACTCACAATATTAAATCAGCTGTAAGAAAACACGGGTTTGAAGCTCAAAAGGAATTAATATACTGATTGACTAAACCAGACTAAGTATGACAAGGTTCTTATACTTTGTGAGGGTAGGGTGGTAGGATATAATATGCCTGCCGTATTGCTGGAGGATACAGAGTCTATTTCGTCTACATTTATAGCTACGTCTTAGGTTCTCATTAGAAACAAAACGCAATGCCGTTGCTTTCTTTCCTTTATAGTTTGAATTTATAGCTTTAATTAGTTTTTCAATAACTTCGCAGCAGACCCAGAGGATATTTAAATCCCAATAAACAAGTTAGGCACAAGGAAAATTGGATAAGATGGCTTTTCGAGGGGACAGGTTGACCCGCTTCAGCATATCCAGAGATTTGTCCTCGTCGCCAGACACCTTCAGCTTCAGGACGACCAGTGATATTAATTAGAGAATTGGGATAGGAGAGATATGGTAGGATAAAAACTGTGTTCGTCTCCTAAGTAGTGGATGATGTAGCAAGCATAGGGGCAGAGCACAGACTTTCTATGCATGCACTTGTTGAGGACGACGACCCGAAGCTTTGCTTATTCTTCTGTCCAGTAATGGAGTCCGTGAGATCTGGTTGCATTGAGGTTAGCTCATCTGGACAACAAGCTTGAGAATTGCATAAACGGCTGTTTTCAGTTACACAACCTGAACGAAAGACTTCGTTCTTCAAATAGATCAAGAATCAATACGCCACATCTTGGTCAATATCAACATGCAAAATCTCTGTATACTCAATCTAAACCAACACTCTCCATACCCACTCACTTCAATAGCTCAACCTGCCCAGACAGAAGCGGCAAGCAGCTTCTCACCTATCACACCCTCCATCTTTATCTCAACAGCTCCCCTGCCTCGTCCCTCATCGGCGAAGAAATTGCTGGGGGTGTAACTGTGTTCTCCTCCCATGACGGTAAGCAAAGACTTGACATCAAACCCACGTCCGGCAGCCTACGGTTCATCATTCAATATGAAGGCATCCAGCGTGAAGGTGCCGAAGTGGTTTCAAGTGTGAAGTACGCCGTGCGCAGGGGCAATCTCTACGACTGGGTTGGCGATTCTACACCTGAGGGGGCATTTGTAAAAATGATTGCTGGCCATAAGTCTAAACTTAGTCTGGTGATATAAGTCGAACTTTAGGCTGCCAACACATTTTAAGGATGATTTAATACGACAAAAAGACGTTGTCTAATCGTTACATTAGGGTGAAGTCGCTCTCTGACTCAAGCTTTACCCTTTTCTTTATAAAAGCTATTTCCTTATCAATACAGTCACCTTGCCAGGCGGCGGAGCTCAATATCACTTCCTGAATCCGTGGCGTCAGTATGCCCATTAATCCTTAACCTTGCGGCAGCTTCCCTTTCTACCAAGTTTCTGTCTATCTTCGTAGACTTTGATACCCACAGACCCCATTTGTCGTGGATCACGCTTCTTATAACCCCCCGGCTAGTCGTAAAAAAGATCAAAGCGTTCCAGAGACCTTGCAGCGGCATAACGGCCGCTATGGCAACTTGGTATGAGTATGGAACATCACGGTTAAGTAGACTATGAATACGTGTGATGCTCGCTGGTACCCACGTCACAAGGACGCTTAGCGTAAACATGAAGGTTGTGAGGAGGTATGCCCGTTTAATAGGGTCTTTGAGCCAAAACTTGGACTTGGTGCTGCCAGTGGCCGATGATGAAGATTGTTGCTTTTGGTTAGAAGGAATTGGCTCCACATTCGTGGCATTGGGTGCTAATTTCTGAGCATCAGACACGGCAGTAACGGATGTATGTTCGGATACTTGGACATTAGCGTCGGCATTTGTTTCTGTTGCCTTTTGTTGGTTAGCTGAACAGTATTGCCATTTTAGAGAAGATGATACCGTACTGTTTGGTGATCGGCTACTGTGCTCTCAATGCGCGAGTTTAAGATACCTCGAGCTTCATTTCTTGCGCGAAACAGACGAAAGCCAACCACTGTATTCAAAATGATTGATGTGGCGATGCAGATCCATACAAAGATGTATGAAGTGAAGAGTCGTATGCTAACCCAAGATTCTCGAATCCAACACCAAGTCTGGCCTGACGTCAGTTGTTATCGTTAGAACTTAGGCTGATTCGTGGCTTACAGTTGTCGCTCCGTAGACGGGACCGCGGGCTGGAGTGGCGATGAAAAACAGGGTAAATCCCGAGATGAATGGCCCTCCAAAGCATATCAGAGAATACAGCCACTTATTAAACGTATGCGGATTCGACTGAAAGAAAACGATCCTGAAGGTATTCACCGACATGCCGAGAGACCACCACGCATCAGACTGCATGAAACTACATCTGAGGTTAGTACATGCGCTGAGTAGCTACCAAGACACCAGGGCATTACTTGCACATGCACCAGGAAGCTTTGCGCCCTGCAAAGTGCCGAATCCTCGCCACGAGCCAATCCATCGCGTGAAATAACGGTCCCGATGCTGGCGCCCAGATTCGCGATGCTAGCAAAGACGATGAAGGTATTTCGAGGATTGCGCAGCCTCGGGATGCTTCCGTACGTCACGAAAATCAACAGTACGGACACGAGGCTAATTGAAGAAAAGACCCTCTCCAGCAGCGCCAGCCGTTCTAGCTGAGATTCGGCAAACATCTCGGTCGCTCGTGTGATTGACTGGCATTTGGGCAGTGGTGATGTTGGGAGCCGGCCCACCGCAGTGGTAAGCGGAGAAGTTTGAAAGCTGGGGAAAATGGGGCTGTCCAGGTTTCAGTATGTCAACGGTGCATGCTGGTGGCTTGAAAATTTGCCTGGCATGGTCGGAAGCCGAAAGATCGGCGGTCTGGCAAGATAGCTCCAACGCTATCTATTGGCTCCGCGTGAAGCCACATTGGTATTCCGCCAGTGCTGACAAGGCTAGACTGCTTGTTATCTAACCTCATTAGGCATGTCGCATTCTCTTCCTTCACCCAGCTTGCCGTGATACAGTATGCATGAGTAAAACCTGCACGCAGTTTGATAGCTGTTTCTATTGAGTGTAGGCTTGGAAGTTAAATCCTTCGTGAAAGGTGTAGTGTAGGTATATTTACTATATTGGCTGCCGGCGTAATTATACAGCAAGGACTCCACAGGCTTCATAGTATAGAAAGTAGGCTGGCATTTTAACGTTTGCAACTGAAGTACCAACATTAATACTCGTGAGTTTCAGAAAATGTTTCATACGCTGATGGGAGAGGCACATCCAACTGTCGCGCTCGATCTGGACCATACACATCTGCCTTCTGATATTTCACGAGAACGGTTAGTTCAGCACATATCCAATCGAGATTCGCATAACTGACCTTATCTGGCTTAGCATCTGGCGTCGGCATAAAGACAGCCTTGCCGTCATTTCCAAAGTACGCAAGGTCCTGGCGTGCTGTCAGATCCCGTCAAGTAGAATTGAGCGAAGAGTGAGTTCTTTACCTTATCAAAAGCCAACTGGTTCTTCTTGGCAAACGTGATCCAATTTTCACTAAAGGGAGCACGGGTTACTTCAAGACAACGGAAGTGCCAGATCTTCCACTGGCCATCCTGCTTTAGAAAGTCCAAAGCATAGTGGCACCAGACCCAGTGAGTCCAGACTCGTTTGTCGTCGACATTCTTATCTTCAGGCTCGTAGAGAAACTCTGGCATGGCTCCCACGTTCTTCGGGTCAGCTAAGCCACTTTCAACTCCAGCCATCAACCAAAATCCTTTTGCAGTTTCACCGTCACCTGCAACTTCAATCAGTGGGGTGGTGGTTTCGTGTAGGATCAGTTTTCCGGGAGGTGAGGGTCGACCGCTATGGTAGGCCATGATGCTGTCATAGTCTGTGTACACTCCGACGTTGGTGTATTGTGCGTGTATACCTGGGGTGCCACGCTTCACCCACAAAGCTTTAATCTGTTCGTCCTGGAATACATTGTGGAGATGCATATACTTGCTGAACACGTTCTCAACCTCTCCTCGATCGTAGGCCTGATAAGATTAATGAGCGGATTTGAAGAGTATTCTCATATTCCTTACTCGTTGTGCTAGCTTCTCTACCGTTGCAAGTCTCGCCTCAACGGTGGAACTAGAATTATATGAAGCCATTTTATAACTCTTCTGGAAAGGTCTTAGTGGTTTAAAAAGAGCTCTAAATTAATAATAATTATTATCATTGCAGTGACAATGAGAGATGTCGTGACATTGACTTAATATAGCTATCTCCGTAAGCCTATTAGGCACTTTACTCCTTCCCGAGCCGAGAGGCCAAGTCAGACAAACACTTGAGCGTCGTAAACCGAGCATCGTAAACTGACCTTAAACGGTTTAAAGTAACCTCAGATCATGCACATCTTATATTAAAAGCCACAATGGATCATCATACCCCGCGATTTAATGATTGCAGTAGTTCGGTTGTTTTGTCGGCTCCACTTTCCCGGCCCGTTGCTCGGTTCGGCTCCGTTGTTTGACAGCCGTTTAAATAAACAGGACCTGACGTTTACAGATTCAACAAGCCAGTAGCCTTCATGAGAACTTGAGCTGGGAAAATTTGACTGAGAATTGTACTTCCCCGCATTTGAGCATCGGGTTGTCCACATACCCCCCATATCACTCTACGTCTGTCTTACATATATACTGCGTACTCTCCAGATGACAGGCCAACGGCACTTAGGTTACTCGGCAATCTGTCTCTAGAGATATATATCTCCTATATTCGCCAAACACTTCTGTAATACTGCTGATCGAGTAACGTGATGGCTGCTAAGAACGAATACTCAGAGCACACGGAAGAACCTGATAAAAGGTCCAATGCACCGTCGGGTCACGCAGAAGGGAATGCACTTCTTGTTGATGCTCATGGCAATATCAGACGGCTTCCAGTTCCTTCAAACAACCCAAATGACCCACTTAATTGGAAACCCTGGCAGAAATGGGCGGTGATTGGGACCTGTTGCTGGTTCTGTAAGCAAAGCGATACCGCTTTTTAAATATCCCAAGGCCTAGACTAACATTTACAATAGCCGTTATGGGCTTGGCATTGGCTGGCGGCCTGGGAGCAATTTTGTCGGTCTTCTTCCAGCTCTACGGACCACAAGGATATGGCCCATCTGACGTCGCATTTCTCCTGACTCTGCCATCTCTTTGTATTGGTCTAGGTAAGCTCATTCGGCTTCTTGTGTATACAAAACAAAAAGTAGTAACATGAAACAGGCAATTTTATCATCCTTCCAGTAGCACTGGCATACGGCCGACGACCCGTCTTCCTCATCTCGACTATTATCCTTCTCGCCGCAACAATAGGCTCAGCGGCACAGAACAGCTACAATGGCCATCTCGCAAGCCGTGTCATGCAAGGCCTTGCCACCGGTGCTTCTGAGTCTCTGCTACCCCTGATGCTCACAGAAGTCACTTTTCTTCATGAGCGTGGGCGTATTTTTGGCTTGTACTGGACTGTCCAGAATGTCCTTAGCAGCTTGATGAACCTAACCAGCAGTTATGAAACTGCAGCTCTTGGCTGGCGATGGTACTACTGGGTATTCGCTATACTTGTAGGCGCCGGCCTGGTCCTAGCCTGTCTTTTCGGGTTCGAAACTCGATTCCAGAGACCAGTTGTCAGTCTCGATGGAAGGGCTGTCATGACAGATGACTTTGGGGTCACTCATGTTGTTCCGGACAGCGAGGCTCAGGAGTATCTCGAGCGCCACGGAATCGAAGACCGGCGAGGAGAAGACGCCGAAGTGCCTCTGAAGAGTTATTCTCAGCTCCTGAAGCCATGGGGTAGTTCTCATAAAACACCCGGAAAGGTCATGTTACTGTCATTGCTGCGTATGGCACAGAGCATGACTTCTCCAGCTATCCTCTTCACTGTTCTTGCAAGCTCTATCACTCTCGCTTGCGTGGTAGATGTTTCACTTACCTATGATGCCGTCCTTCAGCAATATGGATGGAATCCTAAAGATATTGGACTCATCAATCTTGGTGGTATCATCGGTGGCTTGCTAGGTGCTGCTTACTGTACCTTACTGGGTGAACCTTTCATTATATGGATGGCCAAACGGAATCACGGTATCCACAAGCCTGAGCACAGACTAATCATCTTGATACCTGTGGCTATACTCGGTTTCTCAATGCTTATTCTCTATGGGTTCATGGCAACAGCAGCATTTGAAGGTGGCGGTTCGTATTGGGGTATTCTGATTAGTTGGACGCTCTTCCAAGTGACATTTACCAGCGTCCTCATTGTCACAACCACATTCGCTGCTGAAGCTAGTCCTAAGCACGCGGGACCCGCTCTTGTTATGGTTATTGGAACCAAGAACATTGTGTCATTTGGTGTTGCATACGGACTAACAGACATGGTGCAACACGGAGGTTACACATGGACATTTGGGGTGCTGGCTGGCATCTTTGGGGCTATTTTTATCCTTGGTATTCCTATCTACATGCTTAACCCGAAATGGAGGAGATATGTTACAAGGGCTGAGGAGAAAAAAGGTATCACTACTACAGACTAAAGTTGAATATTGTACTTCTTACTGCCTAATTAGGTACTAAGCAACGCCCCTTTTAGTGGCTTTAGCCGCCAGCAACCTACTCATGTCAGCACCGCCAAGACTCCAGTCAAGATGAAATAGAAGATCGCAGTAGAATAACGCGAGGGGTGGGCTACATTCAGTATTTGAAAAAAGGTTGCTTAGATGTTCCTTATGTATAAGTCCTCTTTGTCAAGCCAAAGTTACAATGCGTATACTTTGAACTAGATTAAATGCCCTTTGCATGTTGCGTAATGACTCTGTCCATACGCGATATCGAAAGAGAAAATCGTAAATACGTGAGGATCGCACAGACTGCATAGTGACGGACATAATCCCGTTTGTAATGCATACTTCCACTATTGGCCATTCTTTGAGACTCTGAGATATTGATCATTCCTCCTCATTAGCTTCGTTAAGTAAATCCCAGTCAATGTGAGGGCCATTGAATTTGGATCGCCGCTCGATCCAAAGAAGGCAAACGATTGTGAAGAGACCAACAATGACGGGGGCGTTACTTCAAGTTGGAGATTAGCTGTGAGCTTGAAAGGACGAAGTTTTACAAAGGGACTACTTACTAGTTCATAGAGCCGGCAGTCGTCGGATTAGTCTGCGGAAGACAGAACACAACACCAATGACAATCATAAATACAACTGAGTATAGGTTGACCGCATAGCCAAGTTTACCAAGGTTGAATACACGCCTTGGCAACTTATCGCGACCTTGCGTAAGCAAGACGCCCTGAGGGATAACATATGAAAGGTTTAGCATCAAGCACGTTGCATTGATAATTGAGTTGAAGGCTGTTGTGCTTGCGACGTAGATCAACCCATATACAGCACAGAACGCAGCCGAAAGAAGAGTTGTTCTCCAAGGGATGCCACGCTTGGGGTCAATGTGCTGCCAGTATTCAGCGAAGGGAAGTCCTTGCTGCAGACACATGTCAGCTGACAAATTGGTATATGCGATTTCTTACTTACATCACGAGCAAAGGCCCAGGTAATGCGGCTGCAGGTCACCCACTGGCTTGGAATACACGCTAAGAACTCGGTCAGAAAGCTCGCTTAATAACATTGTAGAGAACTTACTATAGTAAAGGAACGTCAGGTAAGCTTGTAGGCCTGTTGCGGCAGCCTTGCTTCCAGTCGCCTGGTAAAAGACTTCGAAGCTGGGGAGAAAAGAGCTCTGGACGGCCTGCATATCCTTAATGGAAAATAGCATAGCAACAGTCCACGGGATAACGATGACGACACCCATGGCCATACTCATACTCCTGCAATCTAATTAGCATCCTATCACGACTTCAAGTCTTGATCCACGAACAGAATTTGAGGAAGCTTGCGGCCCGGATTAGGCAGCTCCTCGGCGATATGTGTAACAGCACCATTGGCAGCGAAGCAATATAGCGCAGCAGCAATGGAAAGTAACCAGCCTGTGCCAGCATTCCAGCCGCTGATACCGCGGTTCTCGAGAATAATTGTACCCGGGGCGTAATCGCCATCAGCCATACCTAAACATACTGAGATGGTAAGTACCATTCCAATGAGAGAGAAGCCTGTCGTCGATTCGGTCATGAAGTCGAGGTATCGCTGCTTGATCGTATAGATTGGGATAACTATGAAGAGTGGATAGGTTAGTGGAGGACTTGTTAACTTCCATCTCTGGACCTTACGTGACAGGACAGTGATGCCCAGGTAGCAGAGATAAACCTGATATCGCTGCTGTGCGAAATCGGGGAACCAGGCCGCAGCACAACCAAAGGCAGAGATGGCTGTATATATGAGACCGGAGCATGTGGTGATCCACCACGCAAGGATATTAATGGACCCTGTGACATAGGCACCAAAATTGCGGGTTTTTGGCGACGCGATGATATATGTAAAGTGGTATTGTCCACCAGATGATGGAAACGCAGAGCATAGTTCGGCCAAACCAAGGAAGACGATCCACTGAGCTGCAGCGGCGATAAGTAGGGCAAATAAAGTAGTGACGCCGCCTCCATAGATGAGCACAAGGCCGAAGGACGATGCATACGTGAGCCATGAGTTGGAGATACTATTATATGAAGAAAGAGAGGGAAAGTTAATAAGATATGATTGTGAGATGGGTTAAAAAGCCAACCTGTATGCTAAAGCGAGTGCACCTAGCCAGGAGAAAGATCTCTCAAGTTCGGCTTTGTGTCCCTGGGCACGAAGACGTCTGTCGTCGGCGTCGATGATGGACCCCTTGCCAATCGAGGGGGCACGGTTGGTAATCTCGGCTTGACCAAGATCTTCTGAGGACTTCTTATCCATGGTGTAGTTGTAAGTGTTGAATAGTTAATAAGAGTTGTGAAGATTGATTGGGCGACACAGGGGGATGTTAATTTATATAACAATATGGATGGCTGAAGAAAGCCTGTGCAGACACCTGAGGAGACACTGCAAAGCCATGTAACCTCACTATCAAGGTGCGGTTCCGGGGCAGCCGCTGTCGGGTGAAGCTACTGTGTGTTGGTCTGGCCCCCGTTTTGTCGCGATGCTGATATCAAGCTGAATCGGGAAACTTCTCCAAGCCTCCCTGTTGGTAAAGCTCCAATTCCCCGCCTTCTTACCCCAGATTGCTATCAAGATCGTATTTAGGCGACGCCAAGGCCTTGGTGTTATCTATCTCAACCGCACAAAGGGTCCAGAACGGTAATACAATTTGCGAGACCGCCGCGATACCGGGCAAATGGAGGTATCACCAGGAAGACGCAATAGGATATTACAATGGTAGTCCACGGCGACAATCTGCGGGGAAATAAGTGCTAAATTGGGACTAGTAGTATGGAGATATGCAGCTGTATTAAGCATTATGTTGGTTAGTAAGTGGAAAGCATCTTGAAAACCTTTCTCTTATCCTGGGTGTATGCCTACCATGATTGTGAACCTGCAATTGCTGCAATGAAAGGCTGATGTTCCTTTCGCGCATGAGATATAGCAACACTGATATGTTACACCACTCGCTTGAGTCACCATCTCTTCGTGGCTTTAGATTTTCGTTCTGGGTTTATTCTCATTGCTTGGCAGACTGGTCCTTGACTATTACGTGAACACATTTGTCGAGAGCAAAGCCTTGGCCTGCCGCGTGCCACACTATCAGGCGACATCCACATCATGTCAAAGGCCATTCCAAAGCCGATGAGCAAGGGAATTGGCATTCTAGTTAGACCAAGAGACAAGGTTCACAAGGCTTACGTGTCTTTTAGTCCTGTCTACTACTAGCAACATCCTTAACACGATGTTGTTGTCTACGAGACCACGGCTGAGATTCTCCTTAAGATGATGGAGTACTCGGAAGAGCTTGGCCGGGATGAGGAATTTATATATTTTAACTTCTCTGTACCCAAGTAGATCATTGATTCCACTTCTGTGCCTGCTTTATAGCTATTACTTCCTATCATGGTTAGTATAATTGCAATTACCCAAATTGGACTAGCGTCTTGCATTGCATCTTGATGTATATATCTACCTTCCATGCTTAACTATTTTCCACCGCGTCAGCAGAGAGTTATGCTGCATATGCTATGGACGATTTTCCCAAGGCTTATGCAATGTGCGACGCTCGTCCTGAGCCGTTGTTTTGACATTGTTCCTATTTGGGACATTAGTGCTTGAGCGAACCGTCCAGTAGTAGGAGCCGACCCAGAGCCTCTGAGTTCTGCGTGGTGAGTAAAAGCTCTCAACCACAGGTCTCAACTGCAAATGATACATCTAGTTCACTTTCTAAACTTCAATAAGTATGCTTGTCATATACTGGGAATTCTTCTAGTACTAGTTATGTACATTTTCTAAACCGTCCACACCATTTTGGTCTCCCTTATTGAGATAACCAGCCACTACACCTTGAGGGTCCCATTTCTTCCTGATGTTCATGAGTCTCTTGCCTTGGTCCTGCCCCCAGAACACGGTCAAGCGCTTTTGAAAATCGGCGTCTCCAAGATAAGATCCTTCTGAGTCCCGCTTGATCTTATCAAAGACATGTGTAAGCCAAGATTGACATTTGAGGTCGTCGGCCTGATCTTCCCAGATGACATAGGCAGCATAGTAATGATCGGTCTGCATCGAGAGCGCCATATCTTCAAGGGTGTCATCCTCGATACTGCGTCGAGAGCCGGGAGCCATCGCGTACCAAAGGGTAAAAGACTTTTTTGTGGGGAGCGATGTGAAGGACTCCTTTAGGACAGAAACCACGTCGGCATCATTTCGGATATAAGAGTTGTCAACTGCATATCGGTGACCCTCAGGGTTGGCAGAATGCTGATCATCGTACTGCTCCGCTAGTGAAGTTGTCTTGCAAAACCACGAATCTACGTGACCTGGTGGTGCTGAGTCTTGAGCCGGCTGCAGCGCGGACCGGGCTTCTTCGTCACTATTTTTAAAAGTGACGAAGGAGATTAATATATGCTCTCCTTCCCGGCCTGGTAAATGTTGTCCAACTGCAACAATCTCAGTGCCCTCGTCGAAAGTAGGAGCAAGCTATGGATTGCCTTAGCGGAGTGATCACTAGGTAGGAGGACAAGCTCGGAACGGGGCATAGCAAACCTTTAAAACCCAAGAAAAGGCCGCTTCATAATCTTTCTTCTCGTATATGTAGACCGATGATCGCATGTGGTTGAAGACAGGAATTGTTTGGAGATAGAATCTCGTAACGACAGCCGGGAATCCTATGCCATGTGGTAGAAAAGCATGAGAAATATGTTGATGTCTCAGTGAGCAAAAGGCTTACCTGGGCCTGATCCACGTGCCGCCCAATATAATTCCGTGTTGGTGGTTTTATCACAGTGTCGCTTCTCCCCATCGGCCGTCACCACGTCAAGAGCCATCAACCTTTCGCAGGCAAAGCCCCAGTTCTTTAAAGATATTGTCAGTCAGGATACTATTTCATTTCCCTCAGCCACTTTACCTTGCAATTCCACCCCATGCCTCCTTGCAGAAGAAATCCTCCAAGAGCAACCTCTGGGCAATGGCCACCGGGGAACATGCGGCCACGTAAGCCCAGCAGCTTGTTGACCATCCTACCAGTCATGCTAGGTGATGCTTGTAGCACTCCGGTACTGTCGTCTAGAAGAAATTCGTGATACTTGCCCAGGTCGATAAGAACGGCACCCTCTCGCACACTCCAGGCTGCCCAACTATGGCCACCAGACCGCACTGAGACCCGGGCACCCAGAGTGCGTGCGAGCCGAACAGCCTCTACGATGTGATCCTCCCTGGTGGCTTCGACGACGGCAAGAGGCTGACTGGATGGTCGGCGGTGGTTGAAGACGCGGCCCACCCTGGCCCTTTCCCAACTTACATCGCCTCGCCAGATGATGGGAAATGAAGGAGGCAGTTGAGATTTTGCCTGCGCAAGAGCATCGATTTGCGTCATGGTTGTTGGTTGGGTGGATTGGAGTTTGGCAGGGACGGTAGTCGGATTAATATGGATGCGCTCTACTGTACGAATAGTCGTCTTTCTTACGCGCCTTATACGATCAGAATGTAACTAGTGAGTAAGTAGTCTAAATGCTTGCAGAGCCGAGGCCGCTCCATCCGAGTATGATCGGCTGGCTGTGGGGGCTCGGACATGCTTCCGATCATACTGGGACCACATTCCGAGAGGAGGTAAGAGTTGTCTTAAGATTGACTAAGGGCCCCCCTCAGCCGATCGGAGGTGCTCAAAAAAGCAGAGGGGGTGCCTGTAATTTCTGAACTCAAACTCAATCGTCAGGGGACCAAGCAGCTGAGCGAGCTAGTCATCAAAACCCATTAAATTTCCAAGTCTTGCCAACCACAATTCTTGAATTCATTGCTTCAAGTCACACCACAAGCCAGGAAAAGCAGCCCGGCCATGTCGACACAAGAGCCCCTTGCTGGCAAAGTAGCCATTGTCTCAGGCAGCGACAGCGGCATAGGTTTTGCCATTGCCCATGAGCTTGCGTCTCGTGGAGCACATGTCGCCATCAATTACCCATTCTCTTCTCTAGCAGACAGTGCCAACAATAAGGCAGCGTCTCTGCCCACCAGATGCATCGCCGTTTGCGCCGACATGGGTACAACTCAAGGCCCCAAGAGGCTGGTCGAGGCAACCATCCGAGAATTTGGCCGATTAGACATAGTCGTCAACAATGTGGCGCTAGCAGTTAATAAACCTCTTGAGGAGCAGACCTTGGATGACTGGGATCTGTTGGTCAATGTTAATGGGCGAAGCACCTTCCTTCTGACCCAGAGTAGCCTTACGCACCTAACGCGAGGAAGTGGGCGAATAGTCAACATCTGTTCCGCTAGCTCACGAGGTTCTCCTCCCTTACAGACCATCTATGCCGGGACCAAGGGCATGGTGGATTCCTTCACTAAATGCTGGGCTAAGGAACTTCCTCCGAAGTACGGGTGCACGGTAAATGCGGTGTCTCCAGGTCCTACCAAGACCGAGGGCTTTCTGGCTGCTGGCGAGGAAGCCATGCGTATCTTGCAGCCTGCAATCGATGCTACACCTGCGGGAAAGCGGATGGGTACACCGGAAGAGATTGCATTTGCTGTGGGGTTTCTATGTGATGAGCGGGCAAGCTGGGTCAACGGTGTACATTTGGCTGTGAACGGAGGACTTCACATCGATTAGTTGTTACTACCCCCCGTCGGAAGATTTTAATTAGAAACCCTTGGCGACAGTCAGAAAGATGGACTGTCCATGTCAAACTATAGACTGTATACATAACGAGCATCCTTTTAACTAGTTCATGTAGTACTAGGATACTTTACGACTATGTTAAAGCATATCAAAGTCATAAAATATAAAGACAGTATCTGTGCCAAGAGGATAGATTTAAGCCCTTTGAGATATGTTTATATATCACTGGAAGTCTTATTTTCTTATTATTGTCACCAGTTTAATATTCACGTTTCGGTGCTGCAGTGAAGTACACCTTAAGTGATTCTTCCCTGCAAATAGCCCTTTCTTTCATCTTAATAGAATAGCTATCTCCGTGCTCAAGCCCAAGCATACCAACGTAGCGGGAAACATGTCTGCCCTTGTCCATCTGGCGTTATATTAGGCTATTGTGGCTTCGTCTTAATATTACCGAAGCTCCTGACCACAAGCCGACCAGAGGCGGTCTTGCCCCCCTCAATTCCCCAACCCCTCTTTCTCGGCCCCTCATGCCCCATGGTCTGGGGACAGACGCGTGAACGCGCAGGTGGGGACCACAACGGCGGAACTCTTAACCTAGAGGTTGGTATCTGAGCGGACTACACCCAGTTAATGCCTGCCTTCAAGTCGCCTTAAATAAGGCTTGAGTTAAGGCCCTCGATAGCAAGCTTGTCTAGGAAGCAAATTTGAGGAAGAGTGCAACATAAACGACAGAGATAGAGACCAGTATTCCACATATATTGCCGTTTCAGACAATTCAATCTCCTGGGTTGTAGCTGATAGAAGTTTGTACTGTTGCCCTGTCTTCGACGCGATCTATTAACAACGCCTATAAAGGGTCCCGACCGACCACTAATGGCTTTAATGCTGTCGTGGTGTCTTGTGGGCTCCACGTTGTTGTTATTGGAGCTGGAATAGGCGGTCTTATAACTACTGTCTGCATTTGCAAGTAGGGATATTGTGTAATGCATGAATGTCTGTAGTCTCAAGCTTCAACAGTAGCAGATTACATGTTTATTACCATACTTAATGTATCTCTTGTTGATATGCTGCTACTGTACTATATAGCTGAGTTTATCAGCGATGATGACATACTGCAGATTGATCCATTCTTTCGATACCACTAAAACTATGACATTTTTATATTGAGAGCTGACAGTCCCTTGCTTAGTCTATTCTTCGGGCACTGGATACGTCTGGAACGCCAACACCCTCAACAACCTTTCCACCCAGAATCTCATACACGGGGACTTCTGCCAACCTCGAGACGACGTGGTGGAGCGTCGGCAAGGCTTCCCAATCGTGAGGATCAAACTCAAAGCTGGCTTTGTCTGTAGTGAAGACCCTCAGAACTTGACTTGGAACGACCTTGGACTCCTCTGAATGAGGCACAAAGGTAGCATGCTCCACATCTGCTTTGCCACGATCTCCCACCTTAGGGATGTACTTGTAGGCAAAGATTCCCTCGTCATCCTCGCCTCCGATCGTCCCCTTGGAGCTGCCACTATCCGTCTCGTGGAGACCCTCAAGTGTGAATGAGCCAAAATTGACGCCTTGCCAGCCTGTCTGGATTCGGTAACTGTTTGTCCGCCTCCAGACGTCGATGGAGCAATACAGCTTTGGCATTCCGAGCTCTTCCCGGCCACTGACAATAGGATCGGTAAGATTCTCCCACAAGATAGGCAGGAATGTTCCATCACGAACGGTACCGTCTTTCTGTACATACTGGACGCCGTGGATGTACAGCCCAATGTGTCTATACCCAGAGCCGCCCAGCCACTCCATTTTATTGAGCGTGGTCTGTGAGAAGCTAGCATATGCGACTGTTCCGGGGCTCTTGAATCGGAAAGAAGTAGAAGGGAAAAGATTCTGTAAAAGAGTTCGTGAGGTCTTGAACTTGATGGAGGCTGTTGTGAATGTCGAGTCGGTAGCATTCCTAGCTTCGCCTGTGAAGGCTTGGCGTGGACCGGGGAAGGGCCCAAACGAGATGGGCATTCTCCAATAGAGATGAGGCTTCCGAGCCCAGTCCCAGTTCCTGAAACGATTGGTAGAATGGTCCCATTCATCATGGCCGAAGTTGAAGTTGCTATACGCCATCACTAAGTAGAAACGACTGTTAGTCGTGGGGTGCAAGTGTGGGGCTACAAGGTGTACTGACTGTCAAAGTCCTTATCCGGTTTATCCTTTCCTGCCTGGCGTGAGAACTCTTGGATCCGGTTTGCCCGGTCATAACGAAAGTCTTGGTAAAGACGCAACCGCTGAGGCACCTCTTCCGGGGAGGTACCGAGTGGGAGGACGACTGCGAGGGAGGCCGCGTCTTCAATGGCAACACCAGCACCCTGTCCCTGGTCTGAAGAAACACGATGTCAGTACTACCTTATCGAAAGTGACATACTCTGAGTGAGGTGATCGGCATATACTGACGAGGAAGAAAGGGATGAGCGGCATCACCAAGAAGAGTCAGTCTTTTGTCAGTCCACGTTGGGAGAACATCCATATCTAGCAGCTCCCATGCCTTGAGGGACTCGGGGCTGGCTTTGCTCAAGAGTTTCAACAAAGCAGGATCAAAATCCTTGTATACGTTCAACAACACCGACATGCTCGTGTCGTTGTTCCAGTCTTGCCAGTATTCGTCAGCAATCTTTACGAGGTCAACATTCTAGCGACAACATACCTTCTTTACTCCCAGGGTCGCTCTCTTCTCGCGGATGAATGCAGACAAAGTTGAACATCTTATTGTCATCGCATGGATACATGACGATACGTCTGTCCGCAGCATACCATATGATGAGCTGGCCGTCATGCTGTGCAAAATGTGCGGTTTCTGGGTCGTCGAGAGCATCTTGACGGGGGACGAGGAACCGGAAAGCACTCTTGCCTGAACTGTACGCTTGCCAGTCTTTTCCAACGATTTTCTGTCGGGAACGAGACTGTCACGAATGCTTGTCAGTACAAGGTCTAGCAAGTGATGCAAGATCGAAGGCTGAAAGTATCGTTACTTACATGGACTCCATCAGCGCCAATGACCAAGTCTCCCTGGACTTTACCGCCATCTTGCAAGAAGACGGTGGCTGTTTCTGTGTCTACATCTACCACGCGGCTGGACGTTCTGAGCACCGCGGGGATACCAGGTCCCTCTGGTGATGTTGCAAGTCGTTTGAGCTCTTGATGCAGCCGTACGCGATGGACCAAATGCCACGGATGCTGCCAGATCTTGTTCGCTTCCGTGAGCTCGGCATCACGTATCACTTCATTGGCCGCATTAAACTCTTTAATCTGCCGTCATGCCGTACACGATCAGTATCTGGCATCAAGAGGTACATTGAGCTTGGAGGTACATACCCGTTCAAACACATTTGCGCCTATGGTCTCGGCAAAGATACCAAGTCGGCGAAGGATCCCATTGGCGTTAGGTGCCAGGTGCATTGCCGCTCCAACCTCGTTGGCAAAGCGAGACTGCTCCAGTAACGTAACTCGATGGCCCTGCCTGCGAAGGAAGATGGCAGCCGTGAGACCACCTATGCCGGCCCCGATAACGACGATGTTGAGCCCATCGGACTTGGCAGCGGCAGTGTGGCCATTGGTGACTGCATGAGAGACGCCGTTGGATTTCATGATGTGATCCATGATGGCACGGCCAGAAATCTTAGTCAACAAAAGTAACGATGGTTGCGGAATGCTGACCTTCCTTTTTCTTCTTCTTTTTCTTCTTCTTCTTCTTCTTTTCTAGCTGATTCCCAATAGTTTATGCTTATACAGCGTTGGCTTCCCGTCTTATCTAAAGGTGCTGCAACGGATGACGCACCTGGGTTCTTTCAACCTGAACCTCGGCCTTTCGGGCATAATCATGATTACGGTCCCGATTCACGACTTCCATGTGCCGTTTTCTCATATCGACGACTACAGGAGGGGCCGAAGACGATTGAGGGGTCAAGACCACATCGGATCGGCTTGTGGTCGACACCAAACCACTTTAAGCTAATGTGGCAGGGGACTGTCGCCACCAAGCACTATTCTGTCCTCTAGCCTGTTTGGACAAGGAAATGCAGTGCCGTCTATTCTGCAACCCAGCAGAGTCACATACCCTTGCACTTTGTGGGGTTTCCTAGGGAGCATTGGAAAGAAACTCTTCCCATCTGCCTCACTACATGAAACCCCGTGGGGAAGACACGCTAGCGGTGGGTGGAGCCGCCCCTCATCCGCGTTAGAGCGCGTCGCTAGCAGATTTTGTCCCCCTTTCCAAGCTAATCAACCATCAACACATTCAGTGCATGCTCACCAACGTGCATGTCTGTTAGGTTGCGCAGGCCGTATTTGAGGTTAAATACATTCCATTATGCCCTCTTCCACTCGTTGAGCTTTGGAAGGGCTCTTGGACATTTGCCAGCCGATCCTTTTTTTGCCTGAGGCTCGTGATTCGTCAGCATTTGCTGTTTATCAGACAACTCTTATCTCTTGTTCCCTTGTACATCAACACCATGTCTATTAATATTCCGAAGACCAGCGTGGGCACGTCTGGTGTCCGTAACGACATGCTGGGAGGTCTGCGCCTCCGCAATGAAGAGACCAACGAGGTGATACTCATACCATCCCCGACGAATGATCCCAATGATCCGCTGAACTGGTAAGCTCTCACCTGGCACATGTCCTCAGCCATGTGACGTATGCTAAGCACGATATAGGTCCAAGCCATACCGTTTCTACATCGCCATACTCGTCTCCTGCGCCATTTTCTTCAGCAACTTCCTGGCGGCTGGGCCTTCTGTCGCCATCGTCAGTACCACCGAGTCCTTCTTTGGTCCACCTGGTTCCGATTTCGATGACAAAGTTGCCAAGATTGCCTATTTCTTCACCACCACTGCTCTTCTCCAGGGCATGGGAAACCTGATATGGATGCCTTTCGTCACAAAGTACGGCCGTCGACCTATCTATGTCGCGTCCTTCATACTCTACACAGCCTTCGCTGCTTGGGCTGGTGGTGCAACTACATACGGCAGTGCCTTGGCTGCACGCATCCTCATGGGCTTTGCGTCAGGTGTCGCTGAATGTCTGGCCCCCTTGACTATCTCGGACCTGTTCTTCTTGCACGAGAGAGGTGCCGTCATGGCGTGAGTGACCATGTTTAGATACCCAACTTGCCTCAGCTAAACACATGAATAGGATATATACCACGGCACTATCCTCTGGTGTAGGTGTTGGAATCATTGTTGCTGGACTCATTACCATCAACCTGAGCTGGCAGTATATCTACTGGGTTTCGGTGGCTTTGATTGGAGCGTGTACCATTCTGATCATCTTCACGTTCCCTGAGACTGTCTACAACCGCCAGGAAACTCCAGAAGCAACACATACACATATTGATTCCAATACCGCTCATACCCCGCATTGCAAAGATAAGAATAAGGATATTGAGAAGGTTCAGTCTGACGAAGCCTCGACATCTGGACACCTATCTTATTCTCCATCCCCAAAGCGCACGTTTTGGCAAGATTTGTCCCTGTACAGCGGTACACACACGAAAGAGCCCTTGCTCAAGCTATTCTTCCGGCCAATTGTTCTCCTCACCCTTCCTCCAGTACTTTGGGCTACCCTCGTCATGTCTGTTACGATTGGCTTCCTCGTTGCCATCAGTTCCAACTTTGCTGTAGCTTTTGACGATATTTATGACTTCGAGCCGTGGCAATCTGGCTTATGCTTCATTTCGTGTCCCATAGGAGCCGGTGTTGGAGCATTCTTTGGAGGTCACTTCAGTGACAAGGTGGCGGATCGACTGACTCGCAACAATGGTGGCATTCGAGAGCCGGAGATGCGACTGCCTGCTATTCTCATCTCGCTTGTGATGGCGCCGCTTTCCCTGGTCCTGTATGGCGTAGGCATCGACCGCAGTTGGCACTGGGTTGTACCTACCGTCGGCCTAGGTCTTTGTAAGTCTGCACAGAACCCTTTTACGCTGTTGAATGTGCTAACCGGAGCCGAAAGTGAACCTGGCAATCGTTCAAGCTACCAACATAAGCTTGGTCTACACCATTGACAGTTACCGTCCTGTTGCAGGAGAGTTAGCAGTCACGCAGCTAGCATTCAAGTGTAAGTCTACTGCCTCCGTGGCCCGATCAAGGAAGCTGACGAGATCTAGCTGCTTTTGGGTTTCTCCTCTCTTTCTACACTAATCCGTGGATTAATATGAGTGGATATGCTAATGCATTTGGTGCCATGGCTGGAATCTCGGGAGCGGTTATTTTGTGCTGGGTACCTATGTATATTTGGGGTCGAAGGATCCGCCATGCTACCTGGAACTGGGGCTACATCGAGAAATTTGTTCACTGGAATGTGGATCGTGAGGTGGGCGAGTAGATGTTATTCAGGAATCCAGAAGCGGAGTGTGAGCCTGGTATGATGAAGCATAATATTCGGTAGTAGTATCCAGTTAGGTGCGCTTTCAGAAATTGCAAGTTCCTGAGAATTATTCCCCGCCGATTAACCCGCGGCTCTGTGACGGCCCTAGCTTCGTCGCAGCTTACTTTAAGCATATCCCACGACCAATGTCGTGCCTACCCTGGGGCCAAAGAAAAGACGATCTGTGTATTAGCGTCTTTTCCCCGCGTCGCCCACATCCCGATAACCTCAAAATTCACCGCACTAGTCTCAACCCCCTCTAGCGTTATGGCGCAGGTCATGCTACCACCGACATAGAACAGCCCAGCAACATCACAACCATCCACTGTGACAATGATCATCTTGTCATTCCTACTCTGGCAGTCACAAGCGATATGAGCGCTCCAGCCGCGACAAAGAGACGCCTATCGTCTCCTCAACAAAACCCTTTCCAATGCTCCTATTGTCAACGCTCGTTCGGGCGCGTGGACCACCTCACCCGCCATATACGATCTCGTCAGTGGCAGCAGTATAACGGATACCCGTCTCTCAAAGTACTCACACTCGTTATAGATGCGCAAGATAAACCGTTTCGTTGTCACATTTGCGACAAAGCCTTTGGGCGCCAGTATGTAATCCCACTACCAAGTCGGCATTCACTCATCTTGTGACGTTGATTAGAGATATCCTCAAACGTCATGTGCTTGGACATAATAGCACCGAGTCCGGTGCTAAGCGATACAAGCGCATGTCGAATGCCGCACCCAGAGTTTCCCAGGCTTGTAAAGCTTGTGCGGGATCTAAACTCAAATGCGATGAGGATGCCTCCTGCAGACGCTGTGTGGCCAAAGGGATCACCTGCGAGCGAGATACTCGATTTACAGATACAGGAGACAAGACATCACCAGGTACTAACATCCAATCTACCATAGGTAAGGACACCACAGGATGCTTGGTTTGGAATTCGATTGTTAACCCAAGCAGATCAAGAACTGTCGATACCTGTCTTCGACCCCGGCCACCTGTGCTTATCAGAGGATGACTTCTCCAAGTTCCTAAAAGGTGTCATGACCCCCGTAGAGGGACAGGAGAGCCGGCCAATCGATCAAGCCGACCTGACCAGTATTCATAACATTTACAATCCGCTTCCGTCCCATGGCCTCTTGGACTTCCGGGTCGATGGTGATACGAGGTTCGACGATGTTGCCATGGACCTCTGGGACTTGCCCTGCAGTCCATCCTTTTACTACAACGGAATACTGCTGGAACCAAAAGCATCCGTGTCCGTCAACCTTGATATTCAACCGCCGAACTCAGCCAACAATGCTCGTCCAGCTGTGTTAGGCCATGTGGCATATAAGGAATCAGCACTCGGAATGTGGGAGCCTTCACAGAATGACCACCTCAACTCCAACATAAAGGCTCTGTCAGTTCTTGGCGACAGTCCCCAGGACGCCATCCAACTAAACAGCTTGGAGGCAAGTATTCAGCGGTTCAAACCACTCTCGGTTGGTCTGAGAGACCAATTGCTGCTGTTAACATTGAATGCTTGTAAGCCGGAAAGCAAGCTCGCCATCATCAGAGCATTTCCTCACTCCGAGATTCTGTCCAAGCTCATCGAGAGCTTCTTTTCTCACCATCGTGTTCAAACCGACTCGTGGATACATGGCCCTTCGTTCGAACCAAACCAACAGGGTGCAGAGCTTATTCTCACCATTGTCAACATGGGCACCATGTTTGCCGATTCTAAGATCTTGCATTCGCTTGGTTTTGCTCTCCATGAGGTGGCTCGTTTGTCGCTACCTATAATGTTTGAAAGTGCAAATTCCATGACTAGAATTCTCTGGGCTCTCCAAGCGTTTGTTCTGGATATTGAGATGGGGCTGTGGAGTGGCATTAAGAGGAAGATGGAAATTGCAGAAAGTCAGCGCCAGATGCCCTTCACAGTATGTCATTCCGTTCCTGTTAACTTGTCTCGAGTTTCATTTTATCATCGAGCTCCTGCTAATTCGATCACAGATGCTACGGCGTGGTAGAAGATTTAGCAAAGCCTATCCTGCCGCTGATCCTCCTTTGCCAGAAGACACAGGCGAAACCTTGCAGAATAAGTGGCTTGCCTGGATTGAGCAAGAAAATTACAACAGACTCATCTATCACTGCTTTGTTATAGATACTCAAGTCAGTATTGCTATGTCAACATGTCCCTTGATATCTTTCTCGGAGCTCAAGACGCCTTTGCCAGAGTCTAGCGATCTATGGCTTGCCAAAGATGCAGAAGCATGGAAAGCTATATACTTGAGTGAGCAGCGCCAACACACAAGGGTTACACTGTACGACTACTTCCGCAATGCTGCAGAGATTGACAGCAGCTATGATGTTTCGTTTTGTCAGCTTGTCATCCTCTCGGGTATCTGGGGGATGGTTTGGCAATGTTTACAAACCATTGCCGTGCTAGACAAGCCGAGACACTCGGACCCAGCATTGACTCTTCGGCAGCAAGAGATCCTCCAGATATTGAATCGATTTCGCGTCAACATGATGGGGGATGAGGCAAGCTGGCAGGATGGTCCAGTAACCATGATGTACCATCTCGTGTATATGCACTTACACATACCTTTTGAGGAGGTTGAGCTGTTTGCGGGCAAGGGACACCAGAGTGATGCCCGGCACGCTCTGTCTCTACTCTTAGACTGGACCAACAGCCCAGAGTCACGGAAAGCAATATGGTACGCCGGCCAGATTATAAGAGCAGCAGAGAAGTTCGACCCTGGTCGTCTCCGGGGCTTTTACACTATTGCGTTATATCAAGCGAACCTTGCCATTTGGGCCTATGCGGTGGTGTCACGGGTCAAGGGAACAAATAAGGATGGTTCCATTCACAAAAACGAGATGGTTTGTTTGAACGGGCCGGAATCTCCGCTCGTTCAGAGGTTCATCAGCCGAGGGGTGCCTTCGGTTGCAATCATCCAACCATGTGCACCTCAGCACGGCAGTTCTCCCATCCGGCTGATGGACCGGGAGGCGGTTGTGAACTACGTTCTCAGCATTTTGAGCGCCAATTTCTCGCACGTCGACGCTATGCCGCCTTTGGTCGAGAACCTTCAGCAGCTTCTGGACAAGCTGGGCCGAGCCGAAATCGATGTATAGGTGAAGCCGATGTGGGGGACGTTGAGTGCGTTCGGAACGCCACGTCTCCTCCGCATCCGTGCTGCTTAGTCCACTAGCCTCATCTGAAGAAAATAGCGGGCTATGGCAGACTCTCACGTCAATAGTCCTCGATTACCTTACCCACATAAAGCTCTTGGGGTTTTGTTTGCACTAGCTTGACTGATATAATTCAAGATGATAGCACATCACTATATGACTTTAGATGTTTCTAGGCGACGCTCGTTCAATCTGTCGTAAATGCTCACATGATTGTTTCTCATGTAGATCCGCTAGTTCTTGGCTGCTACCTCCTCCTCATACCCAGGAATGGTATGCATCGAGTTATCGTGGAGTTCTTGGCCGGCAACTCTCAGGCATGTAGCCGGCTGCAAAACATAGAGCATTCTTGCCCATGATTCCCCGCTCCTATTCTTCCAAGCATGATTGGTCCCCCGCTGAATTGAGATATCCCCCCTTCTCATGACTCGTTTCTCGCCAGAGTCGAGAATCAAGTCAATCTCCCCTTCCAATACCACGCCATAATCTAGGCTGATGGTCCGATGCATAGGCGATATTGCGCCGGGAGGTATGTCGACGACGCGAAGGACTGTCCCCGTCGGCAGAGTGATTCCTGGAAGGTTTTCGGTGTAGTGTCGATATGTATTGATATCTGCTTCGTCGTTGAGGTTGACGGGGAATTGGTCAGTCGCGTAGCAGAGAGCAAAGTCGACATTGTCTGGAAGGGTTTGGAAGGGAGCGTCCTCGGGTAGGGCATTTGAGAAGGTCGTGGTGCCCTCAGGAGTGTGAGTGGTGACGAACCGCTTGATAGTTCTTAGATCCTTCCGTGCGTTGTCTGTGGGTGTTTTGTTCTCCATCCTGGCTGTTCAGGTATACGAGTGCTATGTGTCCAGCAATTGACAAGGGACAATAACAATCAGTTCAACCGTGAGGCTTTTATGAGACTTAGAAGTCGGCTTTTAACCCTACCTATACCACGATCAAATTCTCTAAACAGTTTAGAGTTAACCCCTGATGTGGAGAGCATAGAGTGGTCCCGAAGAACTAAAACCTTCTTTGGCTACAATACTACGCTAACAATAGCTGCAATGTAACAGGGCATGAGACCGCTATCCCAAACCCAAGAGCATCAACTATCAGACACAAAGTGGGGGCAATTTATGATTCCTATCTAAGTTTCCAATTAGGGCTTTATCCACTCAAACTTGTCCCCGACATATCGATGTGCACGGATGTCTCCAGACCTCGCGTGACCCTCAAAAAGTTCCACCCTGGCAGCCCTTCCACAAAGCTGACCAAGTTCACCGCTTGCCTGAGCAGATTTGACTTCCTGATAGGTGACAGTGCGGAGGAACTTTCCCACCCATAAACCGCCAGTGTACCTTGACGCGTGTTTTGTAGGCAGAACGTGATTCGTACCAATACACTTTGCACAGCAATGTTAGTCTCGGTGGCATTCAAGTGGGGTTCGACACTTCTTACCTTATCACCAAAAGAAACGCAGGTCATGGGGCCAAGGAAAAGGGCTCCGTAATGTTGCATCTTGATGAGAGCGTCTCTGGGGTTCGCTGTGAGGATTTGTACATGCTCGGAAGCAAACTCGTCGGCAATCTGGTAGGCCTCATCAACCGTATCAGCAAGAATGACCTCCCCATAGTCACGCCATGAGACACTAGCTACTGCAGCTGTCTTGAGCGTCTCCAGCTGCTCATCGCAGTATTCAATGGCTCTCTTGGCAACTTCAGCCGACGTGCAGATCAAGACAGCAGGTGTATCCGGTCCATGCTCAGCCTGAGAAAGAAGATCAGTGGCAATCATGTAAGGATCTGCTGTTTCATCTGCTACGATCAAAACTTCTGTTGGGCCGGCAAAGAGGTCGATTCCAATCTCACCAAACAACTGCCTTTTTGCCTCAGCAACAAAAGCATTCCCTGGACCTGCGATGAAGTCCACCTTGGGCACTGTTTCTGTCCCGATTGCCATTGCTGCGATGGCTTGAATGCCACCAAGTATGAATATCTCATCTGCTCCTGCGAGATGCATAGCGGCAACTGTGGCCAAAGGAATCTTACCCGCTGCTGGGGGCGTACAGGCTACTACATTTCTGACACCTGCTACTTTGGCCGTCAAGATGGTCATGTGTGCTGAAGCCAACAAGGGGTACCTCCCTCCTGGGATGTATCTAGACAGCTATTAGCATATAAGACCATATTTCAATCTGAAATACCGAGTACTGACGCTCCAACGGAATCAATTGGGTTATTCTTCTGACCAAGAAACACACCAGGAGCCATCTCGATCTCAAACTCTTTGATCGAGTTCAACTGGGCCTCAGCAAACTTTCGAACGTTGGACTGAACAGCCTTGATATCGTTGATCACCTGCTCTGGGACTTGCGCCATAACTTGGTCGATGTCCTCCTTATGGAGCTTAAAGTTGGAAGGAGACCAGTTGTCGAATTGTTCGCTGTAACGCTGAACTGCGACATTACCCTCTCGCCGAATGTTATCAATTACTTGCTTGACTATCCTGGGGACATCAGGGAGTGAGCCATTCGTGGCTTTGTTTGTTGAGTTGGCGGAGGCAGGTCGTTTGAGATGTGTTCGAGCCATGATCGTCTATGTCTAAGTTGCTTCGAGGTCTATCGGTAATCGAAACGGATGATATTTTTGCAAGAACATACAGATATTGAATGGTGTCTTTATTTGTATTTCCTCTAACTTCTAATCAAGCCAGTTCATCCCGTATATGACATGAGGTTGATAATTACTTGAATTCTTTAATCTACCCCCACCTACTTGCCCTCTTGATGCTCCGTGGTCTAGCATATTCGTGGATCGGCTTTGCGGGGGGCGGGGTTCGGAATTGTGGGCGACGCTATGCCAGACCCCGGAGAGCAAGGAAGCCTCTGATACTAAGCTACGGTTACCTGGTCTAAAGATCTACTAAGACATAGTAAGCCCTTTCGTGACTTGGGATGGGGATGCTAGGTTTCATTGCTTCCTCCACCCAGGCTATGAGTCGAGCAGAGACACTGATTATTGCTAGTTCTATCTAATTTAATTGAAGTGAGGGGTCCAGATAACAAACAGAGTGAGGCATCAAGATTTAGACAAAGGAGATGAATCGACAAAGTCTATCATAATGCATACATTTTAATGTCAACGTGACGAAGAATATGCAAGTGCTTCTCCATTATTCCAGTAAGTCCACAACCACGTCGTTTGAGGGAACTTGGAGTTCTATCTTCTCCGGCAAGCAAATGAATGCCTTCTCATAAGCCAAAGCCTGCATCGATGACCCCGTTCTGTCCAGTTACTGACTTCGACACGACAAAAGCTTTGACTTGCTCTGCAACATCTTCAACCGTCGCAAAACGCCCCAACTTATTCGTGTTGCGAGCAACTTCAAGTCGATCTGCGGGAAAAGATAGACCCCATTCCTATATAAAGGTGAGATTGCATCCTTTAAGTACCAAAAGACATTCTCGTACCGTAAGTAATATGCCTGGAGAAATGGTGTTCACCCTGATTGACGGCGCAGCTATTTTGGCAAGACAATTGCCGAGGTGGATCTGGGCAGCTTTTGTAACAGCATACGGCTACAGGGCGATAGTCAGTAAACGAGAGCTCTTCCTGGTATCAGAAGAACATACCAAACTACTTCCGCTGGGAATCACCCCTGCCAAGCTAGCTGTAGACACAAAAACGGGCACTCCAGCTTCTCGCTCGTTGCTTTCCTCGAGATACCGCCTCGCTGCATGAAAAAGCCACAGGTGACTCTTCACATTGGCAACATAGCAGCGGTCCCAGTCGTCCTCGTCAACGTTATCGTCAAGGTCCGAGAACTGGCGCATCCTTGTCCAACCAACATTGGATATAACAACATCTAGACGACCCCCAAACCTCGATGCTGCCTCGTTCACAAGTGATTTGATCTGCAGCTTGTCACACGTATCTGCTTGAATGGCCTGTATGGAGATGTTTGAGCCTGCGTGCGTTTCTTCGCATTCGGATTGTAGCCTTCGGACTAGTCTTTTGGCGCGAGATTCGTTGCTGTTGAAGTTGATCACGACGTTCATTCCTAGGTCGACGGCTAGCATGCGAGCAATAGCTGCACCGAGACCACTGCTTGCAGCGGTGACCAGTGCAACTTTGGACATAGACATGGTCTTTCACTTTCCTATACCTGTATCTGTATCCTCTTATCAAGAATACTTCTTATTGACTATTTTAACAGGGGCATACTGTTCGGCTACGGCTACCGCGGGGTGCGGCCTTGGATACCTCCAGGTCGACAAAGACACCCGGTCAAATCGCGGCCCGACAGCCCCCCTCATCCCGAGACGGTTATGCTTCCGTGTTTCCTAGGCATCTCCGCCTGATTGTCCACAAGCCGAAGCACAATTCGGGGCCCTCCACTCAGGAGAATATCATCGTAGTTGACCAATCGAGATCTGCAAGACTATGTCAATGAGACCCTAACTTTGCATCTCGTCTAAGTTCCTCCCGGCGGTATGGAAACACATGCAGAGGGGAAAGCATAGCTCAGTAAATAGTTAATAGGTCCTTTAAATTTATTAAAACAAGGTTTGAAAGACCCGACGGAATATTCCTTAGAAACCCAACAGTTTATTACAATTTAGTATGATCCAATCCTCCACATATTACTTATTACATGATTGCATAAGCCGCAACCAAGACACCCAAAATCCTAATATCGATGGACAAGTGACCAGCAGAATTTCCATTGTCTGGCGAGACAGTCGCAGAGCTGGAAGTCGTCTGCGACCCGCTTGACGTAGCACTCGCAGTTTCAGCTGTTGACGTCCCAGTGCTGGTCTCACTGGGCTTTCCTCCTGCTTGAATAACGGAATCGAGGCTGCGCCTGTTAGCGTATTCCCCATAGTAAATCAAGAAGGACTTACATGTGAATGAGACCGTTGTTTGTAAGCACATTAGCTTCGATAACCTTGGCATTGTTGAAGAAGATATCGTTATCTATGATTCTAACTCGGACCTCGGTCTTGTTCAGAGTTCCGATGACTTGACCGTCTCGAAGGTAGTTGGAGTAGGTAACTTCATTGAGGGTATGAGCTCTTAAAGATATGTCAGTAGAATCTATGGTATAGAACAGTAACAACTCACAGAAGCGCTCCGCTGAGATCGTCTTTCGACAGCTCCACATCGGGACTTCCCGCATCCTTGAACGCTTGAGTAGACGGTGCAAGACATGTGACGTTCTTTGAGGCGTCAAGAGCGGGCCACAAGCCCGCCTTTATGAGAGCGCCGTTCAAGGCAGTGAGTCTCTTGTCGTCGGCGGCGTGAACCGTCTGGGAGCAGGACAGAGGCGGAAGAAGGACCCTGCAGATATCTGTTAGCCTAGTCCTGACGAGCTGGCTTGATGTCATTTACTTATCCACGATCTGGAACCTGCTCGCATTCTTCTCGCCCCAGGATCCGTCAACAGCAGTCATCTTGATGTTCTGCTCCTCACCGGCTCGGAGATTCACAATTGCACCACTGATATCCCCATTGGCTCTCTTGCCCTTTCCTACCCTCGAAGCGAACACAACCTGGCCATCAGCATTGTTGCCGAACTGGCTCTGGATCTGAGGGCCAGCAGTTCTGTTGTTGAACTCCTCACTCTTTAACAAGGTGGGCACTGACAGTCCACGTGAAACATCGAAATCTGTGGATGAGAGCGAAGCTGCCATGGTATGATACGAGAAGAAGACTTGGAGCATTGTCTGGTTCAATTCGGTGACATCCGAGATGCTAGAGTCTTTAAGATAGCTCTTGATAGCATTGTTGGTAGGAATCAAAATGGTGACATTGCTGCCCTGGCTAGAAAGTGTCTCAACCAACACCTGAGGAGCCGCGCCGAGCAGAGAACGGAAAAGAGAGAGAGAATCGTAGTCGGCAATAGCACCAGCCAGGTTCTCAGACACGTCCTGAGCATTGGCGAGCGAGAGAAGGGCGAAGCCCACCGCCTTGATGGAGAAAGAGCTGCGCATTCTGAGTTATGATGATGGGAATGACAGTCTGACAGATGTGAAGACAAGAACAGAAAAGAGGATGCAGAGCCTCAAAGCTGCTGCGTGGGGCATACCGCTTATTATGTAGCAATCCAATTCCAAGGCTGTGGCATCAACGTGTTGGAATTGGCTGAGCCCAGACCCAGAAAGACCAGAGCCTGCTTTGCCATTGACGAATGAACAGTCTCACAATTAAGCCACGGTGAGCATAATTGGTAGGGATGATGCGCTAAGTGAAGTGGCAGACACCAAAGTCACCATAATGAGTGAAAAGGGTGGCGCCGAGCTGAAAACTAGTGTCCAGCCCTTGCTCGCACAGCCCTATCATCCCTTTTTTAACTGCTAATTTCTCACTTGCCTTCGCCATTATGTACAGTTACTAAAACGGTTTATTCGTATTGGGGCTGAAGCGAAATGATGCAGACTGATTTAGGCTGAGTGAAAAAAGGCACCGCCCGAAGACCTCCGTTTTTGAAAGGAGGATCGGAGTATTTCAATTCATGGTAACTTGACGATTTACTTAAACCCATTAAAGCCAAATAATTTCATTGACAAGTAATTGACTATGCTGCGGTCACAGAACGACTCGTCCGTGGCAAGATAACGTGAGATGATTTCGTAAACATGCAGCCTGCTGCTGTCGGCTGTCGGCATGTAAGCCAGTAGCTCCAGCCCAGCTAGCCAGAGTGACATCCCCATGGATTGAATAGGTATAAGTCTGACCATATGCATTCTAGCGCAATGTTTTTTGTAACAACCCCAATTGCCAAATCAGTATATGGAAGCTGGCTGACGATGCAGAGAAAACGACTCTTCAATGGCACGTAGATATTGAGTAGACTTCGGGGGCTTATTGAAGGGGAACTGGCAATAAGAAATAGATGCACAAATCGAAAATAAAATACTATTTTGCATGTAAACAATGGCAAGAACCATATAATAAGACAAATGCAATCCCACCCAGACCATTATAGTTAAGGCTTAGAGATTGCAAGTCTTGCGCAACTCCGATCTTTGTCTGAGAAGAAATTGTTTCATTGGCTCTCTCCTGTTGCATGATGTGACAAGCTACTTCTTCTCGCTTGGCTCATTATGCCCACTTTCAAGTCTCTGCCCTGCCGCAGCAAGTTGTTGTTTGGCAACCTCATTCCTCTCGTCATCCTCCTTGGCCAACTTGACGTTTCGGAAGAAAAACATCATTAATACCAGCGGGATGGAAAGCGATAGAGATCCGATAGCCAGTGTTTGTTGTGTCATGCGATAACTCAGGTTAATAGCGTCACGAGTCTCGGTGCCTAACTCATAGCTTTGTGCGACTACGATTGAGCGAAAAATTGCAGTGCTGTTGGCCTTGGCCTCTTCTGGTAGGTTTGCCGAGAGCCGGCGTGGGAGGAGAGTATTCCATAATGCTCCTCCAATACTTAAAATGCATGTTAATTTTGTTACCTCAAGAAGAGGATCTTGTATGAGACTTGCCTATTACCAACATTGGCACCGAACCCGGATGACGAAAGGAACATGGCTGTTGCAATACCAATCTCATGGTCTGGAACAGCAGCCTGCAAGGAGACCTGGAGCGGAACCTGGGCGAAACCACGGCCAAGGCCAAGAAGGACTTGTCCAGTAGTTAATGCCGCTTCATTCGCGACTCGGACTCCCTCAATATTTGTGAAGTAGATCGGAAGCCCGTTTGCCAAAGCAACCATCAAAAAGCCGAGGATGATGAATGGCTTAGTATGTTTGACAAATCGTATACCCAAGCCAATGACAAGACCACCAAGGTTCAACGCAACCCGTCGAGAATTGCTGATAGATTGTTAAGAAAGTGTACGCCATTCTGTGAGGGAAGACTTACTCAATGCGAACTGCATGACCAGGGGAATAGCCACCAGCAACCTGCAAAAAGCTAGAAGCAAATGTTCGGTACGTCGAGTCCGACATCGCAATCAAGCATACGGAAGCACAAGCTAGTATGACGTTGCGGTTCTTGATCATACGGAATGGGACGATTGGCTTCTTCGCATACCAACCATCCCAGATCAAGAATGCAACGAACGTAAAGACGCCAACAACCAACAAGACAATAGATGACGGCTCAGTCCACTTCTCAGTGTTGCGTCTTCCCGTTATAGACAGGGGAAGAAGAGTCATGGCGAGACCCCCAAGTAACAAGAATGCCCCAACGATATCCAACTGGACATAGAGTACTTGACGGGCTTGTACGAACCAAGATGCACCCTTCGGTATCTCAGAAGCAGCCCGTAGTGAGGTTCGCTTACTCACTATACCCCTCTTCCGCGCCCTAAGACTCATAAACACCATGACCGCAATGGTCGGTAGTGCACAGAATGGCATAATGGCAGCCCACATGCCGAATCCCCAGCGCCAAGAGGACTTCAGCAGCATGTGCTCACCGAGATACGTCCCAGCGTACAAAGTTGGTATGGCAGCGAGTGATTCCGGGAGAGTAAAGAGGAAGCCTCTGTTGATCAGGGATGTTACCTCGGCAATAAAGATCTGCTCAGTGATTGTCCACCAGGTATCACCGAATGATTCAAAAATGCCACCAGCCTAATGGCGTCAGTCATTGCTGATAAAACGAATAGATATTAGGTAGACTTACAAGATATGTTTCGACGTTATGACACGCCGCATAGAGTACATTTGCCAAAGCCATACTGATCGCAGCCCCAGCAAATCCCTGCGGTCGTCCAATATGCTGGTCGACATTTTAGCTTCGGTATTGTAGATAATCGACAGTGGGTATACTCACATCTACAACTTTGGCCAAGAGTGGATAGGCGACAATCCGAACAATGCCGTGGACGATATTTGCCGTAGCAATAAGCGAGTGGCCTTGGAAATGGCTGGTGGCGTATGGATCGTAAACCCCAGCTGAAGAAGCAGCAAAGACCATGCTGAAGTTCATGACAAAAAGGCTGAAATAGTGAGTATTGTCGCCCGCGGGTCCCGGGTTGGAAATTCACTCACCCGACGAACGCCAAAGTAAGCGGAAACTTGGTCCACAGCTTGCGCAGAGCTTCTGTAGGAGCTGGAATGGCACCTTGGTTACTCTCTGTGTCAATTGCAGCACTGCCATCGCTATGATCCAGAGGACCTTGGCCAGCGGGCGTGATCTCGCTCTTTTCCGAGGCCATTTTGAATTTTGCATTGATAAAGAAACAACATTACAGCAGGGGCCAACGTCTTCTTAAATCTCCAAGAGTATGAGTGCTCCCCCATGCCAAGACGTGTCATCAGATCATACGAGCTCAAGCTAAATAATAAAGAGCCTAGATTGATAACCGGCACATCTTGGCATTTTAAGCTCAACCTATTGAAATGCGAGTTAAGGCGCGCGATGCAAGCATCACCCCACAGTAACAGTCAAGATTATCTTATCAGATCCTTGCCTTGCATGGCTCTGAAAACTCTTTCGTATTACTAAGACAAGTAGTTCCTTGGCTCTGTACTGTTAAGCAATTGCTCTCCTCAGAATCTCATTCTTTGCATCCAGAAATTCTGCAACCGCTCACGGGTGGAATCCATGTCTCTTGGGGAAACCTGGACATGAACGCTGCTCGAGAGTGGATGATCTAGCGAATGTTCATTATCGTAAAGACTGATCGGTCAACTTATGTGGAAGTTCGTTATTTATTTTTCATGCTCGCTCTTGTCTCCAACAGTCTATGGTTCTATCCGAAAAGATTTCTTGATCGCCGCGCTGAGGCGCTGAACTGCCGTACACATATCCTCCTCAGCCGCGCTCGCAAACGTGACACGTAGAAACAACTCATTCAGTTCCTTCTGCGGCTCGGCTCGGAACCACGAGCCACGAGCAAAGAGAACTCCCTGATCAATGCTGTGCTGGAAGATTTCCCCTTCAATCTCATCCAGACTTCGGCGCAGGTAATCTGGGTGTTTTGTATGATCAAGTTTCACCCATAGCTGATACACAAGTCAGCACCTCTCTCCAGCATAAAACAGGGTATCGACTAGGGAACTTACAAACATGCCTGCAGCTGGAGGGACCCAAGATGCGATATCCGTGGGCAGGTAGTCCTCGCAAGCTGCAAGTAAGGCATTGCGTCTTCTGGTATAGTTCGTCCTCAGATCAATGAGCCACTTGAGATAACCCTCATGACCCCATGTCTCATCCACCAGTTTCCAGATGATTAGCTGTGATATACCGCTAGGTCCCTGGTTTGCAACTTCAGCATGACAGAGATACCTCTGGATGACCTGCTTGCTAGCAGTTATCCATCCCATTCTCGAACCGGGGACTAGGACCTTGGAGAAGGAGTCCATTCGAAGGACTCGGCCATCAACGTCCATGCTGAGATATGAGGGGACAAGACTAGTCAGGAACTCATCGACAGTCTCATTTACCACAACGTCAGTCCCTCTTCCTGTGTAGGGCTTCATTTGGATGAAGTAGTAAGGCTCGTCTTCGATGATAAAGATGTTGTGTTTTTGGCAAACTCTGTAGATCTCACGTCGCCGCTCGAGGCTCTGCGTCGCGCCAGTAGGGTTCTGTCCCGATGGCACGGTATAAAGAAGATGCGGCTTTCGAGCGCCTCGAGCCGCTTCATCCCATGTCTCCAGAACGTAATCCATGTGACTGGGCAGTAGTCCTTGCTCGTCCATGTTGATACCAAAGGCCTTGATGCCCTGTGGAATAAAGGTCTCCATCGCCGTCGCAAAAGTGTAGTCCTCGGTGAGGATAGAATCGTTCCTGAACCGGTCGCAGAGCATACGGACGGTCTGCTCCAGGGCTCCTGTGCTTCCGACGGTCTGGCAAACTGCCCAGTCGGCATAAGGCGGGTTGTAGACAAGGTCAACGTGTTCTGTGATCCAGCGCATCATCTGTGGGGACCCGGTTGCCTGGCCGTAGTTGAAGGCAATAGATATGTCGTAGTCCGAGGTACCGTCCCTGGTATCGTATTTACCAATGCGAGCTGTCTGGGCGCCGTTGGCAGGCGAGTCCAGTAGATGCTGCTTCTCAGAGAAGTTTGGCGCCGTAGGTACACGCATGGCGATCTCGGAGATGGGAAAGTATTCGCTCGAGGGTAGACCACCGCCAAGGGAGATCAGACCGGGTGTCTTGATGTACCCGGCGGCTTGTTTGAGGACGCATGGCGGACGGTTGCTCTCGCTACTGAAGTGTGCTTGGAGCTGTTAGCGTTGGATCTGAAAATAGTAATTGAGATACCATACTTTCCCAGTCTCGGGCTAAAGGCTTTCCAGCGGCCTACATCCTGATTAACCTCATGGCCATCATGACGAAACATTGATACTTACAGGTAATTTGAACATGTCGCTGTCAGACATGGCAGCTGTGCCCGGCCGTATCTTGGTAGCTGTAGCTCGCCTTTCGCGCATGAGTTCAATTTTAACATGACTCCCACCAGGGGAGCCAAGCGCCGTTGCTGTTGAGTGTCCCATGTCGCTTAGTCCTCTTGCTCGAACAATAGATCACGGCATTTGCAGGTGATTTGACGCATTTTTGAAGACCTTGCACATACAAGATGATGGCTTATCTGCGGTTCCGGTCCTCTAGGGCCTGTCAAAGTCAAAGGGCGTGTGGAATATTGGCTGGTGCACTTTGCGCCCTACGGCGCTGCGCTGTGGAGCCATAATGCGCCTGACTAGTTTAGCTCGCATGGCCCCGCGAGGGATTGCAGTTTTCGTGCACTCATTGTGGAGCTCTGCCCTAGATCCCCACGGCTCACCCGAAGACTTTATCTTCGTCATTGAGCAAGGCCTAGATTAAATCCACAGGAAGAAAATTAAGATCAGTACTGATACGAAGAGCAGTTTTCTGTAAGGTTGATAGAATTGGTGAATCAGCCAAGATCCAACCTTGTGTAACCTATATTCACGCTCTAGTCTTTCGATAAATGCTGTCTCCGAAAAGTAGCGATCCACTGCTCGTTATCAGCTATAGTCTGTTCCCAGTTATCGTCACTCCCATACACCAGCCTCCTCGCCTCGCCCTGAAACATCTCATCCGTCGGAAAGACACCACTCGCGAAGGACTGCTGGGCAAAGCGGCCCAGATGCCATGCTAGAAACTTGGTATAAGAGTCAGGCGTCAAATCGAACCCAGGATCGAGCTGCTGCTCCGGATCCGGGAGAGTCTTGCCATTTCTCTCCTCTATCTGAGCGAAATGGTCCGGCACCGTTGGATCCGTGGCGGAAAAAGGTACCATGGTCAAAGCCTCGTTTGCAAGGAGGTATGGTGGCAGGGCATTTCTAACCTGTGCTGCGATCGAGGGCTCGAAGTTGTGATCGCCTTTCCATTCTGCCATTGTTTTGCCCTGACGGAAATGCTGTGTGAGGTGGTCTGCACGGTCCTGCCACGACACGAGATGCTGGTCGCAGAAACCACATCGCGAGGAAATCGGGGGAGGCGGTATCCTCCAGTCGTCCAAGATGGGCAGCGTGTCTAGTTGATGAAACCCGCGGAGATGTTGAATGAGGTTATCTTTGCGCCTAAAGACGTGCGGCTGTTGACCATTATGACATGCGTTATGGTTATGAGAGTTTAGGTGATGCTCAGTAGGATCAAGGACATTGCAGTATGCACATGTACTCCTCCCAGTCGAGGACGATACCACTGCACCACCATAAGGTGCACAAATCCACTGGTCGCAATCAAGATGGAGCGTCTTTTCGTGTCTAGTCCAGTCATGCTTCTTAGAAAACGAATCGCAACAGAATGTGCAATGGAAGATCCGGGGCTTCTTATTAGCACCAGCGACGTCACTCCTCTTTGTGACACGTCTCCTGTTTCGATTCTGGAACGATCTAGACGACTGCGTAGAAACGATTGAGCTTGAAGATTGACTGTGCCAACTGGCCACGCTCGGACTCGATGATTCCACGCTGGTGAAAGGAGCTTGCATGTTATCGCTCAGAGGATTTTCTTGTAATGTATCATAAATGGCGGACCAAGATGCCGATTCGGTTTCTGGAGGGCTGTTTCTCCATCTCAGCAAAGGCACAGAGGCCTGCTCGCTTGCGTCGTGGACGGGAATTTGAATGCTTCGTCCGCCGTTCAGGGTATGTCCGAGAGAATAACGGCTTCTGCGACGTGGAAGAGTCGAATTTGGGGTGATGGGAATGGCGGGATACTGGGGGTTCGTTGAGGTGTCCGTCTTGGAGAGTTCCTGGTTGGCTAAAGATGAAGTACTCAAGGCCCGCTGCAGATTGTAAGGAGCAAACCCATCGCTATGACAGTAACCTTGGATCTCTTGCTGGCTCAATGAACCTAGGCTGGATGCATGAATGTGATCGAGCCCGAAGTTGTCGGCAGCCAAATCTGAGCAACCAAAGGTCAGGTCCTCCAGCGGTGTCTGATCAAAGCACGATCCGATGCCCCCATCCAAAGCAGGAAGTAATTCGCCCGATAGATTCGCCTCTGCTTCACGGAGGAGCTGGTTGCTCTGTTGCCAATGCACTCGATCATCTTGGATTCCGGTTAGATGCGCCCCGGCGCCAAAAGACGTCCAATCTCCGCGATTGACGTCGCAGACTGAACTTGGTTGCGAGCGGCTCTGGCGAGGTATTTGCCGTGAGGTCATGGTCTCTCTGGAGTAGTATGCGGTGGTATGAAGTGAAAAAGCAAGAGGACAGGACTTCAAAAATACGGGTAGCAAGGAATAAGTGCAGCGGGGTTTGGTTCATCCGATTGTGGGGGTAAACATGACTTGTTGTGGGTATTATCATCTACGCTAATTGCGATAGTGTGAACTTCACCTCTGCAGCTTGAACTAGGCGACTTGCTGGGTGATCTTAAATCTTTTTATCTATCTTAACACTCGACTTTAATAACTACCGCCCTTTTCAGTACCCTCTCTTCCTTTGGCAATATTAACCTCCTGCGTCATAATGAATTGCAACGATGTGAAGTCAGTCGCCACATGAATCATATCGAACCCAGCCTTGGCATATTCTCTCGCTTGCTTGCCAGACGTACTGTAGATTCCACATTTCTTGCCAAACTTGTGGCTTACCTTCAGCACACGCGCAAGCGCATCTGTCAATTCTGGTTTAAAGATGCCTTGTATGATAGGATGCCCGATATTATTCCCTATAGTTCATGGGTTAATGCTCAATTTCACTGTAGTTACGGTACTGTACAACGAACCTAAATCGAACGGTCCCACGAACAATATATCGACACCGTCAACAGCGGCAATCTCTTCCAAGTTATCAAGGGCCTCTTGGGTTTCAATCTGTACTATAGTAAGAAGACTGTTGTTTGCTTGCTGGAGATATTCGGTCATTGTCGGCATGGGGTTGAATCGCTCCATTGCGTACGGAGAGCCGAATCCACGCGTGCCTTGTGGAGGGAACTTGGCGGCTTTGACGATTTCTCTGGCTTCTTGCGCGGTGCGAAGCAAAGGTACCAGGATCTTAAGCATCTGATTAGTTACAGTTCAATGCAGGTGCCATTTACACTCACTCCATGCGCACCCGAGTCCAAAGCTCCTATTGCCTGTGAGCAGATTGGTCGTTGTCGTTCATGGGTTGGTTGTCTTACTCTTGATCATCCATGACTCCATGCCGGGAATTCTCACTATGGGAGATGCACCAGCTGCAGCAACAGCAGGGACTGCTTCGTGCATAGCGCTGTCTAATACCACAGTTTCAGTTTCGCAGAGTAATTGGCAGACATTGACCGGTACTCACCGTCAAGATTACCGTGCTCACAATCGATCACCACCCAGTCGACGCCTGGGACGCGAGCGAGGGCACGCGACACATTGGCGCCAGGCACCATCTGCCACAGCCCCATGCTCGGTCCATCAGCTCGCTGCAGTGCCACTCTCAAGAAATTACCTTGTTCCATGATGGCGATTGAGCAAGGAGGAATAGTATGAGAGTAGAATGTTGAAGAGTTGGCTAATTGAAGTGATCAGAAATGGCGGGGTATACTAGGCTATAGCTCGGCAGCTCAACTGGTCCTTTGCCATTGGTTCCCACATACCGCGGTAAACGTTCCGTTGTCATTGAAGACCCGAAAGAGACCTCCCAGGCGTAGTAGGGCGCAAAGGTTAGTAGGGCGCAAGGGGCAGGCGCTAGCCAATATTGGAGAAGCGTGGGGAGGGGGTGTAAGTAGTAGTCTCTATCCTATGAGTTGTCTTGACTTTCAAGATGCAATAATTGCCAAAGCTATTGCAATCTCTGAGACGGTGCTGAATGATATTAAGTAATGGTTAAAGTTGCCTCTGATACTCGTGTAAATTTATAAAACATCCCTTTGATATACGGTATTAGCATGCGCTTGTGTCTGAGTAACAGCCTTTCATGGTTAAAACCTGAGAGCGGCCTGATCTTCATAAAGACCTTTGTGATAACTGGGAGACATATTGGGCCTAACATAAAAGATGAACGAATACTTGCCTTCTGAAGTCACCTTTACAGCGGAGTTGATGCTATTGACTGGGTCGCATTGATAAGATGATACTTGGCCAGAATACTAGTTGGATGCTTAGCTTATATTAGTTTATCAGAGATAAAGAGGCTTGATGTGGGAGACCAATCCAATTCAGATTTCCTTCATACCTACTAGGCATGTCGTGAACCGCTAAGTTCTATGTAGTGATATAGGCTGTCAGCCACAGATCTCAATTGCAAGTGATACATCTGGCTCACAACTTGCTGCCAGTCGCAATCTATCCTCTTTAGTCGCCTCTTGTACCCTAATCTTTGCTATCACTTCCAAAGTGTGCCGTCTACCGTCGCAATCACAACTTATATGCCTAGATCCGTAACTGAGAGGCAAATCTTGCAACACGCCCACAAGCATGTCATATTAGCTTCTTTCCGTTGCATACGTGGAGCAAGGAACAAAAAGCCACAAGAGCCTCGGCCTAGGAAGGATTAAGATATGAATATTATAATCCTTTTATAAAATAACACACGTTTATAAAATCCACTTTAAAAGCCATCTCATAAATGTGCCTTAGCTAATATAGGCTTTCCCTCTTCTAGCGAAATTCGTAACTGCCGAATTCTCTTATCAGTCACAAAAATGGATTTCGGGAAACTCTCGTCTGCACCCTCTCCTAGGATACTCCCAGCCACTGCCTGTGAAGTGAGAAATGCCTTAATCATACCCGTGGCATGATATCCTCCGCACACCCATTGGTGGCTACGTCCTAGAAAAGGCAAGCGACCAGCAAAGGGAATGCCATCTTGAGAGAAAGCCAAGATGCCGGACCACACATGAGATACCTTGGTCGCAGCGTCTGCATCAGGAGCGACAAGAGCCTCATGAGGAAAACCTCTCAGATGTGACAGAGGGCTCAGATCGGTCTCGCTATCATCTCCCACGGCCTTGCGACCCGTATTTGCCCGCCCGACAATTGCACGCCCGTCCTTGCGTTGAATAAGGTAGTCGTAGTCCTTGATACCGTACCGCAGCCAAATCGAATAATCACTTCCAAGTCCCAAAGGAGACTTGCCACCAGGTGTCGGAGCATATGACAAGACATTGCCTCTGACAGGTGAGATGAATGGTCTAAGCTCGGGCAACAAGCGGCCAAGCCAGGCGTTGGTTGCGTGGATAACGTGCTTGGCTCGAACAGTGCCTCGTGAAGTTACGACAGTGGCGTATTCATCCTGGGGCTGGTCGATGATAGACGTGACAGGTGTGTGTGTCTGCACGTTAATCTTGTTCTGATCAATGAGAGGCCCAAGAACGCCAGTGATCCACTTATAAGGCCACATGGAAGCTGCTGGGATGGCGATGGCACCGACAGCACGGGATGATAGTTTGAGAACGTCCCGAAGATAGGATCGATCTGTATGGATAGTATGTTTATCCGCAAGATGGGGTGCATGAGCGCGCATGTCTTCGAGGCCAACAACAGCTTTCTCGAAATCCTTCTGGTCATAATAAGCCTCAATACCCTGTGTGAGAACCAAATCACAATCAATGCCGTCCTCGCGGATAGCATTGGCCATGGCTTCAAGGTGAGCATGCTCAAAAGCTGAGATTCGCACAGCTTCTTCAATACCAAAGGAGTGCTTTCTCTCTTCCCACATGGCAAACGTCATGGTTTTGCAATGACCACCGTTGCGGCCTGTAGCGCCGGAGCAGAGAGATCTGGCATCCAACAATACGATGCGTATACCTGGCTTTTTCTTTAACAGGGTACGAACCAGATTCATGCCAGTAAGACCAGCACCGATGACGGCTACATCAGCGGTATTCGACGGCCATTCGGATTGATGGTCGGCTCGAGGATGTGGTTCAGAATGCCAGAACGGAACAGTACCGTTTGATGATGGATAGCCAGGGTCGACGACGCCCGGTTCATAGATGCCTTCCAACGCGCCAGACATTTTGTTGTTTATCCGTTATAACGAAGAAAACCAAGAATCGTGAATGGAAGTGCAACGAGCACTTTGTTTGGTGGTTAAGAGAAAAAAGAATAAAAGGGCTTAGCGATGGCAAAAACAAGACGATGGGTAACCTTCACTGAACAGTAGACCTGGTCACGTATAGTTGCTAAAGGTGGCGAGAGGTTGACTTCCTTATTATTACCAAAAGCGATTGTGAAGCTCTCACTCGGCCTGCCTGTTTGATTAGTGGTTCTCTATCCACTTCTGATCAGGTGGGGAAAAGGCTCCAGGCTCCTCCAGACTCCTCCGCCGCGGAGAAAGTTTTGTCTCTTGACGAGGTCCCCGTAGGCACTGTGCGGCTGACTCGAGCACACGATGTCACGCTATACGAAGCTAATCCCAAAGGGTTAACTTGAATGAGAACTACCTTCTGAGGCACTTCTACGGAGATCTGGATGTCCATGTTGTCTTGGGCCATTCTCAGGATTCGTTGAGGACAAGGACCCTCTTACTAAGTTAGAGTAAAGGGGGGATGATAAGTATTCGTTCAGTGATTGGTGTTCTTTGTGTAATTTTCTACCTATGCCACGTCAAGGTGTTCTCTTCTCTGCAACAACGATATCAGCACGTACGAGCCCTTCAATCCCAGAGCTTCATCGTGGCCACTGTCTTCAACGCACACATTGGTCAAGCGTCGGAGCAATAACTTGGCAACGTCACATGTCTTCAGAAATTCCCAACAGCTCTCGTTAATCAGACAGGACTTTGGTGAAGTAAGTGATGTGCTCCCTGGGACACTTGCACTAAACGGATGACCGCTGTGTAAAAACAGAACTACTCGACCAAGTTCTTTTCACGAAACCTTCAAAAAGTATTAACAGCCGTTTGGCTACTAAAAGACGGGTTTTATTAGTGAAAGCGTGCAATCATGCGAGGTAGAAATGTAAGCCGCTACGAGGTAAACAGAACTGAAACTCTTGCTGCTTCATTGAACTATATGAGTTTGATCAAGCATATCTACCCTTTAATTAATACCAGCATCCGCCAGCTGATATGACCTTCTTCCTACAGAAAACCAGCAGATGATACCGAATACAACAAGTGCACCAAGAACTACAGTGACATAGTTCATTTCATCAGCCGCGACAGGTGTATAGTACGGAAAAGAGAAAAAGACAAGTGCTGTAAGACACCAAGCCAAGGTCAGTATGTTAGCAACATAACCTAGCTTAGGAAACCAGAACGGGCCGGGAGCAATGTTGGATCGGCCATGGTAGAGCAGGCATGCGATGCAAGCTATGTACGAGATATACTGGAACAGAAGACCGCCTGCGACCAGGGAATTAAAGGCAAGGTCTGAAGCCAGATATAGGCATCCCAATATGACGATAAAAACGTTAGACCAAACATGTGACCAGATAGGCGCGTGGAAGGGGGCCCCGGCTACCTGACTCAGGTATCTCGAGAAAGGAAACCCGTGGTTGCGGCTGAAAGCCCATGCCATTCTAGATTGCCATGTATGACATCCTATAATAGCCCCGAAAGCAGAAGCAGTCACTAGTGACTGCAGAGCAATGGCAGCAGCCTTGGAATGGTGGAGTTGAAGGAAGATTTCCAGGGACGGCACAGCTGCGACGACGACGGTGTCGAGATCTGGGGCTGAGAACATGAGTGCAAAGACGATTGGTAACCCCGTGACGAATCCCACGGCGATGGTACAAAGAAGAGCCTTTGGTATGTTTTTGTTGGGATGAGGAATCTCGTCGGCCAGGTGAGTGATAGAGTCCAGACATGAGAAGGACCAGGCGCTGGGGTTGAATCCAATGAGGAATGCGACACCAGCAGGCCATCCAGAAACATTTTTCAAATCAACGAAGAATGTGCTCGCACTCTGCTTGTGAGAGTCACCTGCCAGCAATGAAACAAAGATGGCAAAGATCATTGAAGGTGTGTAGATCAGCAGGGCCTTGCTGCACCATGGCAGGCACCGTTCGAAGAAATTGAACCCGAACGCCAGGAGGTTCACAAGTTGGTATCCGATAAATGTGATCCATGGTTTGACGATGAATGATGGATGGGCTGAGGCGACCATTCCCAAGATAATCTGCGCGACGATAAGGTCGACAGAAGCTGTCACGCAGAGTCCGCTGGCCCAACTGATCAGACCGACCATGTAGGACAAGAAGCGACGACATGAACGAGGCCCAAGCTTGCCAACCCAGAAGTATTGTCCCCCTGCGTGAGGCAAGGCAGACGCGAGCTCGCCAAGGCTGATGGCGATGCAGCATCCCATCAAAGCCATCAAGATAAATCCCCAGAATAGAACAGGAGGCCCTCCGAAGGGCAGGGCATTAGCCAGGCCGACTATTATGCCAACTGCGGTGTTTGTGATGGAATGACCAAGACCCATGGCGGTCCAGATGGTGAAGGGCTTTTCCACAACCTCTTCTATGGTGCCGTGCTCGTACGAGCCGTGGTTCTCGAGGCCGTTTTCCGTCTTAACATTATGCTTCGAAGACGTACGTTGCGCTGCGGCAGACATGTCTGCGTATCTGGGGAGTGAAGGGATAGTATTTCGATCTTAGATGTGGGTAGCTAGTTGATGATGAGATATAAATGCCAAGGTGCGAGATAGTAGAGGAAGGCGGCGCAGTGTCAAATAGAAATTCCAGTTTCAGCGAGATGAGAAGCATGGCCACGTCACATGGGATTGTCGTGGTATCTCAGTCACCACTCCGCACCAGGGATCTTGAGAGGCAGTTTAGATTACCCCAGAGTGGGATAGTTGCCGGGTGAGACTTGAGCTGCACATTACGCCCAGGCCAGTTTTAGTATGAGAAGAGTGAGGAGAAGGTCGAGATTGCAAGGGTCTCGGTCCGGGGGGTTTGTATTGTCGACATTCTCAGCACGCTTGTCTGTAAGAAAGGTACCCTGTATACCTGATGTTAGATAGGTCGCGTGGTCTGGCCCTAAAGAACAGAAACCATGAATCCACTTTTTGGCTTTTCGCCAACCCCTCATACTGTACGTACTCAAATCGAGCTTACCTTGATTGGGAACATGTGCGAAGCTTGAGCTTTTCTTAATTGGGAACACGTGCGAAAGCTAGTTATTATTGAGCTTATCTGAATTGAGCACATGTGCGAATGCGAGTTATGGCTGGTCTTATCTTGATTGGGAATATGTGCGGTGGCTATGGCTATACTTCAAGAATGAGCAGGATAAGCTTGGGTATAAGTTTGCCCAAGATACGGCACTTGTACATGTGAACTGACTTGCCGTGCACCAAACTTCCATCCCTACTTATCACCTTTTGATCCATCATCATGTCTTTCGTCGCAACCCCCGAGGAGGTCCAGACTTTCCAGGACCTCTCATCGAATCCTAGCTTCTCTCAAGAACTCATTGTCACAGATTTTGAGACAACACCTGAGTTCATCCAGTCAGTCCTGCCTCCCAATTTCGAGGCTGGCGATACCCCAACCGGCCACATCAGCGTCGGTACATTCGAGAGCAAGCTCTGCGGTGAATTCGATTGTGCCATGGTATCCATCGACGTCAAGTTCAATGGCCGCCCTGGCACATACCTGCTTGAGCTCATCGTCAGTGGTGACATGCCGGTGACCTGGGGACGCGAGGTCTGGGGTGAGGTCAAGAAGACTGGAACTTGTAAGATCTGGAGGTCCGGCAATTACCGCTACGCCGTTGCCGAGCGCTACGGTGTGCGGCTGATCGAACTGCAAGGAGAGTTTGGGGATGACCAGCCTCCCCGTATCCGCGAGAACACAGCCTATGAGATCAAGGCTTACCCCCATTCTATGGGCAGGGGTCTTCAGTGGGCACCCAAAGTGAACCAGCTCAAGGTCGTTGAACACGATACCCGTTGGTCAAAGGGGACAGGCAGGATTACCATCCGCGGCACATCGTCAGATCCACTGCACAGCATCCCCATCAAGGCCATCAGTGAGTTCATTTACTGCTCCGGCCGGTCCGACTATAACGTCGTTGCCGACTACGATCTGGGAGCTACGGATGCCTACCTACCTTACCTCGTTGGGCGCCATTACGACGATCTGCGAAGGTTCAAAGTCGGTATCCAGTGGACTCAGATGAAGGACGAGGAAGAGGACGAGAAGCCCACGTTGGTGCAGCGCCTGCAGACTCCTTAGTAGAATCTCAGCCCTGAACCCCATGTATTTAGCTATTGGCAATGAATAAATCACCCAGTTTCTGAGTTTTGAAAGCTACTATATGCCTAGTTTGATTTCATATAAACGTAAATTCATCTATGCAGATACTCGCTCCAAAGATTAGAAAGACTTGACCGGCAACCTGCAGCACAAAGGTGCAGACATGTGGCCCTAGATCAGAAGTAGTGATTATTGCCAAGAGCGACTTTTGGAAATTTCTTATTAAATAGGAGGCTTCCAGTGATGCTAGGGGTGAGGCGGAAATAACACTTGTTATGGTTGAATACCTGGGTAGATACTTTTGGACAAATAAACGTGTAAAAATATATAGTGGAGCGGTAATCAGAGCCGACGTGAAGAATTCTCAAAAAGTTAACCGGGTCTTCCTTTGCTCCGTATACCGCACCAGATCCCCGGTCATTTATTAGGGGTACCGATCTTTGTTAAGTTTGACTCGGACTTCGACCGCTTTCGTCCAAGTTAAGTTACCAAACACCTTACTAAAACAGGTAAAGAGATCCCAAACAGCGAACCACCCCGCATTCTTATTCAGACAACCCGGCCTTTTGTGAATAACTCCAATAACAGCAGGTGGAAAGAGACTTGATAGCTAGGAGTAGCCACTTCTCAGAAGTGCGTTCCGCAGATGTATGGTAATTTCTCGCATCCCGCGTAGTCCGCGGGATGCGAAGAACATCAACCAAGTGCTATCTGTTTGCGTACTTCAAATTGGAATGGGAGAGAAAAGCATCACCATTCCTTCCTTCGCTGTGGTTCAAGGTTAAATACGGATCTAGCTGCTTCTTCACACGGAGATAATCACCTTTTTCATGCATCAAGATACTTTCCAATCACCTATAGTCACCCTACTTAAAATTACTCCCTTCCGTTACTGATTCAACCTCACGATGGGTTACGTCAAAACTGCTGAGGAGGTCGAGGCCTATGATTCCTTCTATACAAAGGTCAACTCCAATGTTCACGCTGTAGGTGCGGCCTTTGTGACGACAGAGGAATTCGCTCGCTCAGTGGTCCCACCCTGCTTCGAGATCCCATCTCCTCCCACAGGAAGCTTCTATGCTTGCACCAACTGTGAGGAGATCGATGGCGAACGGACCGGCGAAGACGAGGAAGCTGGCGTTGTCTCCATCGACGTCCTTTACGAAGGCCGTCCCGGCAGCTACTCGCTTTCCGTCTTCGTTACTCGAGATCAGTCAATGGCTACGGGCCGTGAGGCCTGGTCCATGCCTAAGAAACTGGGCGAGGTGCATCTGATGGGCAATGGCCTGAAAGCAATCGTCATGGCTCAGCGCAAGGGCGCCGAGATGCGACTTGAGACCGTCCTCAAGGCTCCAGAGTTCTTCTCGTCCCCAGAGCCTACAACCTCTACCTTCTATGAGCTCAAGACGGGAATCAATGCTGCCGGTGGACTTCAGCACGCACCGGTCCTTATTGAATTCCAAGTGACTCAGAGGACCTACATGCATCAGGACGCCGATGTGAACAAGACCCAAATATTCCTCGAAGGAACTGACGATGATCCGCTACACACTGTACCTGTTCGCCAGATCACTTCGGCGTATTCGTCTGGCTTCATCATGAACACCAAGGTGTGCAGACAGGTCCAGCTAGCTACCGACGTTGATTACCGTCCCTACATGTATGGTCGATTCTTCGATGACTGGCCACGAACTGCTGCAAAGGCCAAGAAGGCCCGGCAATCGCATCAACAGAACTAGTAGTGGCAATTTCAGTTGACGTGTCTTGGCCTGTTTGTCTGTTCAGTGACTGAGAAAGCATAGTCTGGGTGGTGACTGGAGGTCTTCTAGAAAACTTAGCAAGTAATCGAATATTTGATTCCTAATCTTATGGCTAAATGGGTTGGATTCTTTGTTTTTACCTGGATATTGTGCGCACGGGTGCATTGAGAGCAACAGGCTCTGCAGGCTAGTCATGAGACGGGTTCCTACGGACCATCATAACAGTAGTGAGATGTCAATGTAATCCCATCCTTATCTTGAGCTTAACCCAACTAGGCCAGAGTGCGAGGTGACCCACCCTAGACATAGCGCTCCTTTAGTCAATCTACCCAACCCCCACCCCCAGGAAATGGACCGTGATTGGGAATCTGGGGATTCCGGGGTAACCGATCCCCCCTTGGCTGGCACATTGTTTGCCTCGGGCAATGATCTTGTGTCTTTCTTATCAGTCAACCGTTCCTGTCCCCTCGTCAGATTCCGTATTATAATAGCAAAACCTATATGAGGCTCAAGTTCTTTACAGTTTATATAGAGTTGAATTTCTCCCACTTCCATATCAAACCAGCGTACTCGTCACCTTGTTCAATGATACCCATACAACCAATTTCTGGCATCCCGTCAACATCTCGCTCGCATCCACGAACCGCACTTCATGTCTCAGCCAATATCTTTCGATCACAGCGCATCCCCAAATGTCGGACCAAACTTACCGAGCTTGTCAGAAGGGGGCAACAAAGACATCGATAACGTGAAGCGTATGAGCACCGAGAGCCATGCTTGCTCCAAGGAAATCAGCGACAGCGTCCAAGTCACCCTCGAGAAACGTTTCTCGTTCTGGTCTTTACTGGGCTACCAGCTCTCCGTCATGGCCTCTTGGTCCAACTACCTCGTCATAGCCGGCACGTTCGTCTATATTGGCGGGCCTGTTGCCATGATCTATGGCGCTCTTCTGGTGGGCTTCTTCCAATTCATGACCGCCATGTCCCTCTCTGAGCTGGCTTCAGCCTGGCCGCATGCAGGAGGTTCTCAGTTTTGGATCACTCAGTTGATGAGTCACACCAGCTCTGGTCTCTTCAGCTATTTGACTGGATGGATGAATATTCTGGCCTACCTAACAGCTGGCGCTTCGGCAAATTTCGCTGGCGCGCAGACCGTCACGGCCCTTGTGACTATCCTCAATGGGTATGAGTGGCCCCGTTATCAGGTCTTTCTTGTTTACTGCGCCACGTGCCTACTCGACATACCCATCAATGTGTTTCCCAAGTACTATTCGGCCTTCAACATAGCCTCACTTGTATGTCTCATGGTATTTTTAGTCCTCACCATTGCTGTCTGGGCATCCGATTTCCAACATCAATCGGCCCAGTACGTCTTCACCAAGTTTATCAACAGCTCGGGATGGAAAGATTCTGGTATGGCCTTCCTGATATCGCTTACTCAGACTACATACGCCGCCACCGGCCTTGATGCGGTAGTGCATCTTTCGGAAGAGACCCATGATCCAAAAAGAATTATCCCTCTAGTCATGACTACCTCGGTTGCTATCTCGACTCTCATGTCATTCGGATTCGCCATCTTTCTTGTCTTCAAGATGGGCGATTTCTCGGACTTGGTGGACTTGTCTCTGGGACAAGTCTATCTAGAGCTCTACACCGACTCTATCGGGTTCGGCGCTGGACTAGCTGTGGCGACAACCATCATGACCCTGCTCGCTATTTTTGTTGCCTCACAGATCCTGACGGGCTCATCACGCCTCATCTGGGCCATGGCGCGGCAACAGGGAGTCCCCTTTTCTAATTATTTTTCTCATATAAACCAAGATTTCAAAGTCCCGATACGTTCTTTTGTTGCTTCATTTGTGGTCACTATACTTCTGGGTCTGCTTTATCTCGCAGGCGATTTGGCATGGAACGCCATTGCATCCAGTGTCACGATCGCATATCAGCTAGTATTTACTACACCTATCGTGGTTCTACTCTGTCGCGGCCGAGCTAGACTGCCGGCGAGATACTTTGATGTTGGAAGGGTCCCATTTATCGGATACTCAATTAATGTGCTGACTGTGCTGTGGGGAATCTTTATCAGTGTGATTTCCATCTTTCCAATTACTCTACCAGTAAATGGGGATACTATGAACTATGCAGTTGTTGTGTTTGGCATATGGGGGATCATTGTGGGCATTTACTGGTCTACTCATGGGCATCGGAAATTCATGTCGACGGTGGTTCTTTGACACTCGCCTACACAAGCTGGTCTTTTGTTCAAGATAGCTCCTAGATAGATTCTGGCCTTTCAGGATATTGACTTTCCTATATATTTCTACTTTGGTGTGACTATCTTTGCCGTGTTCCTATCTCTGTTGATTTGATTCAATTGATTATCGCACGCGGATAACGGGGTCGCTTTCTTCTCACTACTAACCTAACCACTACCGGATTCACATTTGCTTGCCATCTTTGGTTAGCACAGTGTGAAGTTGCCTCACAAAACAGATACTGTAGATCGGCCACCTGATGGCGCTAGTCAGGTGGAGCTAGTTATCACTGTCCGGCTTTCTGGTGCCCTCGCTCCTCACGCATTTAATCCCTTGCAATTAATCATCTGTCGTCCCATAATAATTCACAACCTTCTACTGAAAGACCTACCTTACGTCACTCAATCGCGCAAGCTTCCGAGGCCGTAGGCAAAGCGCTCAGTAAAGCATATAGTCAACACTCTTGTGAATTGGATAATCCGCCAGCCACAAACAATCTGTGTCACAACGTTGTTCCCAAGTTCAACGAGCTAAGATCCTGATGCGGACCAGGACGCTCAAGCAGCGAACAGGCTGCGAGCAGTGCAAGCGTCGCAAAGTCAAATGTGACGAGAGGAAACCTGTTTGCTCTCGTTGCACACTCAGAGGGGAGCCTTGTACAGGCAACTTCAGCATCGACATTTGGCAGATTGAGCGACCCTGGGCGTTCTCGGGAGGTATCGCTCCAGGCCCTGGCCCGGCCTCGGAGGATGGTATACTCAGGCATTGGTACACCAACGCTTGCCTGCTTATGGCAATGCTCCCTCCGCCAGCCAACCCCTTGTCATACCCTTTGAAACGCCTGCTCCAGCGATCTCGAGCCTTGCGTCACGCCGTACAGAGCGTGTCTTACGCCCACCGCAGCGAATTCTCCGCAGACTCTTCTGGATCGGCAATAGCCTTGCAAGAGAGGAATCTTGCCATTGTCTCGCTTCAATGGGAGATTAAACGCATTCAGTATAAAACAAATCCAGGGCCACTCATGCATACTCTGATGCTCACTTCGCTCATTCTTTGCGTCTCGTCAGCATGGCTGGATTCTTCAGATACTGAGTATGGCAAGGAGTTCCTCCTTGGTGCCTCCAGTATTGTTCCGGCTTTCTCGCGTGGCGAGCCCCAAGACGAATTCTCATTCTACATCGCTGGGCTTCACCTGTACTGCAGCTTCTTCTCATCATACCTACTTCCTTTGGCACATCAGAGCCAGCATCAGCAGAGTGTCGATTCTATGGCCGAATTCATCGCCAAAAGGCCCCCCAAATCTCCTTGCCATCCTGTCGTTGGAATAGCCTCTTCGCTTTTCCCTGTCTTGACAAAGATCGGCCACTACTTCCGTCGAGTGGTTGAGTCAAGAGAGTTCTCCCAAGAGACGACCAATAATCTGAGACGAGAATTACTTGACTGCAGTCCAAGAGACGCCGGCAATTCCATTTATCTCACACGACTGGCTGAATGCTATCGAAATCTTGGTGATATAATACTCTATCAAGCGCAGCGCGTCTGTGATGAGCTTGATGCGGTCAACGACATAATCTTCTTCAACAAAGTCTTGGAAGTAATCGAACTGATAGAGAGCATTCCAGCAAATGACCCTCTAATCAACACTCTAGGCCCAATGCTTCTCATTGCCGGTTCCGAGCTGCCGCCACAGTACGAGAAGCAAAGGGCAGTAGTCCGGCAAGCCAGCGCACGCTTAGTCTCTTTTACTAAGATCCACACCTACGAGAAAAGCATCGAACTCGTCAAAAAAGTATGGATTCTACGTAGTGAGAGAAGGCCAGTATCATGGCTTGAAGTTATGTTAGAACAGGGACTCTTACTAGGGTTAGCATAGTGATATACTTAAGAAGTATATATATAGAAGATATTATATATCACTAAAGATCCTACATCCGAACTTTATATTTATTATAGCAAGTTGATTTATAATTATAAATAAATATATTTATATTTTTAATTTAGTATATACTTAAGTGTTATGGCCCCGGTAAGTATTTGACAGTGTATTAGCTGTCCCTAGTAGGTAGATCAAATCCTTTCCAGATTAAAAGTTTAAATCAGACTCAATGAATCGGCCGTTTACATGGTCAAGGACTTGCGACAGTCAATTATGTGATAAGAGACGCTATTATTGACTTCTTTAGGAATATTATTCAGACGTCCATGCATAAATCTGTTGTTTTCTTTCATTATCAATGCCTCGTTTATAATGCTCCTCTAAACTGTCTTAAAAGACACATGAACGCTAGACGGTGTTGCTTGCTTTTCTGACCCACTGAACCATGACCTTGCCTTCACAGTCGGAAACCAGCGCGTGAAAATGGGCTTTAGGCATGGCAGACAAGCACATATAACACCGGCCCAAGGCTCGAGAATGCTATTTAGCCGTTAGACATAAGGACGAGGCTCAGGCTTTTCCCTGAGAAGTTCACATACCTCCATAGAAGCCCATAGCCCAGACTATACGTAAAGTCCAAATCCTCGTCGACCTTTACTGTTGAAACCAGTCGAACGATGCTGACGATAAGAACGCTTGACAGGGTTAGTACTTTCCCCCATGGAAGAAAAGGGCCGGGAGATTCTTACAAACCGCCAGCCATCAAAATAAGAGCAATTCCAATCTTGCGACTCAGTGGCACTTTCATAGGATGCAGTAGCCAGAATGGCAACAAGAGTAGAATTAGATCGCTCACAGAGTTTATAACGGCCGATGCTGTGTATATATCCACGATAGCTTGGCAATTGCCACCTTCATAAGCTGGACAGCGGTATGCAATGGCCGCAATGGTGTGAAATATGCAGTTGGCCACAACGATGAATAACACGGCGTAGGCGCAGATGATGAAGTGCATGTCAACGGTAAATCTGAGATAGAACATCAAGACTGAGGCTTTGGTGAAGACGGTTGCTAGGTTGTAAGCCGGTATGCCAGCCCACTTTGCGTTCTAGACAAGATGCCCAATCAGTGATGCAGCTCGGATGATGGCTTGAAGATCTCACTTCTAATAATATGTAAAGACCTCTGGGATCGACATCTTTGATGCATGTACCTGCACCGAGGCGCGCATCTTTGATTGTCAGTTTTGATCGTTAAATCTCGCTCGTAGAAACCTACTTATCGCAGCGCTGATAGATCCCAGTGTCGCAAACACCTATTCCGTCACATCAGTCGTGATCGTCGAGACATCGAGGCCAAACCTACTGCTGCGGTTATTATAAGTGCTGAGAAGGTGTCAGTCTATGCATCTATGAGGATTGCGCGCCCACTGACTGTCATCGAGGTGCCATCTGTTTATAACTCTCTTGCTTATCCAGATCCGCAACACGACAATGGATAAGCCCAGTACAGCCAATATTATCGCAGCATTGAACAACCGTGAACTTTGACCGCCCGTGTGAGAGAACAATCTTTTTGCAATTATAACTGGGCCGTCGTGAGGTTCGTGGATATCGGTTTCTGTCATCTTGGGTGAGATGCGCGCAGCGACTTGTCTCACGTGGGATGCGTCGTGGTGTTGAATTGTGAAGGTTTTCTGGGAGCTCGTTTTGTCGGCATCATTGGTACATGTCGTACTCGAGATTGTCATCAAAGAGAGAAAGGAAGTTTTCGAGGTTAAGATTGGGCAATGACGACAATTATAAACCCCGTCCGTATGCGGTGGACTTGTATCAGTAAGCATACCAACTTGGCCCATTTTAAAGGTTATTCTGATCTAGATTGGCTCTTTGAGTCTTTGGTGCCGGGCTATCAACGCCATCATTACTTAGTCACTGGACAAATTTCACGTCAGACTCGATGCGAACACTGGCTGGAATGCGTACGGTTACGCTTTTCCCTCTCTAGCTCCGATCCCAGAACATTCATAATACATAGAGGCAATCTTCCAGCAGTACAACAGCTAAAAGTTATCAATTATAAATGATTAATGAGTCTTGCCACGGGTGTTGTTTAAATAACAGAGGGCCTCGGTGAACGGGATTTCCTCTCGAAGGCTACCAGCTCTGCGATCGTTGCATCGCATCATGAGAGGAACCCTTTTGTTGAGTGACAGGGCTGTTCTTCTATGTAGATGCCGCCGGCCGCGATATGTCTCAAAGGATGTGGTTAAATCTGATGACCCTTGGCTAGCTTTATGGTGGAAGATACCTGATTCAATGCAATGGGGCATCGGTGAGCGTACTGAATCAAGAAACTGGCTAACGCTGCTCTGCTTAAACATACCGGTATCCCCCAATCGTAATGTACATGTAATTATTCGTAGCCCAATCGCGGCACGAACGTCCTCCATTCCAAGCCACACTGCTGTGATTGTCAATCACTTCTCGACCTCATCATGCTTCAACCCGGCATCTTTCGCCTTGCTATCCGCAAGCTCACACAAAAACCTCCACTCCTCACCACTAACTTTACTCACACTCAACCTCGACTGCTTGAGCAGCTGCATCATCTCCAGAGGCCCACCAGGCTTTCCCAGCTCACGAAGTTCCTTCAGACCAATCGGCACAGCAAACTTCTTTCTGAACTCGACGTGGACCAGGTCCCAGATGGGCTTCTCTTTGGTGGATTTGGGATCATAGTATGGTGCGCCTGGTCGACGAGCGGATCCTGGTGATGTTAGCTGCAGGTTATAAGGGTGATGAGGATGGGGAACTTGCTGTCTTCGGAGAATTCTTTGACGATTTCCATTATGCCGACGATGCCGGGTTCTTTGCAGTTGCTGGCGTAGAAGAAGGCGAGATCACCGGCGTTCATGTTTCTCATATTATTCCGAGCTGCTAAACGTCAGCCTCAACCCATCTCATCCACCGGACATGGTTTTGTACCTGCGTACGCTCGAATACCTGTAGCAAGGTCAGCCACTGAGATTTATCGCGAGCATATGACAACGTACCATCCCATCCTTCAGGCTCTGTCTTTGCCTTCAAGTCATCAATGGAAAACTTGACGTCAACACCATTCTCAATGCGAGTCTCGGGCTCAGCTTTCATAAGCCAGTACCACTGGCCATCATGCTTCGGAGCATCAGGGTTCACCGTCGGGATGGAGTCGATATCGGGATCTTCAGAGACACCACGAGAGCTGGACTGAGCGGGCTCCTTTTTCTTGTCTGCCTTCTTCACCTTTGACGCATCTGGCTCCTCAGTCTTTGACGGCTTTGCCGGTGCTTTGGGCTTCTCTTGTTTCTTTGCATTGGCTACCTTGGCAGCCTTCTTTGGCGGGCTTGCTTTGGCTGAGGGAGGCGCTTCAGGCTCGGGATTTTCTTTGGCAGCTTGCCGGAGAGATCTTCGCTTGGGCGCAGCTTCCTCTGAAGCGTCGGCGGTAGGCGCACTTCTTTTTCGAGGTGGCATGGTGGGCTGTGAGTGTGTTGAGATTGGCTTCATTGAAAGCCTGAACGCGCGACGCGTCTGAGTTGAGGCTTGAGGTCTCAACGCAGCCACAGCCTGCGCCACATTATCAAACAGCCGCGCTGCACCGCGAACAAGCCAAGGTGTCAGTCAAGAGACAGCAATAATGCTACTGGAGCTTCCAAGTAAATTATACTTATAGAATGACAGAGGATAAGCAAGATAACTTATCTTTTCTTTGTCTTGATCGCATCTCAAGCTAGACCTCACTACTATTGCATCGGTCTACTCCCGGCATAATCACAAATGTAACGAAATGGCTAGACGCTTAAATGCACTCACCATTGAATCATCATCAAAACTTGAAAAATAAAGACTAGGGAATTTGAAAGTCTTTAAGCGTATTTAATATCCATTCCTCACAGCCGTGACATCATTTACACCGGAACATATTTCCTCAACCAATCCTCCATCACCCCCGTCGCAGGGTAAGTCCCATCCCCCAGCCTCAACAACATCGCAACATGCCCTTCAAACCCCTCCCCCTCAAAAACACGCAACTCAACACTCGTCCCCGCCGCCTTCAACGCCACAGCCAACTCAGCCGCCTGGCGAATCCCCCCCTTCCTCTGACAATGCAACAGCAAAAAAGCTCCAGCGTTCGGTGCAGCTGCGTGATGTGTCGGCGACATGTCCTGCAATCGCTCCGGGTCATCGCTGAGCCCTTTGATCATGTTGGTGATGATGGGTCCTGCACTATCGGAGAATTCTGCTAGAGCGTTGTAGTTTGACCCGTCGAGAGCGATGACGCCTTTTAGAACGTCGATGCTGAATCCGGCTTTTTGAGCATAGCTTGGGTCGGTGCCTAGTAATGTAACGACATGTGCTCCTGAGCTATGGCCCATGAGAACTACCCTCTCTGGATCAATGTTGAGCTCTTCAGCATGCTTGATCAGGTATGCCACCGAGTCAGCAATCTCTTGCACCTGCTCCTTAACAGTAATTTCCGGGATGAGCGTGAAGTTGATTGATGCAAAGGCGTAGCCAAGGTCGTTCAAGTAGCTGACTTTCTTTGAGCCAGTTGAATCGAGATAAGTACCGATTGTCCAACTCCCACCGTGGACGTACACGATGACAGGACTCTTGGTGGCACTTGAAGTCGGTTTCCAGAGACGAAGACGTTGAGCTTCTCTTTTTCCGTAAACAATGTCTGTTCCGCCTTGAGGAACATCCGAATGCATTTCGGATATGAGATCATGTACTGTGTCCATGTTGATATCATCGTTGGTGTCTTTGTATATAGAAATACCGGTGACTTCGCGTCCTCGCGCAGCCAAGTCATAGGGAGTCAACTCCGAAGTGCTGGGTATATCTGAAGAAGTCATTGCTAATATCGTTGGAGTTCAAGATGAAAAGGGTCGTGATTGAAGTTTGTGAAGAAAGCAAAGGTCATTTTCATTGCGCAAGCCAATCTATTCATAGTATTCCCCCTTCTCCACTTTCTTAATGGTCTGCGTAACATCGCAACGTAAGAAATCCAGCAACCTTGATAATTCAGATGCCTGGTCAGGCAGACGCATAAAACCAACAAAAGGTCCTGCTGCTAGCTTCCAGATTCGGTGTGGTCTGTAGCGATTTCCCGTAGCTTATCTCAGTCCAGTTGCCGTATACCCGGGGTCCCTGAAAGAATTAAATCCTCCAAAACCAAGGCGTCAATTTAGCCTAAACCATGCACGATAAGAATCTCCAGCGCGTATAAAACCAATGGCGTGACATATTTCTATATCGGCCCGGCATCAATAACAAAATAATCCATCAACCAATTTTCATAAATCCGACCAACTCCAATCATGTTTATTTTCATCAAAGCCCCGTCGGCTCATCTTTTCTTAGCCCTGCGTCATCAGGATGGTCTCAGTAAACTCAATAACAGAACGAAGCTGCTGTAACTGCCCACCTTCGAGCAACATGAACTCTTGATGATTATGAATCATCTCCTGCGAAAAGTCACATCCATCCTCTCCCGGTTTCGCATCAACAACAAGCTCATCCTGAAAATCTTGTAAATGCGACGAAATGTCGGTCAAGACATCTGGATCTAGTGTCATGAATTGAGCATACGACATGGTCTTGCTTGAAGATGACCCTATATCTGACTCAATCCAATCTGAAGGGTTGTTGGTGAGCACGTTTGAGATGGCTGTGGTGATGCGCTTTAATGATTTGAAGATTAATGGATCCGTCACGTTTGGCGATGGGTGCGAGTCTTTTAGTCTGGAGAGGAAGACGTTTATCATTACGAAGTGGTCCTTCATGGCGTAGAGCTCGTCGCGAATCTGGCGGACTTTGGGGTTCGGTGGCTGGTGTGGCTTTTTGTGAGGTCGATCGGGTAGTGCTGCCGGAGGGAAACCCATGTGCTTGGTTCTGAACTCGTCAAAGTCCCTAGAGCACGCCCATCAGCTTCAGAAGGTATGTACATGGAGGAGGTTTAACTCACGCTTTCAGAATGGGCAGAAATTCTGCGAATAGATCTCGAATATCCTCCAACACCTCGAGACAGCGAGCTAGCTCCAAGTTAGCATGCAGAGGGATATCTGCAGCTGTCAAGGGCCTGCCAAAATCTGCTGGTGGAACAAGACTTGAAAGAGTATTGTGTGTTTTCAGAACAACTTCCTTCAGCTCCGACATGGCTTCCCATGTGTCGGGATTTAGTGGAATGTCTATCAAGGCCATGCTGGAGCCCTTGGAAGCCCAGTGTTGAGCGTAGACCTCGAGCATCTTGCCAAGGTCTGTTGTTTGCGTGCAGAGCTGTTCGCATGTCGAGCGGATCAGACTCATTGTAGAGATCAGATTTCCTCCGATGTCTTTTGCGAGTTTGGCAGCTGCGTCGAGAGATGCGGTGGCGTCTTGGCAGGCCTTGTGATAATCGCTGGGATTCGGGAAGGAGTGCAAATCACCAGGTGCACTGGTCTCCACGTCTTGGTTCTGCTCATTGTATAGCGTCTCAGGCTGCTGCTGCTGCTGCTGCTGTTGTTGTTGTTGTTGAAATGCTGGGGATGACTCAACAGCGGGATCCTTTGGGCGATATGGGCGTAGGGTGCGTGATGATGGATTGGATGGATCGACATAGATCCTCGCGTTGGGATCTTGCGCGGGGAATAATTGCTGTTCCTGAATGACCCTGGACAGCTCGAGGGCGTTATCTTTCGGGCGCAATGGGAGTTGCGACTGTGATGTGGGATTTGATGGGCCAGCGTGGGATGACACGACAACTTGCGTCGTTGGTGCAGGGGTCTCTTGCGGGGAAGATAAAGATGGGGATGGAGACGATGGCCGTGAATCCATCGAAATGACGGACGCAGCGCTATCGACTTCAAGCCAGTCGTCGGCAATAGAATCTCGACGACTCTGCGACATTTTGGTGATGTTTTGACACAAAAGCTCTCAGAAATCGATGGAACGCAATGGAGTTTTGGTGGGTTTTGAAGGGGAGGATGATCAGGGTTGAAAAAAAGAGTGTTGCCTTTCAGCCTGGATTAGGCAGACGTCCCAGGTTACATTGAGGCTGCAGTGGTCAGCCCTATAAGGTTCACTCAAGGGATTAGGTCAGCATTTTCTCTGTGTCATCTTGGGAGACGACACCCAATTTGGGATATAGTTTTCACTAAGCAGAAAACTATTCGTCCAAGGAATATTATGAATTTCGATACTGCCAATGAATGGTACCATTGAGGAAATGGATGAGTTAGGGATCGAGTCACCTCCAAACCGTCGTACCAGGACCGACCGAATTATGCCCTTTGCGAAAATGAACTAGCGGTGTTGATTGGCTTGTTGATGATGAACATGCTTCATCATCCAAAACAATACAACAATATCGTTGTGTAGACGCTAAGCCTTCAGAAGGCCGATGCGCTAGCGACGATTTCTAGCGTCTGTGTTACTGGTAGCGTGTCATCGGTCGGGAATTCATATTAGTTAGCGTCTCATTTGGGGTCCATCGGTTAATTCATAACGCCAACCTTGCGAGAATCCCGTTTTCGTTCCTCTAGGACAGCACAACTTTTCTCGGCAATAATTGTTGTCATTGTCATTTGCTTCTTCACCTATTGGGCATAGACATTGGGTGGTATTGTGGCTTGCGGGGTATGTCAGCCCAACGAGGCTCTCACCTGAGGCCTCAACTCAAAACGAGGTCGGGCGCAGAACAACTTTCAACTCACCACCGCCGAAATCACCTCCAAATAACAGAGTTCTGTCCTATAGACGCCACCAATATGTCGGGCCTCGAACCACTCGCGGCCTTGGGACTTGTGTGCAACATCGTTCAACTGGTCGAAGTGGGACTGAAAACAGCCACGCTCTGCAAGAATGCCTATCGCACAGGCGAGCCTGATCCAGAGCTCAGCGTCTATGCTCAAAACCTTGCAGAGACCGCTTCAAGTTTGACTCAGTCACTGGAGGTTTCACAGCAGCCTCTTAAGATCGATGATTCGAGACTGCTGATTCTAGCTCGCAATTGTCGAGATGTCGAAGCTGAATGGAGGAAGAAAACCCCAGCTCGCTTTCTTTCCCAACGGCAACCTCGAAAGCGAGATCGCTTTGGGGCAGTTTTCCGAGGCATTGTCAACAAGCCGGAAATCGATCGCTTGGAAGTTCAACTGCAGAAAGCAAAAGATTCTCTGGAGACAGATCTTCTCGTCGGTATCTTTAAAAGTCTTGACGTCTCCAAGGTGCAAGCCAATGCCCTCCAAGACAAGTTTCAGGATCTTCTTCAGTCATCATCCGCAAGCCAAAAGAAACTCCATGAGCTGATCCAAAGACAAGTAGCCCTTGCCAACACGCAAATATCAGATCGAGTTGGTCTAGCTGAGGCATCCACCAAGGCTCATGTCACAACAGAGCTTGCTAGTCAGTTGTCGAGACTCAAGTCACACACAGACCAAGGCAAAGACACTATTTTGACCGAGGCTGAAGCGAGAGAAAAGAGTAGAGCAGAGAACGAAGCTTATGAACGACTGCTGCGCAGCTTCCGTTACCAGGATATGAGTCATCGAAAGAACGAGATACATCGCCGCCATGAATCGACATTCAATTGGATCTTTGAAGAAAACACGCCGGATACTGACCAAGCGCCTAACAAACCAGAGCCAGGCTCGCAGCTCAAGAATTTGTCGAGCTCAAGTAATGAACAGCGAGTCTGCGGTGGCTTTGTCAGATGGCTCAAATCGCCCGACAGCAGGTACTGGATCAGCGGTAGACCTGAGACAGGAAAAAGCGTGTTGATGAAGTTTATCATCTCTGACGAACGAACAGTTAATTCATTGCAACAATGGCAACCCAATGCCCAGATTCTCACTCACTTCTTCTGGAAAGTTGGCAGTCCCATGCAAAGCAGTCTCAACGGCTTTTTGTGTTCTCTTGTTTACCAACTGTTGTCTTTAGATAAGGAGCATGCCATAGGCTGTCTACAGCAAGACCCAAATTGGTCTCGCAAGACTGCGCCTGGTGATTGGGACAACGAAGACCTCCAATTTCTTATTTCTAGTTACTTAGGCCGACCAGCTCAACCAATCTGTCTTTTTGTCGACGGTCTAGACGAGTTCATGGATGATGATGGCGTGAGAAAACTCGTCGACTTTCTCGACAGTCTGCAAATGTCATCATCACTGGTCAAGATCTGCATGTCAAGCCGCCCAGAAAGAGCTATACGAACGCGACTGTCTCGTGATCCGGACTTGAAAATGCAAGATCTAACACGGGTTGATATCCAGCGATATGTAAGGGCTATTCTCAAAAAGGAAACTGCTCTGGCAACCTCTTCAATCTGTCTCGAGGACCTTGTGATACATATCACCCTTAGGGCAGAAGGAGTATTTCTCTGGGCTGTTCTAGTAACAAGGTCGATCGCCCGGGGTATTTCAAATGGCGACTCAAAAGAGTACGTCCTACAAAGACTTCTGAAGACGCCTAACAGGCTTCACGAGTTATACTTTGACATGTGGACCAGAATGGGCGAGGATGCTGATCTCTACCAGGGCGCGACAGCACTCATTTTCAAAATTATTCATTTTGTCTGGCAACACTTATCCCTATCAGCCAAAGTTTACCGCCCACTACCAATCTTGGCACCTACGATATCTATTTTGGAACTGATGTTGGCATCAAGTGATGATTTGTGGTCCATGCCTTTAAATCATATTGATAAACTCTCTGCGACGGATCTTGAGCAACGGTGCAATGAACTATGTAGCAGACTACCAGTCATAACTGCCGACCTCTTTGAAGTCATTCATTATACCACGCCTGAAATACCAGGTCAAACACGATCGGGTGACAAGTCACGCCCTCCTGTTCTTAAGTATGATAACCTGAAGGTACAGGCCATTCACCGAACGGTCTTTGACTTCCTAATCGAGACAGAGCATGGAAAGAAGATTACGGGATATCGTCAGACATCGCAAGAAGATTTATTCCTTAGACTTTTCAGATCCTGCCTACTTCGAGATTGCCTATGGCCAGAATTATACTTATATGCAATGCCGTACAAGCTAAGAATGGAGAAGGAGGATCGCAGATGGTATGAAGCAGGATATCGCCTCAATAATCACCTTAACTCACTCAAACACCATGCCGATATTATACAAGGTTCGGCACTAGCACAGATGTTAGACATGATATGGGCTTCCTTCGTTGAAACAACTAAGAATCTCCCATCACACCCACACCCAAGGCTCAACAGCAGCGTACTGAGATGCAAATTTGACTATCTATTACGCATTGCTCCTATGGGATTCGAAGCTTATATAAGAGAGAATCTCATCAAATGGGAGAATACACGACAATTCGATGCGTTGCATCAAGTTCTAATTGCTTGCCTTGGATCAGGCGGTCGATCTGATACCGATTTTGAATGGGCTGGAAGACAACGTCTTATAGAACACATTCTTTGGATTGTTGTTTCAGCCGATAGGTTTTATCTCAGGCTTCCGAAAAGACTTCATCTTAGGAACGATACTTTGGTAAAAGCGAGCATAGCATGCGTTCTCATCTCCGCCGTCGATGCTTTCCGGACTTCAAAACGCGGGAACTACTTTGCGGCCTTCTGGGACGCTGATAAAACCAACGCCACACTCAGAATGATTAGGGACTTCCGGCATTTACTATGCCTAGGAGATCACATGCTTGTTACATTATACCTGAATAGACGCTGGAGAGATCCACCAGACTTAATCAGCTGTAGCCGTCACTCAGATCTTGAAACGGTTGTCCACGTGGAAATCAGTATGTCCATCCTGGTCCAGATGTTTTTACAACAAGTGTACCAGGATGATGCAGCTTTCAACCGTCATGAGGTAGAAGAGGCCCTTGATTTGATGGCTTTCCCTCAGACTATAAAGCCGATCAGGATTGGTGTGGAACGAGGAACCTTTCTCATAGCCTCCGTTACAGATGAAACGATTCTGAAGAAGTACTGCCAGATTCTACTATTACCTGAATTCCTCGACCTAGAGGATCGGGATTTTGATGCTGCCAATTGTTATCGGGAACGGCAGCCGGAAGCCATCCGCGATATAATTACTCGGGCTGAGACGACGAGTGAAATAGAAGAGAGTATAGGTCCAGGTGGGATGAACTTCTACTTATGTAGCTCCTGCGAGGCAGTAGAGAAGGTGGAGTAACCTTGAGTTCACAGCAATAAGTTATCGAAGCTTTATTCCTCTTGGAAGATCATCTCATAGAAACGCTCTACTACATGAACAGGTCACTTGATTTCGACAAATCACTAGTCGCATCAAATACCCCTGTCAAGAAGAGTAACTACCTTGAATCGGGCTGTTTATAGTTGAAATGAGTTTACTAGTTCCCTTCAATCATCTTTTAACATAGACAGCGTGGTTGTCAGATCCTGGACGGAACCCTTCCAGCCATCTGGCAAACTTCCGCTATCAGACACCTCGCGCTGGCTCACCGCCGATGGTTGCTCCTGAAAGCGGCTAGTCAATTTCTCCAGGGTTGCGGAAGAAGGGTCCAAGGTCATCATCTCAAGGTCAACCGGGTAGGCACTAAAGAACTCTCGACTCCTACGACTCTCATCCCGAACCTCTTCCAGCAGTCTCTGAGTATTCGCTGTCAAAGAAACCCCCTGCCTGCTGGTCATGACTATCAGGCTTTGCACTATGCCACTAACAAAAGGCATGTAGCGGGCCAGATGTTGATGGCCGCGCATGCAGAGTAGGAAGTAGAACTGCGACTCATTACTGGATAAATCTCGCAATATGTAGTTGACGAGATAGAGCATACCGCTTTGCCAGATGATTGAGTACTTGGATGACTCGCAATGTGCGCGGTATTGGTAGACAAGGCGCTTTAGTTGCTCAATCGACGCTGATATTACGGCCTTCGGCGTGGCGTTTACTCCTGCGAAGGCTGGGAGTTTGGGCTGGGGGAACTCGTGCTAGAAGGGGCGGAACAGATCGATAATGGCTGTATGAAACCAAATGCTTGATATAGTGAGCATCTATTGCATCGGCGCCACTCTGGCATAATACATGAACTTACTGTATATTGAGAACATGGTCTGGGTTATGTTCATCACGTCCCACTCCGGCTGGTAATGCATCTGCCCAACCCAGCAATCTCTGGAATATAGCTACAGCTGACGATATGGAAACAGACCTTTCAAGGTAGTAAAGGTAGTTCATGTCAAATACGACCAGCCAGAATTGGCAGACGGCTGTGTATGTTGCGTCGGTGCTAGGTACGTCGTGCTGGGCTGCGGTCAACGTTTTTCCTGGTATGCGAAATCTTGGTGTCCTTTTAGGGATTGGGTCTTGGTGATAGCTCATTGACATGACCTTGGTGACTCTGTCAGTTACATTCTCACATGATTCATACTGTACTGTACATTTGGAAGTTGAAAGATCCCCAAGCAGTTGCGCATACAGCTGCTTCAATACGCCCATCGCTCAGGTCCAACTGATCATATGAAAAGGCGCCTGACTCTCCATACAATCCCATACGTTGCGCCATCCTGGCACTATCCTCTTGCAAGCGACGTCCAGCTTTGTCTTTCCCTAGAGTAGTCCACGTCATACTCATCAAAGACGTCGCCGCCACAGTTGTCAGACTGTCAACGCCTTTCTCTGCATCGTAGATCCGCAAGGCTTCATCCAAGAACTTGGTAGGTAGTGTAGCGGCCATCGGTTCATAGTGCGCATAGCTTTGCTGTGAGGCGAGCTTAGTGATAACTGTTGACGAATGTAGACCTGGCAGTTCCGAAGACTCACAGTAGCCCAGGCAAGAAGAGCGTTGACCAGCATTCGGAAACAGAAGTTGGTCTCTACATTGACTAGATCATCTAGGAACATATCGTTGTCGAAGAAGGCCCACCAGGGCTGGTTCATGTTCAGATATAAGGAGATGACTTCCACAGCGAATTGATTGCTTATGGTGACTGTTGTCCAATGCGAAATGTCGACATGGTGAAGGCGAGGGTCGATGGGAATACCGTTGTCGGCACTGAAAGAGCCTCTGCTAATCCCATCCTGCGGCTGGACTATCTTGTCTAAGATTGTACTCGGCGTATTATCATGGAGAAGAGTTGTGGGTGATACCAGCATCGAGTGGCTGAATGTCGAGGAGTTGCAAGTCCAATGACGCTGCGTTAAGAGGGGCGAGTGGCAGATAGACCTTTGGATACTGAACAACGAGTTGGAACTCCAGTGTCTGTGTTGGGGTGGACGTGCCCCTCGCCGCTGCATGTATCGACGGGCTGACACTCCCGGACAAATTGCCGCTGATCGAATCCATAATCGCCTTCGGGGAGCTGCCCTGTCTTATAGACTCCAAGGCCTGCAAGGCGAAGCCCTCGGGCTGATCTCTGAGCAATTCCACCAAGTCGGCCGATGACTGTACATCTCTGCAGATATTGCCAACTTGCGATGGCTCAAGAGCAGTGTCTACGCTGCCCGACTGGTCAGAGGTTGGAGTACCTTGGGTCGAGACACGTCGGCGAAGATGGTCGACCGTGGCTTGGAGGCTGGCGATCTGCTCCCTATCCGCTTGGCGGCGGTTAAGGCCAGCTGGCACGTCGTAGATGCAGTCAAGCAATGCCTTTTCACAATGATGGCATTTCGGTCGCGCGCCTCCACACTATTATTATGGTATTAGCTGAACTGAAATTACAGGGCCTCGATTGAATTAAATGAATAAAGTTATGTACCTTGACCTTGCGTGCCCGACAGTCTGGTTGATGGTCAGCTTGACTTGGCCACTCTCGCCTTGGCCTTTGGCTGCCAGCATGGGCAGTATCCTTTCTGGCGGAGCCATTATGGTCAGTGCTGTAAGTAGTCAGAAAGGATTGCCACAGGGTCCGATTTGTGTGAGGGAGAGGCTTTTCAGCCTTGCTGCGGAGCTTTCCCGGAGCCTCCGGCCCCTCTTGTTGGCTAGTCACCGTGATATGTCTTATCTTTTCTTATAACTCAACAGGGCAAGGGAGATTATAGTAATAGCTATCATTATTTATAGTAATTATAAAGCCTATTAATTTATATTTTTAAAGACAAGAAAGAAATAATACAGGCTTAATAACAGGCACTAAAGTAAAACGCTATATATTGGCAACTATGTTTTAATCATTATCCTGGGCAGCTTACTATATTCTCTGCAGAATGGATGTTCATAGGTCTTTAACCAAGTTGACAGTTGTGCTTGAACAGAATGCACGTTTTGCTCCGCACTTTCTGAGGATTTAGTCGTAACTTGCATACCATGGACTACACAAAGCAGTGCATCGAGCTGCTTTCTCGCCACTCGGACAGAGCGAAAGTCTGGGTGTTGTATGGATGATAGTAGTTGCGAGTTCACAAGATATCTTTGTCTCGAGCCATGTCCGAGCAACGTGGCTGTCCGGAACGGTCCGACGCTTCATCACCAGTGAATGGAGCGTTCCGCACTCCGAAAAGTAAGTTTCCCAAATTCCTTCTTAGACTCTATGTTCTAAAGCATTCCAGTTCTGCTCTCTATGTGTTTCGAGAGGCAGCAGTGGAAGCACTGCGTGAGACTAACCTGCAATGGACACGGATTGTGAACGGCTACTTTCTTGACTACTATGGCCTTCCTTATCTTAAATCTTACTTACAACCCTTAACATTTGCTGTTGACATCGCCAACAAAGCAGCTGCAATTCCAGGCACGGGGAACGATATCGTCTATTTCACTTATACCTTTGATGTCGCCAAGTTTGTCGTTGCCCTTCTTTGTCTATCAGACTGGGATGAGACAACATATTGTTATGGAGACAAGGCCACTTGGAACGAAATTCTTCAACTTGCAGAAGAATCTCGCGGTACGTTGATTTTACCATGTCATCTCTCTGACATCACTAGAGCTCTGATACTCTCATAGGTTCCAAGTTCACTGTATCTTATGACGTCCTTGAGAAGCTGCAGAAAGGAGAAGTTACAGAGTTACCCTCGCACCGCGAGTCATATGGGTTCTTCCCCAAGCCAGCTCTGCAGGGTTTTCTTTCTATGCTCGGACGCTATGTTATTGAAAGGAGATTTGACATTCCGGCTGACAAGGCACTTAATGCCAAGTTCACCGATATTCAAACCCTCAAAGTTAAGGAAGCGATCGAACTATGGAGAGGTCATCAGCGTTGACTTTGTCGGGGGCCATCAACCATCCTTCACGGGACTTTTTGGCAATCAATAACCTCGCCATCGTAGGAGACTAGAACCAGTATTGCTTCCCTGTTTTCATTTCAGTTATATAGAAGTTACTTCCAGTCTACCAAGCTAGGAATGTGCCTTAAAATCAGGTACCATGACCGTTGTGGGGGCCAAATGCCTGCTGCGTGGATGTGTAGACACGTCAGCACCCAATGACGAGGTTATGGGCTTGCGCCAAGCTGATCTCAAATCGTGGCAAAAAGGGGGACATAGACTCTATCATTGCCCACTGCATGAATATCACTAATAACATTTAACATCGCTATTCAATTGGTCTCAAGAGTGTTTAATTTCATATATTGTACATGGGCTTGGCCTCAGCAAGCGCATTCACTATTATCTACATATAAAATAAGCCTGACCTTTCAAGGGTCAAATCTCCTCCCTGAACATGTCGTGTTTCTGCCAAGTGTATCTCAGATAACTTAGAACTGGCGGGCGTGGCGGCGAGCCTTCTTGGAACCACCGTTCTTGGAGCGGAGCCAGTCAATGAAGGTGTCAAGAGTGAAGGTCTTAGGGAGAGCACCGTCCTCAGTATCCTGCTCCTCAGCGACAGGGACCTCAGTAGAAGGGACCTCGGCGGCCTGTGTAGCAGCAGCAGCGACAGAGGTCACAAGGCTGGTGGGAGTGACAGGAGTGGGAGCGACGGGGGTAGGGGCAGCAGGAGCAGGAGTCGAGATGGTTCCGTTGGAGGGAGTGTCGGGGACAACGGGCTTGGTGCCAGAAGCAGAACCGTACAGAGCAGGTCCAGGGATCTCGTAGGTGGTGGAACCCTTGTAAGGGTCGAAGAGAATACCGGGCTCAGAGTCAGTGTAGAGCTCAGTGGTCAGGGTACCCTCGGGGTTGTCAGTTCCAGAGCCAGTGATGTCAATGTTGAAGCACTGAGGGTAGTTCTGAGCACCGTCTTTGGAACCAGCACCGTGGAGAGCGATGATCTCGTGACGGAAGACGTAGCTACCGGCAGCAAGAGTCTCAGGGACAGTGGTAGTCCAGGTGTTGTTGTTCTTGATAAGATCGGCAGCAGCCCAGGTTCCATCGAGACCAGCAGCATCGATCTTGACCCACTTGAGAGTAGCAGGGTCAGCGGAAGTGCACTTTCCAGAGCACTTGGCAACGTAGGTCAGAACAGGACCAATGTGAGACTCGGGCCAGGCAGACCACTGGAACTCAACAGTACCACCAGCCTTCACGGAGAGAGAGCTGGTACCGGGAGCGGCCTTCTTGTGGCAGGCAATGTCGGAGGTGCCATAGTCGGAGGGGGGGACGAAGCCGTTGTCGAGGTTCTCAGCGGACCAAGCGGCAATGGAGGGGATCTCGCCGCCCTGCTGAGCTTTGTAGTAGGAGCTGAGGTCGTAGCCGGGCTGGTAGGTGCCATCGACCTTGATGCCAGTGACAGTGCCGTGGGCGAGGGCGACGGAGGCGAAAGCGCCAGCGAGAGTAGCAGCAACCTTGAAAGACATGTTGATTGATTGAAAGAGAGAGAGTTGGTGAAGATTTTTTAAAGTCAGGTAAGAGTTTGGAAAAAGAGTGTAATAGACCAGCTTCACACAGTGAAGAGAAAGAATGGAATGGAATGTAGAAAAAAGAGTGAATGCACTGCACTTGAGATGAGAAACTAAGCTGAAGAAACGAAAAACCAGACGACAAGAGTTTCACGTTTATATATGTTTCTTCAACACATTTGATCGGATTTAGTGATCAGCAACGCACGCCAAGAAGCATCTCAATTCACAGTGGTGGAAAAGCACGTCGTCTCAGCTTCGTGGAGCCGCACGCCTTTTTCGGAAAAGGCCCCGGCCCCAAGCGCGCGGCAATAGGCCCAAGCTCCAGGGACTGTTACAGCTTCAGTTGAGAATTCAAGGTTAATTGTTTTATGACTTGGTAAGTTCGTCTGATGTTTTGGTGATGGCGTAAGATGCACGTGGAAGGCCTGAGACTGCAATTTAATAAAATTTCCGCCTATCGAACTAATTGTTTAAGCTTACTTCTGGGTCTCGCGACTTGTCGTCGTTGCTGACTGGAGGTTTTTCGCATTGGGCTAGTCAGGGGAAAAGATGCAATCCCGTCTTGTGTAGTTTTGTATGTCGGAATGTGGGAGTTCTTGGGGAGTAGTCTCTTGAGTCGCTTCATATTCTGAGTGCGTGTCTCTCTGTGGAGTTTTGAGCGCTCGATACTAAACTACAAAGACATAGGTAAGACCACAATTAACTTACGACCCCATTTAACTTAGTATTATTGTGATTTGGGGTCTGAAGTTTCCTAGGCTTGTGTAGCCATTTGTTGTTGAAGATCTACGTTTCATTGCCAAGATCAATCAATCTGATCGCCCCTAATTCTTTACGCGGGTTGAGTTCTTGTACGCGGTTAACCTGCCCCTGTACCCTGTACCTAGCCGCTCACCTGGAACTCTACCTAGCGTGACCTTGCAAGGTCTAGAAAGGAGATTCCTGCTTTATTAGTTTGTCACTGGCGACATTCTTTTCGCCTGCAACGTTGACCCTCGCCCTGACATCCCTCCAGATATGAGAACGCAAAATCGATGCCCTATATAGTAAATGAGAAGAGATATTCTGAAAGTCTAGCATGATAAAATACTGGAGATTGAGCGTTGTTTCAGTATTTGATCATCAATAAGCAAAACAAATAGTTCTAATTTACAGAGACCTCAGGATGAAAAAGACATCTACGTCGCGCCAGACAAATTACTGTTTTCCCTCCATGTATTGCTTATTGATATATACTTGAAAACGACCAACTATCTCTCCGCGGTGACCGTATGTGTGAGTTCTTGTTGTCCCTGACTAAGCGGCTATAGCAAAAATAAATTTTCATGCTCAGATCCCAGCATCGGAAGTTCGGAAGATAGACTCGACAAACCTCACTCCGAGATACGAGCAAATCTACCAACAGCTCAAATACAATAATACACAAAGACCGAGTATTGCATGGAGTTTTATCCACATAGCACAAAGCTCTATTTGAAGCTGTGTGCTTGCCGGCCAAGTACCGTTGAATTGTGTGGCATTCGAGTCATCTCCGGATAACATACCCACTGACATCTGGTGTGCCGGCTTATGGCGCGGTAGTTGTCTTGATCGCATAGACGGCCTTCTTATCTATTTAAGCTTGGAGTTTTACGTCAGAGAATTTAAATAGAGCTCATACCGGCTTTCGATGTCCGGCGCGTACGGCAATAAAAGAACCTCCCACCAGGTATACTAAATGCCTTATGTTGAATGCGGAAAGCTTATATTGGTGGCTATTAAGCAAGGGAGAAACAGCTACAAATAGAATGTTCCATAGGGGCCACATAAGTACCATGATTGGTGGTTCGCAAGGCTATTAGATGAGCGGCTGATTTAACCACAACATTTTGCCAGAGAGCATTATACCTGTTAAACTCCATATAACAGCATCGCCGGTCAGTTCGCATAGCACATGTCTCCAAGACCAATGCTGTATTTTTATTTTATTTTTTGTATTCAAATTATAAAACTTCATTTTTAATTAAGTAACTTAGCAAATGTTAAGTATAATATCCGATGGCCTCTGTTTCAACGGAGATAGTCGACTGTTAAAGCTTTTCTTCGACCGGGAAGCCCGGAGCTTGTGTTTAGAATTTTGTGCCGTTTTTTTACTTATAACCTCAAGACCCAGCTGGTTAGGAATGGGCTCCCGCGGACACCGGGTGGGTAATGCCATGATCAGTCCACATATATATACCAAAATGTCTCCAATTACTTTCTATTACATCCTCATACAAGCAACATCCTGGATAGCGAGTGATATAATATTTATTACAACCATTGTATCGCATCCTGGCTCTACCACAACTTACAATTCATAACTTCGAAACGAGCCAGACCGAAACGAACCCAGAGCTACCTTTTCGAGATGTCCAACACTACGGAAACGTCGGGACCGCTCACCCAAGAACAAGCCGATGCACTGAGGTCAGGATGTCACAGCTTGATAGAAGGAATCGATACTTCCTATGGCTACGTCCCGACCTTGGGGGCTGGAATTGCATTCTGTGCTCTCTTCGGTCTGAGTCTTTTTGGCCACTCTGTCCAATTTGTTAGGAAACGTCAATGGACATCATTCGCTTTTGCAGTTGGAGCCTTGAGTATGTCAAACTCCCCCTTCCATGATCACACACGCAATCAAGAAGAGTATGCACGTTGCTAATGCCTATCAATTAGCTGAAGTCATTGGTTGGGCTGGTCGCACGTGGTCAAGCGAATGTCCATACAACAACAACGCGTTCTTGATGCAGATTACAACTCTCATCATCGCTCCAACCTTTATCACGGCAGGACTCTACGTAATACTCGGTGCTCTCATTAATCGTCTTGGTCGTGAATCGTCTGTTCTTGGACCTAAGATGTACGCAATCATCTTTTTGACATGTGATATCATCGCTCTAGTCATACAAGCTGTTGGGGGAGCCATGGCCTCCACTGAGTCAGACAAAATTGACGGTGATACAAAGCCAGGAACAAACATCATGGTAAGCTCTACAGTCCTTTGTTGTTGTGTGGAAAGTAAGCGACAGTAACTAATTAGAATAATGCAATAGGTCGCTGGTATTGTCTTCCAGATGGCAGCCATGGTCGTTTTCGCTGTCCTAGTTATTGACTTTCTGAGAAGAGTATTTGTCAAAAAGTCTTACTTACAGACCAGGAAGCACGGGCTATCTGATGGTAATACTTTACCTAAGGCTTATACTTGGCTTTTGGCTGCAGTCTTTGTGTCTTTGACCATGATATTCATCCGAAGTATCTACCGAACTGTTGAACTTCTGCAAGGCTGGAGTGGTTACCTGATTACCCATGAAGGGTACTTCATCGGTTTAGATGGTGCCATTATGGTTGTAGCTATAGCGGTTTTTAATTTCCTCGATCCGGTCTATCTTTTATGGGGCCAGGATGATAAACTGGCATCATCTTTCGAACAGAATGAGCTAAGGGGGGTGGGAGATGTTAGTGTGGAGCGCTGGGATGATGCTACTATAGTGACTGACTAGAGGGGGTGTAAGTACCTTTAATATAGATTAAGGAAGATAAGGAACTGTATAAAGGGAAATTAATATACATAGATAAAGGGGGAATAGATACGTCTAGAGGGTTTAAAAGTTATAGTAAATTATTATATTATTAATAGTTCAAGTAAACAGAAATTAACTAGTCTATCCAAAGCCACATACTAAGACATACTGATCATAAGCGCATGACCTGGGATCGATACTACTATTTGATGCTCACCAACACCGAAACAGATCCAGAGACGGAGATCAGGTACTGTCCAAGTTCATTGACCCTGACTCTAAGCAGACCTCAGGGACTAATAAAAGGTTCCATGATTTAACACCTAGTGGATAAGAACGTCAGATATTGATGGTAGACCAGCTGTGGTTCTGGGCCATTGATAAGAGTAGGTCTACTGAGTGCACGTATTGTTCCTAGCAACTAAGCTGTTCCCAGAGACTCTCATTATAGCCACAAAATAGAAGGAGCCTGATAATCTGTTGCTGGAACGATAAAGAGAAACTTGACAAGTGGTGAGACACGGAGCCGTTTTGCACAGCCCCGATCAATTTATATGTTTATCGAATAGATTCTAGGCCTCACAACTAGAGTTTTTGAGTGGCCGACAGTAGGATTAAAAACCCCGTTCGGCGTCTTTCGAGAGTCCATTCGCAAAGTGGTTCGTTCAGTCCGTCGCGATAGAGATATGCTACTTCTCATACTAATGAGTTATCAGGCAAATGCCGAAGCAGAACTGTTCAAGATTTTCCGTGTTGCTCTCGAGTCACAACGAGGACAACGACACAAGTCTCTAAACCGAGCTGGATATGCAGTCAAGGTGATGTCATCAAATCCATATCACATCATTTCTTCCGAGACTACACTCTTGGAGACGATCCACGATATTCGAGATAAGCTACGCATACTCAGCTCACTTGCCGATGACCAAGATGCCGTCTGGAAACAGATGTCGCCGGTTTACACCGCAAATGGCAAGCTTCAGTATTATTACTTATATACGCCAGCAGACGCCAAGCGCGATCTAGAAGGTTTGATAGCAGAGGCAGAGACTGTTCATGACTCTGTGAGTTTACTTCAACCGAATGGTTCACTTGGCAGATGACTGATGCAGATAACAGATCAACTTACTCCTCATCTGCGTCAGAAGCAAGCGAGTATAAAAGAAGCCGAGTTTGGTGGAATTCAAGCCAACGACTCAGCGCGGCAGTCTAACAGAACAGCATACTCATTTTCACTGTTGTGACAATAACATTTGTAAGTGGTACTGTCAACCACTGATAACCGCCGCTTGCCATGGAGCTGAGCTTCCGCTATCATTTCTCTCATCCCTCTTCGCCCTCGATGTCTCCAGTTTTCCCCACGAATCTGGCGACCTCAAGTATCAAGGGCGGTGGATTTTTCTCGTTCTTTGTGAGTCTCCTGTTTGGACAAAGTTAGCAGCGCGTATTGACAACATGGTACAGTTGGCGCAACTGCTATCGTCTCTGTTCCGACTATCATATTGGCGTGGAAGATTAATTAGGTCTCCAACTGGTGAAACAAAATGGAGCTCCAAAACCCAGCTGAATTACAGAGACTTTCCAGGGACTTACACCAAAGTGTAAGTCACTCAAGTCAGAGGAGCCTATTCAATGGTACTGTGAGGAGGAACCCAGTCCGACACGGAATTAGCTTGAGGCCAATTCATCATACTCGAAGTGTTTAAAATGGTATCACGGGATGGTAAAGTAAACATTTTACTTGGCTTCATGCCAGTAAATATATTAATCTAAGAAATTATCTAATAGAATGTAATAGGTGCAGGTAATAGGTGCATGTACTATGCAGCGTATATATCTCCAAACCGTCATATACTCGTTGCTCCGTGTGAGCAGTCAAATTATTTACAGGAAGAAGGCGACAAAACCAGCCGCAAAGAGAGCAGCTCCGACGCTACCTCCGACACGTCCAGCACCGGCAGTGACCTGGCTGGGAGTGGTAGCAGGAGCAGGGTAGGTCTCAGCGGGAGTGCTAGGAGCAGGGACAACGGGAGCAGTCTCGGCAGGCTTGCTGGGAGCAGGAGGCTGAGGGTAGCTAGGGTGAGACTCCTTGGGAGGCTGAGGAGCGGGAGGCTGGGCAGGCTGAGTCTCCTTGGGAGGAGTGACACCAGGCTGGGTCTCCTTGGGGGGTTGAGGAGCAGGAGGTTGAGCGGGGTGAGTCTCCTTGGGAGGAGTGACGCCAGGCTGAGTCTCCTTAGGGGGAGCGGGGTATGTCTCCTTGGGAGGTTGAGGGGCAGGAGGCTGAGCAGGGTGAGTCTCCTTGGGGGGCTGAGGAGCAGGAGGCTGAGGGTAGCTGGGGTGAGACTCCTTAGGAGGCTGAGGCTTGGGAGGAGTCCAGGTTCCGTTACCGGGGTGAGGAGGAGGAACAACGATGGGCTGAGTCTCCTTGGGAGGAACAGGGACAACGTGGGTCTCAGTCACAGGGCAGACGGTGGTAGAGACGGCGTAGGTCTCGGTGGTGACATGGGGCTTCTCAGGGCAGTTGGGAACCTCAGGAGGACACTTGGTGACAGTGTGGACCTTGGTGGTGTAGACAGTTGAGGTGGTCAGCTTGGTGGTTGTCTCGTGGGCAGGAGGAGGAGCGACGTGAGTCTCGGTCACGGGGCAGACTGTGGTAGAGACGGGGATGGTCTCAGTGGTGACGTGAGGCTTCTCGGGGCAGTCAGTGACCTCAGGAGGGCACTTGGTGACAGTGTGCACCTTGGTGGTGTAGATGGTTGAGGTGGTCAACTTGGTGGTCTCCTCATGGGGAGGGTAGACGGAAGAAGGATGCTCCTCGGTCACAGGGCAGATGGTGGTCGAGATGGGGATAGTCACGGTGGTGACGTGAGGGCCAACAGGGCAGTTGGTAACCTCAGGAGGACACTTGGTGACGGTCTGAACCTGAGTGGTGTAGATGGTTGAGGTGGTCCACTGAGAGGTCTCGGGGTAGCCAGGCTTGGTGTACGAAGGCTTGGTGTAGGTTGGCTTAGTGTACGAAGGCTTCGTGTAAGTGGGAGGCAGGTAACCAGTCTCAGTTGAGGTGCCCTCAGCAGGGAGAGTGTCGGTAGGAGGCTGGTAAGGAGTCTCAGTCGAGCTCTCCACAGAAGGAAGAGTCTCGGTGGGAGGCAGGTAAGGAGTCTCGGTTGAGCTGTGCTCCTCGGGCTGGGTCTCAGAAGGAGGAGGATAGACATCAGTGGTCTCCTCGGGGGGAGGATAGACACCAGTGGTCTCCTCGGGGGGAGGGTAGACGCCAGTAGGCTGAGTCTCCGCAGGAGGAGTCACGGGCTTGGTGTGCTCAGGAGGAGGATACTCGCCGGTAGGCTTAGTCTCCTCGGGGGGAGTAGGCTTGGTCTCCTCAGGAGGGGGATACTCGCCAGTGGGCTTGGTCTCTTCAGGAGGAGTAGGCTTTGTCTCCTCGGGAGGAGGGTATTCACCAGTGGGCTTGGTCTCCTCAGGAGGGGTAGGCTTGGTCTCCTCGGGGGGAGGATACTCTCCAGTAGGCTGAGTCTCCGCAGGAGGAGTCACGGGCTTGGTGTGCTCAGGAGGAGGGTACTCGCCAGTAGGCTTGGTGTTGACCGGAGGGGGAGGATAGGCACCACCGTTGCTAGGCTCAGTAGCCTTGGGAGGAGGGTACTCGTTGGCGGGCTTGGAAGGCTTCTCGACGGCGGGAGGAGGGTAGGCACCGTTTCCAGGCGCCGGGGGAGTATACTCGGTGTCAGGGACAGCGGGATACTCCTCCTGTCCGGGAACAGGGTAGTGCCTCTTGTTGGGCACCTCGACAGCGGCAGCATTAGCCAGGCCAACGGCCGCACTGAGAATAACGAGACCTCGCATCTTGATAGATTTGTTTAACGAATGCTATAAACGAGTGAAGCGGTTGGTTAAACGAAAGGTGGGTGAAGAAAGCCGGAAACAATATCTGGGGGAAACACTCAAGACTCTTATACTCGATGCATGGTCACAACACCCCAGGATCTTATCATCTGTACATGCTTGGCTCCCTCGTGTCCTATCGGCCCAACTGCGCATGTAAGGCCAGAAAATACGGGCTTTTCTCCATAGTTCATCCCGGTAACGTGATGTAATATGAGCAAGAAAAGGTTGGGTAAACTTGCAGCGTGCGTGCGGTGGACCTTTCTGCGGGCGGCTCACAAGGATCCATAAAAAATCATCCATGTTCAAGATCACGATGTTGGACTGCGACCGTATGAACAGTTCGGATGTGACGGAGCAATCTCTCGGCCATCGTGTTCGTCTATTACGGTTGGTGCACGGTGCAGAAAACGGTTGTTGAGCCGCTCGAGGTCCGATAGGCTACCAGAGCGTTTCGCCGTTTTTTTTTTAGATAGAGTTAATCAAAACACGCCGCTTGGTTACTACCTTTCAGGCACAGGAACCGTATTACCCGTAAATTTCTGTGTCACTGGAGTCGACCTGCGGGGTAACGTTGACCACACCTGCGTTAGCTCTGTACTTGGCTGTTTATGATCTGACGCGGGCTGTAGTGCTGTCTCAGTGGTCTGTTGTGCCGGTACTCCCTTGACTCCTTACCTATCAATTTGCCTGACCGAGGGGGAACTTTTTGGTGATCTGCGGCCCCTGCCATGTTGCCTGGCCAAGTGTCTTCAGTCTTCTGGTTGATTCGTGGGGCTCTCGTATACAGAAACGTTGCCCTTGGCGTGCTTGACACGCCCCTACATACACGAGAAAAAGGTTCCCTGTAGATCGCTGCTTATCTCCCCACCCTGCACTAAAAAATCTCGCACTGAATCTCGAGGTTGGCCAGCAGAACACGTTGAATTATGAAAGGCTTGTTGCATAAAATACAGTGGAGAAGATGCTGTTTAGAAGCATGTCAGCCAAACGATGTCTTTTGTTGATGTTTGTTGGTGTTGGTGTTGGTTATTGGTAGCATCAGGCAAATCCACTCTGGATGATCAAGGTAGCATTTCGAGGCGAGTTCCGTTTAATCCTGGTTTGGTAATCATAGTCGGTTGATGACAAGACGATGCCGAGAGAATGGCGGGAAAGTTACGATTGCTATCCTTGCTTGACTGTTGGGAACTCCTTTTCCATCGAGTAAGCATGTCGACAATGAGGCACTCATCTCACCGTCCAATACGGTATTTTCTTATTACCGACAATGCCCATTGGAGTCTGTGCATCCCTGTTCCTGCGTTCACGTACTGTATCACTCGGCTGGCGCTTGCATACAAGTGAGGTGAGTTGTTCAATTGTGAAATGACAATCTCTACGTACATAAACGCCGGCAATCATTGGCGTAGAACCTTCAAATGAAATTATTCCAGTTTGGTCTGGCGCAGATGCAACCATTCGGCAGATTAATTCTGTCTGCTTCTAGCGGGCGGCATTTCGAAATAACGCCATCACCGAATTGAATTTACAGCAGAAATCTTATTAAGCTTCAGGGTAGTAATTGTCAACATCGTACCATGGCCAGGCCTTGTCTTTGTCAAGGTTCGGAGTTTGTTGCCGAGGACAAAAACTTTGGCAATTGCTTGGCTCCACGCGACAAGCGGAGCCGAACCGTTGCCCGACAGGAATGCGGGAATCGAAGACAATCGATCGGGTATATCCTCAGTTTCTAGCAGTAAAAGAAAATCAAGGATAAAAATGGACCGTTTTTATAACGGTCAAAGCGGATCGAATCCAAGATATTGAGAGTCCGCTGGTTCCAAGATCTTGGATATTCTGTTGATGAGGCTTTTTTATCTAATCGTTGACGTCAAGTTGCTTGATTTTTATGCAACTAATTCATAAATACGAAGTCTTGAGTCTAAGGCTAAATGAGGGCTGCAGACTGCAGTGAAGATCTCTGGTGTGATCGAGTATATCGGCAATACGGGTTACGGAAAAGGGGATACACGGATTGAATTGAACTTCTTCAGATACCGTGCTTTTTTGCCGTCAGCTGGAGGCAAGGTAAGGCTGTCGAGGTCCATTGTCCAAGCTTGAGCTGTCAATGCCCGGCTCGTAACCTTCTTGTATTTTAATCTGGCTATTTTTACACAGGCGAAATTACAGTAAAGCACTGAATGGGATTCGTCCCGCCGTATAGCAAACAACTTTGAACTCAAAAACCGTATTCCCCAAAGTGACCATGTCTCGTGCGGCCCATGGATGCTGATGTGACATTCCCAATTGAGTTGCCAAGTCTCCACCTCCTTTTCTCTTCTGCTCACCACCATCTTCCCCGTATTGCAGAAGTTCCTGCATTTCATCATTTCACCAGAGCCACTACAATCCGAGGAGATTCAAATTGTTCTCTCGAGTCTCCAGAACCAACGAGAACTGCGATCGACAGGGGGTGGTTTCATGTGCGGTGGTCCACCGTAGAGTGACGAATGAGGCTTGACTCTGCTGAGGTTAGCGCTCGTATTCTCCGTCCTCACCACGGCCAATGCGGATAAGCGGAATATGAGAAGCCGAGGCTCCATCCGACAACTCGGCCGAACCATAAATATGGCTATACGAGCCAGCTTTTTGGTCATGAAATTACTTGGTTTGTTTGCTCATCACTTGAGACTATGACGTGAGACTTTGTGAGGGAAGTTCGAGTTGACTGATGTTGAATGATGTAATTTGATACTATTCCGTGAGTGATAAATTATGCTTGGATGGATGAGTGATGAGTGAATTGCTTCTTGTTAACCAAACCCATCAGTGTTTCACCAAAGCTCTATTCTAAACTCGACTACAATACGGCAGAGGCATTTGTAATAAGATCCAATGAGATTGGGATAAGAACGAATGTAATTGAGTCGACAAGGCAGCTACAATTAAGCACAGTTGGGTAAGCTGTAGTGCATGAAACTGTGAAAATAAGATGAAACTGTCACTCAGCGCCTCATAGTATTTATTATACTTGGGTGAATAGTTTTTATAAACGAATAACCCTTTATAAGCACTTCAGCAACTGGACTTCTGGTATGTCGTTCTTAAGTAAGATTTTAACAGTAAGAAGGCATGTTGCTGGCTGTCTTGATGCTGGTCTTAACAGCTATAATGCGTGTATGAGAGAGACTCCTGATATAGAGTAGATCGTACCTGGCTTTTTGACATGTTAAAGCCAAAGGAAATTTCTCCATACCACAACCATATGCTTGGCCTCTAACATCTCAGATTGGGAGCATGCAGATATTCACTTGTTGCTAGAACAGTCTGACGTGATTGAGAAGTATATAACTAACTATTTCAGTCTTATTAAAAGTAGTTGAATTAGTCTAGGGTAGTCATCAGCAGGCATATTTATACTGTATTTATAAACTTAACCTTTAGAACAATAATATAAATATTCAATATAATACTTACTCCTTGAATAATAATAATTATGGTATTTACTATCTACTTTGTAATATTGAGACCAAGACTAAGTCTGTCCTTATTACCTGGCGGATATTTCATCCAAATTTTATCATGATTGCCGCGTCCAGAAAAATTCACTTATCTCCATTTTCTGAATCATAAACTCACTCGGTCTATTTTCTTTCCTATCTGGATATGCCACAGACCACCAGCGTTGTTCCGTTACAATAGTCCAAAAGCTTCTTCATTCTGCGGCTTCTTGAGTGAGAGCAAGTGGCCACCAACCAATTATCGGCGCTGGTCTGGCTGGAGGTCTGGAACGATACAATCTATGCCAGGGTCCCGGTGGCTTCGCCATACGTGCCTGATTTCCTAATGGGCGTTACCCCCGATTCACGTTTCTTATTTGAGTCTGGACATCTAAGCACTCAAACCAACAAGTGCTGTTAGCCAATCGTCAAGATCGAATTCTTCGGGACCGACGATGAAGTTATTGGGTAGTTTTTTGATCTGCCTCTCTACCGGCATACGACTGATCATATCGCCTTAGTGATGTTGCCCCCGCGCCGTGGCGTCGACAATAGCTGTTAGTTCCTGGGCACGAGGTCTTGGGCAGGCAAACAACTCATAGGCCATTCCAGAGTCGTACAAGGCCGTTAGCCAAGGGACTTGTTGGTCCTGACAATAGCTGTGGCTGGGGACAACATCAATAACAAGTCTCTAAACAGAATGCGGATAAGATCGCCTATTGTCAGATCGTAGTGGGAGATCCGATTCCTTAGGGAGATTGACTCGATCATTCCCGAATTCCATTTCCACTTTGGCTTGCTTTCCGTGGTACTGGGAACCAATCATATAGCGACGATCGTCCCCAAGAAAGTCTGTGGGTTGGTTACACTACCTGTGGCAAACATAGAGACTATTGTTCTTAGCTCCGTGAGGCTGAAGACTGTCACCTCTACAACCAGCAAGAAATATGACGAGTGTCTAAGATGAATCTAGTAAATCACAGCTACCAACTTATAAGAAGAGAATAATTAGTGGCGAATATACGGTCTGTCATGACGGTTCCTGGTCAAACCTAAAATGTGAGGCGCTCGGGAATGCAACCCATTCTCAACTTCAGCCCTAGCGTAATGCTTCCACCAACTTCAATGTCTTAGCATAACCGAAGCCAACCAGGTATTCGGCAAGACCCTATCGGAATCTCCGTAATTCCTCTAGACCCAACAGCCTGGATGGTTGTACTTGTCATACGCTTCACAGCAGCAGATGCATGCAGGGTTGGACAACCTAATGCAAATCTGCAGCCACTGCCGGAGTGCCACAAAGTATCCCGGGTTTCACAGCATGGTTAAAACGCTGTGCTACCCTCCCCCCGTCCTTAGTTCTCCGTTTTGGCGACCTCATTTCACCATGACAGTCAGCAGGCGGTTTCTCATTCTGGGGACGTTATGCCTGCTGTACGATACAACGGCGGCTCAATCTCTTGATTCTATGCTCACAGACGCGCCGAAATGTGCTGTTAGTGCTACGGATGTTGGACTTGATGACTATGCCACTGACGAGTACTTAGGTCGACTGCCTAACCGAGCTTCTGAGCCAGAAGGAATATGCGCAGATGGGACAGGAGGCGATGTGTAGTAGCAAGCCCTTTTCCAAAGCGATGGGTGTTTGCTTGATGACGAAGTGCTCCATGAGACAGACTATGGGTACGTGGTTCGAGAAGAAAGGTTTGTTTTGCTGGGCATGCTAACATGTTAAAAGACTTCATCAAAGAGTTGTCGGCTGCATGCGGGATCCCGCCGACCAACAATACAAACGAGTATCGATTAAACAGTACTGTCGTCTTTGCATTTGCACTCGTCTTCTTCGCCTTGAGGATAGTAACTAAATTTCGGCTTGGCCTAACATGGGGGATTGACGATACGCTGACGACTCTATCCGTTGTAAGTCATTTACTTGGGCTGCTGTGACTGGACAAGTGCTTACAGTAATAGGCAGTTATGATTCCGTATTATATCGTGATGCAGATCAGTATGTTTTGCTTTTTCTTCACCCATCTTCAAGCCAGTTTGTTAACTTGGGACTTTTCAGTGCTTGCATTGGGACTTGGCCTTGACATGTGGTTTATAAGCGATAGTCAGATCATACTGATTTTCAAGGTTAGACTGCTGCTCGCTCTGAATCATAATAACGGAACTGACATTGGCTCCCCAGTTGTTCATCGTCATCGAAGTTTTGTACTTGACCGCACTAGTCCTCGTCAAAGCAGCAATCTTGTGCTTCTTCCTACGGATCTTCCCTGACCACAAGTTCAGGATTGTGGTCAAGTGTACCATAGTCTTCAACGCTCTTATCTGGGTAGGATTTTTCATCTTCGTCTTCTTCCAAACCCAGCCATTTTCGCTGTTCTGGAATGGGTGGCAGCAGAAGAAAGGCCATCTTATTCTGACGGGGTTCACTAATTTCACTCTGCCGCTTGCGGGAATGAATCTGCTGCTGGATATCTGGATGCTCATTCTGCCCATGACGCAGCTCTGGGGGATGGGATTGAAGCTCAGGAAGAAACTCGGTGTCATTAGCATGTTCAGTGTTGGGATATTGTGAGTGGGATTCAAATCGCGTACTGAGTTAATATCTTGGCTGACGGCATACATAGTCTTACGGTTGTCGCTGCGATTCGAGTTCGCGAACTTGTGGCTTTTCTACTCTCAGAGGATTTAACAGGTAGATACTTTTTACTTTCAGTCAACTGTTCAGACCACGAGCTAATGTATCAACCAGTCGACCACGCACAATCAGCCGTCATCTGGTCAAACGTGGAGATTTCCGTCGGCGTCATGGTCGCTTGCATGCCGCACATTCGGCATCTGGTGAGACATATAACATCGCGAATAAGAGCAAGGAAGGGTACAGAGACAAAGCACAAGAACAAAAAAGTATTCGTCGATCGATCGCTTGCGACTATTGAGGTGGGGGGCTCGCAGGCCATTGAACTGAACGATGAAGGTGGGCTCTTGACGGCAAATACCTGTACGACGGCTTCATCGGCGACAAAAGTTGGGACAACGTCGACGACAAAAGATAGTAAAACATATGGGTCAGTCAGTTTTGCAAGCGACGGAGATACCCAAGTGTAAAATTAGTATAGTAATGACTCGATGTGAGAAATATAACAGAGAATTCACATCAATCGCGATGTAGTCATCGAGATGACAGCCATGATCGACTAGACTAGCAGGCATCGTGAAGTGTCAAGTGGGTTTTTTCTGGTCGGTCAATTTTCTAGCGCCATCTGATAAGGCCGTAACTCGCTACTGCAAGCACATGCACGCCAGGAACAGATCCACAGTGGATTGATGATTGTGTCATTCATTATATTTATTTACTTTTACTATGTTTGTTTGGTATCGTCAACATCATTAAGACCATGAGCCATTTATCGGCAAGTGTATCCACCGTCAATGACAAGGTCAGAGCCAGTAGTGTAAGTGCTAGCATCAGACAAGAAGTAGACATAGGCAGCCTTGAGCTCCTTGGCATCGCCGTTGCGGCCCATGGGGATCATGCTCCTCCAGAGCTCCTGGGTCTCGGCGTCGATGAAGTCGGAGAGGCCAGTATCGATGTATCCGGGGGAGATGCTGTTGACACGGGCAAAGTCGCGCCACTCGTTGGCGAGAGATCGCGCCATGTGGATGCAGCCAGCCTTGGCGACGTTGTAAGAGGTCTGCTCTTGAGGGTAGTTGGCGATGTGGCCGGACATGGAGGAGGTGATGACGAAGGAGCCGTGGCCCTGCTTCTTGAAGAGAGCGCCGACGGCCTTGGCACAGTAGGCGGTGCCGTTGAGGTCGATCTGGATAACGTGGTCCCAGTCGGCAGCAGAGCCGTCGATGACACCAGCGTTGGCGGTAGCACCGGCGCTGGACAAGTTAGCACGAGTTCAATTGACCCAGTATCTATAGAATGGGGGACTCACTTGGCGACGAAACCGTCAATCTTGCCAAAGTCCTTGACAACCTCTCCGACAAATCGCTCAACGTCGTTGTAGTCGGCAGCGTTGAGCTTGTAGGCCTTGGCCTTGACGCCGTACTCCTTGGTGAGCTCCTCGACGTTCTTCTCGGCGCCCTCCTTGCGGGAAGCGTAGGTGATGGCGACGTCGGCGCCCATCTCAGCAGCACCGCGGGCAGCCTCGATGCCCATGCCGCGGGGTCCGGAAGCGCCGGTGACGACGACCACCTTGCCCTTGAGGCTGAGGAGGTCGAGGATGTGGTTGGCCTTGGGGATTTGCTGAACCATGTTGACGGTTGAGAAGGATGTTGTTTTGGGTATTAAGAAAAAAGAAGAGAGATGGAGGGGTAGAGAATGAAGAGGGAAAATGGATGGGAGGATGCTAGACTATTTGTATGATTATGTCTCTCAGATCATGGCGTGGTCCAAAATAAAAGCAGCAAGCCCAAAGAGCTGAGCTGTAATGGAGGGGATGGGTCCAGTGATGTCATGGAAGCAGAGAGACCATGCAGTGCTTCTTGAGCTAGGGAACAGCAAAACGAGGGGCATCGGCGATTACAAAGAGAAGAGTATCCACTATGATACTCTCAATGGGTTGTCTGAAGCTCCAGATTCCCTGCAAGCCCCTCCATTGTCGCTGCAACCGTGTTGAAAAGACGCGTCGAGGGGTAAGAAAGTCTGTTGGGTGAGCACATGCTTAGTTAGGCAGAGGACAAGTCTCGGTGGGACGCATGAACCCACGCTTGAATGTTTTTTTGAACCAATTGGCTTTGTATTTAGACTTTTGAGTGGTGAGACGTGGACATACATCCATACGACGAGGCGGGGTGAATAGCCTCTGCTGCCAACGCCTCTGGAAACAACAACAGTCAATTGCGACAGCAACTGATTCAGTAACTGGATTCTTTCATCATTGATCCATAATTGAATCTTATATCTTGCCAAATACCACCGAGAATAGACTCGGATGGAGTTGAGAGTGGATAAATCGAGCGTCATTCTCCCGTCTCAAGCTCTCCCTCTTCCTTGCTTAGAGCGCATCAACGACCCCGCAGAACGGCCGGCTTCACCGCTCCCCATTCAGTTTAGTTCCAAAGGAAACAACCCTGTTGGGTTGGCTGAACAAAGTAACGCGTCAACGTGTTCCGTGTCAGACGATTAAATTGCCTTATCCCGGTCCGACAGAAAGCTACCCTAGAATGAAATCGCTGATGATGAGTTAGCATCACCAATGCTGACTGGACTGCGATAGAGGGATAGATAATACTGAGTAATGCTTATCGCGTATCATTAATGCCAGAGTCATCAATTTTTGCTGGTGTAATTGTTCATGTAATGCTTATCACACCGACCGACACAGAAACGGAAAATGTTGTAAAAGAGGGGTTGCACAAAGGTCAAGGCACATGAAGCCACTTGTTGAGAATATCACCCAAACAACATTCAATTGGACATGGAGAGCATCATAAAAACTTGTCTTATTTACAGTAGGTCTAATATAACCCTTGATGCATGCATGCATGCCCAGAACTAGACGTCGCCGCTTTAAATAAGGTATCGGAAATCCCGCTTCATCCTCAGAGCTTCGTCGGGGCTGTCCATGACCTCGACGGCCGCCGTATGCGCAGCCACATCCTGGCGCGTCTCCCAAGCATTGGCCTCTCCCCTCTCGAGCTTTTTGTTGAGGTCAATCAGCACCAGCCGGAAGATGTAGCATCCAACCACTGTGACGCCAAACATGGACAGCACGATGCCGTAGCTCTTGCGGTACCCGTTCTCTTTCAGGTCCCAGACGTACGAGCCCGCGACGTTGCCGAGCTGGCTGAAGGCGTTGATCATGGCGATGGCCACGGCGCGCTTGGCGGGGGGTCGGGGGAAGGAGGAGCTGATCCACGAGTAGAAGACGATGAAGCCTGCGTAGGATGCTGCTTGGAGGAACAGGGCGAGGTAGCGCGCTGCGACGTTTTCGGTCGCCATGCTGATGATGAAGCCTGTCGTGCCGATGCCGATTGGGCCGACAATGTGCCAGAACTGTTTAATGTCAGTACAATTGATGCGACGCGATTGAGAGCTGTGACTGACCTTTTCTTGGGTTCTATCCGAGTGCCAGGCGTTGATGACCGACACAATACAAGAGAACACCCACGGAGGAGCGCTCATCAAAAGAGTAGGCACGTATCCGAAGCCAAGAGTCTCTGTCAAACTGGGCTGTTGAGCTGTTAGCGACGCGCATGCGATTGACATCAATTGACTTACGAAGAAAGCATTGAACGAAAGACCAACCACATAAGCAGTAAAGGTCAACATCATGATGTAGATCTTGAGATCTTTGACCGCAAGCTTAAGACCGTAGAAAGCGCTCTCCTCAGAAGAATCCTCGTCTGCCTCGCCGACATCCTCAATCATACGAAGCTGCGCAACCTGTCGCTCCTCCTCCGTAAAGCCCCGCGAGTTATGAGGTAGATCGGGAAGAATAAACGCAGCGGAGATGGCGATGCTCATGGTAATAGCGCCTTCGATCCAGAACAGCCATCGCCATGCTGCGTGGCCCAGAACGCCCTGCATGTTGGACAAGACGCCTGCACCGACGAGCGCGGAGAAGGCGTTGGAGATGAGGTTGCCGCAGAACAGAATGGCATTGCGCTTGGTCAATTCGCGTCGCGTGTACCATTTCGACAGAATCAGAAGAGCACCGGGCAGAAAAGCAGCTTCGACGAAGCCTAGAAAGAATCGAATGCAGACCATGCCAGCGAAGTTGTGAACACTACCCGACAGCGTCGAGATAAGACCCCACAGCAGCATCGCCGCAGAAATATACAGCGACGGGCGCTGGATGCGGTTGATGAACATGTTGGAGGGTACCTGCATGAGGATATACCCGACGTACAAGATACTCAAGCACGTCGCATACTGGTTGTAACTCAGGTTCAAGTCCTCTTGCAGACCCTTTAGACGAGCGGCGGCCATGTTGTTGCGGTCGAGGTAGTTCATGATGTAGATGAGCACGAACAGGGCGCAGCGCGTGTCGAGCTTGCGCTTCATCGACTTCTCGACGGCTTGCCGGTGCTGAGAGTCCATGGCGAAGGCGGCTGCGGCGCGGGATTCGGGGTGCGACTCGACGCTGAGTTTGGCCGAGGCGACGTGGTCGTCTGGCTTTGCTTGATCCGCCATGATGATGGTGATTTGATCAAGACTTGGGTGGGCTATCTGTATGGTAAAACAACAGTGAGCGACCAGTCTCACGCAAAGCGACAACACCTGGAGAAGAACTGACCTACCTGGGCATGATGAACCCTTTTTAAGAAATGAAACAGGCGCTGGCAAAATACCGGCTGTTGTGACAACCCGTTACATCATCGAGCAGCAAGTATGGTGTAGCGCGGAGAAGAGTTCTGAGAGTATGGAGAATATGGGGAAGAGGTAAGGGTTTATCCGCGTAGGTTAAGCCTGATTAGGCGACTATCACGGGTTCCCCAGAGGTTGACAGTCACCCTCGCTTGAGGCAGGATTTTCTGAACCGGTGCTGGGTATTGCAAATTTGAGTGTCACTGGATGGGTGCGCAAGGGCCCAATGGTTTTGATGGTGGAGTGGTGGTGTAGATCTTTGCTTTTTGGAGAGGGGGACGGAAGGGCGACAGAAATGGCAGATAGAGATGGGAATTAGGGAGACGGCGACAAATCTACAGAAATTTAAAATGATACAGAAAAGGTAGAGGTAATTCACCAATAAAGTGATAAGTGGCATAACCACTATTAAAGACTCAAGAATTGATATGGCGTCGCGGTGACTACTCCAGCAAATACAGCCCATCTCACAATTCTGTCCTCCACACGCCTCCAAACATTGCAACGTTGGAGAGAATGCGGAGACTCCGCAAAAAACCACAGTCAAGTGAGGGGAATTAGCCAACCCAAAGCCCGTGCAAACCCCGACAATACCAGTAAAAAAAGGCCCGAATGCTTTTCCAGTAAACACACCCGGAATTACTGCTGAAAATCGACTGACTCGCAAGGCAGCAGCATTAAAATTCCTGCCCGTGGGGAAACGCGTGGGGGGTCTTGTCATTGGGGAATAAACGTCTGGAGAACGGAGTAAGGAGGCTGGATGGGGTTCCGAGGAACAGAGTTTTCGACTGTTATTAATTGACGGGGTTTGGATGGGGCTCAACAACGCTCAGGCACGGGAATTGTCGGTCAGGATTGGAGTTACGGGTAATGATAGACCCAATTCCAGGGACATGGTTGTGGAGCTCGGCAATAAGAGGGTGACAGTTACCCCCATGGTCGGTAATTGACGTCTGGTGATCGTTGGGCTTGGTGTTGGAGATGCGGATGCCAAGAGCAGTCCGACGGCACGCGGAAGACAATTCTACGGCCTTGGCGCATGGAATTTTTCTAGAAGAAACTGAGACTGCCAAAGAAGTGAGGCTCTTTCAGTAAATGTCAGTGAGTTGTTGCGCTCATTTGAGTGGATGTGTTCAATTGAAGCGGACATCAAACGCGATGCGCTGGGCACAGTGGATATTCATAAAATGTATTCGTTCAAAGAAACACAGGCGCTTTTCGCGCTCATCTATCGCTATGCTCTATAATCACAAACAATCCATCATTGATTACTCCAACCGCCCAGCCTCACTAGTCTCATCCCTCGACTGCTTCAGAAACGGCACCAGCGTCGTGCCCCCCGTCCCCGTCAACTCCTCCCCATTCTTTTTCGACGAACTACTCGCCAGGTTCTGCGGCCCATCCTTCCTCCCGCTCCTGGCAGGCAGAATGATGTACCGCGTCACAATCTGGATGTGCTTGTTCCTAAACACCGTGAGCGCCTCTGTCGCTGCTGTGAATGCAGCCTGAAGACGTTCTTGCGCAGGACTGCTGGGTGTTTGGGAGGCTAGTTCGCGGATACTGCCCTTGCGAGCGACGTGTGTCAGGAACCGGCGGTGAGGACCCGGCATGTAGTCTTTTACTATGTCGTGATAGCTCCTCTCGCCGGCTTTCTCGGTGTTGTTACCGCTGGTTATGTGCTCTACGCCGAGAACAACATCGAAGAATTGGATCAGGGAGCTTTGGCCGTTACTTCCACCGCGGAGATGGCGCCACTCGCCTTTTCCGTCACCTTCATCGTAGAAAACACCTTTTGGCAGACCAGCTGCTTCCATGTTTTTGCTCCCCGCCAAGAACGGTCTGATCTTGTAGTAGAACGTCATAGGATCGCACTTCTCATACATGCGCTCTAGCAAAACGCCAACACTGTCGATGCAAGACTTGAGTTGTTCGAGAGCAGAGATTATAACGTCGTAGTCTCGTGTCTTGACGGCTTCGAGCGCTTCCATCATTTTGGGAATGATGGTTCCGGCGCGAGCTTCCATGGCGACACTGATGAGGAGGAACCATTTTTCTGACTCTGTGCCGGTGAAGGTGTGTAGGGTGTCGAGGTGGTCGAGATCAGTGAAGTCGTTGCTTGAACTGGAGAAGTTCCAGAGGTTTGCAGCGGCGTATGAGAGAACGGGAGGGAGTTCGAGATGTTTTGAGACAGCGAGGAACGGAACAGTGATTTGTGGGGGTAGAATCTAACACAGTCAACATCCACATCGAATTAAAGTATCAGTAGGTTAGCTTACCTGCGCAGGCTTCTCTCCACCCCAAACATAAGCATGCGTCAAGAACGCCAAGATCGAATACGCCCTCCTCCACTCCGCCTCAGACCTTAACCTCTCCGTCGACAGAACAGGAAGAGTATCAACAGCACGTCTTATATCAAAATACTTGATCAGAGCAGGGAGATGCTGAATAACAAGCTCCCACGGCTCATAGTAAGAATCGGGTAGTTGTTTGAGGGGACTGTGCTCAGGGAGGAAAGCGTTGCTTGTCACGGCGAACTCTTTTAGTTCGGCCGTGAGCTTGATGCGCGGGAGTTGGTACGTAACAGCGTGTGGCGACATATTGAACTTTAATTCTTTTTTTAAAAATAGATAAATGCAGAGAAGCTTGATGGAATTGGTAGAGAAGATGTATAATCTCAATTGTTCAGAAGAGCATCAGTCTAAAATACAATTGTAAAGCCCATGGGTTATTTCTTGTTTTTCTTACTTCCGTCTTCCGTGTACTTGACCTCCGTCTCCGGTCTCCGTGAAAATAAAGTCTCATCCGATCCGTGTTGTGCCCGCGTGACCAATCGCTGTTTGTCGCTATATCTAAAATGGATAATGACGTCCACTATGCGGATGTCGGAATGCGGATGTGCGGATGGACCAACCAACTTCCGTGCTTCCGCTAAAAATTGGTGGAGGCTTCACGGAACATAAAGTGATTTCGCAATCCCACTCACAAACGGATCATACGAGTTCAATCACATCAGTTCATAATCATTACATCACTTTCTTTTCTTATTATAATTTGAATTACACACAATGGAGCTTTCTGGATTTGTCGAGCGTCTGAGGAGCGGTGCTGCCGCCAAGTTTCCCAGCGATGCTAATTCTCTCGACTTTGCCCGCCATTTGGACTCGCAGGATAAGCTAAGCCATCTTCGGGATGAGTTTGTCCTGCCTACCAAGAAGTCCCTCAAGAAGAAAGCCCTCGACGGTTCACTTCGTGAGTACGCCTTTCCTCTCAATGAAGATCTAGACTAATTGTTTTAGCTGGCGCAGCCAATGGCACAAATGGTCACAGCAACGGCCATACCAACGGCTCAGCTGATGATGATCAACAATGTCTCTACTTCGTCGGCAACTCTCTCGGCGCTCAACCGAAAGCTGTTCGAGAATATCTCAACGCTCAACTCGAGACATGGGCTTCTATCGGTGTGAACGGACACTTCAGCGCTCTCGGCAACTCACCGCTTCCAGCATGGCAAGACCTCGCTGAGGACTGCGCCATCAAGTCGGCAGACCTCGTCGGTGCTTCTCCCCACGAGATTGTCATCATGAACACCCTCACAGCGAACCTGCACCTCCTCATGGCGAGCTTTTATAAGCCGAATGAGAAGAGACACAAGGTTATTCTGGAGTGGAAGCCGTTCCCTAGTGATCACTATGCTATTGAGAGTCAGGTTGTTTGGCACGGTCTTGATCCGGAGAAGAGCATGGTTAAGATTCATCCTAATGAGGATCACATCATTACAACTGATTTGATTCTTTCGACTATTGATGAGCATGCTGAGGATACTGCTCTTCTCTTACTCCCTGGTATTCAGTACTACTCCGGTCAACTCTTCGACATTCCCCGTATCACAGCATACGCTCAAGCAAAGGGTATCGTGGTTGGTTGGGATCTCGCCCACGCCGCTGGAAACGTCGAACTCAAGCTCCACGACTGGAACGTTGATTTCGCTTGCTGGTGCACGTACAAGTACATCAACGCAGGCCCCGGCTCCATCGCAGGTGCTTACGTCCACGAGCGCCACGGCAAAGTCGAGCTCAACGACGCCACCGGTAAAGCTACCTACCGCCCGCGTCTCATGGGCTGGTACGGCGGCGACAAGAGCGTGCGCTTCAATATGGACAACAACTTCATCCCCACCTCCGGCGCAGGCGGCTTCCAGCTCTCCAACCCGTCCGCCATCGACCTCGCCAGTCTCTCCGGCGCATTATCAGTGTTTAACAAAACAACCATGCACGACCTGCGCTCCAAGGCTTTAGTGCTAACAGCCTACGCTGAGTATCTGCTTGATCAGATCTTGGCCGAGTCGTCAGACGCTGAGCTGTTCCGCATTATTACACCGAGGGATCCGCTGCAGAGGGGCACGCAGCTTAGTGTGTTGTTGAAGGATGGGCTGTTGGATAATGTTAGTGCGGCGCTGGAGGAGAATGCTGTGATTTGTGATAAGAGGAAGCCTGGTGTTATTCGCGTGGCGCCTGTGCCGCTGTACACGAGGTTTGAGGATGTTTGGAAGTTTATGCAAATTTTGAGGACGGCTTTGCCTTAGATGGAAAGATAGATAATGATTGTTAATGAAAGCCTGGTTTATTTGGTTAAGCTTTGAAAGTTTAGTGATGTCTATTGAAGGAGCTGTTAATTGTGCCAGTTGATGTGCGCAATCATCCATTGCTGGAAGTTATCTTCACACCGTATCTTGATTTCTTTTCCCTTGAAACGAACAGCCGTCAGTACCAGATTCGCATGATGACGACTTTTTCCAGGCATTGCGCCATATGATCTATCACATTACATCCCGCATACCATCGTCTTACTCGGCTAGACATGGCATTCCATAACCGAGGACCAGCCACGTTATCTTGCACCACGACGCGCAATCCTCGTCGGATCTGATATCAGGAACATACCCGCCAGATCTGACACCTCCGAACTTCCGTACCTACCGATTCGTCATTGACGTTTCACAGATGGTGCGTCAGGTCAATACCACCTCCCGCATCCAACAGCGCAAACAAGTTCAAAGCCGACCCCGAATCAGCCTCATTCCCCATCGGTCCGCCCCAGTAGCTCGGATCAGGCGTCTGCATCATACTCTCGCTCAGGCCCAGAAAGGCTGAGTCCAAGTCCCCAAACAACGGTGATCCGACATGTTGTAGACCGTTATGCTGTAGGAACGTCCTATCCAATGATTCGCGCCCTCTAGAGGAGGGCGTTGTCATTGACTGGCCTGTGAAGGTGGGTGATGAGTCCATCGTGTCGGAGGGTATGAGACCAAACAGTTGGCTCGAGTTTTCCGTGCGTCGTTGGCGTTCGGCGAGTTCACGCTTTTCGAGGTATTCGAGGGCGGTTGTTAGAAGGGATTGGGCTATGAGAGAGTATTGGCCCGCGTGGGTGTCGTGTTTGGAGCAGTGGTCTAGGGCGTGGATGGCCATGCGGGTGTATTTCTCGAGGACGCGGCCGAAACCACCGAGGAGGCCGACGCCTAGGACAAGAGAGCTGGCAAATAACCATGACCTGGAGCGTGTTAGTCTAGATATCCGTGAAAGCATGAGTTTGGGTGACTTACACAAGAATGGGAACATGACCAACAAGAATCCCCTTCTGTATGAGATCTAGTATCGGATCAACCATGAGACTCGCCGCGTCAATACAAGCATCAGCGAGTTTCGACTTTCCACTCGTCAAAGCAGATCTTCCATTCGAGTTGAGCGAACCATCCGATAATCGCCGACAAAGCTCATACATGAGAAATGGCCTCGACACCAGCATGACGGCGTAATAATACGTAGCCAATATCTGACAAGCACCACTCGCCTGAGCTCTATCCTGAGCCTCCGGATTTGCAACTATATCCTTGAGTTGTTTCAACCAGCGCGAAGACCAATCTCGTAGTTGGAGTGATATCCCCTCCGTAAGTTGCAGCGACACTTTTCGTCGTGAGTAAATCTCCGTTACGACACCCTCAAGCACCAAGAATATCTGCACAGATGCATTGAGCAAGTCCACCGGTTCCTCAACGTTCTCATCAGGACTTTGATACGGAACCGTACAATCAACATCCGACGTAGCAGGCGGTCTACCCATAGAAGAACTCAGAAAAAGATCAACGACGCGTATACTCTTCCAAAGACGATCGCGCTGTCTGTGAATATCCGGCCCAAAACGCGCGTTGACTTCCGTTCTGTGAATGCCAATCGAGTAAGCTGCGCGTACAGCTGTTCCGAAGAAGAGAAACGCGCCGTTGATCTGACATGAACATAGCATGTATAGTGTGATTAGCGTAAACATCTGGACTGTTGAGACGCTGAGATTGCCAGTGAGGTTGGAGTATGCTTTGTCGCGTGCATATTCAAAGTAATCCTGTGATCGCTCCTCATCGTTGATCTTCATTCCGATGGCGAGGACGAGGAAGTTGACAATTGTTGTAGCGTCATCTTGCTTCTGGTCCATGTTCGCCCAGAGGATAAGGTCATCTTGAAGTCGTCGATTATCAAACAGATCCACGAGTCCAGTCGCAATGGACAAGTAATTCGTCACCGCTAGGGGAATATCATCTGGATGAACGATTGGTATGCGGTTATCACCCGGTATCCGTCTCGACTGATGCGCCGTTGCATTTTCCAGAACAGAATACCGACTCGACTGCGGCGCAAAAGCATTCTGCCCAACTCGTGTAGTGACAAGTTGTCTCACGCTCTGAAAAAACGAAAGCGGCGCACAATCGCCCACAAAGATTAACTTTCCCTGCGCATCGCACACCAACCTCGCCTCCCTCGGAACCTCCGTCTCATCCTCCGCATCAATCTGTCCTCCATCATCTCTGTCGACCTGCGCTCCATTTTCCCTCACAGGCTCAGCAGCAGGCGTAGAAGGCGTAGTGTGTCTCGTAGACTGAGCCCGCTCTGAAGTCTGCGGTGAGCGCACAGAGAGCGCTTTACGCCGCCGCTGGGGAGAGTAGTGGCAGTCGTGGGGCTTTTGGCGACGCGTGCAGTAGCTGCATGGTAGTTTACCGTCGCACTTGACTTTGCGGGATTTGCATCCGTCGCAGGCGTTGGCGATGCGGCTGCGGATGTAGCGTTCTGGTTCTGAGGGTCGCATGCTCTGGTGATCTGGGATTGGGGTTTTTCGGTGAAGCGTGCGGAAGCGGATGTGCAGAGGTGAGAGGGCGGAAACAAGCGGATGTTCGGACTTGGAAAATTGTTAGTGCAGTCTCGGGCCGGCTTGAGATTCCGAGTCTTGGCTTGAGGTTGAGAACTGGGGAATTATATAAATGCCTGACTCTCTTATTTCAGATGGAATTGATATGAGTTATTGGAAAGATTATTGGGGAGATGTATTACTTCCGAAGGTTTGACAAGGTGGTATTCGGTATAAGTGATAAACCAATCGCATGTGCATTTTGTGCATGTTCACATCCGACAAGACGGCACAGCGGCTATGTTCAGCGGATCAGCACTACCATCCACTGGAACTGGTTCTCACTCACAACAAGCTCAGTTGACCAGCCTCAACAACTTTACTTCACTCATTAGGAAAACAGCAATATATCCACTATTTTCTTAATCCATTCATCTAAAACTAGTGAATTTTCTTTTTTTGAGTTCCTTACTAAGGGCTATCGTGAAATCCCGAGTCGCAATCGCGCACTGATGTCTGCCTCACTTCTCAACTGTACCGTCCAAAATCGCATCCAGCTTGCTGGTCTTCTGCTTCTTTGCACCACCCTCACCATCACCAGCCTTGCGCTTCTCACCATCCTGAGCGACTGTCCCGTGCCCTTTAGCTCTGGTTTCAAGACCACGTTGCAGCATCTCTCGTCGCTCAGAGGCCTGTTCATCATCAAGCGCTGCCCATGCGTTTTTCATCCCCTTGAATACCGGGAGGAACGACTTTCTCATCTCTTTAGGTGTAAGACTCAACCGGCATTCAAGACCATCGGACTTATCGAATGCATCCTTGAAGTGGAAACAAAGTTCCATGAGGATAGGCATGCTCTCGACCCAGAAGTCTTTGTCTTCGGGATGGTGAAGCATCAACTTCGCCACGATCGAGAAGACATGGCCAAGTTGACACCATTCGGGATCATGATACTCGAAGTCGTGGCCTTTCAGATCATATGCCGCCATCCAGGCGTAACGGTTGAATTGCTGGTGCCAAGTTGACTTGATCAGCTCAAAGATGCAGATCTCGCGGACGACACCAGTCATCCATTCCAGGAGCTTGATGTCCTTGGAAAGCTGCATCGACCCACTTTGTGCAACAGACCCTCTCAATGACATCGTGGTAGGTATCGGCGACCTTGAGCATGTGAAAGATGGACTGCTTCTTCTGGTTGGTGCTACCCATATTGTTGATGAACTTGAGCATGCGCTCTGGTTCAAGAGTCCAGTTCAACAGCAGCCCTTTGGTACAGTCTGTATGCGCGTTGACATCCCTGACCTTGGTATCCACGTTGGCAACGAGGATCTCCAAACCGGAGGCTTTGTTCTTCCATTGGTCCATGATCTTGAATTGCTCCTCGCCAGTGTCTGAACCGGATACTGCCAACATTGAAGCCGGCTACGACGAACAAGGCCACAGCGATACTTGAAAAGGTCAGCAATCTCGGAGCATTCACGCAGTTCCAAGCAGGGCTGCCTGAAACGAGGGAAAGATGTGTACTTACCACTGAATCCATGGATCTTCGACATATACAACAAGACGTTCCTTGTCATCCCTGCAGTACTTGTATGCCAACTCAAGAGCTCGAGTCATGATTGGATTATAGTAGCAAACCCAGCGAATGCAGTCAATCCTGTCAGTTGGTGCATGTCGGTTCTTTTCATCTATGGCCTGGTCATAGAGCAAACGTAGGCCACAAGTCTGGTCATCGCGAAGCAGTTTGTACGTGTCGACAAGTTGGACTACTTCCGAACTCCCGAAACCCTCGATACAGTGTTCCTCAATTTCCAGATCGAGAAGCTGTTTCATGACAGACTTTGCGGTAGCGACAGTAGCCAGGAAGGGGGGTTCCTCCAGCTCGAGAAGTATCTTGTTCCGCCAGTCGAACGAATTCAAGACAGCCTTGCGGTGTTCCAGAGATTTCGATGTCGGATGATTCTCGTGCCCTGGTGATTGGGCATGGCCCAAGTCGTCGATCTCAGGGTAGTGAGGGATATCCCACTGGAAGCGGCACTCTTCGACGAGGATCATGGGTGATGGCTGGTTCATCTCCGAGTTTGCTGAGGCTACGACGAGTTAAATAGTGTTCAGTACATCGCAAAGGAACATTTCCAAGCAGATCTCATGATAGCATGCAACATGTTTGCTTCTTGTCGCCGCTCAGCAATGCCTCGAAGTAGTACTGCGACGATCAAGTAACTTACCGTTGGATGGACGCTTGATCAGATGTTTCATGTCCGTTATCCCAAGATCTAAAGGGACATGTGTCTCGTCCTTTGTGGACGTCGACATTGAGGACTCGAATTCGGACTGCATATGATGTTGAGAGAGGAAACAGAGCTCTGCCTTGAGCTTATTTGACGAGATAGGAGGTACTTTAAGCTCGCTCAAGTCCCGGAGGCGCTGGGAGAGGCTCTCCGATGGACATGTAGTTGTAAGAGGTTCCAGAAGCAAGGTGTTGATTCTGATGGATACCAGCTTGTGTATGTTTGATATGAGAATAGTCGCGATATTTCTCAATCCATTTCGGAAAGGAGATTCTGTAGTCATCCACATAATACTCTTTGTTTCCGTCAAACATGCGCATCAAGCTGATAAAATGATCATCGTCATTTGAGAAACAAGGGTTACTTAGTCCTCTAGCCATTTCTAAAGAAGAAGCGGGTTGCGGCTCAAGGAATTGCTGTAGGCTGGATGTGCAAGAGTAGTGTTGAACCAAGATCATTCCGAGCACCTCTGCTCGAATCTTCGAGAATCGCCGTAAGTAGAAAGGGCGAAGAGAGCGCGATAACTTTCGAACACGGCTGCTTGGAATCGTTGAATTTGCAAGTTGAAATCTCTCAAGGGGTTACTTGAGATGGTGAGGGCCGTCGAGCAAACGATTCCAAACGGGTCTGCTTGAAAGGGGGCGGCTGGTCACAATTCCGAGCAGGCATGCGTGAACACGACCCACAGCAACGCAAGAGAAGTGAGGATAGAGAAAGAAGAAAGATAGGAAAGAGAAGTTGAAATCGAGGAGAAGGGATTATACATCCAGCTGTGGTTACGTGAGAACATGGTTTTGGTAATTGCTTTGAAAAAGTAAGGGTATTACCATCCGGCGGCGTAAAATTCAAGGCCTCTGGTGTTGAAGTAAAGTCCACAGACGCACTCATACTTCATCATTCCATTCCGTGACTCTCATATTTTTTCTAAGCGATTATTGCTCTCCGACTAACAAACCCCTGGTCGTCTTACAGGATCCTGAACGCACTTCCCCAGTGCCTTGTCTAGAAACTTTCAATTGTCTGACACTAAAGGATCCAGATACGAAACATAACAAGAGCTAGCCAAAGAAAATATCCAAACCTCAGCAGATGATTGAAAGTTCCTTTTATCTGAGAGATACTAAAGAAGCTTGCCGTAACCGCCGCTGGTAGAGAGATTACGGCCAGTACTGCGATGACTTTCTTACTGGCACTGTTTTCCTCTGTATCGAGAGCAGTGTTAATGCGAGTATCACTGTCTTGTTGAGTGACGGGCTTGAAGACAAGTTCCATGGCGATGCCCTCGCGTGTTTTGTAGCTGTGAAGCCGGCGCTTTTACGAATCAAGTGATTGGACTCGGTGACCAATGGCATCTCCGATGTTATCATCTGCGAAGCCTGAAAGCTTTTGACTAAAGGATAAGTCCTCTCCGTTAACCTTTGGAGCACTCTCGACTCGATTGTGGTCTTGATTTGGTGACTCTGCTATTGTTGATCCGGAGATCCTTTTTGGGCTTGTCTGGATCTGATAGACTAGCCGCATCTCGCGTCACCAACGACATCTTCTCGGGATTGGATTACTCGTGTGGCTTATGATACTTGACTCAAATAAACTTTGAGGAGTTTGAGCCGACTCCTCACGCAAAGTTCTCTTACCGGCGGTCCCATGTCAGCTCTGAGGCTCCCTTTAGCTAAATTCTCGTAGAATGAATTCAGAAGAAGAAAAGAAGGAGCTAAATCATTTCATAAAGGCTGCATTAGAAGTCAGCTCGCAATTACCGAATTAGCTGGCCACAAAAGACTAAGCAGACAATGGTAACAAATATGATATGATACTTCACGTGCCATCCAACTTGTTCTTTCGGCTCTTCCAGACTCAATCTTGGGGCAGTGGTGTTGAGATACCCCGCAGTTCTCCGCGTTCGTCTCCTGATATGAGCACTCGGCTGACAACTGTTCGCATTTCCCGTTATAGCCGTTACTCTGGGGTAAGTCCCCGGCAAGACCTGTCAATCGCGATGAAAATTAGACATTGTAGGTTGACTTCCCTCCGAGATCATCAAAATTGGCGATACTCGCGCTATTGTAAGTATATCCTCTTTGCGCTATCACAAAGGCCGAAGACACCAAGCACACCCAATTGCTAACAAACCTACATAATGTTCGTCAGATTGAGGCCGCGTTTCTCTTCGGGTTCACCCTCTTTTGATGCACCCGGTAACCTCCGGATAATGTTGGGTGACAATCGTGAAACTTTAGTCAGCCAAAACGCAAACCTGCATTGATCGTGTGATCTTGTACTCTTCTTGTATTAGCCAAAAGTCTACGGAATCGATGGAGAGCGATGCGCGTAGGTGGCTCCATAATTCGACGTAACAACTTGTAATTGCGCATAAGTATCGAGTGATGCCCGGCAATCTCTCGGGAACTTACTTTCTTTTAATCTCTGCACATCGCCAAAAATACTCAGCGCTACAGAGTACCCTTTGAACAGAATCTATAGTTTTGTGGCTGCAACTAAAGACACTTTGTCTATTGTTTTCCCATCTTCACGTCAACATTATCATATCATCTGTCAGCCTCAAGGTATCCCTTAGGATCAATCATGGCATGGGACTTGGAGATCGGAACACCTTGCTGGGTAGCAACCGGTGACGTCGAGATGCACAGACAGAGCGTCACCCCTCGCCGAGCTACTCCCAAATACTTCCAAATCCCGGACAAGATCGACATGCCGGGAGTAATATACGATGACCTTCTCGAGGATGTTCGAGAAGGCCTGGAGGAGATCTTTGACCACCCAGGCTCCCGTGCACCCTTCATACCAGGGTACCAAGATCGTGCTGATGCGATCGCGCGTGCGAAGTTGTTGCGCGAACACGGCCAGAAAAGCTCGGATGTCATGATGGTGCATCTGAGGCCTCCCTCTGGAGTCATCTCTCATAGAGAGCTGAATGTTTATGCGCGAAAGGTTGCTTACAATGGGGAGGGATTGAGGGTAGCGAAGAAGAAGGTTTATGTTATTTGTGAGCCCTTCACTAAGAGAAATATCGATCGGGTCGAGCCAGTTCAGTTTGAGTGAGGGGGAATCAGGCGCGTTACAGATGAGATCGGCGTTTCTTTTTACTTGAGGTCGGTAGCAGGACACTCTTTGACACAAATTGCTGTTAGGGACACCATGATAGCATGAATTGATTTGCAGATGATAACATCTCCAAAGCGCATAATGAACTCAACATTCGAAAGTCAGGACAAGATATACAATACGGGGTTGAATTTCCCGACTATTGCCCTTCTAACTGGCCCTAGCACAGTGGCATTGCATAAAGCCCTCAATCTGATGGCGAAGGTAAGAAGCTCGATAATCCTCCTGTACGTCTTCGTACGACGCCGTGAGCTTCCCATATCTGATGTTACTTATAACATAGACTCAGCTATATGCGCTGTGGGGAAGCAGATAACGAGTCTGCTGGTGGTATCAGAAGTGTAAAGAGCACTTTAGTTAATTGAAAAAGATCGTAGATATTTATATGGGTTTAAATCAGCTTAACTCAATCATGAGATTCGTTTAGACGCTTCAGTGGTGTTAGATGAACTGGAGGGGCACAGTATATGAACTGAAGCTGTTCCATTTTAACAAGCATATGATAAAGCTAAGTGAAACACATACAGGTTTCATACGGATCCCCAAGATATCATTCAGATCAGGGACGTATTAAATAAGAGAACCCTTCCGCAGTAACCCCCTGATCGCCTGTTCCCATGACCGGAATCTACCGTGAAAGAGAAGGTGGCAAAAGAGCCCGCGTTCGTCAAAGCCATATGAGGGCCGACGTAATTGGGAAAATTTTCGTGTGAGCGAGCGAGCGAACAGAACGTCTCTAAACTCTAAGTATTAGGACAGGCTACCTAGGATCGTCGGCCGGACTTCGCATAGAAATATTTATCCTTGCTCATGCCGTTCAGATCCTTCTGTTTGCCCCCTATGCAGGTGCGTGAGGATGTGTCCTACACATCCACAGACTCATACCTGCGTCGCTTTCCGCTTGGATATCCCGAGTCAGGCCCTGATGATTTGAAGGGCCTGTGGCAAGTAAAGTCTCGATGACCTCTACCGAGCTCTCCTTCTTGTGTTCTTCCTTCTCCAACAGCGGCCCGGCAAAGGTGCAGACCCGCATATCTCTCAAAGTTCAGAGGTTTGGTTAGGATACACCACGGCCCGCTCTCACTATCCCTGGTATGATGCTCTCAACCCTTCATCAGTGGAACCCTTTGCATTTCAGAAGCTCCCTCGAGAAATACAGCTCCGGATTATCGAACTTGTAACTTTGCATAAGGTCACACCGACTATTCAAAGGGAGAATAGATGGCTACGAGCGTTCCGCAAGATCCGCTGCACATCCGAAGACTCAATTCTAGCTCTTAAATTGACGTCTCGGAGCATGTATCACTTGGTTAAGACTGCGAATCCAGTTCAAGCTACCAGCGAATCTTTTAGCCTTCCTCCGCGGACAGTGGCGTTTCGAATGAAATTGGAGGTTGACACATTGCGAATATTCAAAATGAACCAGGGCATTCCAGTCTTTTATGATAAACTTGGCTTTTGTGCGCCACTCCCTGTGCGTAAGCTTCTCTTGACAGAGGCCAATCATAATTGTTATCATCCTCAGGATGCCCTTCAGTCTTTTTGTAACTCCAGCGTTTACTGCTCTCCTGGTTTGATGCTTGACAAACTTTCCGAAGCTAGACGAGTATTTTTTAATACTTCCAGCAGTGAAACAGGAGTGGAAGATGGACGGACTTTCGCAAGTCAGGCCCCAAGCCGACAATGGAGCTACAGTGCATATTGGCACCAAGTGGCAATTCAACTTTTATCGCTATTACAGTATTGAGAAACTCGACACTGAAATCCCAGAGGGATAGCTAATAGGCGTTCCGCCAAACTTTTGTGACAATAACCACCTCGACGGTAGTGACCCTTCCGACCGTCCTGGGAGCATCCCGTATATCGGAAGAAAGGATGGATCAAGGTGCAATATGCAGGCCCATATGGCGACATCTGGAGACAACAACTGTTTAAGACATGAAACGCTGTGCGCTGCACGGTGAAAACCATTCAGGACTCACCTGACGATTGCCCTTGCAGCCTCTGTCAGAGATAGATATTGCTTCGAAAGGAACATGGAACGCATTGGTGAAGCAAGCTTTTGCCCTTCCTACGGTCCCGTCTTGTATGGACTGACTATCTACGGAACTGATGGAGTGACGATCTGGTTGGCATGAGATTCTGTGGCTAGACGGGTTGGAAGTTGACATGTTGTGACCAGACCCTGAGTGGCGGTCTTCGCAGTGAATAATTGTTATTATAAGTATAAACAAGAAAAGAGTAAAAAATGATTTGTTATTCTTTTCCTTTAGTAGAGTGACACAACTTAGAAACAGACAGTCACGGTGACAACACGTAACGTTAAGGTGCATTAAATATGACCCTTCCAACTTATCTAGGGGATTAGATGTAGCCCAGTAAGTGCTGACTACCAATTCAGTTGAGGCATACATAACTCTTGATCAACAAGAAGCTGTTAATCCACTCAACAAAGACCAGCCTTGGTGGGCTCACAAGCACCATTGCCCTTGTCGCACCCGTTGTATCCCTGGCATTGGACTTTGGGGTAACAGTTATTGGAGTATGTGGCCTATTATACATTAGCTAGGCAGTCAGTTATTGATCACCATACATACCTTATCGCCCAGGTTGGTGTTGATGCCCATCAACTCACCACCGTTCACAGCAGTGGTACCCTCCATATGCACCGAGCGCCGGCAGTTACCTTTGCAGTTACCGCAAGACCTGTACACCTTTCCGTAATCGTTGGCGTAGAAGTTGATGATGTTGACATGACCACAGCCGTTGTGCTGAATGATTTTATCAGAAGCCTTGTAGGCGCCACCTCCGATGATGTTGGCTGTGCCGCCGCCCTTGATCGAGATGGCATCCTCGCAGACGTCCTCGAACCAGACGAATTCGAGAGTGCATGATCCGAGGCAGTACACGCCTTCGCGCTGGTTGGCGCCGATAATGACGTTTCGAAGTTTGGCTCCGTCCTCGAGGACGAAAACAGTATCTTTCTCACCTGGATAAAAAACAGTCAGTGACCCTTGTTGGCATCATGATGTTCTGGTGACTTACCTCCTTCATCCTGGCCGGTGCATTTTACGCCACGATCATACTTGACCCAGCCAGCGTCGAAGGTCTGGCCCTTTTTGATATATTGCGGAGCACTGAGAGTCTTGGTTCCTGTGTGCTTGGGAAGTCCTCCAGTATAACCCTTGCAGGCTAAGACTGATGGGAGGGCTGTAAAAAGAGCAATTGTGCTGGGGAAATGCATGATGAAAATTTGTTGAAGCTGGTCTTTTGGTGTCAAAAGTTAATCGATATCATTGAGACATAGCACGGGCATTTATACTTTTCACCCGTCTCTCTCAAAATGCTCTCTCAATGTTCCATGATGCCAAGTGTAAGTGCATGCATTATTCCCTGCAATGCCCAGCCTTGCAAGCGGGGGTACCATCCAGGTGGTATCCTGGCGATCAGTGCCAGTAATTCCTCCAGTCATATCCAGTGTCAATGAAGTAGGAGACTGTTCACAAGACGATAGTGTGCCAGTATCGAACTGCTATTGGTGGAAGTCAGTCCTCGATGGAAGTCGCTACGATCAAGCTTGTCTTTATGCTTGAAAAGGCTCCGAGGCTCCGAGAGATTGAATTTCTGCATCGGGCAGGTGTTGTCTTATTGGATGGTTCCTATTGAGCAACTCGATATTCTTTGACGGAGATAGGTGCGCTTGGGATACGTAATGTCTTGAGAAGAATTTAGATACACGAGTGAGGCTTCTTTTGAACCGGCGGCCAATTTACGCACTTGTACCAGCTCCTGTGAGACATATACATCCTATAAGCGACTTTTCCGACCATACTTTAGCCATGAACATGCCAACAAAATCGGAAAAGCACACCTACTCACAACACATCTACTTATTAAGTAGAGTTTAGATGATTGCCATTCAGTGCCTATTCAAGACAGTCTCCGATTTAATGTCGAGTGAACCGCTAGACGTGTTGGCCAACTTTGCTAGAGTTTCATGAGCACATCGTATCCGTTGATTAGATACTTGCATCAACGAGACTTACTTTCAAAGACTGAATGTGGAAGGCTTGTATCTTTGCCGTGAGAATGTGAATACCCGTGAGAATAATGCTACAGTCGAGAACAGTTGCAATTGAAAGCTCAGTATTATTGTTACAATGTGTATTACCCAGGACCATAGCATAAAATCCCAATACCATATGCCAAGAACCATATCTAACAGCTTCGACTGGAGAACCCGCTAGTTGCGTCTGTCCGGTGTGTAGCTTGAAGGAGGGCCAGGAGACCAACTCTGAGAAGACACTCCAGGCGAGACAGGTGTCTTTCTACCAACTGCATCCTGAGGGAGCTCGCTCACCCCATGTCCATCCCCGTGTTGTTCTGCAGGAAGTTCTGTAGGTGGTGCTTGCGAAGCCGAGATAGACTGGTGAGGACTCATGTGATGCGGGCTTACGGGCTCAGATCCATGCCCCCAATATCCCGTCGCTGTGAGTGGACTGACCGTGCTGGGAGGATGTATCAAGTTTCCTCCATTGCCCTGATACTGATTCTGTGTCATTGAAGATTGGCGTCTCTCTTCACGGCGGCGGTTGATTTTCTTGCCGATACAGAACCATACAAGTAGCAGAAGGGCCACTCCTGCAGCGCCGCCGATGGCGATGCCAACAATAGCACCAGTAGATAGCTTGGAATCGGGGTTGCTTGTCTCGGTTGGCTTTGGTGACGCTGTTGATGTACCTGTCGTAGAGGGGATAGAGCGTGTTGGTGAACGCTCTGCTATTTCTGGCCTGCGTCCCAGCAAATCTTGAAGTGGCTTATTTCCCTCATCAAACCCGTCCTTGGGTGCCGCCAGTTTCGCACCACCTTTCTTGTTTCCACCAGTAACGTTGTACACATCAGCAGGTACAACGTTCTCAGTGATATTAGGGTTATAGATAGCCCAGTACGTCTTGTTATTGCCAGCGTTGTTATTTGTTCCGGTCCAGAAATTATGCATTGACCAAGCATCATACGCTAGGTCGCACGCATCAGTATCGGTGTAGGTGCCTCCGATGACGAAAAGCTGCGACATGTGTTTAACCATGTTGCAAGATGCGCTGTAGTGGTCGTATTCTGGAGGAAGGGTTGCATTTCCGTGATGATCCGGGTAAGCTTTCACCCAGATGAACGATGGGAGGGTCAGGATGTAGATATCGTTAAATGAGGTGGCATTGACGACTGGTGGCTGCACGCTCAGTCCTCCCCAGAGGTATCTTTGACGAGATTAGTACACAATTTCAGTCTTAGCACTAAGCATTCAGCTGACTTACATGTTGAAAGAAGACTTGTCCGGTGCCCACGCCACGTCTACGCAGAATTGACGCCTGTTCTGCGGTATCTCTCCAGTCGTCTTCTGAGTTGACCACGAGTTTCCCTTGGCATCAAAGACGAAAACTTCGTCAAATGCCTGAGGAGCTTCCGTGTTGTTGCCAAAAGGGTCGACAATACCTCCAAGGTAAACAAGTAGGCCAAGAGAGTCGCCAGCTGGTATCCAGACCATGCCACCTTCAGCTCTCGGCTGTTTGCTGAGACTAGCCGCCTGTGTGAACTTCCCAGAGTCATAGGAGTACGTGTAGAAGTTGGAGCTCATGGTTCGATCGTCGGTCCATCCGCTCATCGAGGCGTTGCTTATCCAACCTCCAAGGTAGTAGCCCATGCCGGTTTCCGAAACACCAACACCCGCGCCGTATGAGGCGATCTTTGGCGGAGGGGTTATGTCAGGCGTTCCAAAGTCGTCCCACTTGTCGTAGATGATGTCGTAGCTCAGTAGGCTGTAAGGTTCTTGTGAGAAACCGTTGTTCCATTCGCCACCGTAGAGATAGAATCGCTTGTTGACGCTGTCGCCCCAGAGGATACCACCATTTACGCTCGGAATACTGTTGCATTGGCGTTAGCCGGTCTCAAAGGAAGACGAACGAGAAGCGTAAGGGTCATCTTACCTGTCATTCTTGCTTAGGCTGATATTCAGGTCTGGCCAAAGATCGCCGCCTCGTTTGACGAGGTTGTTGAGGTCATGGTATGCGAGCCAGGTATCTGGAGTGGTGATCAGTGATCTGAGGACTTGTCTGCAAACTGCTGGGTCTACATACTGGAGTAGTTCTCGTGAGTTTGCTGGAAGTCATCAAAGTTGACCCATCCGCCGTCGATGTAAAGCTTGTCGTCAATGACGGTTGTTTGGTGTGCGAATCTTCGACAAAAGTCGTCCTTGGGGTTCTTGCCGGTAGCCCAGTTAACGGTAAGAAGCAGGGCAAGTATAGCTTCAGTCCATATGAACCTGATGTGCTTCTTTATGAAGGTCCCCATGGCCTATTGTAGTAGATTTACAGATGGAATGGGGAGGCTTCACGGCATGGAGACTCGACTCCGCACAACAGCGGGAGTCTCATCCTTTTGAGCCTCCTTCTAACTTTCGGGTAGGGACCAGGCTCTGCACATCTGAGGGGAAGTTGGCGCCGTTGGGTGATCTAGATGGTGATAGCGTATTAGAGCTAACAAGGGATCTCTGAATGAAGGGTGTCTCCCATCCAAAGCTATTGAAAGTGGCACTCGAAATGGCGCAAGCCGGACAGATCGTCCTGGTTCGGGGCACAATGGATGCCGACTGCAGGTTGGATGTGGCAGTCCGGGTTTGATACGGCGTGCCTGGTTGACCAAGAGGTTGGCGCCGAACAAGATTTTATTCTCCCCAGTGAGTTCCGCTTGTTTCTTTGGTTATCCTTCGCAACTCTGGTGTTCGTTTGATTGGTATTCTGCTGGCGAACCTGCTGTTCAGCACCCTCTGCCCGACATCATTTTGCGACATCTCAGAACATGGAAGCTGTGCCCCAACAGAGAAAGAAGGCTAAATTATGGATAATTAACGGTCTGGCGAATAAAGTGCGTAAATGCCGTCGGGGTTTGCAGAAGCGGCAACCGCCGATACCTAAACGTTGTGATTCAAACCCTTGTTGGTGTGAGGGGAATAAAACTTTGGCGGCAGCTTCTGCGTACACACATAACCGTACAAACAAGCAAAACGGATTCAGCCTGGCGTTGACTACAGGCAAAGGTGGTATCAAGTGCGGCAGAATCACCAAATCACAGTAAGTGATGTTCACAGAATATTGATGGCGCGTGCAGGGAGGCGCTCTCACCGGAACACCACACAGTTCAGCTTCTGCAGAGGCTTTATGCCGTGCCCGTCATCCTTACACAAGCATGACCCTCAGGCCTCAACCTCCGCTTTTTCACGGGGAACTTCAAAGCCTGGAATCACTGATGCGATGCAATGGGGTTTTCTTTTTGATGCAGATTGCAAACTGTACTGACAGCGAGACCAGAAGGAGTCGAAGAGAAGAGGTACGTTGGCAGCAACAGCACTTCCTACCCTCTTTCAGATCTGTTAATATAACACACCAATTGCAACTTGGAAATAGCTTCAGGTACTCTTTTTTGCTCATTCATAAGAAGAGGAAGAAGAAGCATTGCGCTGTACTTGAAATTTTCCAAAAATTTACCTTCACGTTCTTACTGGAGTAGCCTTCCTACATCACATCGTGTCCCAGTCTTTACATCCCAGGTATCCATTTCTTCATGACTATTTCAGAGGGGAACATACATCAGGCTCTGTGAGGGTAAGGCTTGCTTCAAATCTCTTCTGTGCACTCTTATATTTGCTCCCTCCTCTCTCTTTGTGATGTACAAATTGACCTTGTGTATGGAGAGCGCCTGGAAGTGCATACACCCGGCCACGAGCTAGATAAAGCGACATTCAAGAGGTGCTAGAAGTCATCTTAATGAGCCAAATGTCCCTTGAGACCTTCTGGGTGTTTCTAAGGGCTGGGGCATCACGACGGTCATTGTGAGCTATTGCGACAAGTGTGTTCATTGTATCAATGATGGATTGCTGAAGTTGAGAACTTGATATGGCATGTCTCGGGTTTTCCAGGCGCCTCCACCAACGAATCTGGCGTCTAGCACACATTCCCAATTCCTTCTGGCACTTGGCACCACCAAGTATTTTTGTTTGCGTGACCATCGGCTTGATTAGTCCTGTATCTTTTCCATGCTCATGTTCGGAAATACACCCATTATATCCCATCATTGAGGCGCCATTCTGCTCTTGGAAGTAGCTCAAAGACGCTGTGCGGGTGTTCGATCCCTGTTCAGCCTTTGATTGATGGTTAAAACTTATAATATCTCAATGAGATATACTACGCTAAACTAAAAGGTCCTAATTAATTTCAGCTTTTGGAAGGTCATGTATATATAGCCATAATAAAAATAAGTCTCCTAATTTGAATATAATAATCAGCTTTTATAATAACTTAATTAGTAACCTTATTTACAGTTACTTAGGGTATAAGAAGTCGTCTTAAGACCTAATCCTTCATTGCTAGAAGCAGAATACCAAAAACCTCCTCTCAAATTCTCACACAAAATCACAAAAAAAAAGCTCTTTAACACTATGCAGAAGTTCAGGGAAGAACTATGATCCGATAATAATGAGGTAAGTATACTTCGAGAATGCCTGCGTAACGTGCGGTTTTGACTTGAAGACCTTGCGTTTTCAGGGTCATAGCCTTGACTCTACATTCGCGTGTTCCAACCAGCGTCAAGTTCGATGCCCTCGTAACTGAACCCGTGCCTTGTCTCGACAAGCTCCACCGAAGAGATTGAAAGTCTTTCAAGTAGATACCTTTATTCACGCTAGCGAGAGAACATAGCCATGTAGTTGCCGTTGGATAGAAATATCAGATGTTGGGAAGGCTGACGTGCAACCGAAGGAATGGGAGTCTTTTGTGTGCTGCCTGAGGTCTGTGTTTGAGAGTGCTACCATGAGTTGATAGACTTTGACGGCTGATGCTTGCACCGCGCGCCTGACCCCGAATGAGAGCTTTTACGCTTCGGGGCATCAATTGACAGAATAATTACGCTCGATACTGGCATTCAAAAACAACAAATGATCTTACAGACTCTTTATCTTGGTGATATCGCCGCTTGAACTTCAAGTACAGGGGAAGGACAAGGGGTCGGGCATTGCGCTTGGTCCATCACGCTTGTGCGAGATCACAAGTAAACATCGATACCCAGTGCGTAGCAGAAGAATAAGAGTGGAATTAATCAGTATCGCTGACTGTTGTTTTCTCACTTTTGTTTCTAGGCGGTAGGGAATGCTTTGGCACTGGCAAGCTCTGGCACCAGCAGATGTCACACTGAAACCAGTGACAGTGATTAAGAGGAATCTACTAGCGCCAAACCAGATGGTAAATTGCTCCTCTCCCTCTTTGCTTTGATCTTCTTCCTTTCTTCCTTCTGCATTCTCATCCCATCATTTCCCCTCCATTCTACCACATTAGTCTTTGAGAGGGATCAAAGACAACCCAACCTTGCCTTGCCTCAAACACTACGAAACACAACCCAGCGCCTTAGACTTTAATTCCAAACCGACTATCTAAATGAATAAACAACATCCATTACCCACTCAGTTGCTCACAGCAATCTCGGTATGGACTTCCATAAAGACAGCAACATCGGAGGACACTACTAACTTGCAGAGTATCCATCAGGTAAACACTCTCATCGTTGTCATCGAAGTTGTCGACACCGTCCTCACAAACTCTATTGCAAGCGGTGACCGATATAATGGAGAACAACGAGATTACTGAAGCTCGCTTCGCCGGGATCATGGCGGCTGTCGGTAGCCCTTTCGAGTGTAAGAACTTTTCCCCGATATGCCGCCGAACCGTGCTAATCTCGTTACTCCAGTTCCCCCATCAGTCTACATGCAGAGACTCGAGGAAGAAACGAAGCGCGATAACAGCTTGGTTCCATTTTTGAGCAAGGTATCTAGGGTCGACACCACCCCTCGTCAGTCACACAAGTCGTGGCTCGAGAAGCTCGCCACCGCGGACTTTGTAAGCGTCAGAGCTGTCTGCCGTCTTGATCTCGACTTGGTCGTTAACAACATCGGTTATTTTGATCTACTCATCAATGATGAGGCCACTTATACCGTGGCACCATATCCTGACGTTCTGGGCCCATGGACAACCAATTGACAGCGACTTTCATCCGATACCCCTTTCCCTCAAGGCTTCTTCCGTTCATGGAACCGGAGACTCTCTTCCTACCCTAGCCTTTACTGTTGGACAGGTGGTGGAACGACGTAAGGACAAGACTTACACCTCATCCTTGGAGCCCACTGAGCGCCTGGACATCCTGTCTGGCTGATCTATAATCGCAACTCAATTGATGATATCGGTGAACCGATTACCGTTGACCCAGCTGACCCTGGCACTCCACTGACCTTCAACTGTATTGGGCACAACTTTGATGCGGCACAGATTTTCCCACTGTCAACGACTGGATCCAGTCTTACGGGAATGTCGACCGCACTAGATTTGAGGAGTCTATCAAGGCGACTTGTATCACCGGGGCTGTGGAGGTTAAGGAACTTCCCTTGGCGGAGGCTGAAGAGCTTTTCCGCCAGTAAATCACCTTCATGGACGACTACTTTGGACATCAGAGAGTGATGGGCCAGCGGGGGGTTGAGTCAGAGACTTGGGAATCTTTTGGACGCAGACACAGTCTTTGGAGTGGCATCGCGGTCTGCTGTGGGCAGGAATCATAAGGGTTTAGCATGGTATCAACGAATTCGTATGACAGAATCATAGCTGTGAATAGAATGATCCGCCCTTAGTCTCATGTTCATAAACCGAAGTTAAGTTTGTATGTCCCGACTATTCGAGAGCCTCACCAAAGCGAAGATTGATGAGTATGACCTCGGTATTCTGTGAACCAACTTGCTCCATTACATTCTCTGGCCTTGCGTAACTGGTAACGTTTTAATCAATTCCAGCTAGGCATGAGGCGCCTACGGAAGTGATCTCGTGAGTGGAAGTGAGCAGTTGCTCAACAGCGATTGGCTTGTTCGCTGTTGCTTCCCAATACGGTTAGCGCTGACCTTCCGCCCTCACCTTGGATCGATCACTAGTACGAAGCGGTTCGAACAAGTCACCTCTTTAGCTGTTCATTCGTCTGTTCGGCATTCTTCCTCTTTCAAACCTCGCAGGTCTTCAGCTACATCACGATTTGCGCCATGAATGCTCCAAAACCAGCGTCCCGAGGCCGAACCAAGGTGAAGACGGGCTGCGCAACATGCCGGTCAGTCAAGACTCCACCATCTCATGCTTGCAAGGTTCATACTTACCAAAAATAGAATCAGAAAGATCAAGTGCGACGAAGCTAAGCCCTTCTGTGAGAAGTGTGTCAAGACTGGTCGGAAATGCGACGGTTATGAGTCTGTCTTTAGACCCTTCTCCAGCCAGGTTCCCAGCACACCGCAGCCGATCGGCAAGCCAGATGCTGCAGCTTCAGGGCATAATAACGTTGTGGGAGAACCTCCACTGAGTACGGGCGACCTCAATCGTTATTTCTCGACTAAGACGATATTCGACGTTGAGCTGAGCTGCAATGAGGAAGCAGAGCAAGTCCTCGAAGCTAGCTTGACTAACGATTCAATACGCCATGCTCTGCTGTCTCTCAGGGCCCTTCGTGGAAATCTCGAGTCAAAGAAAGAAGGAGACGGATTTGAGACCGACGAGCAGCAGAGATTGAGCTACAACTTCGGCCTGCAACAGTATAGCAAGGCTTTAACGAGTCTTGCATCCAATCTCGCGTACCCTAGCCCCGACAGTTTGAAGTCCGCACTCCTTTGTTGTCAAGTCCTGATCAGCGTTGAGCAAGTCCGGGGGAACTTTGCTGCCATGGGACTGCATATAATTCGTGGACTGAACATCCTGCGCGAGTACCGCGCCAGACCGTACCTCACCGTGAATGGCCTGATGCCACCACGTCACAGTGGTCTGCCTTCCTTGGACATCTTTATTATAAAGTTGTTCGCTGCGCCTTGCAAGTTCACAGAACAGCAACCCTCAGAATCTTCGAGCATAATGACGCCGCCGGTTGAGACGAGGAGCGATCGAAAATTGGCGCCAAACATGCGAGCGGAACTTACAAAAGTCGCGACGTCAACTATTGCGCTTCTTGAAAGAGTTACAAAAATCCAATCGGACGAACAGGCTCATCCACTTCTTTCCGAAAAACAGGACCTACTCGATGGCTTGGACTCATGGCTTGGTGCTCTTGAAAGTCTTCAGAAGAAGACGCAACCAGGAGAGCCTGAGTCAATCTCCGACAACTTCTTGCGCATTTTGTATTTAAGCTTGAAGATCATTCTTCTGGGAACTTTAGAGACTTCACCAAATCTTGATGCCAGGCTTAGGGAGGATAGCAAGCAACTGCAAGAGTTGGCGAATCTCGTCAACAAACGACTGAAGAACTATGATATGCGACGGGGAATTGATAGTAGCTTAGCAGAGTAATCTCAATAGATGTATGAGTCATTAAATATCGCGATATTCTGTTGCTAAGTCCGTCACGAATTCGGAAGCCCGAGACGCGAGTTGCATCTGTGCGTGAGATGCGGCTCATCCCAGAGAAGCATGCTGACCGAACCGGCCAATTACAGGCTGACTCCGCTGTTTAGCCCAACATGCAGCTCCAAGTTTATAAACTAGTCATTGAACCATTAATACCTGTTTCATCACAATCAACTTCTTCTCATCATTCAATTTCTATCAGAAAATACTGTTTCTCTGCAACTTGTCGCCGACATATCCACAAGCCCCATCACACAAACCCTCCTTCTTCAGTCATGCATTTCCTCCTCCTAGGCGCAACAGGCCGAACAGGCAAATACGTCGTCTCCGAACTTCATTCTCAAAACCACACTGCTGTAGCACTTGTACGCGACGCCAGCAAAATTTCTTCTCAGCCTGGCCTCACTGTCGTCACCGGCTCACCGCTCTCCAAAGACGATATCCGCCGTGCTCTTACAGCTGCTCCAGGCTTGATACCGTCTGCGGCGATCATGACTCTCAACACGGTCCGAAAATCAGACAGTCCCTTCGCAGCTCAAGTTTCGCCACCTCGCTTTCTGGCAGACTCGTGCGACAATGCATGTGAAGTTCTGAAAGATGCTGGCATCAAGCGCATTGTCGTCATGTCAACAGCAGGTGTTGGAGACTCGTGGAGTAAGCTTCCGTGGGTGAGCAGAGCGTTCATGGGATGGACTAACATCAAGTATGCTCTGGAGGATCACAATCTGCTGGATAAGGAAATTCGGTCGACGGAAATGGACTGGACTCTCGTGAGACCTGTGAGGCTAGAATTTGGGAAGGAGACGGACAAGGATGTTGAGACGCTGGGCAGTGTTGGTGAAGGAATGGGTATGTCTGATAGTGCCACGCCGAATAGCGTGGCAAGGTTCTTGGTCAAGGTCGCAGTTGAGGGATCATTCGTTAAGGAGGCTGTTGTTCTCCGGAACTGAAGAGTATGACGAAGGTTTGGTCTATCGCGATCGAGAGCAACCAAGGTTTAACACAAGATTCACGATAATAATGTCAAGATCGAGAGTTATGTCACTGAGCAAATATCTCATACGCTGTCTTTATGTATCATGATCATGACCATTATATACAAAGTTATACAATTTCCCATATCATCCAACTTCAGACACTCGAAAAACTCAACTCTCAGTACACCTTGGTAACAGGAGTCTTGATATAAGGCTTCAGGCTAGTCTTTCCATTCAACTCCTCATCAATAGCCTGAACAAAAGCCTTGGCAATGAGGTCAGCAGCCTCGGGACTAGTATGAGTGTGATCCTTAGGATACAAAGAGTTAACCTTTGCATTACCCAGCTTCTGGTACATCTTTGTAACAGCAGCAAAGTGATCAACGTAAGTAACGCTAGGGCTGTTCAAAGCCTTGGCAGCGGTAGGAACATATCCCACGAAGCGAGGAGCACCAGGCTCAAACGTTCCAGTCTCCCATTGGTTGTTGGGAGTCTGGGAGCTGAGAATCACAGTAGCGCCCTTGGCGACGAGGGCTTTGGCGGCTTGTGAGACGTAGAATACGAATGTGTACACCTTCTCGCCCGTCTTGTCAGAGATGCAGACTTCTGTGCCGGCGCCGGGACAGTCGGAACGGTTGTTGTCGTTCTTCTCGGGAGAGCCGCCGTCGTTGTGGCCGAATTCAATGACGACGATGTCGCCTTTCTTGACGAGGTTCACGATCTCGGTGAAGCGGCCCTCGTTGGTGTAGGAGCGGGCTGAGCGGCCGCCGATGGCTTTGTTGACGGCTGTGACCGTGAGGTATTTGCCGATGTAGTTACCCCAGCCGTCGGTTACACCGTCGTTGGCTCCATTCTTTGCCATGGTGGAGTCACCTTTTCATCTGATCAGCGTCTATTCCGAGACCGTCGCTTGTTAATCCACTTACCAGCAAAGTACACTGTCTGACCAGACACGACCTGGAAAGCTCCAGCGGCGAGCGCCGCAAGCGAAAGAGACAGCTTCATGATGACTTGAGTTTCAGATAAAACACACTGACGAGAGGATGATGAAACCCAAGAAGTGCCCAGAGCCGTATATATCTACTTCAAGCCATGGAATTGCATCAATTAAACCCCCAAACTGACAATCCAGCTGATCATTCGTTTTACAAAACAAGGTTCGCGATCTAGACTCCGCGTTTACCTATTCTGGCGGCTCTCCGTCTGTGCCAAGCCTGATGAAACAGGGATATGAAGCCTTTTCCCACCATTCAGAAAACATATCAACCCCAGACAGCCGCCAGGATTGGGCCGGCACTTGGAATGCAGGTCGAGTAAGCCGATTGATGGAATCGAGGTATTAAAGTTCCGCTATTGGAAAAGATGCCATTTTGTTTGGGATTGATGCCACGAGGAGCGGTGCACTCGGTGATCTCGGCATTGTTTCAGCGATTTTTAGTGTCAAAGTTTAAAATCATTCGTTGAGGTACGGAAGGGTAGGGGAAGGTGTCTCGGGGGAATGGGGACCGAACGCGGGGATAGTGGCATATCATTTCCTTTTTGATCATAAGAACATTGGGGGAGATTTAAGCTTGGAAGGTGACAGTACGATGCTAATTGGGACCTCGGCTTTCGAGTAAGGCTGCTTTCTATAGGAAAGTGTCATGGAAAATGCAGAACACTTTAGGTCCTTGGTGAAGCGGTGAGATGAACCGGACAGAAGGAAGTTGTGTTGAATGGCGACGTCATGGTCTCCTTGCACATCGTTGGGTTAATACCTAGCTTATTGGTTTTGCACTCATATGGACATTGATGGGTATTGAGGTTTCGCAGACTTCAAATAAAAATTGACTACGAACTTGTGATAGCTGGGACACGAGAGACAATACCCTTGACAAATTTGTGGAAGTCTGAGCGGTGAACCGGACTGAGAGATCTCAAGCTTTTTTAAACAAAACAATGAAAAGAAATCAGTTTCTAACACATATGATGTAAATAAGCAGCGAGAAAGCTGAAAAAAAATTGCTGGTTTCCACTATGAAATGGTATGGCTCTTTATACCATTTTGCCAGTACGAGCTCACCCTAGAGTCGTTCACTTTCTTGAACAGTCTGCTATCGATAAGGAATCATGACAACCACGTCATACCTTCCTTATCGTCATGATACCGGTGATAAGTGATAAGAAGGTAACGATCGACAATGGTTTCAGGTACCGCGAGCAGCCCACTGTACCGTCAGATTTGTCCGAGCTCGTTATCAACGGGGCCGTCATGATCAGGAGATAGCTTCCGGTTCTAGAAAGCTTGTTTTCGTCTACACTCGGCCCACGTCGCTAATGGTGATGGAGACTCCATGGGAACACCGAATCTATCCTTCAAATTGATTACACAGGATAGAGGACAGCATTTACCATTGGAAGGCATTCGAGAGAGATAAAGCCGAGACTTGCATGATAAAGTTTTGCTTTAAATGAAATGCTAAATATGAGAAGGTGCCGCAGTTCTGGTTCAATAAGAGCTGACAAGATCCGAAAACTGGCTCATCATCCCCGTTCGCCAGCTTCCATCACAATCAATCCCAAACACGCTCACCAATCCCATCCAATAAAATCCCTACCATTTCAATCATCACAAGCATGAAAGAGCCTCTTCCGCCCAGACCCCTTAATAAACCTCCATGAAACGAAACGAGCACTTTTCGCAAAGATTAAATACCCCGCCAATAGCAGCCTCGATATTTGAAACAAACCCACCGACCACCATCCTTTTCCGTTGGCGCGCTTGGTTTTACAGGGATTGTCTAGATCCACGGAAGGAATGAACGTTGATGGATAACTTCACTCGCAGGTCTTGTAACACAAAAGGTCTGAGGTGCCAGTACCCTTGTAGATGTTCCTTGCTTTTGGAGGGAATTTTCCCGGTTGGTGTACGTATGTTCCTGTTTATCGGACATTAAGGCGTATTGCACTGGATCCGCTGATCATCGGGATGTAAAAGATATATAGTATCACAATGTTCGCTGTGAAGTGATTGTGTTCAAGCTACGCTCTTTGTCGCTGCCTTTCTTTCTTTCCCACCGCCAGTACGGTGTTTTCTCTTTCCTACCGCTCGCGGTACATTCCATTCTTTCAACTAGACCCTGGTGGTCTATCCTCACTCTCTTGATTCTTTAAACACATCCATTCATTTTTCACCATGCGCCTCACGCTCTCCAGCATGGCAGGCCTTCTGGGCCTCGCCTCCGCCCAAGGTCTTCGATCCTCCGCCTACACCGATCCCAAGACGGGCATTGACTTCCAGCGCTTCGTCGACGATGGCTACAGTCTTGGTATCGCTGTCCCTGAGACTCTGGGTAAAGATCTCATTGCTCAGATGGTGTTTCCTCGTGAGAAGGAGGGTTGGGGTGGTATTTCGTTCAGAGGCGGTATGGTTGGTGGTCTGCTCTTCGTCGCTTGGCCAAATGGCGATGATATCGTTACGAGCTTTCGTATGGCGAACTCGTACGCTAATCCTGATGTTTACACCAACACTACCGTCAAGGCTACGCCCATTCCTGATGGTACCTTTATCAACAGCACTCACGTCTCGTATACTTTCCTCTGCGAGGGTTGTGTTGTTGAGAAGACTACTTCGTTGACTGGCGAGTCTCCTGTTGTTGGATATGCCTGGTCGTCTATTGATGTCGATACCCCATCTGATCCCGAGAGCGCTCTGAGCTACCACGGTGCTGGTTTTGGACAGTTCGGTCTTGATATCAAGAAGGCTGCTTCTGCCAAGTTTGCTACCTGGGCTGATATGGCGAAGGAGACTACTCCTGCTCCTGGAACTGGCACACCCGGCGTCCCTGGAAACTCCACCACTCTGCCTCCCACTACTTCTAACGTCACCTACGATGTTATTGTCGTTGGTGGTGGCCCCGCTGGTATCATCGCTGCTGAACGTCTCGCCGAGTCTGGTGCTAGTGTGCTACTCATCGAGCGCGGTCCCGCTAACACCGTCGCTCTCGGTAACGCTGCCCAGGCCCTCCCATGGAACAACACCCTCACTCCCTACGACATCCCCGCTCTCGGCAGCAGCATGACCAGCATGTCTGGCACCAAGTTCTGCAGCGACACCGCTTCCACCGCTGGTTGTCTCCTCGGTGGATCAAGCTCCATCAACGGCCTCAACTTCATCCACCCTCCTGAGCGTGACTTCCAGCGCTGGCCCAAGGGCTGGAGCTGGGCTGACCTCTCCAAGGCCGCTGATCGTCTGTACGAGCGCAACCCCGGTACTACTTCTCCCTCCGACGATGGAAAGTACTATGATGATCGTACCTACACTATCCTCTCTGGATACTTGAGCGCCAAGGGCTGGAAGGAGGTTGACTCTATTGAGGAGCCAAACGAGAAGCACCTTGTGTACTCTCGTCCTTCGTGGTCTATCAAGAACAACATGCGTGCTGGTCCTGCTCGCACTTACATGCCCTTCGCCAAGAACCTTCCCAACTTTACTCTCAAGCTTGAGACAAAGGTCATCCAGCCCATTCGATCCGGCAGCAAGATCACTGGTGTTCTTACCCAAGGTGCCAACGGTAGCAAGCAGATCATCAATGTCAAGGCTGGTGGTAAGGTCGTCCTCGCTGCAGGTGCCATGTCGACTCCTCGTCTTCTCTGGAACGCTGGTATCGGCAAGTCTGATGCTCTCGCTATCGTCAAGCAGGGTTCTTCCAAGACTGGTGTGACTCTCCCCGCTGCTTCTGACTTCATTGACCTCCCTGTTGGTCATCATCTTCAGGACCACGCTCAGGTTATGCTTCAGTTCAAGACGAAGAGCAACTTCACCGCTTACAAGTTCAACAACATCGCTACTGAACCTGTCAAGTCTGACTTGGAGCTTTACTACCAGGGCTCTGGCCCCATCACCCAGGCTGCTCAGCGCATGCACCTCTGGACTTCTGCCAAGGGCGCCGATGGTCGCGTTCGTTACCTTCAGGGTACCGCTAGTGCTATGGCCGACGGCATCATCACTGTCCGCACATTCTTGACACACGGTACCAGCACTGTCGGCGAGCTTGGTATCACCGCTGGTGGAAACACCGTCCTCAACACCAAGCCCTGGTTGATCGACCAGGAGGATCGCAAGGCCATGGCTGACTTTGTTCAGTACTGGCTTGACCTCACCAGCGGTAGCAACTCTACCCTCTCCTACATCACCCCCGGTGCTACCGTTGATGACATCCTGGCTACCAAGATGATCAGCGGCGATCACTGGATGGGCAGCGCCAAGATGGGCGTTGACGACGGTCGAAAGGCCAACGGTAGCGCTGTCGTTGATCTCAACACCAAGGTCTACGGCACCGATAACCTCTTCGTCGTCGATGCTTCCATGCACCCTGATCTTCCCACCGGTAACACTCAGGCCATCATCATGGTCGCCGCTGAGCACGCTGCCGAGAAGATTGCCGCTCTCAAGGTCGGCGGTAGCAACTCTACTGTCCCTGAGCCTATCGGCTCTGCTCCCACCCCCGTTCCTACTCCTGGATCAAAGTGCAAGCGAGGTCTTCGTCGTCGTCGCGCTGCTCGTGTTCCCATGGACTTTCGACGACGATCGCTTTACTAAGCGATGATAGATGGTGGAAATGGATGAAATTCAGTGAACATATTTTTTGTGTACATAGAAGTTAAGGTAGTTGTGAATCTATGAGTGCTTCACAGAAACATTATCGTGTTGTCGCGTGTGCAGTTAAAATAGAAACAATAAATTGCTAATAATGGCGCTCCCTGTCAGCATTTAATCCCCCCCGTAATTCTTCCAGTTTATGAACTTCTATTGGACAGTCTTACCTCGGCTTCGCGTTCGCGTTCGTCATAAGCTCGGGATCGGGCAGATTAACTATCCGATTTCCTCTGGTAATCAAACAAACTCCTCGTTCACCAGAACCACCGAGTTTTCACCAAGTTCCACTCGGAACGAGTGCGAGATCCCACTTCTTCCAGAATCAACGTTTCACTGTTCCTTTACTGCCTTGTGCGTTTCAAGGTCGTCTTTTCAATGGACGGGGAAACGGACCAGGTCAAATCCACTCGCGTGGGGTACAAAAAGTCCCGAAATGGATGCATACGTTGCAAGAAGCGGCGAGTCAAGGTATGCGATTAGAGTCGGCTGTCATGACTAGTGACACCTGTCTAACTGAGTAATAGTGTGACGAAGAGGTCCCTTGCTCTGCGTGTGTTAGGCATAGAGTTCGGTGTAGCTTGGAGCTTGTCAAATCGGATGACTACCAAGAACAAAAACCTCTGACCAATCGCTCTCTCCAAACACCCAGCCGCAGCCTCCCAGCTGGTAGTCCAGCATCTCTATTATCCGGCTCTTTATTCTCAAGTCCTCTTGATGAACCTGACTGCTGGGTTTCCACCGCCGAGCTCATGCTTCACTACACTACCGTCACGTACAAAACCATGGTCTTCAACGACAGAACGATCCCGACCTTTCAGCAATCAGTACCCCAAGTCGCTTTAGGATATCCTTGGTTTCTTCGACAAATATTGGCCTTCTCAGGCTATCACCTCGCTCACCTCCGCCCCGAGAAGAGACAATTCTACCTCCTACAAGCATCAAAACATCAGAATGCTTCTCTGCATGGACTCAGAGAAGCACTATCCGAACCAGTCACTTCATCGAACTGCCACGCTCTATACGCCAGCACCACGTTTATAGTAGTCAACAAATTCGCGGCATTTCCAAACTGCGACGACTTTCGAAGTCATGGGTGCTCCCAACCTGTTCAGAGTCTGATGGAGATCTTTTCTCTCGTCAACGGCATGGAGGCCGTTCTTCATTCACCAGGAGCCGCGGATCTCAGAAACGGTCCTTTGAAAGAGCTTTTCTGTGAGACTCCGCATCAGCATGTCAATAGCTACCTTCTTCGCGGTCTTCATGCAAGATTGCCCGAGCTTGCACGGCGGATATCGTCAGACTCGATGGAAGATCAGTCCAGAGCTGTGCTGACTTCCGCCGTCGTATCCATCACTGGTTGCGTCAATGACGCGTTTTCGAATTTGTACAAAGTATCACCGCCAGAGCTGAGGGTCATCTTCTCGTGGCCCATGTCTGTGTCTCGAGATTTCTTGGATCTGGCTGTGTCGGGACACCCGTTGGCTCTTGTCATTCTGGCGTACTACGATATTCTACTGTACTGGGGCGAAACGGAGTATTGGTTCTTTGAGAACTGGGCAGAAACTTTGATCTCTGCCATCGTGGAAAAGGTCAAAGGTTCACCGTGGGAGGATCTTCTCAATTGGCCGGTTGAAGTCATTTTACACCATTAGTTGATGCATGAGCACCAAGCCGTGTGGAAAAAATGAGGTCTCATAATAATGCCGGAAACTCTTTGAAGCTCAAGTGTTTTCATACGATCGTGAAGCAAATATTTGAACATTACACGTCCTGCTAATCTTGAAATATTTATGGCGGGTTCTGCATGCAGCTTACCTTTCAGCTGCTGCGACGACCCATGTCTGGGCTGTCTTAGTTGCCAATACCTACAACGTCAACCGAATGTAAGGAATCTGAAGCTTCGGGTAATATGCAGTTGCGCCGTCAACCATACACTTGAAATACTCCGTGAACGAAAAGGTCTTAGTGAACCCCGACTTATTGAAGGTCTTGGTGACTTGCTTCGAGCAAGGCATGGCCATCTTCGGAATCTTGGTCCATCGCTGGTAGCCAATGGCACTCGGCTCCATGACAACGCCAGACTTGCCAGGGCCAAACGATGACTTGACGATTTGGTCATCGTACCGCTCAAAAGCTTGCTTCATAGCAGAAAGATGTTCATAAATATCCCTCTTCATGACAGTCTTCATCATGATTATCTGCCGCAGCAAGCCGTCGTTTTCGGGACGTTCCTTGATGTTGAGTTCTTTTTCTATAGCGTCGGAACTTGAATCGCTCACATCCACCAATGATTTGAATGTTGAGGTAACAAAATCTCGGTTTTCGGCCGAATAGCCCGCGTAAAAGTCAACTATCCACCCTATTTTTCTTTGAAGGAGGAATGTGCGGTCGACGGTGGGTACGAACTTGAAAAGATCTTGAACAGTTTGAATTTCGCCTCCTCTGAACAGATCAGCACTTTCAGACTCTTCTGGGAGTTCTTCGGCGGTTTTGTTAGCATCCTGTGCCTCCTTAATGTATGTTGTAAGTAGGTTGTTCGATGTTTCCGGAACACTCATGTAATAAATAAGCTGAGTGTTATTCACTATATCGCCTACTGTAAGATACTGTTAGTTGCTGTGAGTGCTAAGTGAACTCTCGTAAGCCTACCTTGCTTGAAAAAGGAGGACACAGCAGGTCCATCACAGCTGCCGAGCTCAACACAAGAGGTTTGGTTGGCATATTCAAATCTGGATTTGAAGCCGAGGAAAGGCGACCCGAGCTTTTGAGACGCCAGATTAAAGTCGTTGGAGATAAGCAGTAGGTTTTGGAGAAAGGGAACCCACGGAACGAAGAGCCCCTTTCGGAACTGCCGGGCAATCTCGGCCATGTATGGGGTGAAAAGATTTTGAATGGTCTCTTGAATCTGCATGCCGGTACAAGAGGACCCTGGCTTACAGGATTTGCTTATAGCCATAAGCTTAGAATAGCTGTCTTCGTTGATCTGAAAGTCTGTTAGAGCGATGGAATAACGGGGAAGCTGATGTAAACTGAACATACCTCAGGCCCCTCGATGATAAGCACTTTCTGCTTTGCCTTGGACTGGAGTGTCTTTTTGACTTTGTCCCGGTCATCAGCTGTCTGGAAGCCCGACTCATTCATACACTACCAGCAAATGCTGATTAATAAATATCCAGATATTGAACTTAGGAGAGCTTACTTTTTGGACCTCCACAACTTGGCCAACATCCTTTGAATCTGCGGGCGACAAAACTCCCTTCTCGAACGACTTGAAGCCTGATGTTGCACTTAATTTACCAATACGGGGAAAACATTGGCAGATTGCAGAGGAGGACTGAATGAAGTTGTCGCCTTGGGGCTGACCCAAGATCTTTCGCACAGTATCGCAGAGGTTGACCTTTTTGGTGAGAACTTCCAAGCCTGTAATGACTTGCTTGGTCGTATCAATCCATCCTCCTCAGCGTCAATGGGTATGTCTACTAGTTAGGGGAAGAACCCTACCTGGAACACATCTCCATGCATCACACATGAGCTTCGGCTTTGTTGGAGTAGGACAAGGCTTCTTGTATTTCTCCTTGGACTTGCATTCGTCGTACTAAAGCCAGATAATCAGCGAGCCCTTGGCTGTTAAGATGGTCGAGATGGGTACCTTTTTATCAGGGACTGTCTTCATGGTAACATTGACACCATAAGGCACAGAAAACTCGAACTTGCAGGTTGACAAGTTCTTCAAGCCTGCGCATGTCTGTTGGAGAGTATTTTGTGCAGGTGCTGCCTCTGCGAGAAGGAACCATGGAAGCAGCTGAGGAAGAAAACTTTGTAATCTCATCTTATCTGCTAGTGTAGTGTTGTGAATGTTATGAATGCTGTTGCGGCACAAAAGTGAGTGAATTAGGAAGAATAGACTTTATTTATCTAGAATGCTGGACTTTTGGTAGCGTATTTTGTTCACCAACATTTCTGAAACTATTTGCTTTGCATATCTGAAATTTCGGGTTTGGCGTTAGCTGACAAGCCTTAAAATTGCTAAAGAGGACTTGGAAACACTAGGCGTTATGCTTGCGTTAGTAATAAGGTCTGGATTCTAAGGAGAAAATACTCGTAGAACTTATACCACCACAGAGAACACTTAGCTCCTGCGCCACATTCTTCCAAAAGCGTTCACATCATACCATTATACTAAACGCTTGCAGAAATGTGGCTGTATAAGCTTAAACGAGGTTGGCTGGAATTTGCTAGTAGGCGCTGAACATATACTGGTATGCACCGAAACTAACTCGACCTTGTGCATTGACCTAGGCTTGATATCTCACCTAATAGGAAAATATTAGAGCTTTCGTTAGATATCGTATTCGTATGGCTTTAGTAGCTACGTTCTCTCTATATTTTCTTCTGGCTCAACTTCAGTCGCTCTGCGGTTCGTCTATCGTGTGTGTCGAATTCTTCTCGTACCACGTAACAATACTGCGCCAAGGTGCAATATCTTGTGCTTCTCACTTCTGGGATCTCTACTAAAGTTAACCTAAATGCTTTAATTTTGAAACATAATACCAACTAAGAAGATGATGTACAGCGCAACATCAATTAACTATCATGAGCGAGCGGCGAAATTAATACAGTCAAGAATTATTTAAATTAGAAAGTTGGATATAATACAACTTTTATACATAAGTTGAAGAGAAGTGTAGATTTGATGCTAGCTAGAGGCGACAGAAACTAATCCGCATGGGGAAAGAGTTGAAGCTCGATGGCTTCCAAACCGCCAATCGTGGGAGGATTGCTATCCGATGCCATGACAAGAGCAGGAGAGTTGACTAGCCTATCAGGTATCATATAGAACTTATCCCAGGTACCAGGAATCGAATAGCAAACGGAATCACCTGACATCTCGTCCATGTGGCATTCACCAGCTGGTGCAGAGCACTTGAGCTTTCGATCGCGAGTTTGTTCACATGTGAGGGGTACTAATCCAGCCGGGGGGTTAATAGGGTCGCAGAGCATATTGGCGGGAGGGAAACCATCGCCCCCGAATGAAACACACAAGTATTTCCCGGTGTTTATCTCTCGTACATAGTTGGTGCCGGCTTCGATGGAGAAAGTCAGAATTGGGGGAGACGGCGTGTACCATCCGATGTAAGCATATTGAACTGGATCTCCTCGCAGCCATTGGCCGTCGACTGCTGAGCCGAGAGCCCTGAGATCGAAGGTGGGAATTGGCACAAATGTGTCTTCAGTGGTGGTAGTCATGTACGTCGTGGATGCTTCAGCAGATGTCGTGGTCTCAGCGGTTGCAGGAGTCTCGGCAGTTGTAGTAGAGATTGCAGCTGTAGTGGTCTCTGTAGCAGTGGAAGCTGAGAGCTCAACGCTAGCGCTTCCTGACTCTGTCGCCTTGGTAGAAGTTTTACCGTCGTCTGTAGATGTGGCACTGATAGACAATTTGACAGAGGTTGTAGTCGTTGTCACGATATTTGTACTTGTAGTAGAGACAGCATCGGATTCCGTTGAGGATGCAGACACAGGCTCGGTAGATACACTGCCTGAACATGAATCAGTAAAGAACTTGATGCTGTATCAGAAAAATTTACTTACTGGAGTCACTCAATGTTCGACTTCGAGGCTTGCATACACTTGCGATTGCGATATTGGCGCCGAGGCCCAGAGAGAGAAAAGCAGCGAAACGCATTTTCGCAGTGAAAAAGAGTGACAAGGGTTAGACTAAGTGAAGGAATAACAAAGAGGAAGGAACGATGAAGAAATCAGGGATATATGAAATTTTTAAGTATTTAACAAAGGGGCTGTTTTCTTTTTTGAGGCTTGGCACTATTGACAAAAAGCAGCCTCAGCTGCGCCAGAAGTGCAGGTACTAGCTCCATTTTCCACGTTATTATTCAATTCGGGCTGCTATGTCAGTCTATTGCGGTCTAGAACGCCATAGCACTGGTCAATTAAAATCACTTGGAGTCTTGTCAATTTTAGCGATCCCAAAGTGGGCCAAGGAAAGATACTTAAGGCTAAGCATAATAACCCGAAGTCAAGTTTTAGATAAGATAAGCTCTTCGTAAGTTTTAATACGCGACATTCTGGATGCTAATATTTCGGAGACTGTCTTGGTGATTGGAGCACTCTCATCTTCCACGAGTAATCCTTTTGGATATATCTCGAGCAATCTGGAAGAAACCGCATTACAGACGGCAGCAGCCAGTCCGCAACCATCAAGCTCATGCCAAAGGACTGAAACCTCCTCTTTGGTCCTGCTACGAGTAGATCATGGCATTTCTAAAACTGAATTCGGGTAGGTATCTATGCAGTGCTATCATCTCAGACACATGGAATATTCTCCGTACCAGCTTTGAAAGATTGTGACGAAAGCCTCGACAGCCTCCACCACGATATAAAGAGCGTTTGGCAACTATACACAGCCTCTCTTAAGACTGCTAACTATGATCATTCGATTCAACAAGATGTCCAAGGGTTGCATAATCGCTTTCTCAAATGGATCAATACTCGACCACCAAGATTCGAATCAATATCCATAGCTCACATCAAACAAAAACGCCCCCGTCTTCCATGGCCGCTAGACTTTGGCCAGAACGTGTAGACATTTAAAAGATATGCAGACTAATCTAAAGCGTTGTCTGCGGTGGATCGGAAACGAGGTGGGCTGGGGTCAGGCTTAGGTACTGAGTCTACTGACAGAGGACTGGGACATAGGCAGCGAGTACCTAGGCAGAGGATGGATGATAATTTGGGCAGGGCTTTTGGCATGAACGCAACCGTCTTTCATGGATTACAAAACACTATTTGGCAAACGACAAGTTATGAAAGAGTTTAATGTGTACTGGCTTCAATCTATATAACCCATTATTAAGCCCGCACAATGCACCGAAGGTCTTTCAGTTTGCGAATCTTCCATAGAAGATAATCCATTGCTCTTCTCGAAATTTGCCATTCAGGTATCATCGTCTTGTTGGCTTTATAACCTCGCCACATGTTTGTTGCCTCTTGGCTTGCTTATCAGCTCGACAGCATGTTTCAGTTCAGCCAGGCTTTCGAGATAGGCCTCGTCAGCCTGCCCATCTCTGGAAACATCTAGTCTCTCAATCTCGGCCAGAAATAGCTGAATAATATATGGAGTAGCGTTTCTAAAAGCAACCTGCATAGCCTACAGAAGCATTTGGGTTATCACAAGCTCTCAATGGTGGATGCTGAAACTTACGGTATCCTCTGGTGGTGTTTTGCTAGCCGATGCCTGGGTGCTCATGGTGGATTGGTATCGAAGAGCACTATCAAAGTGGAAGGACATGGCGGGATATTGAAGAGTATCTTTGAATCTATGTCAAAGCCTTGAGTATCAAAAGTGATGTTGCTTGCAAGTTGGATTTTTAAGTCAATAGGCCCTGACTTTATAACAACGCGCTAGCTAGATGTTGATGGGTTGAGAAAAGGTGGGTTGAAAATCACGCATTATGCCGGTGGCGTTTGTCGACAAATGAGATCGTTATATTGTGCATCAGACCAGGCGCGGAGCTAGGCATAAAGCTGGGCTCGAAGCCAGGCGTACAGGCGAGTCTGAAATAAGCACAAGGTCGGGTACACAGCCAGCGCAGCCAAACAACAAACGAACTGTCAGGTTTTATTACGTATGAACTTCAGAGCCTACGTATGAATGCCGTGAAGAGGCCTCTATCAACACCTACAAGCTTGCTCGTATTATTTTTATAGAACATAGAGGGGCAATCAAATGTGCAACCAGGAACATAGCCAGGGTTGAAGCCGAGTGCCAAGCCAACCTGCAAGCCAATTTTCAACCCAGCCAGGTCATAGCTAAGCCCTGCTTATGCGCTGGGGGAACAGCTACAGGGAAATAATAAAACAAATGAACCATACACCCAACTTTATCGCGACAAACTTTTCTTAAATAACAGCAGATAGGACAACTATTTGCTCAAGTTTCGTCTTTTGTTGCTGCATTGATCTGAATCTTCAGAGCCAAGCACCATGCCGCGCGACGACTACCCCTCCGCCAACCAGGCTTTGTTTACACCGGGTTATAACACCGAGTGGAACCCAGTTCCTTCTCTCCCTATGCCTGCTCTGCAATCGAACGCCCTGGCAGAGTCCGACGGCTGGCCCCAGTTCTTAGGCCCGGCTGCCGCCTTGCCTGTGTCTACTCCAGACATCATGGCTAAGGTTGGCGACTTCAACTACGCCCAGCGACTCAACAGCTTCAACCTCAATGCACCCGTTCCCACTGGGCACCCAAGTGCCATGGGAGAGGTTGGAAACTACAATCAAGAGTTCACGAGCTACATGCCTTCTGTACACCCAAATGGCAATTATGGTATGAAGATGCTCGATAACACTCCCACCACTAACCGAGGCCCATCTCTCCTGGGTATCGATGCCAACGGGGCCTCTCCAAGTTTTGATGGAGGAGACTCTACTACACAATCAATTGCGAGCGCGCCTTCTAGTAATAGTGGCTGGACCAAGGAGCAGGACAATTTTCTCATGAATGTCAAAAGCCAAGGTCTTGGATATTCCGCTATTCAAGATGAGATGAGAAAGGAATTTGGGTGGACTAGGAACAAGAACGTGTTAGTCAAGCGCTTCGCTGTGTTGAAGAAGCGCTGCAAACCCCAGATCAAAACTCGTGTAAGTATAAACCACTTACATCGACTGCTACAAGTGATTAATGCGGTTTCTTCCAGATTGTTCGAGATATATCCAAAAGGATTACTCCTGAAATCATCAAGGCTGTGGGAAGAGAACTCGAGAAAGTTACCTCTTCTGGTAGCAACAGCATTGCAGCAGAGCTTGAGGATCTAGTCCCATTAAGGCTCCCGGAGTTTCTTGAACGCTTAGTCGCAGATGTTGGTGTCTCGCTTCATCAGACAGTTGAGGATCATAAAAGGTCATCTGCTTGATTGGGGAGTTTCAGTAGCTGAGGTGGAATAGATAATAGGTATTTTTATACTAGTATAAAAGCGATTTTAGATTTACTTATACTTGCTATCATTTACTGCTGGCGTTCATGTGAGTATGGCGGTATGGATAAGAGGAGTTTGGTGGCTGAAAGGAAAGCTGTTATCTACAGATACTTGGTTGGGTCTTGATTGCCTTAGCCGGCCTTGTTGTTTGTCGTTCAGTTTCTCGACTAGCCGGGCTGATCCGTCCGTTGCGCTGCGTTACCATTGACGATCTTGACATTTTCCATTGATCTTTGCCAAGTTCAGCTCATCCACAATTATGAGCTGGCTAGCCTGGCTCGGTAGCGCTACACATTCCCGGTTTAGTGGCCAATCAGCAACTCGCCTGATGCTAGTGTCGTAGATCTTAGGGCCTCCTCAGCTTGTGACGTTGGCGGCTGGTGCTAGGCTCATTCGTTGGCTTTGCTACAGTTTATGTCTTGGTCTAATGCATGTGGAATGGGTAGTGTGAGACACTCAGTTCCAAGAATGGTTGAGCTTTGACCTCTGAGATTTGTGATTACTCTTGTCCTTTCGTCATATTGGCTGAACTTTGGAGCTGATGTTTTGTCACTACGGTAGCGAGCCGCGCGCAGCCGGGTTATCGGGCTTTGCATTTGTGAGTAGCTTTGTAGATCCAGGTCGGCGGATCTGGAATTGACTTCTTTGGTTATCTATGAGAGTTTCACTCTGCGTCATGATTGCAGATAAATGTACTTGTGAGACTTTAGACATTTTGTAGGCATAAGAAGCCTTCTGCACTACCAGCCCACTTTCTACCATCTACTGCCGGGTTCCCTCACAATGCGTATTGACAGAGTTAAGCCCACCATTATGGGTGACTCCTTGCCACCGGAAGGCGGAACATACGGCATCAAGGGCCTTCCTCGACCACCGAATGCCGTGAGATACCCTGGGAAGATTCCCTACGTGAAGGGCCTTCCAGTCCGTAAGGAGATATCGTCTCTTGCCAACTCAGACGACCCAAAAGAGAGGAAACAGTGGACGCTATTTGTGTTAGCTTTGGAACGGTTCAAGTCCATGCCTGTTGATGATAAACTATCTTACTTCCAAATTGCCGGCATCGTAAGTAACTATCTCCCCGTATCGCTGGTCCGTTACTGAACATTGGTTAGCATGGATATCCGGAGGTTGCCTGGGATGGGGCACCTGAGCCAAAACACGCGCCGGACAAGACCAAAAAGGCTGGCGATCAACATTTCGGCGGGTACTGTAATCACAACAGCCTAAACTTTCCTGCATGGCACAGACCTTATATGCTCCTCTTCGAGGTACGGTTTATGTTCGCCAGCTCCCACTTATCCCTAACATAAGTAGCAACGTGTCTGGGAGAATATGAAGCTAATCATCAACGACTGGACGAGCGAGCATGGGCTGCCAATCTCCGAGACAGACGAGTGGTACACGGCAGCGAAGCATTGGCGGATGCCATACTGGGACTGGGCTAGGCGACAAAGGTACCATGAAGAATTGGTTTGCCCTCCAGTTCTTACTCAAGGAGCCGTCCGGATTTATCCACCCGCTACGATAAAAAACCAATTTCCTCGAAGCGGTCTCTATCCTAACCCGCTGTTGGGATTCGAAAATCCAGAAAATGATCCAAAGACAGGGAAGCCGTTGCCGTTTGGTAGCATGCTAGGAAACAAGGCTAAATGGAATATCCAAGACAACCCAATAGTTCACGATGAGCTTCCACTGAAGAAGGACTGTGACTGGGCTCCAGTGAGTCTACCAACGGCAATTCCAGTTTATCGCTTACTGACTTGCGCCTAGTGGAGCAAGACATCTGCAACCAGTCGATATGGAATATTCAAGGGAGAAGAAGAAGAGAAGGATCCCGCGAAATATTTCACGGGCCTTGAAGGGGTGAATAACTGCGGGAAAGCTAACGCCAGCCTTGCAAGAGTTCACGAGAATGGCCTCGATGACAAGCCCAGGTGGAGTACAATGGACCAGCATTCGAAAGACTATACATGGAATCCCGGGAGTCTTTCAGATGCAGTCAATCGTATGTTTTCCAAGGGCTATAACCCGAACTGGGGACAGTTTGCTTCGACGAAGTGGATAGCGGAAGAAAAAGGCTGTCCAAAGACAGGATATATATCTTTGGAGTATATCCACAACAATATTCACGTAAGATGGCAGACGAATCTTTTGAATTTAGCTGACATGAGCACAGAACCTGACAGGAGGGAGTGACTATGCTACTGGCATGGGACACATGAGCGACGTGCCAGTTGCAGCGTTTGATCCTATCTTTTGGCTTCACCACGTGTCAGTCTCCCTTCTCGACCTAGCTTCACAGTTTGACTGACAGGGAGCAGGCAGATAGACCGCTTGTTGGCTGTATGGCAATGCCTCAACCCAAAGTTATGGTTTGATAACGGACAATCTGGCGATTCTGATACGGCTGGCATGACAGCTTCTAGTGTCACCGACGACAAAGAGACAGATCCTCTTGAACCGTTTCACAAAAAGGACAACGATCCTGAAAAGGAAGTCTGGACTGCACAGGCGTGCAGGGATTGGACAGAGTTGAACTATCAGTATGATGACCTAGCCGAGGTAGCTGAAAGAACGATACGAAAGTATGGCAGATTTATATCGGGGGAGTTCCAACGAGAGCTTCGATCACATATCGACACGATCTACCCAGGCACAGGGCATCTCATTGAATCGATGGAAACGTCCAGTAACACTCCCGATGGCCTACGACCTAGTCAGCACCAGAACGGATTATGGAAAGATTACATCATCAACGTGGTGTATGACCGATACGCCCTAGACGGCCTGTCCTACACAATCCAGTTTTTTATAGGTGGACCACCGGGCGAAGACACGACTAATTTCGAAAAGCACAATTACGTCGGCCATGTGTACTCCTTTGGCGGAAGACAGAGTACATCTGAAGGCTCTTGTAGGAACTGCAAGAGACAAGCTGAAGCACAGGTTCTCTCATGCGCTCAGGTAACTTTGACGATTCATCTGCTTCACAGAATCAGAGACTACGTTCCAGATCACTCATTTGAAGGGGTTGAAGAGTATCTGAGACGTTATCTTCGGTGGAGAGTCGTCAAATATGGCGGTGAAGTAGTGTCTGAGGAAGGATTCAAGAGGAAGTTCTCAAAGCTCCAAATATCGGTCTTGCGTGGTACTGGTCGAATCAAGCCGGGCAATGCACAAAGTGCAGATTCAGTCTCTTCTTTGTACAGCGACTATGTGTCATTGCTAGAGGTCACATATGGGAAGCCCGGTGGCTTGCGGCTCGACAAAGCCCCCGAGAACAGCGGGCCATTCATTTCGCAGAATAAGAGCGCTGTACAACCACTCCCGACGAGGCTCCCCCAGAAAGCGAAGTATGATATCTATCCATTAGTATATTTGCCGGTCCATTAACAAATTCAGTAGATCCGTGACAACAAAGCTCCATATCCGTTCAATGACCGCGTGTGGACAAGAAGCCGAGGCATTCAAGTTTTCGCCCACTCAATCGAAAGCTCGGTAGTTGTCGCAAACATGGATTTAAGGTTACGCAGGATCCTGGGTATATGCCGACAGTTCCGAGATCACTGACCAGGATCAGTCGGGATATTTCGTCGGTAGCCGAACACCTGCAACAAAGAGACTGCTTTCGTCGTGTTCGACATGTTCACGCCGAAGAATACTCTAATAAACTATTCTATTTACCATGTTCAGTGCGGACCCAAATGCCTGCCATAAGCACCACTGTAGCATCGGATGTCGCGTCAGCTTACGGGCCCTCGGGATCCCGAATAACCTTTTTTCTTTGCTTACCAGGGGTCTTTCTGCCGCAGATCCTTCTCATCTACGAATACGATGGGGCTTGATCCACGCCCGCTAGAACAAGTGCTTACCCGTCAGCGTATGAGAATCGACATTGGCGCCATGTCTGACATGGCAATTGGGCGAAATTAATGATCATCCATGCCGTCCGTCTGGGCGTAAGATTTCCGTGTCTCAGACGAGCATCGGGGAAATTAGCGTTACGCAGGATCTAATAAAGAGATGAGCTGGCCACTTTCCCCCCCTCTGTCAGCTTTCTCTACTCATTCTTCTGTAGTATACAACTGAACATGGATAACCAAGAAAAGACCGTCGACTCGTCGTCGCAGAGCGAGAAGGACAAGGAGTCGACGACTTCGCCGAAAGCGACGCCTCGACCTCCGCCAATTCTATGCCTTGGCGCCCCCCGCACTGGTTCAGCGTCACTTATGAAAGCGCTGCAAATTCTTGGATATCCCAACGTGCACCATGGCTGGGAAGCTGCTGAGCTTGAGGAACTTCAATGGCAATGGCCCATTTTCGACAGAGCGTGCGACGCGACGTTTACCAATATTCCAACATACCGCGGCAAACCATTCTCCCGCGCTGAGTGGGATGAAGTGTTCGGAGAATACGATGCCGTATCGGATGTCGCTTCTTTCTTCGCTGAGTCGCTGATCCCAGCTTATCCCGACGCCAAAGTCATTCTTGTCGAGCGCGATATCGAGAAGTGGTTTCCCAGCATGCACGCCGTTGTCAAGAGCTCTACAAGTCCTATCCGACGAAAGCTTGGAGCCAAGATTGGTGATCTTTCGGGATTTTTGAGTCCAAGACCATGCAACAAACTTCATCAGGGCTGGACGAGAGCTCCTTCTCCCAACGACGTGATCGAATACCTCAAGCCAGCATATGTCAGGCATAATAAGTACATCAGAGATACCGTACCAAAGGAGCAGCTTTTGGACTTCAAGCTTTCAGATGGTTGGGAGCCGTTGTGTCAGTTTCTGGGAAAGGAAGTTCCTGATGTGCCGTTTCCGCATGTCAATGATTCGAAGGAGTATGCGGAGAGGGGTAAGAGGTTGGGAAATAAGATGATCAAGCTTGCTTTGAGAAACCTCATCTTTCCTTGCTTGCGTCCTGAGCCTATCACCAGGCCCTGAGAGTTGCTCCGTGCTTGACTTCTTAGGAGAAGAGGAAGGAGTGTACACCAACAAAACCATTCTCTTGGCCGCATGGGAGTGGTTTGATTCTGTATATCATCTGATATAAAACGCTGGCTAGATTTCTCAGTTTAGACAAGCGCGCTGTTTCTAATACCTAGCTTGGATAGCGTGTTTTCCATTCAATATCCGTATTTGGCAATATCGATAGTCCACTTGTTGTATCCTTGTAATCAGGACCCCACCAACACCCGAGGTCTTTTAACAAGATGTCAGCTTATTGGCTTCATGAAAGCGGCATATGCGTCTCGCATCACAACTCTCGGATCACTAAGTCGTTTAACCAGGGTTTTGCCTTGGTTTACCAGATGGACCAGTGAGTGTTGAGATGAGCAGCCCGGAAGACGGCCCGTGACCCCGCCAGGTGAACGGGTTCGTCCTCGACATCAACCTTGAGGGGGCGACATATATCAATGCGGTTTGCGCTCCTTGAAATTTCTAAAGTAGCTTGTTTATCTAAATACCGATTCAACGACAAAGGATTATTCAGCATCATCTCGTTTTAGCGAACAAAATGACTACGACTCGGAACTACAACTGGCATCAAGTCAAGCCTGGAGTATGGCAACGCCATATCGACGAAATCGAACAATTCTACTCGACGATGGTTGTTCTCTACGAAGGAAGTGGTCGCATGTTCTTTGGAATGACAGGACATGTTTCACTCTCCATCAAGAACACCAGAGGCTTGTCGCAAGATGACGCTGAGCTTGAAGTTGACAAAGCTTTGAGCAAAGCATGGCTTGCACTCAGATACGCTCACCCTACACTTGCATCTCAAGTTACTCAGGACGTTGAGTCGGGAGAGTGGGTCAAGACTTATAGAGAGCTGCAGGGAGAAGCAGATAAGGACGCCTGGCTGGAGAGGACTCTTGTCCGTATCTCCAACGGACAGACTGGTAATCAGTGGGCTAACTCAGATCCGCCTGCTCCAAACCTCCCGACCATGTTTGATTTACATCTTCCTGCTGAGCAAAGCGCTGATGGTTCGATGACCATTCGCCGAGACCTTGTCTTCCGCTCTCCTCACGATGTCATCGACGGCATTGGAACTCTCATGATGCTCAACAACTTCATATCCCTCGCCTCAGACGCTTACGAGAAGGGCAATGCCTATGACCCCCCAGCCCTCGACGGCAGTGAGACTTCAAACCTTAGCCCGTCCTACCGAGTCGCCGCTCAAATCCCCGAAACCCCCGATCAGGCTCAACTGGATAGACTTAAGGAGATGGCTGCTCAAAAGGCCGCTGCCGCTTCTGATCCCAACGTGGAGATTCTTGCGCTTCCTTATCGAGAGGGCGATTTACTTCCGGGTCGACACCAGCGCTTGGCACTCACTCTGACCAGAGAGGAAACGCAACAGCTACTGAAGGCGTGCAGGATGGCTGGAGCTACGCCAACACATGTCTTCCATGCTGCAGCTGCTATGGTCGTGCGAGACCTTCAGAATAAACCTATCACGGTCAAGCGAGTTCGGTACATCAACTACATCCTACGCAACGAGCGCTCAAGTTGCCAAGAGCCATACAACACGGCTCGACATCCTGCAACTGTCTACCATTCTGTCTCTGGCCAAAGCCTTGTCGTTGACATGGATCTCCATCCAGCTTCCATCAAACCAGACGCACAAACTCGCAAGAAAGAGTTTCTTTCGATTCTTGAAATCGTCAAAGACTTCTATCTCACAGTCAAACAAGACGAGGAATTCTACGTCCTCGCCCCGACGATGTTCTCCCAAGCTACCCCATCTCTACCCTCTGGCCCTCGTCCCCTGCCTGTGCCGGAGCCAAATGCTCATCCGTCCGTATCGATCTCAAGTATGGGGCGTACTGACGCTATCGTGGCACCGGAGGCGGGGGCGTTCGAAGCGAGAGACCCGTGGGTGACGGGTGAGGAACTGGGAAATGGGTTGGGTTTGTTTCTCGGTACATTCCAGGGAGAGCTTTGTTTGAGTGCTGCGTATAATGATGCTTGGCACACAGAGACGGATGCGAAAGAGTATCTAGAGCGTTGTAAAGATGTTGTGTTCTCAGGTCTTGGGATCACTGAGCCATGAGGTTAGTTTGGGGACGACGTCGGCAGAAAGGCAGATCTGAGTTTGAGTGAGGTTATCAGAACGTTCGATAATTTCCATCTTCCGTACAGGTTTCTCTGGGATTGCGAACAGGCTTCACTTCGTATCATGTCTTGAGTTGTCCAATATTCCTTTGAGTTCAGTCATCAGAACATTAGCTCATGTGTAGACAATGGGTTGTCAACTCAACAACAATATCTGTTTCTAGCGACATGATTTGCAGCCGATTTCTTATCTTGTCGTCGATTTGATAAGCGTCGTATATCATGGTCGTTCGCGATGGTTTGTTCACACCTGCATCATGATTTGTTCACGTTATCAGGTAGCTTATCCAGGCCATAGACAAACGTCGAAGTGAAGTTTCTCCAGATATCTTGTAAACCATATTCGATCGATGTTTCTGAAAAGATACTGCACGAGGTTGTCCGATGACTGAACTAGTGAAGCTGACAAGTTACGCTTTGGGGCAGGTCTCTCAAAAAGGACCTTGATAGTCGCCTGTGCCGCAATCCATTATCAAACAACAACACCTCTACCCCTCGTATACCGACTTCTCCTGGAACTTCTGTGGCAATCCCCTCATCACGCGGTCACTCCAAACATCTCATTACAAAATCAGCATAGCAGATATCGGTTTATCAAGGCCCAAAACACCGTTTTCAAAACCCGCCACAACCCGCCTGAAGGATCACCCTCTGGTAACCAACCGAATATCGTACCAACCGACCTCTCGCCTCCTGTGCATATGTAATCTATCCCGATTGTGGGGGCGATATTCACGGGGAAGCGCAGTGTGTGTCCCGAAGTGGAAGCTCCCTAGACCCCCCAGGAACCTTTGACAGGCTGGGGTAAGTCAGGGTGACCCCGGCGAAAACCCGGATTGGGGCACTTTTCCTAACTCTTGGGTCGGAGCTGAGTGATATGCTTGTTTGATAGTGGCCAATTGATATGGGGAAGGGTTTATCTAGGTCGTTTGGAAGGTTTCCTGGTTGATTTTGGTGGTTGGGAGGTTGCATTAGCATGTGAAGTAGCCTGGCGCCGGAGAGAAACAGGAAAATAGAGGTTTTAACCTTGAATTGACGATTGATACAACTTACTAGGGTGACCAGCATGTTTATTTGGTGGTGTTGAGTGCCAAGTGGCAATCGTGCAGGCATTGTGCACTCGATATTTTTGGCCTTCAATGGCACCTTTTGATACAAATGATACATTCGATTACAACGCGACAGGCGACGAAAAGAATTGCTCGCGCTTTCAACGTCATCCCCAGCGTAATAATTGCTGGCATGACTTCAAGCATGTCTTCAAAATCGCGAGATATGTCCAAATTCGATTGAAGTGATAGATATTACTAAGACCTCACTAATAAATCGGTATTGACCTGTAATCTTGTCGCGATCTGACGTGGAGTACAAAAAGTGCAGGGATTCCGATCCGCATCCGCATGGAACACGAAAATAGATGCTCGCGTGGCGAGCGATTGATAACGTCGCGACCGAGTTGGTGTTGAGGTTATCCATGAATGTCAAAAATTCTGGGCATCGGATTGTGCATGTCGCCGCATTCTTGGCTACAGGTATAACGGTCTTGGTATCTGTGGCCAAGACGATCAGCCACCATTTTCAATCTTCCAGAATTCTTTCCAGGCACACTGATCGACAATGGCGAGGCCGATGATTTACTGGGATGAAAGATGGTGCATGCAACAGTATCAAACGTTACAGATTAATTCAGTGGCAATAGGGTAGGCATTTCTCCCTGAGATAGCATCACGATCGTGGATCTTGCTATCGTCTGTTGGTACTCGGTTGTTGGTTACGCAGTGGGTCGAATGATATGTAGAATTGGGTATAGTCGTCATGTCAAGCTAGACAAAAGTACATTTTGTATGTTGGCTTGGGAACACCAGGTGATTCCTGCAGTGCGAGTATGGGGGCCGAGATAGCACAGGGCAAGGGTAGATCATCCCAGAAATGCGAGCAGTGGTCCCTTTGGCCTTGGCAATCCTGAGCTCGGCACTCGACAGCGGAATACAGGCGCTGTAGTGAATGCGGGGGAGGCGATGCGCTGTAGATGAGAGGCCGTTTCACTTACAGAGTGCAGTGTCCAGTAAATTAATCACTGTACTACTATGGTGTATTGTTAATATCCATGACGCTGTTCAGTTGCACAAGACCGGGCCCTCGGTCCAACATCAGATCTCCATTTAGGCTTATCTACAGATACACAGGTTATTCCATTCCGCTGTTTGATGCCCTGTTGCATCTCCAACAAAAAGGCCCTTCTCCAACTAACAAAGGTCCCGCAAAATGCGCCAAGAGCAACAAAGGTTCCCCGAGCCATTGGCCAGCAGACGGAGCACACTCACCATTTGGGTTTAGCGCGTGCTGATAGCTGTTTGGAGTGTAATACCGATTTATTATTCATTGCGAGAAATTGATATGGAACACTGCGCTATCGGAGGAAATGTCAGGAGATTTAGAGGTATGAGCAATTGAAGCGGGTTTTCGGATCATGTTCTAGAATTGAATATGATGCGCCGAGGACGGAGAGCGAGCGAGTGAGTGAGTGAGTAAGTAAAGTAAGGTAAGTATCTGGTGATTTAGCGGGTGATTCAGTGATGGCTCTGCTAACTTAGTGAGGCAATGATATTGCGAGTGGCAGACGACTTTGACCATTCACAGTCTAATGCAGAGTAACCCCCGATAACCATAACAACCATAACAACCATAAAACCTTTAATCCCCTGTAGCACACACAAGTAACATGCGGCGCGTATCGCCCGTTTCCCTCCCTCGGTGCCACCCGCTCTCCTCTATCTGGGGGTGGAGCCATCCCCCTACCAATCCCTGACCCTTTGAGGCTAGATTTACCAGGGACTCATGCACAAAAGTTCAAGCACACGATAAAAATGCTGCTCCCATTTTGGCAGCTCCAAATACAACCGCTCCCCTCTAATTGGTTCTCTCACCAAGATAAGGTCCGCCAATCTGTGGATGCTGGGCTCTTTATTTGGCAATCACCAAAAGATCGTTTGTCTCGCTTCTTCTTCTGGGACGTTGCAAAAAGTCCCTTTGCCTCCCCCCCCCGATGTGCGGAATTGATTTGAAGATGGGCAGCCACTTACTCGATTGGGCGGGTTTCAAAAGTGCCACCACTGAATATCTGTACGCCAGCTGTTGTACGACGTTGGGGAGCAAGCAGAGATAAATAGATCGTCGTTCCCCGGTTCTTCGGTTCATGTTTCCAGTCGTACCAGCCAGTTCAAGTCTCCTCCTCTTTGACTCTTCAACTGATTGCCCATCATGGTCGCCGAAACAGTCGTCCCTGATCGTGTGCCTGAGGATACCCTCCAGCCTCGCTACGATGAGAAGGAGCCTCATTTCGACATGGACCTCAAGTCCGAGGCCGACAGCGAAGATGATCGTATTATCGACCTGTTCTCCAGCTTCCCTCCTGCAAAGGGTGTCGAGCATGAGCCTAACCCTTTGACTGCTCGTGCTGTCATTGTCGGTATCATTCTCGGCTCTCTCGTCAACGCCTCCAACGTCTATCTCGGTATGCCACCCTCAACATATCAACAACAATCTCATAATACTAACGAACTATAGGCCTCAAGACTGGTTTCACTTTCCCCGCTACCATGTTTGGTGCCATCTTCGGTTATGGCTTCATCCTCATGTTGACAAAGTCCCTCCCTCACGTCCCCATCCTCGGCGGCAAATTCGGTCCCCAAGAGAACTCCATCATCCAAGCCGCTGCCACTGGCGCTGGTGGTATGTCCGGTGTCTTCGTCGCCGGTCTCCCCGCCATGTACCGTCTCGACCTCCTCTCCGACGACCCCAAGAAGGACTTTGGCCGTATCCTCACCATCACCTTCGTCTGCGCCTTCTTCGGTCTCTTCGCTGCTGTTCCTCTCCGACGATTCTTCATCATCAACGTCGCCAGGGAGCTTAACCTCGTCTTCCCTACGCCAACTGCTACCGCTATGACTATTCGATCCATGCACGCTGTTGGATCCGGTGCGGCTGATGCGCTCCGAAAGATCAAGGCTCTGGGTATTGCTTTCATCATTGCTCTGCTCATCATCTGTGTTGGGCAGTATGCCGATGGTATTCTTCACAACTGGCACATCTTCACCTGGTTCTACGTCTGGTCTGGATACACCGCCAGCGGTCTTCTTGAGCCTGAGAACTGGGGTTGGTACATCCAGCTCACTCCCGCTTTCTTCGGCTCTGGTATCCTCGTCGGTCTCAACGCCGCTGTCTCTTGGTGGGGTGGTACCGTCGTCGCCTGGGGTCTCATCGGTCCTCTTCTCGTTCACTATGGTGAGTGCATTGGTATTGCCGTCGGTGAGGGTAAGTGGGAAGGCATCACTCGATTCAGCGTCATGACTGGTGTCGACAACCCCGACTACGTTCCCTCTCCCCGATACTGGATGCTCTGGCCCGGTGTCATGGTCCTCATGGTCTACTCTCTCATTGAGTTCTTCCTCCACGGAAAGGTCGTCTGGGATGGTATCAAGTTCGCCGTCCACGAGTCCGCTCGCTCCATCAACAACAGACTCCAGGCTCGTGGTCACAGCAACGCTTGGTTCGCTAAGCAGGCTGCCAAGGCTGATGCCGATGGTGGTGTTGAGGACTTTGCTTCCGCTCAGGACCAGGTTCCTACTTGGGTCTGGGTCGCCGGTACTCTCGCTGCTCTCGTTCTCGCCATGATCGTCAGTGAGGTTCAGTTCCACATGAACGCTGGTCTTGCTCTCCTCGCCTGTATCCTCGGTGTCATCTTCGCTTTCATGTCCATCTATGGTGGCGCTGTCACCGACTGTGCTCCTCTTACTGCTTCCGCCAAGGCTTCCCAGCTTGTCTACGGTGGTATCACCAAGAACCACTTCGCCATCAAGGACGCCCAGCGAATCAACCTTGTTGCCGGTAACATTGCTTCCGGTACTGCTGATGTTGCCAACTCTCTCGTCAGCGACTTCCGAGTTGGTTTCCTCCTCAAGACTCCCCCTAAGCTGCAGTTCTACGCCCAGGCCATGGGTACTGTCGTCTCCGTCTTCCTTGCCCCCGGTATCTTCGTCCTCTTCATGTCTGCCTACCCCTGCGTCTACCGACCCAGCGACGATCCCGCTGATATCTGCCCCTTCGCTGCTCCCTCCGTCGCTGCTTGGCAAGCTGTCGCTACTGCTGTCACCATGCCCAGCATCCCTATCCCCAAGTCCTCCGCCTACTTCTCCATTGCCATGGGTATTCTCTGCGCTGTCCAGGCTATCGTCAAGCACTTTTGGCTCGTCGGTTCTCGCGAGAAGTACCGTGACTGGCTCCCCAACTGGATGTCCGTTGGTGTTGCCTGGGTTCTCGGCCCCGACTCCGGATATGCCAACGCCATTCTCTGTAAGTCATCTTACTATCAATTTACGAGTTTTTAACTAACAAATAACGCAGTTGGCTCTATCACTGCTTGGTGGTGGCGCAAGTGGTTCAACAACCACTTTGAAATGTATGCTTTCGCGATCGCCGCTGGTTTGATCGCTGGCGAAGGATTCGGTGGTGTCATCAACGCCGCCCTCGAGCTTGGAAAGGTCAGCGGTTCTTTCAAGGGAACCGAGATTGCTCTGCCCGGTGCTGAGTGGTAATTACCCAAATAGTTAATGTGTCATGAGTGTTTGTTGAAGCGATTGGCGGAGGATGTTACAACGATCAAATAGCTAGCTTTGCTATATGAATATACCCACTTGATCTTCAAAGTTCTATGACGGTTTCATTTTGTGACAGTACCTCATACAACCAAACAGTTCGTAGTTCCTTCTGATTTTTTAAAAAAGCCTTTCTGTTTCACTGGTACCTCAAACAGGCTTCGATGTCTCGTCAGACACAATATGCTCACAAACTCTAGCTACACTGTTTAATCAGAACAGTGTATGTTACTGGGGGGGAGGGGGAGGGGGAGA